AATTGCTGACGATCTATAGCAACTGCACAAGTCAGCGTGCAAGGATGACATTGTTCAACCAATCTGAGGCTGATTTGAAGGAATGGAAGCGGTCCCTCCCCTCAAACTTCAAAGTCTTCAAAGTCCATCCAAAAGAACCGTCCTACCGGGGTATCTTCCATCTCTATCTCAACTACTACTACTCATGGATAGCGATGGGTAAATCTTATACTGTAACCGTCGTGCGGTACCATTTGCGTAGTCGACTAGGCGCCACGAGCAACCTAGAAACGGACAGTGACAAGCCTGACGAATCCGTGTATGTTCTCTCCTCGGCCTGCATTAGGGCGGCAAGGAAGATGCTGCATTTGTTTGAGAGTATCGCCACCACCGGGAACATGACGAGGTTCTCATTTACCGACTTCCAAGGCTGTAGTATCGCTACAATCGTGACAATACTAGCGGGTATCTTAGAAAGGAACTCGGACTATGAAGCCTTGGTAGGATTCGGGCTCAACTGCCTGAAGAAAATGTCTGCTGGGATTATGACAGCCCAGATCGGCGTGCGGTTCGTCGAGGCACTGCAAAAAATTGCGGACGAAGCCGTCGCAAAGCTCTACGCTGCTGGCCAAAGCCCTCAGCCGCCGCTGTCTGTTGGCACACCTGCAACGGCGGCGGATTATAATCGGTGGGCTCAGTGGTTATCTCGGGCGAACCATCAACCCCGCGGTGACTCTTCATCGCCGCCACCGCAAGCCGAAGCGTCAAGCATGCTACAGGCAGCTGACGCGATGTCTCCCTACAATTCCGTTGTCGAAAGAACCAACACTTGGGTGCCTGCGCAGCCTATACTAACGGAACCATCTCTGGCTGCAACTACCTCTACCGGATTCTCAGAGGCTCCCTTATTGCAAGGCTTTCAGACAGGAGAAGGGCTCTTCCCGCTAGCAGGGTTCGGCGACGAGCAAACGTTCTTGATGGAGCTAACAGGGATGGATGTGTTGGACTTTAGTCAGTTGTAACTTCTCATGTAAACATTTGTACTCTTTTGAACTATGTGTGCTCGTTTGTTTTTATAAAGCGGCCTTGATCTTGATGGGAATAGGGGGATCCTCCTTCAAGCCCTGCCATCTGCTCTTATATACCCTGCCCTCCTTGAGCACACCCAGAACATTGGTCTCTGTATCATCTAGGATCGTAACATCCTCTAATGGGTTCTTGTCCAGGACCAACAAGTCAGCAATGAACCCTCCCTTCACTTGCCCAAGGCTATCTTGCACTCCCATCATCTCAGCTGGAACAATGGTTGCGCTTCGCAGGACCGCTGCTGGCGGCAGCACTTGGGCACGGATCTTGAATTCTTCAGTTTGGGCCAAGCCTAGAGGGCCTAAAAGGTCACTACCGTAGCAGAGCTTCACTCCCGCATCGTGTGCAATCTTCAAGGCCGTCAAACCAGCCTTGAAGACGGCCGTGTTCTTCTCCTGCGAGGCAGGAGGTAAGTAGCCCTGCCACTTTTCGGAAGCCATCTGGTTGTAGGATATCAACGTAGGTGTGAGATATATCCCCTTCTTGACCATGATCTTGGCTGTCTCCTCATCCACAAAGTTTCCATGCTCAATGCCGCGTACGCCATTGTCGATGCAGTGTCGGATGGCTTTCGATGTGTACGCGTGGGCTGTGACGAATGTCCCAGCATTGTCAGCGCACTCGACCATGGCCTTGATCTCTGCGACGGTAAACTGCAAGTGCTCCAGCTTGTCGGTGGGCGTGGAGACGCCGCCAGAGCCCATGATTTTGATGAAATCAGCACCACGGCGGATTTCCTCTCTGACAGCGGTCATGCACTCTGGCACGCCGTTGCAGAGACGGCCCAATCCATTGGTGTGACCGCCGCAGCACTCTGTTGCGTCGTGGAGGCCACGGATATCACCGTGGCCACCAGCCTGGGAGAGGGCGTGGCCAGCGATGAATAATCTAGGCCCGGGGAAAACACCGTCCTCGATTGCCTCCTTTAGGGCGAGCTGGGCACCGCCGCAGTCGCGAACACTGGTGAAGCCGCGATGCAGCATCTGCGAGGCGACGTATGGCTGACGCAAGACCATGACGTCGTTGTCATTGCCAAATGCCATGGATAAATCGCCGAATCCAGGGACAGCGCAGAAGTGGACATGAGAGTCGAAGAGACCGGGGGATAGGTATTTGCCTTCCAAGTCGACAACTGTGTAGCCTGGTGGAGGGGGACTGGAGGAACCAGTGGTGACGGATTCGATCTTTCCGTTGGAGACCCTCACCGTAGCATTGGGAATGATCGTGGACGCAGCGACGTCTACGACATTGGCGTTTATGAAGACACGGGCGTTGGGCCCGTCCTGAAGCCAAGGCTTAATGTCAGATGGTTGAGGCGCCATGATGTTGAACACTTGATGATGGCTGATGGAATGCAAAGTAGAGTTTGGAAGAATCACGACACAGATTTAGCTACGATGGTGAGAATATTAGGTTTAATCTATCATTTATACTGCAGAAGCGCTTCCCCTCACATCACTCTGTTGACGGATCCCACGTTTGTCGATGACACGCGGAAGCTTGGACCCGTGGGGATATGATCAGCCGTGAGATACTGATCTGACACCATAGCACAAATCATCCGGCGAGTTATCTGCCAGAGATACAAGCAGTGGAGTCATCGGCAGACAGGATGGCATCGTTCCGCGGCCAAGTGGCAGACTGCCGACGCTGCGTCCATCGTTCCGACGACCACGCCCCGCCCGGCAACGTGGTCTACCCCAGATTAGAGTTGATAGGAAAGTCGTTCTGGGCCAAGGTGATGCGATAAACCTGGGGAACAGGGTGGATACCTGGTTGATAACCGGTGTCTCCTCAAAAGTCAAATGATCCATACTGCTGGGATGGCGTTGTCGATAAATACTCGACCCTTTACCCGGCCGCCAACTCTTGCCCAACTGAGAAACAATCGTCCCTCAAGCCAGATCAATTCTATCCAATATGACTGCATCAATCGACCTCAAGCCCACGAATACGGGCAAGGTTGCCGATGAGGCTGGTAGTGATGAGCGGGTTGGCGAAACCGTGGAAGCAACCTTTACTCCTGAAGAGGAGAGAAGAGTGCTCAGGAAAATTGACATGGTGGTCTTGCCGTTTGTAAGTGGTCATCCGCTTCTTCGATGTTGAGAGAGATGTCGAATAACAATCTGGCGACTTTAGATGTGCTTCACCTTCATGCTGCAATATCTCGACAAGCAAAGTCTCAGTTACGCCGGTGTCTTCGGTCTCATCGACGACCTCAACTTGACTAGCAAGGAATACTCCTGGACGAGCTCGATCTTCTATGTCGGCCAACTTGTATCGGAGTATCCATTCATCTACCTAATGAGTCGTTTCCCCCTTACCAAGTTTGTTGGCGCGACAGTGTATGAATAACTGCCCCAATCCCCCGAAGTACTTGGCTGACCATCATTAACCATGTAGAATTGTCTGGGGCATCGTCTGCCTCTGTCTCGCCGCCCCCCAAAACTTTGCTGGCTTCGCCGCCGTCCGCTTCCTCCTCGGTTTCTTCGAAGGCGCCGTCTCCCCTGCCTTCGTGACAATAACTTCTATCTGGTGGCGCAAGGAGGAACACGCAACGCGCACGGCTATTTGGGTCACAATGAATGGTCTCGCCCAGGTCCTTGGCTGCTTGATCATGTACGGCATCGGCAAAAATACCGCACTTCCCCTCCAGCCTTGGAGAACCATGTTCCTGGTTTGCGGCGCCTTGACGGTATCCGCCGGCATTGGATTCTTCACCCTGATGCCTTCCGGGCCGAAAGATGCTTGGTTTCTTAACGCGAGAGAGAAGGAGATTCTGTCCGCACGGATGGCACAGGATCGTGAAGGTGGCGACAAAGAGTCATTTTCCATGGAACAGTTCAAAGAAACGATGCTGGACCCCAGGGCTTGGTTCATCTTCATGTTCGGAGTCTTGGTTACGATGCAATCCCCCGTGTTGACTTTTGCAACCTTGATGATTAACAGGATCGGCTACAGCAAACTTCAGACCATGCTTTTCACCGCGCCCTCCGGAGCTGTCCAGATATGTTTTATTTGGATTGGTGTTGCCCTTTGCAAGATCTTCCCAAAGAACAGAGTCCTCGTGGTCTGGATCTTGAACATCACACCCCTCGTAGGTTGTGTTCTTCTGTTGAAGCTTCCTTCAGAGTCCCGTTGGGGTGTCATCGTGGCGGCATGGCTAGTAAGTTTCAATCTAAAGTCAAGATGCAGCCAAGCAACTAACAATCTCAGGCGTCTTGTGCTAGTGCTGTGATGTCAGTTCTTCTCTCTCTTTCTGCCTCTAACATCAAGGGGAATACAAAGCGTGCTACCGTCAACACGATGTTCTTTATTGGCTACTGCGCAGGATGCATCGGATCGCCTCAGCTGTGGACCGAAAGCCCAAGATACACCAACGGCGTTATTACAGCCATCGTCACATGGGTCACGCTATATCTCGTCTCAGGGCTATATCGCGTCGTTTGCACTCGGGAAAATAAGAAGCGAGATCTTGCTATGGCAGAGAGTGGTCCTCAAGCATCTACCCATGTTGTACTTGACAAGAATGGTATGCCTAAGACTGATCTGACGGACATTGAGGACAAGATGTTCAGATACAGCTCTTAAATACGGCATTCTACTTCTCCTATTCAATAGCTCTGTAGTATATTTCGATAGTAGAACATCTTATCATGTCGTGAGTATTGACCTTTTCACGACCTGCATTATCACAAAATATGAACAGCATGCAAAGTAACATATGATTAAAAGGGGGGTTGTGGCCAACACAATAAGAACACAAATAATCTATCTGCCCTGCATCAGCATCAACAAGACAGTGAATTATTTATATTAACAAATGATGAATATCATCCTATTTCCGTGTAGAAACGAAGGCTTTCCACGAAATCCAAGGTGCTCGTCCACAGATTTGGGTAGCGTAACAGCTTCCTTTGCTGGGTTGATTTGTATTACACCTGGAATCTGAAACGAGGATCCCGTGCATTGTTTATTCCCTGTGACGTGCTCTCAGCCAATGCAACTCCCGCGGCATTATCTCGACGCTTGTTTTCCCATCTCATCCATAGTCCATACGAACTAGTGATTGTGATAAGTGCAATACTCATCCCAATGTTCGTGGAGAGACTAGTTTGGTATCGAGGAGATTCCCATTCATGATATATATTGCTTGAAAGAAGCCCCGCACAGTTTCCAAACGAGATGTAAAGGCCACTAGTCATTGCTCGTGCGTTGAGGTTAGGAATGTTGGAAAGCATCCAGGTCGATCCGATAGGGGTTGCAGGATAAGCCTACGATTGTTAGCGTAGCACTTCATGATTTTCAAGGATGTGATGTGAGACATACTCCAATAGTGCACAAGAACATGGCGAAGTACAGGACGGACGTGTTGTTTGTATCGATCGTTGACAGGATTACGTAGCCGATCAGACTGACTACCGCCGAGGCAGCCATGTGGAAGCCTCTTTCTCGGAGTCTATCAGATAGCTTGCACCAAGCTACCAGGAAAACGGCACCAGTGAGGGCAGGAGCAACGGTGTACTAATAGAAGTCAGTAAATGTATCCTCGGGAGACAGAGGATCTGGGGAGTCATTTCTCACGAGATTCGTCTTGATCACGCTGAAACCCAACCGGCGGACAATCATGGCTAAGAAGTTGGCATTGGAGGTCAGAATAGTTCCTGAAACGAAGGAGATCACAACTCGAATGTAGCCATGGAGAGTGAAAAACTCGGAAAATGACTCCTTAATGTTGAATTTGCTCTCTGCGGAGGTCACAGAGTCTTGTGCTAGCCGAGCTGCGGCGATGTCTCTCTCCTGCTCGCTAAAGAACCAAGCAGTCGAGGTCTGGCGCGGAAGGACCAAGAAGGTTAAAATGGCCCAGAAAAGAGACAAGCTTCCTTCAAGAATGAACAAGTACGACCATTGAAAATACTTGTCGCTATTCAGCTGGAACATTCCAAAAGCAAGAAGGCCACCGAATGCAGATGAGGAGGTCAAGGCTGCGTAGAAGATTCCAATCCGGCTGGCGAGCTCTGTGCGCGTATACCAAAGAGATAGATAATAAATGACTCTGTAAACATGTGATTAGCCGCGTTTATAGATTTCCCCTTCTACTGCAGTACGTACGATGCCAAGAAGCCAGACTCGAAGATACCAACGAGGACCCGACAGGCGACTAGCTCCCCAAAGTTGTGAACAAATGCTGTTGCCAAAGATGGAGTGCCAAAACCGACCATCATCACAGGAATCGTAATATTGGCACCAAACTGTTTGGTAAGCATTGTTACAAGCGGACCAAAGATGATAAAAGGGATCTGGTAGTAGGTGAGGACTTGGTTGAACTGGTTCCCTTGGAGGTGGAGATCTTTGGTAAGCCCTGCAGTATTCGCGTTTGAAATATTGCTTCGAGCAAGAGAGCTAATCCCAACAATTAGCCAATTACATTAGATATCTTGAAGAGATTTGGGAAGCAAACTTGAATAGGTAAGCAATTGACAGAATTGGAAGGAGGATGAGGTCAGTCTTGAGCTTGAGCTTCTTGACAACAGCAGGGTCAAAGGTCATCTCGCTGTCTCCATTTTCACTCGGCGTCTTGCCACGTTCGCCATGTTTCACGTCAAGACTTGGTGGTTGGTTGTTTGACATCTTTGATTTGATGCAATGTTAAGGGCCGCGTGGTTGGAAGAGCAGACGTGAGCAGGATCACCGATGACTCGGAAACTTGTCTTGAGACTCTTCAACCCCGGCACATGGCACCATTCAACACGGCTTTATAGTTTGCTTCTCGCCGTTATTAGAAGGTTGAATCTCAACTGGTGTGGGGTTTGGGGACGGTTCAAGATAGCCTGATCCACTCCAAAGGATGATAAAGGATAAATGGTACGCATCTGTGTGGACCCGACCTTCGATAAACTTCAGTTCGGCTCATCCGATGATTGCCCCATGCTTATCCGCGGCCAAAATGACTCTCTCGCCGGCCCAGCCGAGATAGGCCTTCCCTCCCCCTCCCAACTCACCCTGTCTCACTTCGGTTGTGCCAACGATATGATCGGGAACGGTCATGGAGCAAAGCACTCACTCGACCCGGCGTAGGACACTGCAAGCTTGCAAAACCTGGTTCGTCATCGCAAATGATCTACTCACTGGTCTGATGGCTGACCGGACGTAGTCGGCGCAGAAAGACGAAATGCGACGGGACAAGGCCACGTTGTCGGCAATGCAGGTCAAGGAACGCAGACTGCTTTTGGGATGAGCCGCTAGGTGACTTGGACATTCGTGAAGGTGGAAGACTTCCACAGTCCGTGTCGCCAGCCTCATTGGGCCATGTTGCCAATTCTCCAGGCTCTTCTCCATTCTCAGCCCACCGGCCAAACACCTCACTGCGGCGATCTTTCGATCTCTTCTATGAAATTTATTTGCAGACCATCTTCTGTTCATTCCTTCACAAATCGACTTACCAAAAAGACCCAGATAAGACACCATTTCTGACATCCGCGATTATCTGTTTAGTCTCCCGACATTTGAAGCCTTCAGAAGTGCAGGAAGACTTCGGGTTTGCGACAGGGGCGGAACTCTGCCAGCGTTACTCGACTATTGCCAATGGCTGGGCTAAAGATTCAATTTTCACACCGAGTGGTAAGTCTATGCAGATGTTGGCCCATTCAACCCCTGATCCGCTTGGTATCGAAGACATATATATACACAGTAGGGAATAAATACAGACAGTCCCAGATCTTGGAGCACAAACCTGGACTTTCCACTGCAAGTTAGGGGGCATGTAACTAACCACGGGTAACTGTAGTGACAAACATCCAGGCAAACCTTGTGCTGGCCCTTTCTGAACTTCTCAACCGGTCAGGATCGAGCCATTGGATGCTTGCAGGTACAGCCATCCGAATGGCTCAAATTATGAGACTCAACAAGGAATATCATGAGCGCACAAGCGAGAGAGAGCAAGAGATAAGACGCCGGACGTTTTGGGCATGTGTGATGATTGATCGGTTGTTTGGATTTGTCCTAACAAAACCATTGGCCATTTTCATGGACTCTACGGCAGTTTTTCTCCCCAGTTCTGAAGCAGGATTACTATACGAGGAGGCGAGTAGAGGACTGACCTTATCAGCACTCGATTCATTTTCTGGACTATCTTCTGACGTGGGTATACTTCCCTACTTTGTCAAGACGATTGTCTTGTGGGGTGATCACTGCATCTTTTACATATGCAACAAACGATTTATAGATCCTCTCCCTCCTACTGACTCAAATAGCGCTTTCTTCAAGAGCTACTATGCTTTGTGTAACTGGGAGGCAGCACTACCTGCATCCATGCGATGGACGGCAAAGAACTATGAAATCCAGTCATCCATCGGGAACGGGCACACATTTGTTGCCATGCACTTCTTGATCAGGAGTAGCCACTGCGTTGCTCATCAAACATATCTCCCACACCTAGACGGGACGACAATTATTTTGGACAGCACCGACGCAGCTGGTTGGTCTCTATTATATCGAGAGCCAACACTAGCTTCCACATGCGTGGACAATGCTCTATTGGTTGGGAAAATGTTGATGGATCTCTACGAGGCAGGTGGAATATCTGTTCAGCATCTTCAGTCTGCGTGGGTTGCTGCGTCGCTCTTATCGGTTGCCAGCACGTTCATGTGGATTTTGTATGCAAATGATGCCGAGTTCTCCACGGAGCAAAACAAAAGTACTGTCGAGGGATACCTAGAGCTCATCCAACGACTGCTGACTTCTTGGGAGTCTGATCATCGTCTCGTGCGAGCATGGATCAAGACAATCGACGACATGCATTCCATCTACCGTGCAGCGTACTTGGGACAAGTACCCGTGGAGAACGATGAGAATCTAGATAGCAGTGAAAACGAAAATCTAGATGTATCGGTCGAATTCAGACCACAGTCTGGAGATGGATTTGTACCCCTTAGTACGGCGCGGGATATTCACTCCGTTCTGAGGTTGATTATGGGAGATAGCACAGCTAATCGGCCGATGGCCAGGTCCGTCTGGATGTGCTTTTCGTTGGGTTGGCCCCTTTGGCTGGGAGATCACGTTGACAATCAAGATATCGAAGCGATAGAATGAACATCTGTTACCGGTAATTTATCAATGCAAACTTCGTTATAAAATTCTCTATCCCACTACAATATACCGATTTCTTTGTTTCTGGGTTTAATTGGTGTGAAACTCTGTTTTATATATGATGTAACGATCATCAAATCACACCACACACAACTAGACAATATTTAACTGAAAGATCAAGGATATGAGAGACAGCCGATTCCGGAGGTATAGGCAGCCGATGTGTATCTCAAGCTCAGCCGTAAGCAGCGTCGTACCGATCGGCTCGACCGATCCCTTCGGTAGGACGGGGTGACCTCAATACCAGTACCGGAATAACTCGCCACATCTATAATCAGCCTTCCTAGATCATATTTAACTCGGCCAGTGTACTTTACAGGGGCGGAGTATGATTTCAAACAATCATTGTAATCAATCTATCATCCCCCAAGATGGCTCCTTCTGCTATTACCGACACTCCTGCTCCCAACGGAGCCAAACAGGCGGCCCAGAAGGATCTTCCCAGTCCAATTCACCCTTCTATGATCCCTCGTTTGGACCAAGACTTCATTGAGTATTACAATGCATACATCGCCGTGAAACCGGTTACCCACCAGGTTAGCATGGAGGATGTTCGCAAATATCCGAAGCTATATGCCGCTTCCTGGGCCAAGGATTTCACTTTCGAGCCGTTCGTGAATGACATTGAAATCCCGGGGCCAGATGGGAATATTATCAAAGCTCGTTGTTACACACCTGATCCAAGGACTTCGCCATACGGCGATGGCCCATATCCTATTCATATCAATGTCCATGGTGAGAAACAACTTCACGATCCTATAACGGACAATGAACTCTGCGACTAATTTCAAATTCCAGGTGGCGGTTTTATTTTTGGCGACCTGACTGGAGATGCCGAGTTATGCATGCTGGTGCGAGACCGGGTTGGTATCATGGTACTAGATATTGATTACAGACTGTCTCCCGGTCAGTCAATTCCATTCCATGACGTTGAGTCAACTTCAGCTTACGTTTGCCGCAGAGCACGTCTGGTACAAGGGACATGCGGATGTTTGGGCAGCATTCAAATGGGTAGGAAAGGTGTTCTCACGTCGTAGTTCAAGCATCCACGCTAATAATGAGCATCCAGGTCCGAGAACAAGGCAAGACCATTAATGCCAACATCGACTCCATCTCCATGGGAGGGATCTCTGCTGGTGGGCAGATCACCGCCGTGTGCCAGCAACTTGCTCGGAATGAGGGCTACCAGCTTAAGCTCGGTATATATCACCCCAGACTAATTTATTGCTATGAAGCTCACAATTTACTGATCACATCTTGCAGCTCTCCTAGCAGTTCCCTCCGTTGACGAATTCATATCATTGAAGCAGCCCAGTGATTCGCCATACCCATCCTATCAAGAAAACGCCCTTTCTCCGTGCCTGAGCTGGAAGAGAATCGCCTATTGCGGCGAGGTCATCAATTCGGCTCTGCATAAGGACGGCGATGTAGTGCGCCCCGAGTTCTGGCATAGTCCTATCCGCGGAGATTTGGGAGGTTTGTGTAGGACCTTTATTGCGACGGCAGACTGTGACCCTCTCAGGGATGAGGGAGAAGCATATGGTACTAAGTTGGCCGCCTCTGGTGTTCATGTTACAATGCGCCGATATATGGGTGTACCACATCCTTTTATGCATATGTTGCTGATCAGCAAGGGACAAGAGTATGTGAAGGACATATGTGCACAGCTAAAGATTGCGCACAGCCTTTAGGATGAAGATAGTTCCTTCCTTAAGAGAATCAATGAAGCAAGACTTGTTCACAAAATTCAGAAGGTAGAAATTAACAGCTCAAAAAGTGTGTGGGATGAACCGTACGTGTTGACAAGTGAATCAATGAGACATCTTAGTTATATGACGAAGATCTAATTTCATTTGCCCTACCCTAGAATCAAGAGATTGACTAAGGAGAAGCACGATCTATGCAACGACGGTTCACTTGCATCATCTATAGCATACGGGCCAAAACATAATGAAAGGGCTATTTTCAGTAGAGTTATTCCGTGATTCTCTTTTCGATCTATTCCCCTTGCTGCATGTTATTATGTTTAGGGTTTTGTCATCATTCCGAGATTATATGTGGCAAGCCTGCTTAAATCCCTTAGTATTCTTGGGGTTTCATGTGTTCCATAATTACCGCTAGTCGAATCTCTATAAACTTGTCGCGTGTAATTAATTTGGTATTATTTAGAGGCTATCTTGCCTTACTTGCTCGAGTCAGTTATGTTTTCATCGGGTCACTGGGCTTAGGAAATACAGGGATACCTGATCGGATGCTTAGAACCAAAGATCGGCTGAGCCGAGGCCTCCCGATCTGCTCCCGAAACCAATTTGGCCGTGACTATCACAACCCTGCTATGGCATTTTACTAAAAACCGGTGCAAATGAAGTATCTTCTAATTACGAAGAGTAGAGTTCATCATAAGAATAAGACGGACAGAGCCTCCCTTGACTTCTACCTATCAAAACTTAGTGAATCACACGTCATAAACAGCCTATGCAATAGGAAACCCACGGCAAACTTCATTATCATCTTCACAATTGAAACCATGACTCATACCTCATCCCCAACAATTGTGGTTATCGGGTAAGCATTTCCGATTCACCAAGTAGTGGAACACCACAGCTAAACGTATGGGCAAGGTGCGGTGTGATCGGCCTATCTTCTGCTCTCTCATTGCAGGAATTACTTCGTGATGATCCATCCAAATCTTCTTGGCAAGTTGTCATTGTCTCCAAAGAATGGCCTACCTCTATTCCTGGGGCTCCTACATCACATTCAATTGAATACAGTTCTATGTGGGCTGGGGCCCATGTGCGGCCCATCCCTGCTATCACCACGCAATTACGGCAAGAGAGTCGTTGGTTAAAACAGACAGTCTCGAAGTTCAACAGTCTTCTCAAAGCCGGAAATCAAATTGGACTGACCTTGGCGCCAGCTATTGAAGTATTCGAGGCACCTGGGAACGAGTACAAAGCTCAAACGGCAGAGAGCTTCGAGGCTGACTCGGGACTGAAAGGATACCGCGAATTGACAGCAGAAGAGCTACCAAGGGGAACAACATTCGGGTTTGAGTATGAATCGTACTGCATTAACTCTCCCGTATATTGTGGGGACCTTTTGAGGAAGTTCATCATCGCGGGTGGGAAAACGATCAACGCAACCCTCAGAAGCGTGGATGAGGCATCAGTTATTACACCCAATGTCCAATTCGTGGTAAATGCTTCGGGAATTGGCTTCAATGACTCTAAAGTATTTCCTATCAGAGGTAATACAGTACAGTGGCTCTCCTCCGCAAAACTCGATGTCACTACTAATTATCTTTTAGGACATATCGTGTTGACGAACAGTATTTGTTTTGACAAGACAATCACGCGGCAGAACCTGGATGGAACATGGAACTTTATTATACCTAGGTTTTTCTCTGGAGGAACAGTGATCGGCGGTACTAAAGAGCCACACGATTGGCGCCAGCTGCCTGACTCTGTAACACGTCGCCGCCTCTTAGCAGGAGTAGAGGAGCTGAAACCATATGCACTGTCTAGTGGATCTTCGCGCCAGCCTGAGAAGATTTCTGTCATCCAGGAAATTGTCGGACGGCGTCCGGCTCGTGAGGGTGGCTTGAGACTCGAAACCGAGTTTCCCGGTAACACGTACTCTACGGAAAGCAAAATTCCCGTAATTCATGCATATGGTGCCGGGGGCAGGGGTTTTGAAATCAGTTGGGGGGTAGCTGATAGGGTCGCAGAGCTGGCAAGGAGCCTCATGTTGAAGCTTGATCAAACCACGGGAAGGCTTGCTAGGCTATAAGCTTTTGTTTCACACCTTTGCTTCATTTTGATAGACAATGACACATTAGTCGATCAACTTCATTGGCAAGTAATAAGTTCATCAAGCCTGGAAGCTCCCTTTCAGAGAAATCGAAAAGGGAAACAGAAATCCCTGTTTTTATCTGCTAGGATAAGGCTCTTATTCTTCACGGCAAATTCCTATTCGGGGCAGATATGAATGGAAAACAATGGCGATTGAACGCCACAATGAGTGTCGTTCTCAAGCATAAACGGTAACCTAATTCCTCAGCGGCAGCATTCTGAGAATCACTTTGTATTTTAGTCATTCTACCGCTGAATATAACCCCCATCAACAACAAGAGAGCTGCCGGTCACAAACGAACTTCTTCCACCAGATAAATACACAACGCCGTCGGCAATTTCTTGAGGCTGGCCCGCTCTGAGCATGGGCACAGATGAGGCTATCTTTTCTGCCATAACTGCCCGAATCTGTGGCGAGTCCATTGTCATCGGTGTCTCGATATACCCCGGGCAGATGGCATTGATGCGGAGGCCCTCCTTGGCGTAGTCCTCAGAGGCAGTTTTGGTGAGACCGACAACCGCATGCTTAGAAGTGACGTATGATGTTGAGAGAGGCGTTGCGATGTAGCCTTGGATAGATGCAAAGTTCACAATAGAACCTCTCTGCAATGACCTGCCATCAATAGTTGAGAGGATGGGGTCTTGCTTGAGCATGATTCTCGCGGCGGCCTTGAGCATGTAAAAGGTGCCATTGAGGTTGATGTTGATGACTCGTTGCCACTCCTTGGATTCCGCAAAGGCAGCACCGCCGGCGTGTTTGTAGGCTACACCAGCAGCATTGACGAGGTAATCCAGGCGCCCGAATTCTTGGGCGACTCCCGAGATGGTCCTGTTGACCTGATCCTCATCGGTGACGTCGACCACGAAGGTGATAACGCGGCAGGGCCTTCCACTGGCGGAGACATGGTTTTTTTCGTCAATGAGGACCTTTGTCTGGGCGAGGCCTTCGGCATTGACGTCGAACAGGGCTATACCCGCTGCACCATCTCTGGCGAAGGTCTGAGCACATGCCCTTCCAAGGCCAGAGCCTGAGCCTGTGATCAAAGCATATCCTGGTACGTCCATGGTTGCCAGTAATGAGGTCGGGGTCTGAGTGGCTAGAAAGGCCAGGGCCGTGTTGCTATTTAGGATTGAGAGATCAAGTCATGGATTGGTTATGAAGCTTGCAGGTATTCAAATTAAGATTAAGTGCACTCATCTTGATACGTAGATCTCGTGTATGAGGATGATTATTACTTTCAGATCCGTGATTACCATTCCTCGACGATGGATGGCCCCTTGTGTGACCCAGTAACTGAAGTATTAGACAGGGATGTGCAAATGGAAAGTAAAAACGAAGCTAACCCTCAAAGGGCGGCAAGGCTTATCTATCGTGGGGCCAACTGTCGAGATGGTCTCATTTCGCTCTTTGGGACAGGCTTGTGGAGTCCGAACTCGGCTTGGTGGTTGAGCCGATGGTTGGGGTCTCGTGGGCAAAGACGGGGTGAGAACTCTCCCGGCATAGTCATGCCGTTCCACGGTTTTGCTTGGGAAAGAATGCCTTAACGACCCTAGGAAAGGTAACTCTTAGCCTCGTGTGAATATTTAATCAAACAAAATTGTATTGCCTTGAGTGTATATGAATAATACGGTCAAACCCGGTTAGAGGAAAATTCATCTTCAGAATTTTGCCTAGCATCTACATTTTCTGTATCTTTGATTCTGAAGAAACAGAATGGCTCCAGTAGTAGATAGCCCGCAGTTCGACATCTTGGTCATTGGTGCCGGACTGTCAGGTATCAGCTGTCTTTATCACACCAGACGACTGTTCCCATCCTGGCGCGTCAAAGTGTTTGAGGCTGCTGATGAGGTGGGAGGAACTTGGTACTTCAATCGCTACCCCGGGGCACGATTCGACTCAGAAGCGGTGTCTTATCACTTGTCTTGGGATAAGGAATTTCTTGCCGAGTGGAATTGGTCTGAGGAGTTCGCTGCCCAGCCCGAGATTCTACGATATATTCAGGCGTTCTGCGACAAAAATGACACACGACGAGATGTCCAATTCAACACAAGAATCGCCCATGCCAGCTGGAACGAAGAAAATAGATTGTGGCTTTTGACGGACGACAAAGGAGCCAAGTACTTTACTCGTTTCCTGATTACGGGCGTGGGTATCCTGTCAGCCCCCCAATTGCCCAACATCCCGGGTATCTCCAGCTTCAAAGGCCAGGCGTATCATACTTCGAGATGGCCGCGGGACTTTGACATGGCTCGAGATCTGAAGGACAAAAGGATTGGTGTCATTGGTACAGCCGCCACCGGAATTCAGACCATCACTGCCATCTCCAAAGAGCCAGGGATCAAGTCATTGAGTGTCTTCCAGCGGACGGCCAGTTGGTCGGCACCCCTCCGAAACACTCCGATTTCACCAGAAAGAATGGCCCAGTACAAGACTCAGTATGATTCTATCTTCGAACAATGCGCGAACGCACCGCAGGGGTTTCTGTATGGGCCCGACCCAAGAAATACGTTCGATGTCCCCGAGGAAGAGAGAGTTGCGCTGTGGGAGAAGCTCTATAGTGAACGCGGCTTTGGCAAGTGGATGGGCCTGTTTAAGGACACATACACAGACCCTGTGGCTAATAAAGCCTACTCCGACTGGATAGCTGACAAGATACGAAGTCGCGTCCATGACAAAGTGCTTGCAGAAAAGCTCATCCCAACAGATCATGGGTTTGGCACCAAGCGTGTTCCTCTGGAGAGTGGCTATTTTGAAGCCTTCAACCAACCCAACGTCCACTTGGTCAACCTCCGCGAGACACCAATCACCACCGTCACACCGTCGGGCATACTGACAGCTGACGGCAAGGAACATGAGCTGGACATCTTAGTCTTTGCCACGGGATTTGACGCTATTACGGGCGCGTTGGCTGGTATACACTGGACAGGCAAAGATGGCCGGCCACTTTTCGAAACAGGCAATTCTGAGAAGGACAAGCGGGCAATTTGGGCAGACAATGAGACAGTTACGTTCTTGGGACTCATGGCGCCGTCTCTTCCCAACACGTTCATGATACTCGGCCCTCATCAGCCATTCGGGAATATTCCCAGGAGCATTGAAAACTCTGTAAATGTGGTGATGAGACTCCTCCAGTTTCTTAAAATCAACGGCTACACTTATGTGGAGCCGAAGCAAGAGGCTGCAGATGCCTGGTATGAGCATGTAGTTGAGTGCAGCAAAGGGTTACTTTCAAGTGAGATAAGTGGCTGGGCGACAGGAGTCAATACAAACGTGGAAGGCAAGTCTCGTCGACGAGTTGCAAAATACAGTGCGACGTACCGACAGTTTCTCGATAAATGTGAGGAGGCCGAGAAGGCTGGCTGGACTTCATTGTATCTTAAGTAGGTAGTTTGGGTTTTAGAAGTGGCACTAAATAGCAAATATAATCCAAGTCTCTCACGATATATTCAGTTTCCTGGAGAAGAATATTACAAAACATTAAGAGAATTGAAGTCGTCAAGATACGTTTTGGATAAATCTTGTTCGATCTCCGTTGTAACATCTTCGGTCGTATATCACCGTAATTAGCAGATATGTGAATAATCATCGGCAATTCTTATCTAAACAAGAATCATTATAGTCTCAACGCATACTGAATGAATGAATGAATTAATGTTCCATAATATTAAGTAAACTTTGAATGACTTATCCTAAATTCTGAGCTTTTTTGAATATCACACACTACCTGACCTGACCAAGCCACGTTGTTGTAGTTTCGAGGAAATGGCTGCTTCGCCGGGCACTCGATCATGATCCGTACTACTAATCTAACTCCAAAGAGCTCGAACTTTGTTGAACGGGTTGGTCCACTTGTTCGCGGACTTGCTGTCTTCACGTTCCTTTTCAAGTGCATTCCACATCTCAGCTTCAGCATCAGCCTGGGCCACACCTGTCACCAGGTCAATATCACTGATTGAGAGCCACCACGGGTCATGCCTTCCGGCAGTGAATTTGTGGCCAAGCCAAAGTGCGGCAAAAATCGGGATGCCAATGTAAGTTGTGAGAAACCCACTCGCCGTGAATCTTCCGGGATAGAAGACCGTGAAGCCGTTGCAAAGTAGCAGGATAGAAAAGACCACTATGCAGATTCGGGCAGCGTAAGGCTGAATAGCAGAGCGATAAGGAGGAGTTACGCCCTTTTCTGCACATGCCTTGCGGAAGCGAAAATAAATGACACAGCATGCAATCCAAGACGTGTATCCGGCGGTGTTTGTAATGCTGATGAACCAGTTGAACACTTGCCCTGCTTCGGTGTTAAGGACGAGGAACCCCAAGAAACCAAAGCAGCTGGAAGCAAGGATGGCATATAATGGAATGCCCCAGCTGGTGCAACGGGTAAAGACCTTGGGCGCATCTCCAACCGTGGCGAGAGAAAACAAGGCACGTGATGACATGTAGAGGTACGCGTTCCCAGCTGAGAGAGCAGCTGTCAAAATACCCGCGTTGATAATGGAGGGAAGGACATCGATGCCAGCGCTGCTAATCGCAATCACCCATGGAGACGCGTCGGCATTTCCTGCCCCTGATGTGAGACCCGGGGCATTCGATGGGCAAATAACACCGACTGCTGCAGCTCCGAGAACATAAAAGAATACGAGACGGAAAAAGAACCGCCGACTAGCAGAAGGGAGGTTCTTGCGCGGGTTGACCATCTCACCTGAAGCAAGAATGAGTTGCTCCGGCGCGAAGAAGAAGGAAAATCCCGAATAGACCCAGATATACAGAAAGGCAGTGAAGCGGCCACCGGCGCCGTCGACAATGTAGGACTTGACTGCTCCTGGGTCATACCAGTAGCGATATCCAAGACGGTCGTGGGTGGGACCACCACCAAGCATTAACACCAGAGAAAGGAGTAAAAGCCCCGTAGCCATGATAATCTTGACAAGCGTGAACCAGAACTCTGATTCGCCGTAAACGCCGACTGGGCAGAGATTCAGCACCAGAAAGAAGATGAAGCCAACAGATATCCATACTGCCGGGTTGATATTGTTCGGCCAGTAGTCGATAATGATAACCATGGCAGCGAGCTCGTAGGCGACGATGATAGCAAAGGAGTAAAAGTACAGCCAACCCATAGCGAAACCCATTGATCGCGAAATAAAGCGACTGCCCAGTGCAGACATTGAGTTTCCGGGAACGGGAACGAATGAGCCGAGCTCGCAGATGAGAGTGACCATCCCGTAGACGAAGATGGCCATTAAGCCGAATGCGAGGAGAAGGAGACCAGGGCCGCCGACGGCCAGGACCTGGCCGACGCCAATGAAGAGATTGGTGCCGATGCTGCCGCCAATGGCAAGCATTTGCGCGTGGCGAGTTTTGATTTCTCGCCTTGTTCCATGGACCTGGAACTGTTCAGACGGTTGCCCAGGGCTTGCTGAATTGGGTCTGGTGAGTCCAGGCTCGACATCGTCAAGCATTTCCTTGGCTTTGACAGCGTTGCCCGTTGTAGACGAAAGGCTAGCAGCTCCCATGTTGAAAGTTGCGAATCTAAGACAGCCAGGGAGTCGCTCAGAAAGAACTGGCAGTTAGACGCCAGTGAGTTGTCAAGTGAGAGCAGGTCAACTCAACGAAGGCTTGCCTGCGGCTAGGTGGGGTTCCTATGCAGGACTTGGTGATTGAATCTCTTTCAAATCGAGTTCAATTCGAAAATTGGCAACAATGAGATATGGCCAGGAATCGAAGTAGAGGGTGGGCGGCCACCCGTTGTTTATGAGGCTTTGTTGGGCGGTCGGCACGGGTCAAGCATCAGGGTTATCGCCAAGTTCCTCCTAGGTTATCCCAGGTTTACTGTTTCCCTGGACATGCACCCCAGGAAACGAATTGACTGAACTGGTGGGCCGTTCCCCGCAGCCTGATACCGACGATAGGGTTGCTCGGATTTGGAGCTACTGGAAGATAGCGGCAAGAAGGGGGTCATCTGATTTGCTATGAGTTATTACCGCTTATCTCAGACAGTTCTGAATCGTGTTGACCCGCCCGGTTATACCTATACCGGACAGTAGCTTCATGTTATTGGAGATGTTGATGTGGTAATAGGAGAGGGATGCTATAACCGAGCGATACTTGATAAGAGCAAGTCTAGTGGATCCAAACAACTTATAAACCATGCGAGTCTCGCTTCTACTTTCTTGATTCTCTTAGTCCCCGCAAATCCTCCCCTTTCGATGGAAACAATCGATAGGATCTAATCAACCACATCCTTTCCAACGAAGAATCAGGATGGCGGCGAATCTGGACAGTTTGGATGTAGCTGTTGAGCCTGGTTCAACACAGAGCCGATCGTTTGGAGGTTGTGAGACGGTACGAGATCGACGAATCAACCCCCTGGCCACTTATACATACTTATGGCGCTGACTTATTGTAGTGCCGCAGCCGACGAGTCAAATGTGACGAATCTCGGCCTACGTGCGGGCCATGCAGAAAGTCCGCAATCTTTTGCGGAGGGTATGGCAAGGCTATTTTCTTTGATTTTGAAGGCAACTCCCATCATGAGGAAAGGACTCGTTTTCGGCGGCCGCTCTTTAGTGTGAAGGCTCGGAGGGACATGAGTGAGCAGCTCACTTCGAGCATTCCGTCTACGCTACTTCTTTGGCATATTTCCCAGCTGGATGAGGAATGCCAAAGAATACCCCCTGAACATGAAATTGACGTGTGCCGAGGGCCTTTTGGCGCCTTTAACCTGTTACGAGGAGTATCTGATCCACCTCTTAACCCAGCCCCATCCGGAAGACACGACGAAGAGGGCCTTGCCGGCATTTTGACTGAAGATTTGAATCAGGGGAGGGTCACTCGTCGTATTTCCCAAGGGGAAACATTCCCTTGTTCGTCTCTCGACACCTTCGTCCCGTGCATGTTCGAGATGCCTGGACCAAACCTACTTCCAAATTTCATCAACATTATAGACTCCTCAGCTCTGGCTTTCGACGAAGCTGAACAAGAGAACCCCGAGTCTGGCATATCCATTTCCGTCGGCCCAAAAGAGGCGAACGCCATTGACGACGACCAAATCCCCCACCATGAATTGTTCTCGGACCTCTCTTTCTCGCCGCCTGCCATCCAAGCAACCTCAGATGCGTACATCTCCTCTAGCATATCGACAACTGCACCTGGCCCTCCCCAAAATGCCATCTTTCTCCTCCAGCATTTTTCGACCGCGATTCTCAGTTTTCTAACTCCCGTACGGCATGAAAAGACCCCATGGCATGTGCTATTTTTGCCCAACGTCAGAAATTGCATGGCTCTGTTAGCACTTGGCCAGCCCGTGGATCACGCCGGCATGTGCGCATTCCACGGCATTCTGGCCATCAGTGCTCGTAGCTTGGGTAGCATACATCAGTCTCAAGTGTGGCTTGACGAAGGAGAGTCCCACAAGAAAAAAGCTGCCGAGCATTGCGAGATAATGCTACAGGCAGCATACGACCTTCCCAAGAGATACAAGTACAAGTCCGTTCTGATGGCATTACAGACCATGATTCTCATTTCGACGCTGGGGGGAGATCCTGTCACAGAAGAATACTATTTTCTCGAGGCAGAGAAGTTTATCAAGCTGAATGGCTTGGGGCGCAAACACTCTCGCAAAGTTCGATTGCTTCATCAATATTATGCATATGAACGATTGATGTATGAGAGCACATGCATGCGAGGGATTGACTTCAAGCACCGCCATCGGGTGTGCAACGACATTGCCTCTATCAGTGTAGTTCCATATCCAGAAGACAGCATGGCCTATCGCCCCCCGAACTGGCAAAATCTCGACGAAGAAATGTCGAAACCGCGGAGCCCTGACTCGGAAACGGAGCATGAGGATGAAGTCCTGGGAATTTGGCCGGACGCATTGTACTCCAAGGCGTCTGGGCTACCTGAACAGTGGATTCAGCTTGTCCTCCATGTTGTTCTGCTCGGGAAAGAAAAGGACGCTGCAGAGCAGAGTCCTCCTTCCTCTAGAGCCGTTAGCGATTTGCAGCAGTTCCTCGGAAGAGCGAAAACACTTGATCGATGCATCAACCAACACATCGCCCAGGCAACTCAGGCTTCTTCTCACCGTACTACCGAAAATGTCACCCCTGAGCAGCAATCTCTGGACAATGTGCTCGATGCTATTCGGCATGCGCTACAGATTTACTTCTATCGGCGCATTTATGATGTCAATCCCTCCTGGCTTCAAGACAAGGTCGTGAAGGTACGAGACTGTCTATTACAATGCGAGACAGTCGACCCAAGCTCCGAACTATCAGGTTGTGTTGGTCTTTTATGGGCGTCATTTGTCGCTTCTTGTGAGGCTGAAGACATCCACGTTCAGAATTCATTCGCTGGCTGGTACAGTAGAGCCGCCAGGCGAACCGGGATGACTTGCTGGATGAATTCCCTATATTTATCTGAGCAGCTCTGGGACGAGAGGCGCAAGTCACAAGGCTCGAAGCTGACTTGGATAGACATTTTGAAAAGACAACACAGCCAAAGACAACAGCATCGAGCATTCACTGCTGCAGCGTAATTTATTTCTCTGTCTTGTTTTCATTTATGATTGTCCTCTTTATCTATTTAGTGCTTTGGGCGTTAGCGTTGATAGCTGTCGTGCTTCTTTCCTGATCCTTTTATGGAATAAGACGTCTTTGGTTTAGTTGTTCTTATTTCCAAATGTTGATAAGCAACTCGCGGATGGTGGTTGAAGTCAAGACCAATGAAAATGACGACGTAGATTAGGACGAGAGAGATTGAGTGTAAAGTGAAAAACAGCAACAAAAGATGCCAGACGTGACATCTCAATACGATGAACAAATTACGTAGAATAAGGTGCTCCCTTTAGGAAGCCCGAGGATGTGCTTAATAAAACTTGAGAGCTCATTATGGAGAAGCCATACTAAACTGATTAGACGATATACCTCTCCAATATTAGATCTTCCCAATGTAAAGCTACCAACGACGTATCTAGAAGAGTTGTGTGGCCTGTATAGGGTGAATTACAGAACTACATAGCAAGCTAAAAGGCATTTCGGTAATACTTTCCCATCTCATATCCCTGCACATTCATGCACATGACTTACTCCACAAACCTCTCCACTTGCCAGTTTTAATGTCAACATGTTCTCAGCCTCAACTGTAATCACTAGCTCGTGGTAGCTAGGCCACGCCATGCAGATAAGCGTTAATACTGCAATTCGCTAACGCTGGTTAGATCGAATGGGATTTTGTGCGGTTCACTAAGCTTCAAGGATTAGAAGCTTCGGTTATGTTCCACGTGTTGCACGCTGGCCTTCAGAACGACGATCCCCGGCTTCGGTGTGTAAGAACCCGCAGCACTTCACTAGCCGGCCGTGCATCATTCATGCTTTGCGCATGAAGTACGGAGCGGAGTGTTAGTACTTCTAGGATGAATGCTGAATTTTCAGTAGATACTCTTTACCAGCCCTTTTCACATGCACTCGTCCCTCCTCAAAACACCATCGCCAATTCGAAACCGCCTCCTTTATCCACTGATTCTTTCCTTGGTCGGTTGTGATGGCACAACAAGTTCATGGCAAGACTGCCATCATCACTGGAGCTGGTAGCGGCTTAAACTTTGCCCTAGCAAAGACCCTGCTGGGGAAAGGCTGCAATGTTGTTCTGGCGGATCTGGCTCTAAGGCCCGAAGCTCAAGAATTTGTCGACTCCCACGAGAAGTCATCAGCCTCTTACGGCAGGGCAATCTTTAAGGAAACCGATGTTACGTCTTGGAAACAACTAGATGAGTTGTTTGATACAGCGGAGAAAGAATTCGGGATCGCAGACATCGTGGTTGCTGGAGCCGGTGTTTTTGAACCTGTGAGAACAAGCCCCCCTGCAAGAATCGCGGCATCCTTGGCTTATGTGTTTGTCAGGACTTTAGTAGCTTCTGGGTCCCTCCAGGGACAGGCAAGAGTCGCGATGCGCCGGACGGGGATCGCTATGCCCAGATTGACATAAATGTTGTCCACCCCATTCGCGTCACGCAGCTGGCCATTACTCGTGCTCTGAATAGCGAACCAAGTCCCAAGACAGTTTTGATTGTTTCCAGCACCAATGGACAGCAGGCCTCGTTCTCAACGCCAGTCTACTCGGCGACAAAGCACGCCATCAATGGGTTTGTGAGATCTCTCGCCAAACTCGAGCCCGAGTATGGTATCCGCGTCGCTGCTGTTGCTCCTGGTATCATGAGGACGCCAATGTACCTAGAGAACCCTGATAAGCTCGCATCTATCGATATGCGAAAGGATTCGTGGTTGGAGCCGGAGGAAGTTGCCGAAGTGATGCTTGGTTTAATCGAGCGAAATGCCATCGGTTCACGCATTGGAGATTATGACTCGAACAAACAGACGATCACAATCACAGGTGGGACTATTCTTGAAGTTGCCGGTGGAGAAATTCGTGCTGTGGCGCCTTACAACGACCCAGGACCGACTGGCCCAGGGGCATTGGCATCTAACATCGGAAGTCTAGAAGGAGAGATCAAGGACACTCTAAAAGCCGGCTGGGGTATTCCATAAACATAAAATTAGTAGTAGTATACTTGGAATTTGACTACCTTAAAACTGGCAGACATGCCCCAGACATGAAATCCAGGGGTACCCCTAAGAATAGAGCAACATGGAAACTGACTCGGTTACTCATACATGAAACAATCCTACGGCTGGATCTCATAAAGGTTGACAGGAATCAAGGAAAATTCATCCTTCCGATTATCCTCAGAAAATTCTTTAGAGAGAACTTGGGCTGCCTCTTTCAAGAGCCGAGCCCACCCGGGAGAGTCCATTTGTTGGCCCTCACTGTCAATAGTATCAAACCTGTGACGCTCCGGATTCCAACTCAAACTTGCCCCTCCGAATGGTGTATACTGAAATGAAGGATCCAGTTCCCCTTGACTGGGTTGTAATTCCGATGTAGAGATATAAAGAGCGTCTAAGTTATGGGTCTTAAAGATCTGCCCAATATCCTGTATGTACTTTTCGAAGAGCGATTCTGGCATGATAATCTTATCGATGTATGTATATATTGAAAAGTCTCGGTTCATAAATCGGTGGTCCTCGGCGGCCAAGAGCTCCATGACAAAGGACTCGAAAGTATCAGGGGTAATATAGAGCGCATCAATCTCATGGTCGTAAATGCGAAGGAAACCTAGCTCCTGCAGGTCTGGTTGGAAGGAGAGTTGCAAGTGATGCTGCCCTGCCCAGAGTAACGCATTATTGCGCGCTTCACGGTCAACGTGAAGAAGGGGTATAGAGAACCATGTCTTCTTGATCCGGCTGTAGTCGAATTTCGCGTACCAGTTGCCATACGGCGAGGGCAAGTAATCTTCATCTGAAGGGGTCAATTCTCTCGGGGTCCAACAGCCTGTTTTGAAGAAATGCACTCCCGGTTTGAGTTTGGGTAGCGCGCAGTGCCATATCTGACTGCGGATTTCGGGTGGAAGCTGGGGGAAGAGATGAAAGGTTTTCATTTTGGTCCTCCGTCGAATTTGTCCCCGTGAGCACATACCAGGGAGATCGAAGTACACAGTAGATTGTGTAAACCGGTTGTAAACTAAGTAGAATAAATAATCGTAATAAACGACAAGGACCCCTGAGTGGAGAAGGAAATGACCGTTGTTTGTCGGCCTGGTTGGAATTAGGAAATCGTCGCGATGGTATTGGATATCTGCCATGCAATTTGGCAGAGGCAGGCTGGGATGATCATTGCTCACAATCCCAATTCGGCAATATGTCACGAAACGTTCCCAAAAACCTGGTTCATGCCACCGTTGACTGGGTTGTGCGAGTAAATGGGGTGATGATAATGTCCTCGCAACTATTCGAATGTGGAGATATTGCTCGACATCCACGTGTCGGCTCCATATGCGGGGTGTGGTGGAGTTGGTAAGCAATGAAAATGGAAGGAAGTCACCAAGTCAATCAGGGCACCATCATGATTCCAAAGTTCCAAACTGTGCATGTGAGTAGAAAATCTTCTATTCCGTCCATTCGTAAGACGTGGGTTGGAAAATGAGCCAAGGCGTGAGCAGACAAGCAACCCGACTGTCTGGGTCCATCTCAAACCCATGTATTACTCATTCAAGGACCAAAGTAGAGTGACCCAAATATAACTTTTAATCTTGTGATTCACTCGAAACGATATGGCAGCCTCGCGTCAAAAGAGGTCGGATTCATGTTTTTCTCTTGGCGCTGAGGAGGGCGAAGATGTATAAAAGCCGGTTGTAGCTGCTGGTTGAGTCAAGAAGCCGCAACAGCATCATTCAACTTGAACTTCAAACTACATTTTTCGACACAGCCAATCTTCTATCATCAAAGAGTCTCCCGTGCAGGATTCAAGTCAGTAACTTTTCTTATCGTTTGTGGTTGCGCTCAGATAACTGACATTGACCGTGGATTAGAACATCAGTCAATATGCGCTTCACTCTCGCGACTCTCCTGGCATGTTTCGTCTACATGACGACTTGCGTATCTGCCATTGCCATAAGCTACCGCGTCAGCTGGAAGGAAGGCAAAAAGGAAGGCGCAGAATCCAGCTCCGAGGAGATCGAAACCAGTCGCAAAGACTCGGTGATAAACGGCATGTCTACCTGGTCGGGGGGAAAGTACAAAGCAACCCTGGGTGGAATTGGCGCTCGCGCCGTCATTCAAGTCCAGGCTGTCCAGTCAGGAAGCAGCAGGAAGAAGACAGAAGCCCAAACTATGATGCAGGAAATGAGGAGGCTGGTCCAGCAGAACGCTAAATCGCGTTCACCCTCACCCGAACCCGCGAAGAAGCCAAAGAAGCGATCTACTCAGCTCCGCAACAAAAAGCGATCCCCTCAATTCCGCAACAAGAAGCGATCTTTTGCCAAGAGAGGCTACAGTCAATACTAGGTGGTCCCTAAGAACCCCAAGTTCTAGGTGGAACAAGACGCAGAGAATCGCAGTGAGATGTTGTGTGCGTATACAAGGGACAGCATCTCCCAGTTGATATCCTGCGCCATGTTGAAGTGATCAGGGTATGAATGTATAAAAGGCAATTCGAGTGGTCATTTTTTGTTCATAATCGTTTCTTTCTATGTTAGGTCCTGGGTTCTAGGAGGCGAGCGTTCAAGCTCCTTGAATGCTATTAGGATCATTTTTATATAATCGGGGTTATTAGATTTTCTATTGAGAGAGATAGATGTTCGATTTATGCAGGAATGCACACGTGTTGGAATCATCTTACCTTTAAAAGTAGAGCTATGTGAAGCTATCTCTCCTGTAAGATAGCATGTGAATCAATTTCCTCTTTGGAGTTTATTATTGGCCCTTAACTAATCCGATCGTTCTAATGGTGAACTTGACAGTAAGCAATAAATCCTTGAGTGCCTCAAATTCAACATTATCCACTTACATTTGATCCAAACCAAAGACATTATGCTTAAATTCAAGGTTCATCCCAGGGTACCCTCTAAAGGAACGCCACTGGCTCTAGATTGGAAAGGTTATGAGCGGACAGAGGTGTTTGCCATTTCAGGGTTGCTCTAGGGTGACATTTGTTTGAAAAAACTTGCTCATTTGTTCTCTTCCCATCGCACAAAAGTCTTGGCGAGCAGATTTCCCAGCAATTATCAATCGTGATTATATTGAATTGAACAATTACGTAGGCTCGGATTGGCTGGTTTCCGATTCCCAAGGGGCTGGCTATTAGTTCATGCTGCTTGTCGGGTTCTCGGCGTATTTCATTCCAATGAAAATATCGATAAATTGATAAACACCTTCTTGTCTCGCATTGGGTTGTTTCTCCAGCTCTCATTCCAGCTCATTTTTCATTCTTCATTCTCTGAATACACTGGGTCTCTACAATTTCATCAGCAATGATGCTGGACGCTACTAAGAAGGGCCTTTTGGCTCTTCTGTCTCTCTCTGGGGCAAGGCTCACATCTGCCCAGAGTTCTGGGCGTCCTGGCTATGGCCTCGTCGGCTATCCCATCATCATGTACCAGCCTGAGTGTGCACATGCTTGCCGGTCTGCGTTGCCACGTTCGTCCATTCCCTGCGACATTCACCTCAATGGTCATCACAGCAGTACGGTGTCAGCCGAGTGCCTGGCCTTGAGCGAGCCGTACCTATTCTCGGCTGCTTGGTGCATATACACACATTGTCCGGACGAGAATGTGGCCGTCTCGACACTGGAAACGTTTTGGGAGACTGAACTAGTAGGACGAGAGTTGGACCAGCCAAAGATCCTGACGGCAAGTGAGTCATTCGTACGATGGTTAGAGTTTTCTGACCGTATGACTCCTTGGGTGTACGAGGAAAGGCTATATTTTTAAGCTTTTCGTATTCATTGCGTTGAGTTGTTCCGGGCCCTGGCAGCTTCATTGTTGTTAAAGTTTATCATTCGTATTCTCCCACGCGGACCAGCCAAAGCCTAAATATACTTACCAGGGATCGCTTGCTCTGGTGAAAAACGAGCCGCCAACCACTATACTACCGAAAAAGACGGCATTCAATAGAACGACTCTTGTCAGCGAAGAATCCTATACCGCGGCTTGGAATGGAAACACAGCTTTCGAACATACGGAAATAAACCATCAGAAACTATCGTGAGTAACCTATCTCGAAGGGTTTCCAAGTCAATTACTGAACAAAAACAGCCTCATTGTCCTAGTCACAGGAGCCGGAATCCCCATCCTACAGTCACTGCTCCGGTTCATACCCTTCCCTACCACCTTGGTTGACAAATTCTATGGCTACTTCATTGAGCCTCCCCTGTTTGGAGGATGCCACGCGAGTCCGATACTAGGTCTAGGACTCGTCCCAACCAGAGGCCAGCCTCTGTTCATTCTATACCTGATTGCCATCAATGTCATATTTGTGGCAATCGGATATAAGCCTCGTCAACCAAACTCCTGGTGGGAACATGGTCTCTGGGAGGAAATCCTCAATTATGTGGCAAACCGTACCGGGATGCTGAGTTTTGCCAACCTGCCACTTGTGATCCTGTATGCCGGTCGCAATAACGTTCTTCTCTGGTTGACCAGCTGGTCATACTCCACCTTCTTGTTAATCCACCGCTGGGTTGCCTTTCTCTGTGTGCTTCAAGCCGCCATTCACTCGGCTCTATGGTTACATATTCATGTAGGGATCTCTCAAGACCATAGCGAAATTGCCGCTATCCCTTACTGGTACTGGGGTATCATCGCGACGCTGGCCCTCGTCCTCATTCTCCCTTTCTCCCTGCTGCCAATCCGTCAGAAAATGTACGAGTTCTTCCACACGGCGCATATCATTCTCGCGGTTCTTTCCATTGTCGGATGTTGGTATCACATCATCTACCGCTACAAACGTCAATGGGGATACGAAAATTGGGTCATCATGACTTCTGTCATCTGGGCCTGCGATTGGGTCCTGCGAGCGGTAAGAATGACTGGAAATGGAGTTAAAAGGGGATATATTACTAAACTAGGCGTTGAATACATCCGCCTGGATGTGCCTGGCCTGAACTGTCCAGGTCACGCTTACATGTACTTCCCTACTCTTACGTGGCGAGTTTGGGAAAGTCACCCCTTTTCGGCAATCGGTGTCTCCCAACTCACAGGTCTTGACACAGGTTCAAACAATTTGCAACTTCCTGAACCTACGGCCCCCGACTCCGAAAAGGCCCTTGGATTGACGAATGTCGTTACTACAGGCGAAACCTCGTCATCCACCTCGCCACAGGGGATTGATTCAGCTGCTCATGCAACAAAAATAGGAGTAAGCTTCTTCATTCGCGTTGAAAATGGTACAACATCTCTTCTCGCAGCCCATGCCGGTGAAACCGAAGGAATACCTCTATTCGCTGAGTGCTACAACCATCAGTCTGTTCTCCGTCATGATCCTCATGGCCAACCAACTCCAAGTCACCCAAATCTTGTTTTTGTTGCAGGTGGCGTAGGAATTACTGCGGTTTTGCCAGAACTCGCTGCATCGCGAGTCCTTTTCAATAAACCAGTCGGCAGGAGAACGCTCTATTGGGGTTTACGTGAAGAGGGTACAGGGCTCTTGAAGGCTGTGGAAGACATGATTGGGGGGCGGGAGGAGTACAAGGGAGGGCCCAAGGAAGTCAAAGGAGATCGGGAAAGCCACAGCCAAACTGAACGGAGGTGGGGTGATGTTGATGTTCATATCAGGGTTGGGCAAAGGTTTGACTTCAGGGCTGTGATAGAGGCGGAGCTAGCCGCAACTCATAGCCAAGGAGGCACCGTGATCCTCGTCTGTGGCCCTCGAGGGATGGCAGACGAGGTCAGAATGGTTGTTACTGCACATAAGAGAAAGGGTGTTGCTCTCAGGCTAGTTGAGGAAAGTTTCTCTTGGTGATAGTTCAAATAAGAGCTTTCTCCATTTTCCAACTTTCTAGAGATTATCACCGGATTTAACAATAAATCAAGTCGCTGAAGAGCTTACCAGAGTCCCTTGCTCATCACGGCCAGGTAAGTGGGCCCCCTTTTTTTAATTTGTCATTCGGCGTGTTCGGCATAATGACTGGTGCGTCTTCGAGACTCCGAGTGCGCCGAGATCAACTAAGGGGTGCACGTAGTACTACGCCTGTGCCTCAACAAGTGACCTAGCGCCAAGTCAGAAGTCAGACAATACAGAAGAGAGGGTTTGGCATCGGATACCGTGCGCCTCTCAGATGCGGACGACCGGCCTCCATCTTGATCTCCGCCCTTTCAAATCTTGCTGCCTTTCTAGCAGTAGTAGTAGTAGTAGTAGTACCGGCGTGGCGTATTATGCAAGTATATACATGGCGAGTTTCCATCGCAAGTACTTATATTCCTATTATTATCTGTATCGTCTCATATTCAGCTTACTGAGACGAGCGAATAGACCAAGATTGCACATATAGCCGTGCGTGCACAACTCGAGACTACGCAACTGAGGGTCCGTGTCCTGAACCTTAGAACACACAATAGTCACCATGGCAGTTCCATACATATCCGCTATAATTGGTATATTACTCAATCTTAGCCGTCTAACCTTTTCACAAAGGCGGCGACCTGCTCTTTGCTCGTTGCCCATGAAGTGACAAGGCGAACCACAGCCTTATCGCCAGGAACTTCTTCCCATACATAGAATTGAAACTCGTTTTGAAGCTTTGCAATCAAGGCATTTGGTAGAATAGCAAACACCTGATTAGTTTCTGTTTCAGCATCCAACTTGTATCCTGCGCCCGTAAGACCAGAGGATAGGAGCTGTGCCATTTCGTTGGCGTGCTTCGCCAACTCAAAGTAGAGATTGGAACGGAACATCTCCAGGAACTGGACTCCGAGGATCCGACCCTTGGCGAGGAGGCCTCCACGTTGCTTAATATGGAACGAGAAGTCTTCTGCGAGAGCTTTGTTGTTGATAACAATGGCTTCGCCGAGTAGCATCCCCACCTTCGTGCCACCAATCCAGAAGAGGTCTGTTAACCGGACCAGGTCTGGTAGTGTCACGTCATTCTTCACCGCTGACAAGGCGGCTCCGAGACGAGCGCCATCAACGAAGAGAAGCAGGCCGCGTTGCCGGCATAGGAGGGAGACGGCGGTCAGCTCAGCCCTGGTATAGAGAGTGCCGACCTCCGTAGCGTTTGATAGATACACAAGCCGGGGCTTCGCCATATGAGGGTAGTGTGCATTCTTGTGTAGCGCATCTTGTATACCCTTGGGTGTTAATTTCCCGTTTTCCTGGTCAACAACAATGATCTTGTGTCCTATAGCCTCGATTGCACCGGTCTCTCTAACTAGTATATGCCCACTACTAGCTGAGATGACGGCTTCGTGTGGACGTAGGCAGTTTGCAATGGATATTATGTTGGCGAGGGTGCCGCTCGCTACAAAATAAATTGCGGCATCAGGAGACTGCAATTTATCTCGGAGATGTTCTTTGGCCTTATCGGAGTACTCGTCGTCACCGTATGGCTTTTGCTGTGAGAGATTGGTTTCGCAGAGTTTGTCCAGGATATGTGGGTGTGCGCCCTCGCTGTAGTCGTCTAGGAAACTGCTTAGGGGCATATTGGTAAGATAAGAGATAAACATCGATTGGATAAGATGAGAATGGCTAGGTCTGACTAGGTTGCACACAGTTTAATAACGGGGGGTAGCGAGTGTATCGCGGGATATCGAGCCATAACCACTGTAGAAGGGTCAAGCTTTGTGTATCACACTCTCGGAGTTTCGGACATGGAACGAAAAGAGTGATTTTCTATGGAAGTCTGTAGTTTACCCTAGAAGAAAATGGTTTACTACACCTTTTGGCCCGCCTATGGTAACCTAAATCTCCATTTTTTAATACTACCTTACAAGTGTTGGCAGTATAGCAAGAAAGGATAGGAAATACTCAGTATAGGGTAGCCTGATATCGGAGTTGTCCGAGGCGGGTGGAACGGTCCGGACGGAGAAGACGGACGAGAAACTACCTTGTTGCCAGATTTGTCATCGTTTCTGCGCCAGTCGACCTGGGCTAGTTCATCCACGATTCCATGATTCATGCAAGTGATGATTTTAATTTTCAACCCAACAATCTAGCCCTCTCTGAGCCGACTTTCCTGGAGTGGGCACGATGGATAGACTCATTACGCCGATATCGCTGAGGCAAATAAGCTGGTCACGGCGGAATTAGAAGGCCATTGTCCCTTCTCCACGAACAGCCTGTTTCAGGCCCCTTAGGGGTAGATTAAATTTGATACTATCTACAGTAGAAAGGCTCGTCAAGTTGGTGGAGGGCCTCCCCCTGATGGAAGTCTCAGGGCGTGGATGTGCGGTGAGTTGGCCGTACAACTTCTCGTCTTGGTGGCACCTACTGATTAGAGCTCTAAGTGTTTGACAACAGCAGGTAAGAAGAAAATAAATGCTACCAATCGGAGAAGTCAGTTTGATTATAAATCATGAGCTGTAAGGTTTCAACGAGTCGTCGATGTGTATACACGAGAGTGTACCTACCCCTCCCATGATATCAGGAGATGAGACGAAATTTGTCATCCAACCCCTCGGAGAACTCCGGCCCAGACCCGCAACTGGAGTCTGCAGTGATTCTGTTTGCCTTGGTAGCGGTCGAGATTTCTGAGAACTTACCGGACAGATTCCCCGCCCACGGACGGATGGAATACAGCTCTTGCTCGACGTCGAGGATACAGACGGCAAGCATCGATAGGAAAACCATCTAAATTACTGGTCACTCAACGATCAAGACACAATCGAGCCCATGGCCTCGACGGCACAAGCCGCTCGTGTGCGCAAAAGACGAGCGCAGGTTGTCAGGGCCTGCGATTCTTGTCGACAACATCGTATCAAGTGTGATAATAGCATCCCGTGTTCGAACTGCAAGGCTAAGGGTGGAAGATGCAGCAATGCGAACATGACGTCCACAACACTTCTTCAGGCCCAAACCGAAATTGAACTACTCAAGCGCAAGATTGACAGGCTTGAATCAGAGCTCCAGGAGAAACGAAAAGATTCCAACCCTGGTCTAGCACTGCACTTGAGTCCGCTTTTGACCCCGGAATCTCCTCAGTCGGGTCCCTCATTAACTGCTAACGACCGTCACCGAAGCCCGCTGTGGTGTCCAGACGGCATCCATATTCGCTCCGGACACTCCCCGAACGAGACGTGGTATGGACCATCTTCGCTCTTCCACTTCATCGGGCGAATCTCAAGTTGCCTAGGGCCGTCTTGTCCGCAGCCAGACACCCAGGACAAAATTGTCAACTCAAACCCAGCCAGCTCATTGCTCGATGAAACAAGCAGTACGATCCCGCCCACAAGTAGCCATCGAGACTTGGACCAACAGAGGTGTGCTAGCATAGCCCGCCCAGCCCTGGATGGCGAATTCCTAAGTCCTGTGCATGAAGAGTACTTTCTTGAGCTCTACTGGCATTCTTATCATGCATCGGTGTTTCCAATCCTCAATGAGGCCGAATTTAAACAATACTACCGGTCCTTATGGACAGAGCGTGGCAACATGAGAAGGCCTTCACCTCTTGTCGACATCGTAATTGCCATGTCAATGCAGCTGGGCGTCTCGTCCGGGCTGCCCTTTGAGACGGCAGATGGTTACGAGACAGTTGCCGGCCAAGCATATTACCTCCGTTGCCAGAGACTTCTCGCATACGAGCTGGAGAGCCCATCCGTCTCCACTCTCCAGTGCCAAATACTTTGCAGCGTTTACCTATGTTGTGCCACTTTCCACAATATGGCAGATGGTGTGTGCGCGTCGGTGGTCCGGACAGCTTACATGCTCGGCCTTCACTTAGATCCCCCTAGTACTATACCTCCGAAGGAGAGGGAGATGCGGCGGCGCCTGGCGTGGGCGGTTTATATCTTGGATAGCAAGCTCGGCATGAAGCACGGTCGCCCCTTTCTCATATCCCAGTCGCAGTTCTCGACAAAGCTTCCGGGCCATGCACTAGAGATAGCCCTACAAGCCGGCTCCAGTTACGCTCCTCTAGGACACAACCTCACTTGGTTGAGCTTCCATCATGAACACGCCAAATTATTTCTTATCGCCAGAGCTATCTATAGTACTATTTTCCAAGCTCAGAACCCATACGATGAATCCATCACACTAGATGAGCAAGAGGCGATGAAAACCCGCGCCATCGCTTTAGAAGCTAATATGAAGAAACTGGAAGAATGGGCAGATTTCGTCCCTGGTGCTCTGAAGACTAAGCGGACCAACAACACTCGCCCATTTTCGACAGACACATGTGCTCTAAACATAGACCCTTTCGCACCTCTATGGCTTCAGAGGCAACGTCTCCTACTTGAATTGATGTATCACAACCTATGTACGAACCTCTATCGTCCTTTCCTCTCCTTCGACCCAGCCACAGCCTCTCACGCCGTAGAGCTAGCCTCGTCCAAGTGCGCCTCCCATGCCAGCACGCTCACAAACATCTTACATCAGGTTCTGTCTTCCAATTTCATCTTGAATGGCTGGCACGAGGCTTTCCAATGGCAATGGAACGCGTCCATGACCCTCGTTGGCTTTGTGCTGGCGTACCCTCTCGCTCCCTCGGCAGCCGATGCCAAGAGGAGTATCGACCTCTCTCTATCAGTCCTAGACCAATTTGGAGAGAGCCTTGCAGTGGCAGCGAGGGCTGCCAAAGTTGTGCGCCAGCTCCTTGCCAAAATTAAACCGGCAACCTTGGCAGTCTTTGGCGAGAGCATCAACGACAACCCCGATCAGTGTACCAGCAATCATATAAGACTTGCCACGAATGCGGGTCTTCGAATCCAAGCTACGGGAGTAAGTTTAACGGAAAATGCGTTTGATTCCGATGAAATCGCTACTGCATCTTTGCAGACTACTCTCAATATGGCATTCGATGTTGATCAATGGGCCATACCTGAAATGTTCTGGCCGCTGCATACCAAAGAATTCGACTCCTATCTAGACACCTGAAACCTAGGAGGGGGCCGTTGACTGTGGCGTTTGTGGTGGCTTTGTGGTAGTCATCTAGTGTTGCTAGCTATGATGGATGATCTCAGGATAGGTTCTTCTTTTCTTCTTTTTGCTGTAAATTAATCGCTTTTTTATTACCTATAACGCAAGTACCGCCCCAAAGTGGAAGTAGTAGGAGGAGTGGGCGAATTTCCAAAGGAGAAAACGCTCCTTAGTATACTTCCCTATTACTTGAGAGAAGGCAAGATAGCTCTTTCACTTAGTTCCGCAACAGTTAACAAATCAACCTTGGCTACCTCGCTGTGATTATAACTTGCGATGTTGTAGAATACGAAACCAACTACCATAATTGTATTAGAGGTAGAAGACATCTAAGGCTCACAGTATTAGATTATATTGATCCACTCAGGCATAATATTCAACGTTGTGGGTGTTTGACGCCATCACACCACGCCACCCACAGTGGGCATCCAGGCATTGCCACTTCATTGTTAACACATGGGGCCGACATAATGCTACTCACTCTTTAAGCAAGTTCCCAGTCAACTTAGCATCAATCATTGAGAGGCCATGAGATATATTTAGAGGCTTTTAGCTACTATAGGGACTCAATTCCTCCTACCGACTACTATATACAACTCCTAGGTCAGACGAATCGCAACAGACTTGGACTGCGTGTAATTGGCAAGCGCAGCTTCACCAAGCTCCCGACCAATGCCGGACTGCTTATAACCCCCAAAGGGCAAGGCATGATGGAGCATGTTGTAGCAGTTGACCCAGACAGTACCTGCCTGAAGAGCGTTGGAAACTCGGATGGCAGTGTTTACATTCTGGGTATGAATGCCAGCGGCCAGTCCATAGGTTGATTCATTGGCCATTTGAATAACCTCGTCTTCATCCTTAAACTTGGCAATAGCGCAAACAGGTCCAAAGATCTCCTCTTGCATGATTTTCATATCAGGTCGAACATCGGAGAAGATTGTGGGCTGGATAAAGTAGCCCTTCTTGCCCAGACGAGAGCCGCCAGTAACTACTGTAGCTCCATCCTCCCGACCTGAATCGATGTAAGTCATGACTCGGTCGTATTGAAGCTGGCTGACTTGGGGGCCTTGGAAAGTCTCCTCCTTGAAGGGGTCGCCGACCTTGATCTGCTCTGCATGCTTTTTGAAGGCCGCCATGAATCGGTCATAGATGCCTTCTTGAACAAATACACGACTGCCCGCACAGCAGATCTGCCCATGGTTGTAGTAGATGCCAAAACTGGCCCACTCAACAGCATCTTCAAGATTTGCATCATCAAAGACAATATTGGGAGACTTGCCGCCCAGCTCCAGCGTGACCTTCTTGAGATTAGAAGCAGCCGCTGCCTTCATTATCTGTCGACCAACTACCGTCGAGCCCGTGAAGGCGATTTTATCGACATCCATGTGAGAGGATAGAGCTGCGCCGGCAACTCTACCCACTCCAGTCACCAGGTTAAACACGCCAGGAGGAAACCCAGCCTGCTGAATGAGCTGGGTAAATACTAGGCCAGATAGAGGGGTTTGCTCGGCCGTCTTCATGACAATCGTGTTTCCAGTTGCGAGGGCCGGTCCAATCTTCCATGCAAACATCAGGAGGGGGAAGTTCCAAGGAATGATTTGCCCGCAAACGCCAATCTAAAGTTGTCTTAGTACTTGCCCAGATTACCACAGAGCTGGTCATGGAAAGCAAACTTACTGGCTCGAGTCTCGTATAATGATGCATTCCAGGGTCAATGTCGATGGTTTTCCCCTCGATCTTATCAGCCCACCCAGCATAGTAGCGCAGACAGCCGATCACAGCGGCCACGTCGCCGCGCGCATTATTGATTGACTTTCCATTATCAAGTGATTCGACTGCGGCGAGTAACTCCTTGTTCTTCTCAGCCAGTTCAACAAGTTTGAGGAGCAGGATGGCTCGCTGCTCAGGTGTTGTGGTCTTCCAGGTAGTGTTGAAAGCTACCCGAGCCGCGGCGACAGCGAGGTCAATGTCCTTTTCAGTCCCTTCATAGACCGAAACGAGAACTTCCTCGGTGGATGGGTTCACGACTTCGAGCTTCTTTCCATCAACACTTTTAACCCATTCGCCGTTGATGAAGCTGTTGCCTGTTAGATACTACTATTACAGAACCTGCGGGTTTCCTCCCACAAGGAGTTACAAGCACTCACAGGCCGATTGGCTGTTGGTATGGACCAGTGATGGGCGTCTTCAACTCAACGGAAAGAGTAGCCATGGTGATAAGATTAATTGAGTTCAGGGAGATTGGAAATATGAGCTTGTTGTCACGGTGCAACCGATGAAAGCAAGATATAACTGCAGAAAAGATCTTATTCTAGCATCTATAATTATCAGGCGGAGTGGTATATATAGTTCCTTCTCAGGGTGGCTAAATGTAAGAGCAAGATCTAATAGCTCAACATGCCAAATGATCTTCACCTTACCTAAAGAGCATAATTCTATCACTGATGTCACGGATTGCGAGCTGGGCAATTCTAGAGGCTGGAGCCAGCCCCAGACCGGAGATCTCCCCTACTTCGTGGCGTGGGGTTCACACTATCTCGGAGTACTCCGGTGTAGACATCGCCAAACCCGTTGGGTACCTAAATAGGTTTTACCCGAAGGGTACTATAGGTAATTCTGGGTAATCTATTTAGTAATAAATAAATATCAGGTATAAAAGGGTATCTAATTAATATCTAATTTAATATATAGATAAATATAGGTATCTAAATTACTATATTTCTATTTTAGGATTATCTATTTATACCTATAAGGATAAAATTATATTAATAATAAATAATAGTATTTATACTTATATAATTATACTAATTAATACTAATATTAACTAACCTTATAATCTTATAATCTAGAAGGGATATATTTTATATATTAGCCTCTTTTTAGTATCTATATATCTATCTCCTTAATATTACCTCTATTATATTTAGATCCTAAACTATCAGAATATAACCTATTTATATCTTATAGTAAATTACTTATATTAGGGGTTTAAGAAGAACTAAATAGCTAGATATAAATAGAGTCTTAGCTACTTATTATTCTTATAGTTAGGAATTCTAAATTTTCTCTTCTATTTTAAGAAGGTATATAAATAGAGGATAAAGCTCTTAAGATTAGGTATAGTACTAGTTATCTTAATCCCTAGTCTAGAGTTAATAGGCCCCTAGATCTTATAATTATTATACTTAAGAGCTAAGTAGTTAAAAGCCTCTAGATCTAAGTAGTATTTATAGAGGTTAGATCAGATAGAATATAAGTTTATAGCTTATATACTCTAGTATCTATCTCTATTTTAATATTAAACTCTTTAGATTCTAATTTATTAGATAATACTTCTTCTAGGGCTAGAAGCTTAAGGAGGTTTTTAATATTAAGAGGTTCAGGATATTATAATATAGGAATAGATTACTCCTAAATAATATATTAATCTTAAAGTATTTAAATTAATATATTAAATTAATTCTATATATTTATATAGTAATATATACTCTATACTCTTTTAAGTTTAATAAAAACAGGCTAAAAGCTAAGAAAGTCTCTTATTAATCTATAAATATTAGAATATTTTAATTTCTTAGAAAGATAAATCTAAAATTACTAATTACTCTCTAAAGGTTTTTTTTCTAAAATTAATTAGTTTATATAAATAGGATATAATAATAATTAAAATATAAATATATACTTCTAAAAGAACTAATTATAGATATTATAACTAAATATCTATTTAGAAATAGGAGAATTCTAATAATATATAAGTTAGTAAGATAATAATTATAAAATATAGTAATTAGTATAATTAGATAAGTATAACTAGAGTTATATTATCTTCTTTAGGTTAACTATCCTTATAATCTCTCTTAAAAATTAATATTTACTAAAAGTTCCCTTTTATTTTAAAGAACTAGTTAGTAATTAAGAGGAATTTTAAGTTAAGTAGTTTATAATATATTCCGAAATAAATATATCCTTATATTTTTATTAGGTATATACTTATACCTCTATAGAATCTATAGAAATATTATCCTAGATATAGTAAAGACCGGCCTAATAATAATCTTACTATCCTTCTAGTATAACTTATAGAAGGATATTAATTATATATACTTATTTACTTTAGGTAATTAATTAGATATACTTCTATAGCTTCTACTGTAAGTTAAGAAGAGCCTGTAATAGCTATTATTACCAGGTAGATAGCTAAGGTTTATCTTTAAGTATTTTAATCTCTACCTTTAAGAAGTTACTTATATACTTAAAATAATAAATAGAAGCTATAAGGGTTTTATTATTTATACTTATAGTATTAGTAACCTATAGAAAGAAGCTTCTAATTCTAATAAAATACTTAATTTACTTCTAATTAGAAGTATTTAGTTATTAAGCTTCTAGGTAGTTAGGTTAGTCCTTTAACTAGTAATTAATAGTTTTTAAGAGACTTTTTACTCTAATAAGTATAAAAGTAATTAAATTCTATTAGATTAAGTAGTCCCTCTTTAGTTAAAAAGCCTTTTTATTTAGAATTTCTTAAATTCCTTATAATATTAAGAATAACTAATATCTTATAAAGGAAGTAAACTACTTAGAACTATAGCTAAGTCTATTAGTAAGATATCTAACCTTTTAAAGTTAGTATCTAAATATATATATTTAGGGAAGAAGTATATATATAGAAAGAAGTAAATATATAGAAGATTAAATATCTTAAGAATTAATTCTTTAAGATTATTATTATTTAATATAGAAAGGATATTATTAAGTAGCTAAATATATACCTCTATTTTATCCTAGTTCAGTTAAATTTTAAATAATCTAGAGATACTATTTATATACTTATTATTATTAAGATTATTTAGAGTATCTAACTTTAAAGAATTAAATAGATACTATATAGCTAAGTTAAGAATATAATTAAAGTACTAAACCTAATAGCAGAGAGTTAGTTACTTTCTATTAGATTCCTAGAGTATATTTTATAAATTCTAAATATTAAGATATATACTATTATTAGCTATAATACTAATATACTAATATTCCAGCCTATATTAATATAGAGTATTAATAATATACTAATAAATAGCTATACTAGTTTAATCTTTAGAAATATTAAAAAACTCTAGGTATAGATACTTAGTTTCCTAGTTAGAGTTAATATAGAAGTAAATAATACCTAGGATTATCTATTTATTTCCTCTATTAGTCTAGTAATTAATAGTAAGAGATATCTTTTATTTTAATAAGTATATAGTATTAAGAGCTACCTAGTAATATTCTTTAGTAACTGAATATATATAATATATAATTATTATTACTAATAGTATATATAATTTAGGAATAGAAAGATACTTAAGTATAGATATTAAGATTAGATTATTAATAATTTATATAGGTAAATAACTAGTATAAATAAGTAATATAATTATTAAGTATAGGTTTTCTTAGGCTTTAGGATCTAGTAAGTCCTAGTATAATAGTTAGTTTTATATAATTAGTATATATTAATTAGTATAAATATTAATACTTATAAATTTAGATCTAGTAAATTCTATATTAAATCCAGATAATAATAGCTACTAAGAAGTATAGATTATACTCTCTAAGTATTTTCTTAGACTTAATATACTATTAGTAGGCTACTATTTTAAAGTAAAGTAATAAAGGCTATATATAATCTAAGGAGAGCTATTGGATATAAGTACAGCTAGTTTAAAGGTTTTCTATATTAAAGACTATTATAAACCCTAAAAGATTTTCTTCCTATTACCTAATATATTAGAATTAATCTCTTTATAATCTAGCTAATAGCTTTACTTATAATATATTATATCCTACTACTAGTTAAAAAAGCTTATAATATAATCTAGATTAAAAATAAAGTATTTATCCTACTGGGTTTTAATACTTATAAAAGAGATAGTAATATCCTTATTTACCCCTACTATAGGGGAGAATAGGTTATCTTTATAAGTAGATATATTTATTATTTAAGTATAAGGATATAACTTAATATAAAAGGATAAAGGGAAGATAAAGATAAATTAAATTTTAATAAATAGAAATAAATAAGAATAATTAATTTTAGATAATAGTCCCTATACCCCTACTTAGTAGTAAGACTAAATAATCTAGCTAAATTAGGAAGATAATCTTAAATATTAATAATTAAAATTTCCTAGTACTAAGGTTTCTTCTTTAATTATTTATATTTATACTAATTAATTTAGTCTAATTAAGATATTATAAGAAATACTAGTAATACTTAAACCTATAGCAGAGGGAAACCTTAATCTAGTAGTATATATACTGCTATCTAGTCCTTCTACTAGAATTATATAAAGGAATACTATATAATTACTAGTTCTTAAAGAAGAATCTATTATCTTAAAGCCTTAATTACTATCTTTATTTAATAATATAGATTAAATATTATTAAATATAATAATAAAATTACTAAAATAATTATTATATAAGAATATATAGCTAAGAAAGAGAATTAAAAGGAGTTAATCTTAAATAGTAGAAAAATAATTATAGAAGTTCGATCTAGTAATTATACCTATAAAGTATACTAGAAAAGAGCAGCTACTAGTTAGACTAAGAAATCAGATTCTAAAGAAAATTAATACTAGTAAGATATAGAAAGTATATAAGTAGCAGCTAGGTAGTAAGTTTAATTTATTATCTATTAATATTAACTATTATATCTAATAAAACTAGCTATTATACTATAAGAAATTAGATATCTATAGAAATCTATAAATCTTATTATTCTTAAAATATTATTTTAGAAACTAGTTTAGGAGATAATATATAATATTTATCCTAATTTAAGATTTTAATTAGTTACTCTTTAAGTATTATAGGAGGCTACTAAAGTATATCTAGTTAATCTTATAGAATATATAAATTTTTCTACTACTTTTATACTTATATTTAACTTATATTTTATTCTAAGTTCTAATCTTTATATAATCTATATATACTATATTATAATTTAGCTAAAAGATATAAGTCTTATATAGTCTTTATTAATTAAAAGTATAGACTATCTATAAATAAGAGGAGGAATCTAAATATACTATACTACTATAGTATCTTAAAAAGAGAAAATAGAAAGATCTTAAGCCTTTAGTATCTAACTAATTTAAATATCTAGTAACTTAAAGTTATATAGTATATAGGATAATATATAAATACTAGCTAGCTAGTATTTAATATTACTATTAAAATCCAGGGTAATATTAGTAAATATTAAAATTAGTTTATTTAATACTACTTTATAATAGGGATTAAGATTATTCTAAAGAAAGGCTGGTCCTAGTAATATATACTAAGAGTATTATATCTATCTAAATATATACTAAGTATAAAGAAAGAGAAGAGTATATATTTTCTTAATAACTCTTAAAAGTAAAGAAAAGATATTAGGAATAGTATATAATACTTATTAGATTATCTAAGAAGGTTATCTAGAGTACTAGAAAAGGTTATACTTAGTTTAAAACCTTTATATAGCTTTCTTTTTATAATTATAATATAATTAGTATAATTTAATTAGTATAAATAGGAATTCAGATACTTATAATACCTTATTAAGAGGAAATTAATTAATCTAGTATAAAAACCAGACTATAAGCTTTAAAATAGAAAAAACCTATAATACAGAGTCTAATAATAAAAGAGTTAGGAACTACTTAGTCTAAAGCTCTTTTATCTTTTTAGAATAATAATCTAATAGAAAGTATTTTTTAAATATACTCTCTATATTTAGTTAAATAAAACTAATAAAATAGTAGTATAATTATACTTATTACTTCTAATTTAAAGTTAGTAAATATAAATATTAAAATATTAATAAGTACTTACTACTATCTTACTCTCCTATAACTTAGTTAGCACTTTATATAGCTATTCCTTATCTAATATACCTAGTAGATACTTATAATTTAACTCTATATTAAGTTAAGCTAACTAATACTCTCCTAGAGTATTTATCTTATCTATATTAATATCTTTAAAATCAGAGTTACTATTATTATCTACTACTTCTATAATATTAGACTCTATAGTAAACCCTAGTTATATTACTATATTATCTAGATACTTTCTATTTATATAGCTATTTTAATTAGAATAAATTAATTAGAATAGCTAATTCTAGATAGATAGAGATTATACTTACTATTTCTCTTTAATACTAGTTCTAATAAGAGCTTTACTATCTTTTTATATCTCCTTACTAAGATTCTAATAATTAGTATATTATTTATAGCTCTTAATTTTATACTAGATCTGCTTAGTTAATATAGTCTTAGTATTTTTAACTTATTACTCTGCTTTAGATATTATAGTAGTTTGATTTTAAGACTTCTTTATATATAGATTATCTAATAGTTCTTCTAGTACTTTTTACTTAATACTACCTTTTCTACCTAGTAAGTAATTATACCTATATCTAGATATTCTTATAAATTAAATTAATTAAATCTAGAACTTTTAATATATTAGTAGGATAGTATTACTATTATAATAGATAGATATATATACTAGAAGGGGTAAAAACAGCTTAAAAAGTATATTAGAAAAATTTATAAGATTAGTATAGGTAGTTATTTTAATTAAGTTTATATAGAGAAGGCTTAGATATTTTAAAAAATAGTATATCCGCTAAAAAGGGAAATATATAGAACAGAGTACAGTTTAGTAGCCTCTAATTAGCTTAAAATCTAATATAACCTACTTTTTCTATACCTAAGAATTTTATATCTATAATTTAAACTCTACTTATACTCTAATCTTTTATAATCTAAATTTTAATATAACTAACTCTAGCTATAGTATAGTAAGTTATTATAGTATTTCCTTCTATATATAATATTACTAACCTTTTATTAGTATAATTCAATTAGTATAATCTACTTTTCTATACTAATATAACCAGAACTAAATAAGTATCTTATAAAGACTATATAGAAGGAAAGGCTCCTTAGAAAGAATTAGCTATAAAGACTACTTATATTAAAAAACCTACTATAACTACTACTCCTAAGTAAAAATAGAGACCTAGTAGTAAGTAATATTTTATTAGGATAATTCAATTAGGATAATTCTAATCTTACTATAGCTATATTACTCCGAGAGATTTATTACTACTAGAGATTAACTAATAAGCTTATACTAAAAGCTTTCTTTATATAACTTATATATAAGATTACTAATAATTATAAAACAGATCTATATTAGTAAAGTTCAGCTTTAGGTATAATCTAGAAAGCTACTAAAGATACTTTAACTACTATATTTATAGGTATAATATACTTATAGGTTTTATATATATATACTAATCTTTTATTATAGCTATTTAACTTCTTACTATTTATATAAAATAAGTTACTATTTAAAAGTAGGATTTTATAATACTAAAAGAAATTATAGGCTTATTTCCTAGTCTATCTACTGAGTTTCTTAGTCTGGTTTCTAGTAAGTAACTTCCTAATATCTAACTAATTATTCTAATTAAATTAATCTAATTAATATACCTAGCTGCCTAATATACTAGAGCCTATAATAAAGAAATAGATAATAATACTAAAAGAGAGTAATAAAGAAAGCTTAAAGTAGTTTAGGCTTTAGAAGCTTATAAGGTTTAAAGAGTTAATTATAACTATAGTTATAGTTATAGTTATAGTCTGATTTCCTTATATAGTATAAACTGGTATAGTAGTAAGAGCAGTAGATATAGTAGTAGTAAATATAGTCTAGTTACTAGTACTAGTATTAACTCTTCTCCTAACCCTCCTCCTAACCCTCCTCCTAATCCTCCTTCTAAGTCTGATAAGGGTTCTAGGGAATTTAATAAAGGTTCTAGGGAGTCTAATAAGGGTTCTAAAGAGTCTGATAAGGGTTCTAAGGAGTCTATAAAGGATTCTAATAAGTCTGATAGTAAAGATAGAGGAGATACTTAGTTTACTAGTATTTACTAGTAGAGGGAATACTTATCTAGCTAGTTATTCTATATTAAAATAAAAGTTCTTAATATAGTACTCTAGGGTACTCTTATTATTATCTAAATTTACTTATATAATAAAATAAATCTATTTATAATTTAATATAGGTAAATTTAGATATTAATCTATACCCAGATTTACCCGTATAAATTTTTAGGTATTTTTTTTAGATCTATTCTCTATATTAGATACCTAAAATTACCTATGGGTACCCGATGCCGGTCTTTACTCCGGTAGCTGTTAATAAGTGGGTAGAATAAAACATAGCACACCAAAGCCCCTTCTATATAAGATAAGAACCTCGTTTTTTACCTAAACATAATAATAAGAGAATAATTAGAGAGTAATAAATTATTATATAATATTTATCTTGGCATTGTATTCAGTACTGGGCTATTTGTTGTGATATTATGTTGAATTTCAATGCTGAACTATCTCGATGTGCCATATTTTACTTCACCCACTTAACGACTTAATGACATCGGATTTCACGCAGGGGCCAGAAATTGGTAATCACCCATTAACTCCACTCTTGTCTTGCTCGGAGTACTCCGTTGAAACGAGACGGCTGACAAATCTCGATAAGCTCTTCCCCCTGGGGAACGGACAAGCGGGCAGGGTTCGGCCTGCCATGTAGGTTTCATTGTACTGAGCACTTGTGACGTCAAGTTTTACCGAGGATGAGCGACATGGTGAGGGGTTATTTAAGGAATGCATTCCGCTCAGCCAACTTAGGTACTCTATGATCTGATCTAGTGCTACTAGTTTTGCAAAATGCCGTTCTAGAAGATCTCCCACTCCTATGCCCTCACACCGGCTGACCGGGAAGCCCTTGCGAAGGGCATTACATCTCTGCACTGTACCATGTTCAACACTCCGTCGCTCTTTGTAAATATCCTATTTTCGCCCATCAAGGACGAAGAATATTGGTACGGTGGAAAGCGCAAGACCAACTCGAACCGAATCTTTGCACATGTGAGAGGTGGTTCTAGCAGATCCTCTGAGAGTTTTGCGAAGCTCGCTAAGGATTTGGAGGCCATCTGGGATAATGTTGTTGGTAAGAAGGAGTCTGATTTTGGGCCCGGGAACTTCAAGATCCTGCAGACGGTTTTTATCATTCCAGGTATCACGGCAAGGGAAGAGGGGCTGGCCATCCCACAGGTAAGTTGGTTCTTCCCTCAGCTCTGCTCAGGTATAATTCTAACGCAATTTAGGCTGGAATGGAGAAGGGCTGGATTTGGGAGAATATTGACTATTTCAAAGACAGGGCAAGTCGTGGTGATGGAGACTTCAAAGACTTACTTTCGGAATTAGAGGCTAGGCCTGAGTTATTAGTCTGAGTTCATATTAATTTACTATACGATGAAAGCTAAAACTCTTGTCGTAAGACTATACTTGTATCAAGAGCCAAGACTTATGTCGGTTATCAACAAGCTAACCAACAGGCAAGTGAAGCTTCTGCCGCTATAGCTGGACTGGGAGACCTTCACCCTGGAAGAAAGACCTCACTTCTAGTTGTTAACGTATCCATGCGTAGGAGAAAAAGAAGATAAAGTTTCATAACAATGAAGCTGCCAGGGCCCGGTCAACTCAATGCAATGAAAATAAAAAGCTTAAAATTATAGCCTTCCTAGTACACCCAAGGAGTCATACGGCTAGAAAAGTCTGACCATCTTACGGATGACTCACTTGCCGTCAGGATAGCGGCTCATCGAATGACTATTAATACTGCCTCTTTCACCTGGCTTCCTTTGTACACTCGTCTTATACCGATCCAAGTGAGCTGGTACGGAGAAGAAGGGCTCCAGGAGATAGCATTAATAGAAATGCTTTTAAGCTTTTAAAACACAGTGGGAGGTAACATATCCGTAGATACAGTACTGTTCGAAGCCCGGTCTGTCTTTTCGCAGTTGATCTGTTAGCTTACGATTATCTGTTGGTTATGATCGCTTTCTTTTGTGGGGCTGATGCGCTACGTCAAAGAACGCCTTTTCGAAAGCCTCGCTCAGCCTCTTCCTTCAGCCTTCCCCCTCACCACGACATGACACGACAAAGATTTATGTCACTCTCTAGTGCCACGTCCTTCAGCATCGCTGCATTGCATCACCATGTCTATCTCCAAAGTTCCGCCCGAGCTATTCGCTCTGATTCTGGGACAGCTGGATTCTCCTCAAGCCCTTCACTGCGCCATCAGCGCATCTCCATTGATCTTTCAAGCCTTCACTGCTTCTCGCATCCAAATCCTCATCTCCGTCTTCCACAGGGCTATTCTGCCTGGCGCCCGAAAGGGTGCCCTCGCCATTATACAATGTCCTTCTGTGTCAACGGAAGACCAACTGGACGAACTCTGGCAATTTCTTGACACTCATTTTCATCCTGGCCAGGCTACATTGCCATTTCCCAGAGACAATCCTGCCATCACTGTCTTGATGAGATTGGTTACTAGAGTATTGCGCTTGGAGCAGGATTACTTCAACGATACCATGTCCAATCTGGCTGATGCCCCTGGTGGAGATGCATCGGAACGGAAGCAGCTGGAATCTCCCACACCTTTGTCCGACGCAGAACGCACCAGGATACAAGGAGCTTTTCTGCGACTTGAGCTATATTGCCGGTGTTTTCCAGTAGTTCAGGATGATCTCGGAATGGAGGTCCCCCCAGGCGAGGATGATATCGGAATGCAGGTCTCCCTTGTCCCTGCGGAGCTTCAATTCCAGCACTTCTTGCACCAACTACAACCATGGGAGGTGGAAGAGATGAGCTGTGTTCATCAGTATCTTTCCTTTCGCATTGGCCCACTTATCGAACAAATCCAGAATGAGATAGTTGCCATCGCGTTTCGCCATCAGGTTCAGGGACCGAGGCCAAAATGTAGTAAGGACAACGCCCAGGTCTGGATGATGGGCAAGTGGATCCCCTACACAGGACCAACCTTCGAAATTCCTTCCCCTGAGAGTGAAGGGCTACCAAATAGTCTTCCGTCTTACGAGCCGCACGAGCTCCGCACATTCTCGTACTGGAGAGGGTCTCCGATATTTGAAATGGAAGGCAGGCAGGAGTTTTATGAATTCCTGAGCTCTTTGGTCTCAAGAGGCCTAGAGTACCTTGTTAGTGTGTTTGACGCTGACAAGGAGTTGCAACGGTACCTACTTCTTTCTGGGGAATACACCTTGAGGGAATTTCTTCCCGAGGCGATTACCTACGCAATTGAGAACGACATCAGAAGCGATCCTCATCCTCAAACCCAGGGATTACTCACACAACTAGAAAGTGCTGCGCCTGATTCGTTGACCGACGACCCTGTGCGTGCAGGGTGCGGTTATGTGAGATTCTGGGGAAGATTTCCATCTCAATACAAATCACTTTCGTATTTTCGCACTTGCTCAATTTCATACCGCAGGCTAGGATATGTTTTCTGGGACTCTTCTAGATTAGATGAGACTGCGGTGCAGGCAAGGATATCCTATTCATTGGAGAATTGCCATGACGAGCAAGAACGGTTCGACTTTAAAGAAAAGGCCAGCGCGGAAGAGGTTTTAATGGAGGTTGAGATCCCCAAGAGCGTGATGGATGACCTGAACCGGACGTATGGGTTTTGGGAGAGAACTTCAGTGACAGAAGAGAACATGTAGCATAATCCTTCTTTTCAGTATGTTTTTAACCCTTGTTGTCAAGAACGGGCGAATCGCATAGCTACTCGATGCTCGGTTCTGTTGGACGCTTTTTCCAAGGAAGGATTATACTGTTTAATGTTGTCCAGATGGTTCATATTTCCGTAACTGGTGACCTTACAGAATGATTGATTTTATATTTCCAGTGTTAATGCCACATTCTGCTGAACTGGTCACGGCATAGCGGCTTTAATTTTGAAGACTCGTGATTCTGGACGCAACCTAGTTGGAGACTTCTTATTATAAAGTTATCCACTTTCGATTTATCTAATGGTAGGATCATGCGGTTGACTATTTTGCTATCCTTTAAAAAAGAGGTCTCTTAGCTCATTTAGTAGGGAGTCAAGTCAACGTCTACTCAAAACCGAAATTGAAGTGTTCAAAAATAAGGACTATCGCAGCTTCCTGCCTTGTATAGGACTTGGGGATACGGGCGTATCATCACTCCTTGTTCACAACGCTCAGAATCTGCTCCGCTTCCATGGCACGCTCGCTTTGGCGCTCCGTCTCTGTCTTGTACGTCTTGAACTTCCGGGCTGGGATCCGCTTCATAAACAGCTCATCGAGTTCCTCAAACGACCGACCAGCCGTCTCGGGCTGATAAAGCCAGATGTAGACAATGCACAAAACAGAAACACCGCCAAAGATAAAGGCAGTTTTGGCACCTAGATTCGCCTGGTCTGGGTTGAAGATGTACGGAAGGACAAATGCCCACATGGTGAAGACGGAATTCTGCAACGCCACGCCCAATGCAATCGACTTTGCGCGAAGGCGTGTGGTTGCTGTCTCAGCGAGGAGAGTGTATGCAGAAGCGGCAATGGACGCGTTATACCACAATGTGTACAATAGTTCAAACGCAATCACTCCCTTGATGGCGGCTTCATTCTCCGTCTGCGTGCCCAGACCGCCTGCGATCATGAGCAACACTGTCAGGCCTATGAGGGCCCAAAGGGTGAGATCACGACGGCCGACTCGGTCAATGAGAAACACCGAGGTGCAACTACCGGTCAAACTAAGAATCTGCTGTATGATGGTCAGGTGAAAGGAGGCCGAGGTAGAGTAACCAGCAAGCTGCGCGTAGTAGGTGAAGTAGCTCCCGATGAAGCCAATGCCACAAAGGGCCTGGATGGTTAGAGGTGCGATAGTAATGACGGTCCTGCGGAGATTGCTGGCTCGGAAACACTCGAGGTATGTTACACCTTCGGATTCCTGGCTGATCTTGGCCAAGGTAACCTTCATAATGGCCAGACGTTTCGGCATCTCTTCCTCGGAGACGCCAAGAGTTCTCAGGGATCTTTCGGCTTTGTCTTCCCGATCTTTGGTCATGAGCCACCAAGGGGATTCTGGCATGAAGAACCAAAATATTGTCACAAGGCCGAGGAAACCATACTGAGATGCAAAGATTGCTCGGTAAGCCCAACGAGTGGTCGTGTCCGAGGTAAAGTTCATGATAATGGTCGCGAGAAGTGGCCCAATAGAATATGAGACTGCCAGGACTGCTGTCATCACACCACGAAGAGCCAATGGTGCAAGCTTATCACAAACGAAATTAGTTCCTAAAGTGAATTTTATCAGAGGAATGAGAAAGGTAGAAGACCATACCTCTCCAACGAGAGTGACACCAACATTAAGGTATACACCAATAGCGAACCCATTGATGAACTTGCCGGCAAAGAACACCGCAATGTCGTTAGCAACAATCTCCAGCGTGATTCCAGCATATCCCAGAAGACAACCGATCATCAGCATCCATTTGCGTCCAATTACATCGGAAATATATGCAGAGATCAAGGTACCAATGGCAATTCTGTAAACGGCAACTCATGATTAGCTTCAGAGTAGATTCCAGGTGAAAGATTCATGGTCAGAGGCGATTGGCTACTCACGATGCGTTAGGACCCCCGTTGATTGCACTCTGCCATTTTCCGTCTAAGACATAGTCTCCAGCATATTTTGAGCCAAAGTCCTGGCGGAATTGGGGAATGCCAATGACATTGCCACCAGCTACGCCTTCGAAACTTGCAAGGACGATGATCCATGCCGCATAGAGGCACCACAGCGCTTGCCAGGGGTACTTCTTGATTGCCTGCAATGGGGAAAGCTGGTGGTCCTCCTGTCCAACTAAATGGCCAAGGTGATCATTGACCTCGGACAGCTTTTCTATCTGATGGGCAGTGACTCCATGCTCATCTTTTTGGAGGCTGACCTTTGCATCCGCTGGATTGCTCTCAGGGTCAATGGCAGCCATGGCTTTAGCGAAGAGTAGGTGAAGATGTTGTGGAGTATGATAAGATATGAAGTTTTTTCTGGGTTGATGGGGACCGGGTGAAACGTTGTGGGAAGATGTAATGCCAATATATAGTGATTCAAATCCAATGCGAGAAAATCAAAATTTTCAACCCCAGGTTTCTGCCCCCGCGGGGAGAAGCTAATACACAGTACACACTAAAGCCAAGATCACGTCTTAGTGGAGAGTTAGTTGAATGCACGTGGCGTGAGAAATTCCCCATTACTAATTTAGACCGCTTCCAACTACCAAAGTTGGGTATCATCTTTCTGTAGGGGAGAGACATAGGACAGGAACAACAATGAGAAGTTTTAACCGCCTCCAGCCCCCAGCAACTTAACCTAGAACAAGGCCAGGGCCCTGGGTCAGGGACAGCGGTTGAAACTTCCATTCTAGCCCCAAGGCAGCTGAGCTCGTTGGTGCGGGTTAGCACGCTTTAGTGGGTGGATAGGTTATTCCTTCTTGGTCTTTTTAAGGGCAACTCATGTATCACCAAGTTGTGTGTACATTTCATTCCATCACAAAATTATCCACGTTGTGACCCAGGGGATCTCAGTCCACAGCTTCTGTGACAACCCACAGCAATGGCTTCTCAATCACAGTTGAGGGTTTGCCTAACCAAGCCTCGAGTCTTTATCATTTCAGACATTTCAAACGAGCCTGACGATGCCGAGTCATTGGTCAGATATCTCTTGTATTCCAACGAGTTCGACACACGAGGATTGGTCGCCTGTACATCAACATGGATGAAACGAGTGGTCCATCCTGAAGACATCGAAAAGGTCATCCATGCTTACGATAAAGTCGTGCCAAATTTGAATAAGCATGTTCATGCGGAGAATCAGTACTCGCCCGGTCAGTGGTTCCTTGACATGCTGAAGACAGGACCTCCATTGTACGGCAAAGAGGCTTTGGCGGACAATGTTCCCCTAAGCGATGGCGCTCAACTACTGGTCGATCGCCTCGCCGAGTCTGACAAGCCACTGTGGGTTCTTTGTTGGGGAGGCACCAACGTCCTCGCTCAAGCATTGCGCCATACAGGGCTCTCAATGTCAGCTGAGGATCATCGGCAGCTCCGTGGTAAACTACGGGTCTACGCTATTTCTGACCAGGATGATACGGGCGTCTGGATTCGTCATAACTTTCCCGACGTCTTTTACATAACGTCATTACATGGCTGGAATCAGTATGGTAACGCTCTGTGGACGGGGATATCAGGAGACCAGTTCTATGGATTCGACCAGGGTGGCCCTGATTCTCGCCTTGTGTCTGCAGAGTGGATCCGCGAGAATATTCAGATTGGGCCCCTTGGTAAAGCGTACCCTGAATTCGCCTTCATCCCCGAGGGAGACACGCCGACCTTCCTCTACTTGGTCCAGAATGGTCTAGGGTCGCCTGAGCATCCTGAATGGGGAAGCTGGGGCGGCAGATATCTCCCCGTCGATTCATCTCAGGAGAGCCCCTACAACCACTACCATGATGCCACGGACCGAGTCGTGGGCGAAAATGGCCATGTTTTCAGGAGCAATCATGCCACAATTTGGAGGTGGAGGAAGGCATTCCAAAATGATTTTGCAGCTCGAATGCAATGGACACTTCGCGGCGATATAACCAGGGCCAACCACTCGCCCGTCATCGTTGTCAACGGAAGTACCGGACCTGAACCGCTCTTTCTCAGCGCAGCCGCCGGAGACTACGTCGATCTAGATGCATCAGCCACATACGATCCTGACGGTGACAACCTGGTATTCAAATGGCTCCACTACAAGGAGGTAACTGCAACACAATGGATCATCGACAATGAGGTCAAAGATGTTGAGTTCGAGGACCTGGATGCCGATCTTCCAGGAAGGCATGTAAGGGCCAAGCTTCCAGAAAAATGCACGGTAGATCGCTCCGCTGGCCTATCCAGCCCACAAGGCCAGGTGATGCATCTTATTTTGGAAGTCTGTGACAACGGTAGCCCGTCTTTGACTACCTATAAAAGAGTGGTTGTGCAGTCGCTAATTAAGCATGAGGGCTAAGACGTACAAGCATGCGTGATTTAACAGCCATGCTCAGGGGTTGTGGAGAAGAAAAGTAAAAGTCTTTGGTGGCTTAACAGCCGGGTTTCTTCCATAGGAGTTTGAGGAGGTAAGCCGGGTTCATAGTCTCAAGCTTTCTATGAAAACTCAGTTCAAGGTCTCAGACCATAATGCCTCCAGTCTAGGACGCAATTCTCAGGATCTTAAGTGCTTGCACACCGTCTTCCATCTCGCTAGGGAAATGCACGGGGCGCTAGAGCAAAAGTCAATTCGCTCTTAGAGGTTGATTCTCAAGCATCAGTAGATTTCATCGCCTCTCCACTACTCACGAGGCTAAGTACTTCAAGTTTGAAATCATCTTCGTAGCAGTAGTTTACTTTTCATAAACCTGGTTCTACAATCGCCCGTACACCTAACACTAAGCTATGCCATCTACAACCATATCCATCAATTCAAGGGAAGCTGAAATACCTCGAGAAGATACTTCCGAACTAGAGACGATTCAAGGGGCTTTCCCTAACTACCACGCAGACAGTTCTGTCCCGTTCTCAATGCTAGGCGATATGAATGCTAACATAGACCCCCCAAACCAAGCCAGCTAACCCACTCATCAGATTGCGCCCTTGCGCGCTCTTCAACAGGGCAAAGTTGATCAAACTGACTATTGGCCAGAACCTCCACCCGGCTATCAAAAGAGAGACGAATTGCTGGTATATATCAGTGCTGATACCATAATGTGCTACCCCATCGGAAATAGTGATTTGTGTTGGTTCGATCTGAGAACTGCCCATGGAGCTTTTCATGAAGTTCATGAAGATGACAAAGAGAAATGTATTAACAATCGAAACGATGGTATTGTCGAGGAACACTTTTATCGCAGTGTTACGTAGATTGAGATGAATTTTGGCATCGCTTCCTTGTTCTCGCTGGTTATGGGATTTCGAATTCGTGGAATCGATCGGTTCGGCGTTTGCAATCAGAGTAACCGATTGGTAGGCAGGAAACTCTCTCTCAATGAACTCTTGCCTATCCACCAGATGTTAGATATAGCCTCATATGCTACTGGTGAGGGGGTTGTGACAACGGAAAGGGGCTTCAAAGGGATTTAGAAGTCTCGCTCACCAGAGAAAATTAGGAGGAACATTCACAAACGTCCATACAGTAAACTTCAATACCGGCGCCCAATCAATATCAACAATCGTCTATGACGCGTCAGTACGGCCATGTTCTTAACATACAAGAACTCGCCTGCATGTACAGGTATAGACAGACGATTTTTGCAGTCTGGATGGAGAGAACCATTTCGAGCTTACATCGCTTTTGTATGCTGTCAGTACTTGTGCAAGCATACTTGAAATGCCAGAGAGCATTGTTGACTGCAAAGTAGCCACCCATATGGGTGAGAGTCTGGTCGCTTGTCGTGTCATCCTTGCTAACCCAACAGTTAACTTCCATCACTGATTTGCAAAGCAACCTGTCAACAAAGAGTTCCGAAGGAAAAGATGAGTGCTGCCTTTGCTCTCAAATTCTGTAAACGTCACAAGGAGCTTGCAATTACCTAGTCGCTACTCTCCCTCCAGGAGCAAGCGTCAGCTATGCCAGGCATTCCTGGCAGCGCTTCAACTTCCCGTTTTGGGGGTGAGGTTATGATGCCCCAATAAGGCAATTCATCACCGATTTTTCCATATAGCAAAAGCAAAGCCGCCTTTGGTAAATCATTGCTTTCGATCAAATTCTGCAAGCCCTCTCCTTGCGTGCTTTGGCGACTCTTGTTGGCCCAGAAAGTTTCAGCTTCCCTGCACGTTGTGGTCTGGATGCTGATTGGCTTAGAAAGTTCCTCCCGTTGTGGAGAAAGTGCTATGAAAAGGATGATATATTACCGTATTATCTCCAAAAAGCCCTACTCTTGGCAACCTAGTTTTACTTACTGCCTGTTTAGGGGATTATGGCTGCGAATAGATTTCGAGTAATAGATAGCTAAAATACTAGACGTCCAATTGGGATAACAGAGCAGGAGAGAAGACCGGGGCGCCAAGATCGAAAGATCACGAGCTTCATGAGACAATACCGTACGTAATCTCTGTATCCTGCACGGCCCTTGTATTAGCGTAAGACCGAGAGTTCAGGTTTAGTCCCCGTGGGGGGAAACACCTGTGGAATTGTTCCGGCCACCTGGATTCTTACCAGACAATCTGGAATAGAATGGCCTACTGAAGACGGTAAACCCAAGCACTCTCCAGCTGAGCCGGAAGAGCCCGAGTCAAATCGATTGGTCCATTGGCGAGGATCACTACGTGCACCTAGATATAGGTAAACGAGGTCTCCGTATTGGGAATACCGAAGCACCGGAGTTTCCTGCGATATTCATTGGGAAGATTGGAGTTTGAATCAATTTCAACACCATCATTAATACCCTCGCGCCTTACCCTCTACTGCCTCTTCCCAATTCAGTCTCTTGATGTTTAATTATCGATGAGCAACGACTTAATGCTCTTGAACCGCAAACATGGCTTGGAAATTCATGCTACTCTTTATCCTTGCAAGATGTGCAATTGCGGAATTTCCTGATTGCAAACAGGGTCCTTTGGCGAGCACTCAGGTCTGCGATACCGAAGCAGGTAAGAGGATTTCCTCTTTTCTTGAGAGAGCCGCTTGCTGATGAGTTACAAAAAAATAGATCCTCTCGACCGCGCCAAAGCATTGGTCAGTCTTTTGACTCTCGACGAGAAGCTCCGAAATACTGGCAACTTCAATCCAGCTGTTCCTAGGTTAGGGCTGCCATCATACGACTGGCTTGCAGAGGCTTTGCATGGGCTGGCTGTGTGTCCCGGCGTCAACTTCTCAGATGCGGGCGAATTCAGCCATAGCACATCCTTCCCGATGCCCATCAACCTCGGAGCTACATTTGATGATGTTCTCGTTGAGCAGGTTGCGACGGTAATTAGTACCGAGGCTCGTGCGTTCAACAATGCTAATCGTACGGGATTGGACTTCTGGTCACCAAACATCAACCCCTTCAAGGACCCCAGATGGGGTCGTGGAGCCGGTGCGTTTCTCTCCTCCGTGTACAACTGTGTGCTGGGCCTAACCACAACTCCGGAGTAAAACAGAGGTCCCCAGCGAAGATGCTTACCACATATCGTCCTATGTCGGCGCTTTTATCAAGGGCCTCGAGGGTGAGCCCACAGACAAGCATAAACGTATCGCGGCTACCTGCAAGCATTTCGCCGGTATGTCTAACTCTATCCATATGTCTTGAAGTGGACTTGGGACTCATTGAAACCCCTAGGCTACGATTTGGAAGACTGGCATGGCAATTACCGGTTTCAGTTTGATGCTGAGATTTCTGTGCAAGACCTTGCCGAATACTATGCGCTCCCATTTCGCACCTGCGTCCGCGATGCCAAAGCCGCTGGTGTCATGTGCACTTACAGTTTGTAGATCCCATAGCTAATTTTATACTGGTAAATTTGCTAATATGTTCTTTGTTTAGACGCCGTGAATGGAGTGCCGACTTGCGCTGACCCCTATCTCCTCCAAACTATCCTAAGAGATCACTGGGGTTGGATTGATCAACAGCAGTGGGTTGTCACGGATTGCGACTCGATTCAGAACATCTACTATCCCCACGAATACACGAATACGCGAGAGGAAGCCGTGGCCGCGGCTTTGAATGCTGGCACTGATATCGACTGCGGTGAATACTTTCCTGACTACTTGGGGAGCGCCCTGTCGCAGGGATTAATCAATGAAGACACTCTCGACCAAGCCCTCATCCGCCGATACTCAACGCTCGTCCGTGTGGGATACTTTGATCCACCAGAAGGACAGGCATATCGAGCGTTGTCATGGAAGGATGTAGACACCCCCAACGCCCGCGAGCTTGCCTACAAGGCAGCTGCAGAGTCCATTGTTCTTCTTAAGAATGATGGGCTCTTACCCCTTGACAAGAAGACTGTCAAGTCGGTGGCGATCCTCGGCGACTGGGCGAATGCCACGACACAATTGCAAGGCGCCTACTTTGGCCCGGGCCCATATCTCAAGACTCCTTTGTGGGCAGCTCAGCAGCTGGGACTCCATGTCAACTACGGGGTAGGAGTTCATTCACCCATCAACTGGCTCACGGACCACTGGCTTCACGCAAAGGAGGTGGCAGAGAAGTCCGATATTGTTATCTTCATTGGAGGTATCGACGAAACGATTGAGTTTGAGGGCAGAGACCGCACTCGGATTGCCTGGGGAGGCCATCAGCTGGATATGATTGAAAAGCTCTCGTCTCTCGGCAAGCCAATGATTGTGTACCAGATGGGCGGCGGGCAGCTTGATTCCAGTCCCATTGTCAAGAACAGGAACATCAACGCACTGTTATGGGGAGGATATCCTGGACAAGAAGGAGGCTCTGCACTGATGGATGTGCTCTTCGGACTTGTTGCCCCTGCCGGACGCCTCCCCACCACTCAGTATCATTCCGACTATATCAGCCGGGTGGCCATGACGGATATGAGCCTGCGGCCTCACGCAAACAGCCCTGGCCGAACATACCGATGGTACGATGGTACTCCAGTCTTTGAGTTTGGTAGCGGAAAGCACTACACGACCTTTACTGCGCAAATCATCAGGGACAACGCAGAGAGCCAGAGGACTGTCTTTGAGACTACCGCGTTGGTGAAAGGATGCGACCGATCCCTCTACAAGTACCTTGATCTCTGCCCTTTCAAAACATTCAAGGTCGAGGTCTACAACGAGGGTTCGACAAAGTCTGATTATGTAACTCTGGGATTCCTTTCCGGGAGCTACGGTCCTGAACCAAGACCCAAGAAGACACTTGCCAGCTATCAGCGTCTTCATGATATTGAGTCCGGTCTGGCGGGAACAGCGCAGCTTAATCTAACTCTGGGCTCGATCTCTCGCTTTGATAGCCAAGGAAATACGGTCATCTACCCCGGAAGTTACTCATTACAAATTGATGTTGACCCCCTGGCTTGGACCAACTTCACCCTTACAGGAGAACCTGTTGTGCTGGATGAGTGGCCCCAGCCTCCACCACGTCCCGAGAGTAGGAAGTCGGGGTACTTCTCTGACGATTACCAGGGTAGTCCTGATAAACAGGTTCTCGCCTCTACGAGCTCTGGTCAGCTATGGCATCACGAGAAGGAACTTTAACACCAGAGGTGGGCTAAGAATCTACTACACGTAGTTTAGGATTCGGATGCACATAAGAGTAAATTACTTTAGAATAGTGTGGGATTATATGAATTATAACGAATCACTGTGGCTACCATCGTACTTTCTGAACATTGTTTATGCTCCTCCTTTGTCGGTCCGGCCGGGTAGGTAGAACCCAAATCGTGGCTTTTCTCGTGCCCTCTTCGCTTTTTTCCACGCTTTCTTGTTGCGATTCTCTGGCTTGATATATAGCCGCCCCATATTATCACGCGCCATTCCTGGTGGCGGATTGTTGAAGTCATGCTTCGGTTTGCTGGACTTTATCTGCGAGATATGAGTGAGCTCATCCGATATTCCTGAATATCAGTTTGCCAACATACGCCAAAACACCACATGGCTTCTGATACATATGTGAAGCTCTTTAACAAAGCAAATTATAATGGGAGATATTCTCCTAACCGTAGGCTCGATTTTGCGTCGGCTGGTTGGCGAATAGACGTATTTAACGTGAATAAATGGAGAAAATGTCGCCTTGTTCCCGCTGATGTCAGATGTTCGTTTTGTAATTTTGTCATCTTCCACGCTTACATCACGTGAAACCCAGTGGATCATTTCGGAGGTATTTTTGATAGAAGCACGTGGCACGGGGTAAATGAAAACATATGAAATGGCGCTTTCTTTCTTTCTGCATTTGCCAGGCGTGTGATCGTAAACCAAAAGTACTCTCTCTGAGCAACGTGACGACATACACGCGTCATCTTATTCAAGTCTCACTCCCTTTTACCAAGCATGATGGCGGTTCTCGTTCGACAGGTGAGTTATTGGAGACCTTTGACGGGCGAGTCTCAATATGAAATGGAACCGGAAGAGGCTAGATCTAAGTCCTCGGGAGTATCCCAATCCAGAAAAAACCGAAGGCCAAAGGCGTCTCAAATCACTCTGCTACCAACTTACCAACAATTCCGGGCCGGTATGGTATCAGAAACTCGAAAAGACGGCGTCTCAGAGGCAGCGTACTTCTGTCCGTAGATTCAAGACGTGGAGGCTATGTAGCATTTGTGAGTACCGCTAAAACGGACAAAGTGCCTTCCTGCTCCGCCTCACCAAGATCTTCTGATCAGGGGACGTAAACATGAACTCGTGGGCCATGACGTTCGGCGGCCGCCCGCTGCCAGGGAGAAACCGGAACTCGTAATCGCCAAACAGCTTGACCAGCACCATCTTGATAGCGTGGCTGGCGAAGAAGCGGCCGGGACACGCCGTCCTGCCATAGCCAAAGTTCAGGCTCGTCGGGGTCGGTGTCTCGAAGAGGAACGGATTGCCGCTGCTGCTGTTGATGGCACTGGCTTTGCTCTTCCCGGCCATCTGCTTCTCGCGCTCCTCCTCCCACGTGCGGAAACTGCGCAGGCCGTCGAAGCGATCCGCGTCCGGCGTGTGCGCCGCGTCGTTCTCGATGGCGTGGATGGCCATGCACGCGTAGGCGCCGGCAGGAACATGCGTGCCGTCGGCGAAGGTGTGTGCGCGCACAAAGACGCGCTTCATACCGATGACAGTGGGAGGCGAGAGCCGCTGCGACTCGCGCATCACGCTGTCCATCTTGCGCAGGCGGCCGTAGGAGTCCGGTCCCCAGCCGCCATCGGCCATGGCAGCCATATAGATCTCGTCCAGCAGCTCGCGTCGCAGGTCTTGGCCGGCGGCCGTCACGTCGTACAGCACGCCGACAACACGAAGGAGCGTCGTGTGCACCGAGGCCAGCGAGAGCAGCACCAGTGCCTGTGCGATGGCGTCCGGATCGCGGTCCTTGCCCTTGGCCTGGCCGGCGAGCCACGCCAGCATGTTGGTTTCGTCGGGAGAGTCATCAGTATGATGCGAGACGTCGTTTTTCTTAATGAGGTCTGATATACGGGGACTCAGGAGCCGCTTTGCCTGGGCCAAGTAACGGCGCACGGCGCGCAACGTCGGAAGCAGCGGCGCCACAGCCTCTTGCATCCAGGTCGGGAGTATGCGCAGCGCTGCGGCGGTAGCAAAGACTTCAGGAACAAGAGCCAAGGTTAGTCCAGCACCGAAGTAACTGACTTAAGGCAATGCGGTTGCCTGCTCACCTGCTTCTGTATAGTGAGTCGAGATATCCACCCAAGTAGGATCATGGCTGAACTCGGGACCTACGAGGGCCTCTGCCGCAACCTTGGCCAAGATGGGACCAAGAATCTTCGAAGGCTGGATCTCGACCCATTCATCAGCGTTGGGAAAATGCTTCTCGAATGCACGGGCTACCGTCCTCTCTATCCGCGGGATGAGTAGCGGGATTCGCGGCGTCAACCTCCTCTGCATTATAGAATGGTGCAACTGGCTCTCAACGAGTAGGCTCACTCCCGTGTACTGGCCGAGTAGGTCTCGCTCTAATGCCCGCTGTGGGCTTGCCACTGTGACCGGCAGTCCGGCCAGCTCTTTCAGCAGCGCATGAGGCAGGATGATAATGGCCTCGTTGTTGCTGATGAGCTGAAAGGTCGAGTTTGGGAACTACGCCCGTAAAAATCAGCCCTTGCAGGTCCTCTGGTCTTCCGGACGATCTTTTAGATGATCATACCTTCTCGTGGCCTCGTTTAAGCAGAGATGCGGCGGAGAGAGCAAAAATGACGTTGTGGATGAATGCAGGGATCAAACCATCCCAACTACCAACCGAAGGAAAATTGGCATGTTTCTTCCCCGGTAACAAAGCACTTACTCCAAAGTAAGCAACGCCCGTCAGTGGCAAAAGCCAGAAATAAGAGTAGACGCTTTGCAACAGCGTCGAAAACATGATCAAGGACCGAGCTGCTGGCCCTAGAAAATCCCACATCAGGTAGGAATCTGCCGTAGCGAGTCTATTGGCCTTGGTGTTTATATATCACATGCCACTTCGCACTAGCGGGATTCCTTCTCGAGTGAGTATACAGCCCGATTCATAATATTATGCCTACTACCGGTAGGTACCTTGGCGTACGCAACAGGTACCGACCCAGACCGTGGTCGAGGTAGAAGGTTACATTTTGTTGGCTGCCCAACGTGGTGTGGAACGCACTGTGAGGGATGTGAGGGCCCGTCCCTGTTTGTCGTAATGCGTATCACTCAGTTCCAGGGGCATAAGTGCTGACGGACCACTTGAATACCCCTTGCATCTGGCCCTCGGGGTAATTCCCCAGGGCAGAGTTGTTGGTAAGCACTCTCTGACACTCATATACATTATCCTCCCCGCCTAGTGAGAGATTCGCCGCTCAGTAGAAACTTGTTACCTGTTTCTACTACGTTGAATGATGCTCCAGTACAGAATGGGCACGCGACGAATTGCTACAGTCTTCTCAGTCGTCATTCTTGCGGCCGGACTCGCCATTCGCTATGCAAAGGACAGCGCCCCGGTCTGTCGCACTATTCCCGGTGATGCAGCATGGCCGACCAAGAACGATTGGGACGCCTTCAACAAGACGGTAGACGGGAAGCTTGTTTCTTCCATACCCATAGCCGCGCCGTGTCACTACTCCTTCGTTGGTGGTGATGGAAGCAACGCGTCCGTTTACGATCAGGGTGTCTGCGATGCTTTACAAAGCAACTGGTTCTCTGCGACAACTCACCTGCCCTCTTCTTCGTCGCCCATGGCGTATCCGTTCACGAATAACACCTGCAATCCTTTCCTGGGCCCCGACGTCCCCTGCACCCCAGGCTATATTGTGTCCTACACCGTCAATGCCACCGATGTGACGCATATCCAGGCTGCTCTCAAGTTCGCCCAAAACCACAATATCCGGCTCGTCATTCGCAATAGTGGCCACGACTATCTGGGGAAATCGACGGGTGCTTTTGCACTCGCAATATGGACACAGCATCTAAAATCGATTGACCTGATCTCCCAATATCAGGACCCATCCTCAGATTATAGGGGAACGGCCCTCAAGGTAGGCGCCGGTATTCAAGGAGGTGAGCTTTACCAGTTTGCTCACGACCATGGCTTGATGGTTGTCGCCGGTAACTGCCCCAACGTAGGCGTCACTGGTGGCTACGTCCAGGGCGGAGGCATTGGCATCTTGTCGTCCAAGTTTGGCCTCGCTGCCGACCAAGTTCTGTCTTTTCAAGTCGTGACGGCAGCAGGAGAAATCGTTACTGCAGACCCAACCCACAACGAGGATCTGTTCTGGGCTCTCCGCGGCGGCGGCGGTGGCACATATGGCATCGTTCTCTCCATGGTAATCAAGGCCTTCCCGGACACGTTTTTCTCGACGGCTTCGTTGATCCTGCCGAACACCGGTGACAACACAGATGGTATCTACTCGACTTTGGGAACTTTCCTCCAGTCCCTCCCCAATCTCGTCGATGCCGGCGCCTGGGTCGTTTGGATTGCAGCCCCGTTCGGATTCATGATCTCGCCGGCCATGGTTGCTGGTTTGCATCCGGCAGAGCTGGACGCACTCCTCAAGCCAACTCTGGACAGGATGGATCAGCTGGGACTCCAATACCAGTATTCTTCTGCCGAATATCCCAGTTTTCTTGAGAGCTATCGATCTTTGGGCACGGTATGGAACGTGTCGGACTTCAACGCAGGCGGTCGCTTGATCCCACGCAGCCTCGTGGAAGACGACACCAGCACGACATCCCTCGTGGGAGCTATCCGGGACATCACCTCCCAGACATTCATGTCGGGGGTCTCTTTCAACGTCGCACATTCCGTCTCTTCGCCCGATGAGGTCGCCGCTAACCCCTATTTCCGCAAGACCATTTTCAGTGCTGCGATCGGTACGCCTGTCAATTACACCGACTGGGAGGCGAACAAACGGGCGCAAGACAGTATCACCCACGAGCTACTGCCTGCCTTGGAGGCTATCACGCCTGACGGAGGTGTATATCTGAACGAGGCTGACTTCCAAGCTCCGGATTTCCAGAACACATTCTACGGAAATCACTATCAGAGGCTACTGTCCATCAAGCGAAAATATGATCCCGACAGCATCTTCTACGCCGTGACAGCAGTGGGGAGTGAGTCCTGGGAGCAGCGTATCGATGGAAGACTATGCAAAAAGTGAAGCAACGCTAATCACAGTATACTTCTACGATCTGAGTACATTATTCGTGGTGTAACAATAGCTTTGCATCATATTTTCCTTCTTCTTGACCCGCATAACAAGCATTGAGTGGTTTAGGTTGTGACGTGGTATCTAAATCATATATGTATACATAAATCTTTTCTTCTGATACATTCATCTACCTTGTACTTGAATGTACTACTACATTCGTGTTGTTTATCTTCAATGAGACCACTAGTGATCACTCCATTACGCCTACAAAGGCCACATAGGTATGTCCAAGCTTCAAGAGCGTCCTTTCTTCACCTTGATACATCTTCATCAATACTGATATCTCGCCGCTTTCCCGCCGTGATGCAACCACCTTGCCACATATTGCTCTCCATGAAACGGTACTCTTATCTGACCTCATATTTTAATGAACTTTTGAGCACAGATCACCCGACGTCTGCAGAGAGCGTCCGTCCAAGGTCACATCGCGTATCAACAGTTCTCTTGTCAGCTACAACGGCCGCTCTACATTGCCCCATGACGCTGTGACATTCATCAGTTGTATGCTTACATATGCTGTGACCATGATGATACGCGATGTGACCTTGGGCGGCGGCTCCCTGTGGACTTTGGTGTATGATTTAACACGCATATGTATGCATGATTCGATGGGTATCCGTAAAGACTATTACCGGAGCCTATCCCCGGCCAACTGGCAGAATGGCGGTTTACGCAGACCGCATCGTCTTGCCATTTCATCACCTTTTGCAATCTTTGAAGCCATCTAGCAATGTTTCTACGGGTTACATTCCTTAACATTGTCCAACAAGTAGCTAAGAGTGCATTGGGGTCCAATCCTACGGACAGAGGATGATACGTAGGTATGAGCAGATGACGTAGGTAGAAGCGTAGCCGGCCTCGGGATAGCCAGCAAGAGGGACGTACTCGACGAGATAGAAAGAACATGTATATATCTTTCCATCTGGATTATTGCTTAGTAGAAGGGTATCCTCGTGTGCTACGTATCAAGACCAAAATGAGTGACGAAACGACCAAGAACGCTTCTAATACCCCAAAAGTGAAGTCTTGCGGGATGTCGGCCTCCGAGGCTAGAGAGCAGCCACGAGGCTGGGAGAACATCTCCAACCGTATCTCGAGCCTGTTACGCTTGTTCTGGCTGTTGACAGAGTCCAATGCACCGACCTTTGTAGGTCCCAACACCGTCTTTGGTATCTGCGGTGCACTTGCATTACCATGGATGGCGTTAGACAGCGCCGGTGCTGTTCACGATGCAGAGCCCCTGAGGCTGGCCCTTTTCCGAGTGATAACTCGCCTCGGCCATGTGATCCTGTTCAACTGGACCAACTTGTTCATCTTTGACCTGGCCAACCAGCGGCTGCCCGAGTCGGCTGCTGAGGATGCGCTCAACAAGCCTTGGCGGCCTGTTCCGCGCGGGCTTGTGACGGCCGACCAGATCCGCTACTACAGTGTGCTATTCTCCAACACCATGTTCCAACAGATGAAAGTATGTTACTAACTCACGGTATCACAGTGCTGTGCTTGATCCCTCTCGTAGTCGCACTGAACCACTTCGCGTTTGGTGTTGGCGTCGAGAGTCTCATCATCATGGCGTTAACGTGGATGTACAACGACCTCCGCGGGGGCGACGAGGGCTACATCGTCCGGAACGCCATCATCGCTGCCGCCTTCGGTATATACAACACGGGCTCTGTAAAGGTTGCCTTAGGAACAGCCGCCGTGCGTGATTCGGGTTTGTTCGGGGGGTTGTCCTCTGAATGCGTGATATGGGCTGGCAGTAAGAAAGCTTCCACTTGTTTGCACATTCTCCTTTACCGACCAGGATACTAATAAAGCAACACAGTGGTCAGCGCCATCATCTTCACTACGATGCATGTGCAGGACCTGCAGGACGTCGAGGGCGACCGCGCGAGAGGCCGCCGCTCGGCGCCCATCGTCATGGGGGATCGGCCGGCCCGTTGGAGCGTTGCAGTGCCGATGCTCGTATGGCCAGTGGCGAGTGCCTGCTTCTGGAGGACGGGCCTGGCCGTAGGGGCACCCCAGGCGGCGCTGGGTACGCTCGTGGCTGTACGCTGCCTCCGGTGCTCCGGCCTTCAGGCAGACAAGCTCACGTGGAGGTTGTGGTGTCTGTGGACGGCAATGGTGTATATGCTGCCCCCCCTCTCATACGGCATATCAGCACATGTGGATGGCTGCTTGGGCGGCTAATTAGGTGGCGGGGACACCAATCCACCGTCTGACTGCATCGATCGACGGGAAGATGTATGATCTTGGATACAAAAGACGTGTGTGTGGTATCCAACGCATCTCTGCAGATCCCTACCTTTCCCACACAGGTAGTCATGTGCATAAGTTGGGACTGCTTTCACTTCTAGACTCGAATGCAATTTGTCGGCATTAGGATACATCAAGAGGTTGGACTGAGGGCTTGTTCCGCAAGGTTTGCAAGATGGTCTGGGCCGAAACTGTTCATAAACACTAGGATGTAGGCATTAATGGATGCTTGTGGTGTGTCGAGGCTTGCCTCGGTTGCTGGGGTAAGGTAGGATTGAAGGTACTCTGCCGTTGCTGAATACCACCACATCTTGTCGGTAGTGGAGGTGGGCCGTGTGCAAGGACGTGCGGAAGAGGCGACAATAAGCTTAGACATACACTTACACCTGCTATATCTTTCCTGGTTACCTATTGGGGCTAATTTGTGTATACATCTGGCATTGTATAGAGGTCTTGCACCCTGTCACGTCACGAAAAGGGGGTTACTATGAGGGTTGTACTGTATAAGAATCCCATGTAGGATATATGATTCATCAGCATCTCCTTTAGAACAAACGGAAGGGCCGAATTGGGAGCCGTTATGAATATCTTACCTAAAAGAACTTCTGCTGCAATGCTACTTGGGTGTGATACCGTCAGCGTATCATTTGCTGCATGTTTTCTCTTATTTCACAGTGCTGCCTCATGCAGACACGAATGACAACTCATACCGTCATCTGCCGCGCTTTCTTGCCAATATTCTCAAGGTACAAGCGGGTAGCAGAGTGACATTCACCAAGTCCCGCCGATCTTGCCATGCCATACGAGCTCGAGTGAGTTCATGCACGCAAAAGAACCTGCCAAGTGCTGGCGTTTTTCTGTCCTCACCCCACGACTGAACCAGCTGTTATTATGCGTATCGGTTCAAACTTCTGCCCATCGTATCATCTCTTTGTTTGGACATTTGTTCAACGTCGGCCAGTATGATTAGCGCACTTGGACGCGACCTGATCATACTTACAACCATCTTCACCCTCCTATCTCTGGTATCTTTTGGTCTACGTATCTACACACTCCTTGTTGTGAGGCCAAGGAAGTTCCGCGTCGATGACTACATAATCACATTTTGCATAGTATGCATGATTGGTGTTGTCGGCGCGGTCTGCGCAGGTATGGCTTCCATCCACATCCTTCTACTACTCTCTCCTATCTCACAGCTAACGCGACGTTTCACGCAGGCATCCATCATGGGATCGGATACCACACTGACCAACTGGAATGGTCCGACATTGCGTCTTTGATCAAAGTAAGCTCCCAATAGGAACCATTGTCTTATGTCCTGGACACTCTCTGTATAGTGCTAACGTCTTGCGTGGACAGATGCAAACCTCGACTCTATTCACCTGGACCCTAGCGACCTGCTCCTGCAAGCTTGCCATATTGTTCATGTACCTCGAGATTTTCCGTACCGACCGACTGTTCAGAATCGCCGTCTGGATCTTGATAGCCCTCACATGTTGCTACCCACCCGTATTTATCCCTTTCTTCATGACCCAATGTTCTCCCCCCTCTGCGGCGTGGGACCAAGTACTGTCGCAGACCAACTGCAGGCCCTTGAAGGTGCAGGAGCTTGCTTCTGTAGCAGTCCACCTGGGGCTGGATACTGCAATTGTCGCCGCTCCCCTCCCCGTCATTTGGGGATTGGAAATGTCTTGGGATAAGAAGATCCGAGTCAGCGGCGTCTTTAGTCTCGGAGTTGGGTAAGTGAATGTCCTTCCCTATGCTTGCGTGCGAGTCTTTGGCTGATCTTTATGTCGGTTTGTAGGGTCATCGCAATCATGGTTTGGCGTCTGGTATACACGGCCAGACCTGACCACGGCAGCGACATGGCATACGAGCTGTTTACCGTTTCCGTGCAGGGCCAGATGGAGATTTGGCTGGGGATTCTTGCTGCCAACATACCTACTCTCGGTCCTCTGGCCAGCCGCACCGTGAAGACACTCTCATCCATATACGCCAGCGCTTCGTCGAGCCGGAAACAAGGGCAGAGTGAACTGGAGGCCCCACGCGGGGTTGCTTTAAGGACATTTGGAAGCTCCGGGAACCCGGATAGGTTGGCTCGAGAAAACTTTTACCGTCTGGAGGATGACAGCCCTGAACATGAGTCTCAGGAGGGAATCATAATAAGTCAAGAAACGCGAGTCTCTACGGAGCCCGCCCGAAACCTTTCTACGTCAGAAAGCTACAGCGCTCATGTACAGACTGTTTAAGGTAATTAGAAAATATTTTAATACACATAAAGATAGCTATGTAAGCTAAGGCGAGGATGGAGGGGGGGAGGAGACCGCCACGACAGTTACCATAGAGTGAACACATTTATGTAATTAGGCAGCCAGGAAATAATACCCTTGTAATCATAGCTTCATAGACACGATCAAAGATGGTTACAGTTAGGCCATCTTTGAAAAGTCCCAGCACACGTCCCCGATCAACCAGTTTATCCTTTCCCGAAGGTCAAGACCCAAGACAAGTCACCTTCGTTATGCTCACCCTCCCTCTCCGCCCCCAAATACTACATTACGTAGTAAAGTCCCTTCACATACCCAGATGTATCTCATCCTAATTCCTTCAAGCTCATTGCTTTCACCCTACACCCTTTCATCTCGCGGGCTTCCCGACTGACCACTCAGGCATACATTGTTGCCTATCCAATTTCTGCACAGGCATAGTAGATATCCAACTGTTTCCAGTATTGTGAGACTAGTAGCCATCAAGACAACAATATGGACTACCACGTACACATAATCGTTGCTGTTTTCGTCGGTCTTCTCGCACACAACGCAATTTTCATCCGTGGCGAGTGGCACATGCATATCCTACAAATTCTTGTTGGCGTTTGTCTGGTGAACGTCATCGCGCTGTACTCGTTATACCGCGTCGTACGAGTACCATCATTTAGTGAGGCGCTCGGCGCCTTGTTCTACATGGACATAGCATGCTTGACGGCCCTGTTCAGCAGCATGACGGTCTATCGTCTCTTCTTCCACAAGCTATCTGGCTTCCCAGGTCCGAAGCTCGCAGCGGTCACCAAGCTATGGCACGTCTGGAAGATTCGCAAGTCGACAAACTATCTGTTACTCCAGGAACTCAACGGGGAGTATGGAGACATAATACGCACTGGTGAGCAAAGACACGCCGTTCATGCATCATGATATATATATCCAGGCTCACCAGATTTCACCCTCAATACGGCAGGCCCAAATGAACTTACCCTTGTTGGGCCTTCAGCTTTCAATTTACTTGATGGTTGGGGCAATACTACGACGAGAGACGTCTGGTATGATTTGTTACGGCCGCGATACTCTGCCGTATTCTGTCGCGACAAGAAACTGCACAAGGAAGGGCGCAAGGCCTGGGTCAATTCCATGACCGGGCAAGGTAAGAATCCTAGCGGGAACCATTCGTCCACTCCACTGACTTGGCTGCTACGAGGACTGCAGCGATGAATGCATTCTATCCCCGAGTCGCAGCTCTTTCCCACTCGCTCTCGAGCTGTATCAGGTCCCACGGCACTCGACCCGTGGATGTCGACGATGTCATGTCCTGGTTCTCTTTCGACGTGATGGGGGATGTTTTGTTCGGCGAGGATTTCAATCTATTACGTTCCCAAATAATGGACCCTGCCATCAAGCACCGTGACGGTGCTCTGGCGCTTGTTGGGCCCATCTCAGATGCTATTTGGATTGCACATCTGGCGTTCCTTCTTGTTCCTTTTTTAAATCCGGTCCAGGACTGGCTTGGGATGGTGAAGTTCTGCGAGGACCGACTCGCGGCCCGAATCCAGGTAAGCACTTCTCCACGGTGCCAAGATACATTTCTAGGGTTATTCCGAGATGATAGACAATTAGTCGATGTCTATTCACTAATTCTTGGCCGTTATGGTATAGAGAGGCGAGAACGAGAAGAAACCGGACATGGCTCAATATTTTCTCGATGAGCACCAAAGTCTCGACGGCACTATGAGCTTGAGAGATCGAGATCTTTACCTTGCAGGTAACATAATCACCGCAGTGGTCGCAGGCAGGTTCGTATCCTACTGGATTCCCACCACCAGGCACATGAATCATGAGATCTCCTTTTTATTGGCTAATCATTCCATGCTGCTCCAGTGATACGACCAGAGCTGCTTTGATAGCAACCTGTTGGTTCCTGGCGAAGTATCCCGAACACGCGGATGCGATCAGAGCCGAGACTCGAGATGTAGACGGTGACGATTTCGCAACGCTCGCCAGTCTGCCTCACCTCAATGGATTCATCAACGAAAGCCTCCGCCTGATGCCGCCTGCCGGCATGACGGGGACGGCCAGGATCACCGGGCCGCAAGGGATGCAATTCGAGAACACTTACATACCCCCATTCACCAAAGTCACGGCGCCAAGGTATGGCATAATGAGACGTGAGTAACTCGGCCACATCCAGCTCATCACCCACTTCCCAAGCCAAGATGCTGACCTCTATGTCGGGTAGTCGAGTCTGCGTTCCCACGCCCAGACGAGTTCATACCTGAGCGATGGTACTCGCAGCCCGAGCTCGTCCTCGACAGGCGAGCCTTCACGCCGTTCTCGGTTGGCCCCCGCCAGTGCACCGGCAAGACCCTGGCGTATGCCGAGCTTCGCCACGTGGCGACTCTTCTGCTCCGGCACTATGACATTGAGTTTGCGGACGGTTACGACCCGGAGACCATGTGGCGAGACTTGAAGGACCAAGTCACGGCCCAGCCGGGCAAGGTCTTGTGCGTATTTAAGCCCCGTGAACAGTAGGTTTAGGCTACTGAAAGACCACCACATAAGCAACGATAGGATATGCGTACGAGAGTTGGTCATTTAAGCGCAGGCATAACCAAAGCACGCTGAGAATAGCACGCAAGACTCAGGGAGACATCAGGGGACGAGATCGCGACCAAGAACAGAAACAGATAAGTTCCAAACGAGGTAGGGAGAGTAAGAAGATTGCAAATATCACGAGAGAGAAGAGGATGATCGTTGGGCTTATGTGGACGGGGGTGATGACGGTACGCAGGAGTCTCTCGTTCACGATGAGTGATAGTAGTTCAATCATTCGGCTTTCCAGCTACAGATATATGACATGATGATTCAGAGCCTCAATTTTCCAGCCTCGATTCAGACCAAGCCCTCAAGCACTATTCATGCGCAAGTCGAATACTGAACCGTCATCCGCCAAGCTGTTGATAGTCACACCCACAGGAAGCGCTACCACCTGTTCATTTGTCATGAACCCGCATGCTTCCGATGTGGCAGACGCTCCCACATCTTGGATTTCTGTAAGGCATTTCTTCGAATCGCGATTGACTAGTGTACCAGAAAGGAAATAGTCCCATTTAGCACGCTTGTTGCACTCTCCAGATTGGATATTCCCATCCTTTTCAACCAAGCAGCGCTTCTCATCCGCCAGGCTGCTAAATGTACCGTCATCGCGAGCCCTCCAAACTTGAGAGTCCGATGTGGTGCAATTAGTCCATGTAACGAGACCTCCACGTGAAGACGAGTCGGTTAAGCAGTTGAGAGAGTAGGTGTTGAAAATGAGACCAGTCGGGACGGTTTGCACGGATGATCCTGGTGCCGGGTTCGAGATGCGGAAGATTGCTGTCCCATGAGGCGGTACGCTCCTTGCAGTGAATCCCTTTGAGCGCTTAAGATCAACGGTTTGGGAGCGGCCAGTCCACAGATCCTTGATAGACAGTTTGGATGGGGTATGCGGCGTGTCTGTTGTAAGGCCAATATGACTCCAGGGAACTGTTAAATCAGCAGTAGCGCTACCCTTGTTCAATACAGTGAGCAGGCGATCTCCATTGTGAAGGCTTTTCGTCAAGACGTCCCAGTCAGCTGATTGACTAACCAGCGATGCTTGCTGAACCAGAGGGTCCTGGTCAACTGCGATGATGTCGGGATTTGTAAGATATTTGACCTCTTCATCGGTGAGAGAAAGTACATCAGTGCTTAGAATCAACGGAGCTGAGAACGAGGCCCAAAGCGCAAAATGCGAGCGTCTCTCGTGGATAGTATAATCGAAGTGATCGACATTGAGGAAGTCCGGGTCATTGAAGTAACCAGGTCGCTGAAAACGGCCCAAGCGCAGTTCTTGGCCATAATTAAACATGATGCTGTCCCATCCAGTGATGTCTGGCCAGTACAAGGTCGAATTCCATACCAATGTATCTCGGGAGTGGCGCGCGAGCTGCCCAAATTCTGGCACCCAGCTCATCACATTGTACCAGTTGGTCAGATTCGCGGCTTCAGCAAAATATGCCGGTGCTGATTCTGAGAACACCATCGGGGTCTCCAATTTGGATAAGATCTCGTGCCACTTCCCATACACCTCTCTGTATTCGGCCTCCGTCCCCGTTGGCATATTGCACCCATCTAGCTTGACAAACTCGAAACCCCAGTCTGCAAAGTCCTTGATATCGATCTCCTCGTAGCCATATGCGCCCGGGTACCCAGCACATGACGAGGTTCCTGCATCGGTATATATGCCAGGTATGAATCCTCTGCTTTTAATGTAGCTTGCTAGCCAAGGCAGACCTCGCGGAAACTTGTCTGTATCCCATGTCATAGAGCCATTAGCAAGCCGTTCCCTGGGAGACCAGCAGTCATCCAAGTTGATGCGGTTGTAACCCGCCCGGAGCAGGCCCTTTGCTAGCATGGCATCGGTCGTCTCAACAAACAGCGTTTCGTTCAGGGCGTCCATATAACGAGCCCAATTATTGAACCCCATCGGAGGCAGTGGTGAGATCACTCCAGATGCAGCAGAGGCCAGCCCTATGACGGCCAGCAACGCCACACATGGGTGGCAACGAGGAATCATTGTGCCGTTTTCAATAGCTCCGCTTAGAACAAACTTGTCCTGTGCTTGATTGACGTGTGAGAATTGGTCTTCTTAGACAGGGAAGAGGCGTGTTTAAAGCCATGAACGGAAAAATTCAAGCGAGGTAAGCGATAATGCCCCAACACTCAGCTCAATTGCAGTGTTACATGCATACTCTGTGGGGCATTTTGTTGGGGCCTCGTCATTGATATACTAGGGTTTGCCAATCACCCCGCTCAGCTTCGCAATCTCTTTTGTCTTAAAGAGAAGAGTGGCTTTGTTTTTGTCTCAGATCATCTCATGCTCGCACTAAGATTCCCCGGCTGACAGCGCGCAAGCTAACAGTGTATTTTCCTTCTCAATGACATAGGAATCGAATCGTTATGAGAGCTAATATTCACAAATCCAGAGTTCATGCAATGCCACTATATACAGGAGTAACGTTGCACCTCAAAAGAAACAGCTGCATCCGGAGGCCGGGGAATTATTCAGGCACTTAGTAATCCCGAACCCAGGCGTATACTTTCTTATTGCATAAATGCATTGGTTTTATGGCATTCAGGAAACCCAGATGACCTGGGGTTATCCAAATCAAGATAGCAGGCTATGTTACATAGATGATGACTTTAAACCCGGTTATCTTTGCCATCATCCCGATGTCGGTTTGCGGGTGGAGCAACCCTATTATAGCTATTTGAGATCATATATGCCAGGCGGTGTGAGTGCTTAATTGAAATTGATAGTTATTAGCAGTAAGCATAAGCCAAGACATGAGTTTCAAGAAGGGTTGAGAGAACGCTTCAAACAGTACCCCAGTTTCTTTAAGGTTGTGCAAGTTACGCTCTCTATCAAGGAACCAATATGATGTCGAATAGTTAGATATTATCCCATGACTTATGGCAGTTCAACAAATTTGCTTCGAGTATTAGGATTAACATGAACATTGGCGCCAGGGACTTCGGCAACTGGCATCCCAGCAATTTCGGATATCGGCTTCTCATCTATAACGCCCAGCTCCGGGTAAGATCGATGCGTCGCCGGTGATCTTAGCTCCTGGCTCGCTGAAGGATCCTGGCCCTGTGTCATTGACGCGTTCTGCCTCTCGGCACGCGACTTGCCCTTCCTGTAGAACAAAAACGCGACCGCAGCCAGCAGGAGAATCCCACCAATACCGGCGCCGACGCCGATCCCTCCCTTCGCCCCGGTCGAAAGACCCGAAGAAGGTGTCTCTGACGTGGGTTTGCTAGTACTCGTTGCTTGTTCATTGTCTGCGCCAGTTCCCGCAGGTACTACCAGAGTGGTTGAGAATGACGACCTTGTAGAGGTTGAGAAAGTTCCTGTCGAACGGCTCGTTGAGGCCTGTTGGCTGCTCTCTGATGACACACTAGAGCTACGTGAAGCCGCCGAGGTGGTTCTTGAACTTCCTTGACTAGACGAATCTGAGGAGCTGCTGGTTGTCGAGTACTGCCATACTGGAGAATAGTTGACTTCCCCTGTCACTTCGTCCTTGATTCTGAAATAATATGTTCCCGACTGCAGACTGCTACTCGGGGTCCAGTATCGCGAGCTCCCTAGGGCGAGTTCTAGTACAGATCAAGCGTCAGTCATGTCAAGAGATTTAGACATCCGACGGTAATATACTACTGCCATTCTGAATAGCTGCAGACAACGCCCATGGACCTCTGAGGTTAAGTATGAAACGTCCTCACCCGCTATGGTAACTACCTGCTGGGCATTATCCGACGTGCTAGTCACCACACTCAGGGTAACAGGTCCTTCGTTTTGGTCCCATTTTAGATTAAAAGCTTTGTTTGGTTGGACTGAGAAATCAGAATTGGTGAAAACAACGGCCAGAGATAGCCGGCATATTGATAGAGAGAACAATGACCCAAGCAACAGCCGTGGGGTTAGCGAAAGCAACATTTTGCAATCCAGCTGCGATGATATGAAGAGAGGGTGAAGAAGCACAGCGAGGGAAACCGTTGGAGAGAATGAGGGGTTGGGCATCGTGCTAGGCCCTCTTCAGGCCCTTGTCAACGAGGCGAGCGTATCGAGATGTCTCCCCATTCGCCAGATGCCCATTCCCAAAGCTTGCATCCCTGTTCGAACACCCACCGCCAGCAAAAGCGGAAACTTTAGCGATGCCAGCTGAAAGAAGCTGAAGTGAGCTGAAGCTTGAATGTCACCTTTGCCAAGACCTCGTGTTTTTCTTCTTCGTGTAGGATGCTATGCTTAATGCACTCATTCAAATTAGGAAGTCAAAGGCTATATTGAATGTAAGAGTCGCTGTCATTTACTCAATCACGGCACCGAATAAAAAGTATCACTATAAAATACCGAGCAGCAAAATCAAAGCTCACGAGATGAGAGCATTCGTTTACTTGTATGGACATGCAGCTTGAGCCACTTGGTTCAATTAAGTGCATGGTAACATCATGATGAAGATATCGGCCCCGATGTATTCTCCTCGGAGTAATCTTTTAGTGGCAGTTTCAGATATCATTGCCATCGTATACCGTCACCTCTGGCCACTCCTCAGAATTCTTATCCAGCAACGGCGACTCCTGTCCTCCTATATGCTCGCCAAAGAACGCCGAGACGTACGTGCCCCTAATATCCGCCATTCGTCGACCGTCGATTGTACCCATGGGTCTTGTCGTGCCCCATCGCTTCCAGAAGGTGGCGTCCGTCCAGTCTGCATGGACGGTTCCATTTACACTAATCACCCGCCACCAGCCTGACTGGTTCGATGTGTAGTTTTGAAAGGACTTGTCTTGGTCGTTGTTGTGGCCCTGGACCGTCAGCAACATGGTCGGCTTGCCAGCATCAGCTGAAGAGTCGTTATGAGCCGCTCTCCCCCAAATGGTCCCGTCCTGATTCAAAGTAGCGACGATGGCATCGCTCTCGATGCCGGCGCTGAGTGCTGAAGAGCCGCCGAAGGAGTGGCCAAAAGCGCCGATACGAGTTTTGCGAAAAGGAGCTCCCAATTCTGTTACAAGCTTGGGCCAATTGCGGACAAAGTGCAACATCTCGCGTACGCGCACAGCGTGCAACAAATCAATCAGAGGCTGGCTGGACGGGGTTGTAATAGGAAGCCCAACCAACCCGGTGCCGTTTGGGAAGCGCAAAAAGGGCTGCTCATAAGGGTGATCAAGTGCAGCGACGACGTAGCCGCGGGATGCCAGGTCAGAGAGCAGGATCACGAAGCCATCAGTTGAGGGACCCCATCCACCTGGGGCGAATACAAGCGAGGGGCCAGCGCATTTGCTCAAATATGAGGCGTTCCAGTGGTTTGTGGAGGTCAGGTGGGATATGTTGAACTTGTATACGTCGGCGTACATCTGTGCCAACTCAGGCTCAATGTACGTTGCCGGCGCAGATGGGCTGTCCTCGGTTGGATAGTAGATTGTTGCAAGGTATTCCGTCGAGATGTTATTTGGGCTGACGGGGTCGTCTGGGTTGTCGAAATTGATGACCAGCCGACGAACCCCTACATTGTAAGGCCCTGGAGGCTCCGGGATGGGCTCGGCGTTGCAACATTGCGCCAGCCAAACTGCCAGGCATAGGGCTGAGTGGAGCTTCATTGTAACGTCCTGTTGAACAGAAGTGAAAGAAATCTTGTGGATTGCTTGTCTCGAGATATACCAAGAACCCCGCACCAAATCAGAAGATTGGATCCTTCAAGATAGGATTCGGGCGATGATCTTCTTTTAGGCAGGAGCTTAGCGATTACAGCTTCTGTATTACTGTCTAGTGCCCTTCCGCTGCTTATCTTCGTGTTTGCCAGTCATGGGTAGGGCTGACACCCCGCATTGTTGCCAGAAGTCTTCTCCCAAGGCAAAATATCCTGGAACTAGTATCGATGGGTATAACATATATTCTCTCGATAGATCGGCGCAAATATGGGAAGATTAGGCACAGGAATCTAAAGCCAACATGCGACTGAAATACGCTTCCGGCGGTTAGCCAATGACGTTTCTGTCGCAGGGCTGGAAACATTTGACCAGCCATTTCCACACTTCCAAAAGTGCTTAGCGCGTTGCAGGCTAAAATTTGGGTTAGTGGAATGGATAATTAAACAATGGCTTTTGATTAACCAAGGGGTCGATACGCTAGTAGAACGAGCTTGAAGGCTATGGGAGCACGACTTGGACGAGTGTGTCATTGAAATTTGTACCTAAGGTAGGCTATGGCCACAGAAAACCTGTTTATTGGATCCTAGTACGCAAGGATGTGATGGCTAGTTTTGGCGATTCAAGGTTTTATGTCAGAAAAGACAAAACAATAAAGGCTACAAAACCTGGCATCGATGTGCAGTAAGTGCTGCTCATGTCAAATGGTCAGAGTTCAAGCATTTGAGAGCGCACAAACCGCACCAACTAAACAATCTAAGAAACAACAAAAAAGCCAGCCAAATTATATTCCAATGAGCTGTCAAAGTATATTAAAATATGTCTAGATGCGATAAGGGAGCAGAACTCGCATATTATAGAGAGCGTATTGCGGGATTCACAGCCTGTAGGGTAGGTGGGGGTTTGGATGACACGTGATCGCTACCGGGAAATACTTTTCTCCTTGTTTGTTTGTTTTCAATGTCTGCTTTGTCATTCATTCTACGTCACACCATCAATCAGCTGCTTGGCACAGTCCGATAAAGCCGTGCGCGTGGCAGTCAATTGCCTTCGGATGCTTCGGTCGACACGGAGACTAGGCTGTTTGTGCCCAAGAGCGAGGCGACGGCAGTTCATCGCCTGACTGAGCCTCGGACGCACCTCGCAAGGACTGGAGCCAGGCGCGGGCCGTGGTTGATGGCGCAGGAGTCAGACTGACTGAACGACGATGACGCGGAGTGAGGCGCAGGAGTCCTTAGTCAAGCTCCGATCCATGGCAGAGTTCTGAATCGCAGTGGCATTGAGCTGTCGCGTGCGTGTTCGGACCCCGTTATGTCCGCGGACCCGCAGCCCCTGTTTGTTTAATTGTTTGATGCGATCCGTGTCTCAATTTAGCACCGAAAATTGTTATTAAAATTCATCCAAGCCCGTGTTGATTCACACATTCGTTCGTTTTGCTCATATCCCTGTGATTGGCGTCCGCCCATCGCCTGGCCGAATCAACACCAGCATCCACGCCCCTCCCCACCCAGCGTGCATCACCATCGTCTTCATCTCCTTCATCATGAAGAGACCGGCTTTTATTTCTTACTGGGTATGCATTTTCCCATTCCACTTCACTTTCGGTTCTGACTTGTTTAGGTCTTCCCCATAATTTCCGGCCTGGTATGGCTGGGTATGCTCCTCGGCATGCTTCTCTCATGGATCATCGACGAGAACTCCCGCCACTACGACACCATGTCTGAGCGGGCCACCATCGCCTACATCAGCAACATAGGCGCCGATCGCTTACAACCTCTCTTCATTACCGGATGTACTCTCACGGCTGTATTTCTCGACGCTGCATTCATCGCCGAGCGCTGGCTAAGACACCGGGGCCGTCTTGTGCCCAATTCCTCGGTGGGCGAGAAGGCTCTCTCTATTTTGAGTCTCTTGTTTGCCACCGTCGGAACCGTGGGCCTCATTTGCCTGTCCATCTTCAAGACGGGCACGCATGGCCGTCTACACTGGGTCTTCTTGGCACTCTTTATTATTGGATACCTGATCTCTGCTATTTTTCTTTGTTGGGAATACCAGCGTCTCCAATCCAGTATGTTGCCTCCCGCTTTATCTTTCCAACCCAACTTTTCGAATCGTGGCTAACCTTAACTCTTTCTCTTCTCTTAGAAAACCGCGATTTCCCCGAGCTCCGCCTTTCCTTTTGGATCAAACTCACCTTCATCATCGTCGAACTTGCCCTCCTCATCGCCTTCGGCGCGTGCAGCAGAACCAGAAACACCAATGCGGCCGCTGTTCTTGAGTGGATCATTTCATTCATCTTCAGCTTCTACGTCTTCTCGTTCGTCATCGACTTATGGCCGGCTGTCGAGACCAAAGACCCCAGCAAACGGCACAAGAAGCTGACCGAGAGAGAGATGGAGGAGGCTGCGAGCATCAGCAACAATTCCAGTTAATGCAATATCAACATTGAGCGGAGAATAATGACGTATGTTTTGATCTTGGGTCAGCGTGTTAGATCTGGGTAGAGTATGATATCCGGCGTTTGTATTTGCATTCAGCGTGGTGTTTGGAACTACACATAGAAGATTGGATTGGATTGTTTATTAGAGGTTATTAGATTATATCAGCGCATAGACACATTGGATTTTTTTGGTCACGTCAGAAGGTGGCTTTGCATTGACGAAGCTTGTAAAGTGGCCCGTGCAATCATTGATCAACATGATTCGATGGTGAACGGATATTTGTCTGGCCCATCTTGCTGACATGAGCAATTCTGCTGCGGGCTTCTCTGTCGATCCTATCATCAGCGGGGAGTGAGTCACTGTTAATCGACGTCCTCCTGCCTCCTCACCTATATCAACTCCAACGTATCACCACATATCACCACCAGGAGGGTAATCAGGTTGCAAGAGTATCGAAGGCAATATGGCTTCCTTGGCCTCCCTCGCGCCGGAGCTCCTCCTCCTCCTCGCAGATCGTCTTCACAATATTGAGGACTATTCAGCCCTTCAATCCACATGCAAATACCTCCGCACCACTCTCCAATCCGTGGCCCCAAACACCATCCTGCGCCTCGCCAACAACCAGTCGCGCATCTTCTTCCGCCCGTCCCCCGAGTTCCTCGTGGCCGCTAGCGCTCGTGAACTGGGAGAATGGGCTCGTCTCGACCCCGCCAACGAGGCAGCCCTGGCGCTCGCGTTTCAAAATGGCCCAGCCGGCATGCTTGATCTCGCCCTGCTTCACTGTGGCCTCACAATGGACCGCATCCGCCAGCTGCACGCCCTGCGCTTCTCCGTCATCAATCCCGTCACGGACATCATCGACCAGTGCGTCGGCCAGCAGTGGTACTCCACGCCCGACTTCTGGAACGGCGGCGTGGACGACGCCTACACCATCGACGCGGACCCGAATAGCACGTTTTTCCACCTCGCCACCTACGGCGAGCTCTTCGCCCCGGACCTGGCTGCCTATCTGGACGGGGACGCGGACCACCGTGCCCTGAGTGTCGAGACGCGCCTTGAATACATCAAGTACTGCGTCCCGGATTTCGCTTGTGAGTTGCGCGGTAGCATCGACGCCCGGGATGCCCGTCTCCCCAACGGTGAGCTGGATCCCCGCCGGGACGTCAAGCCCGTGGGACCGTACGCCAGGGACGAGAAGGACATCAACTACTTGGAGTTCCCCAAGAACAACAACATCGCGCTCGTATGGGTCCTCCGAAGCGTGAGGTGGAGGCCGCACTGGAGGAGTCTCCGCCAGAGGGCGGCGGAGGACTTCCAGGACGGGTTCGAGGACGATTGGTGGTTCGACGGCGGGGAGGGCAGGGACTGGAGGCAGCGGCTCTGGGAGAACACCATGGTCTGCCAGGGGCTCGAGGGGCTGGGGATGATCAGGCCCGAGATGCAGGATGGGTGGCTTGAGAGGATCAGGGCGTGGAGGGCCAAGATTGCGGCCTTGGATAGGACGCCGGGCGAGATTAGGGTTGGGAGGCATACTACGTATGATTATCCGTTCCTTCTGGGGGATTTGCGAATCTGTGCCAGTGGGTATGTTGGGGGTACCTGAGATGGATAAATCAAAGCATCCATTTGAGAGTAAACTTAAACTCCGTGCAAGCTATTGCGCTCAAAATAAGATGGCTCGAATGTGACTATGTATCTTCTTGGTGCTGCTATTGAGTAACTTGAACTATTTCACTACTATTCATTGTGTTGAGACTTCCATTGGTGTCTAGCTTTATACTCGAACTCTCTTTTCTGTATGCCACTACGTGGTAACAATCTACAGAAGTCTTATATCTCTCAAATGCTTTCAAATTGATCTTCAGAACCGCAATTTCTCGCTTGAGTGAAGTTGATGTAGATAGGCCATATTTCATGGCTATGTGATTTGGTGTGGGAGCGAAGCTCAGGGGGGAGTAAGAAAAATCTGTCTGTCCAACTGTGGCCCAGATCTTTTGACTCCGTGTTAGCTGTAGTTCAGGTAAATCCTTTTGACTGAAAGCTATTAGCAAGCCTACTCTTTGAGTAGAAAAAGGACCCTCGGAAGGAAGATTTGGAACCAGTTATAACCACTTTGGAAAGATTTTACCTTTGCTCTTACGGGCTTAATAATGTCAGATACATCGTGAGGTTATATGAGTCAAAATATTCACGAGGTGCAAACCTCTGTTTGAGATGGGATTCACTCACTAAATCTCGAATAGGCATATCATGTAAATTCCTGGATGCTCCGTGATATACAGCCTTAGAGTATTCGCATAAGGGCATGGTACGGAATCTCTGCTCCGAGGCACGGCGTGGAGACTGAAATGACTAGACCTATAAATAAGACGTCAAGGGTGACGATGGGATGAGGCTGGTCAACCTCCTATACAAGATCTTTGAATAGTTTACTGTCTTCATGAAAGCTGAGGGACTTGTGTATAATAAGTCAGGAGCATTGGTGTCACTACTTGACCTCCTTGCTATGATAGCAAGGCAACACCGTGAATTAGATTATGATAATTCCTTGAAACAGCATTAGCTTATTCACACGTGTACAAAATGGAACTTGGGAATGACCCAAAGTCCTTGCGAAGATAACAAGAATGCATAGAAACGGCGTTTTAATGGAGCAGAATACCATTAAAAAGGGTCCTGTGGTGTTGTGGTGTGGCGAGTATTGGGATTCAGTCCAAGCGGGATTGGAAAGGGCACGCTTCTATGAACTATTGATGCTCACGATGTAACGACGGTGGCCAGCGACCTTGCTAATGATTATGGTAAGCACTTGAAAATTGACAAAAGGGGAAAATCAGCAGGTATTAGGGGTTTTTGAACAAATGCTGGGTGTGATGGCTTCACAGGATGCTGACCTCCTGCACAGAGGCGTTCCACATGGCGGTGCAGTGCCTGACAAGCCGGTTACCAGGATCCTCCACCTACTGTGCTTTTCTCGGGCATGTGCATGACGTCGCTTGGGGGTGACACTCTGAACCATTGGACTCTTGTTTTATTGGCTACCAGCACCTACGGAACATGTCAAGATCCCGAGATTTACGTTGGCACGTGGCGGACACTTTTTTAGGTCCGAATACGTGTTTGCAAAAGAGCTTATTTCGCCTCTATGACACACTACCGTATTTGGTAGAATACCACCCTGCAAGGGTCTGATTGTAATAGTGGTGGTCGTGAATGTGCAATCCTACACTACTGCCGTTGCCCCCTTTGCCCCGCGCGAACCACTTCATAGGCAACATGGGTGAGCAAGCCGCGGCGATGGGTCGATGCGTTCATTGCGTGAATGCAACACCGAAGAGCAAAAGACGGGAAAGGAAAAACAAGAATAAGCAAGACCAGTGCATAATATGCCCGGGGATTAAGGGAGGAATGGAAGAAAAGACCTTCCGCAGCCTAGTAGGCGGCGGAATAAGCCGACACGAGAGCTTTACTCTCTCACTCGCTGGAAATATTAAGGCTTGAAACACTGAGTTGCCGATCATTGAGTCTGAGGAATGTACTTCTACTCTTTGTCCAGCCACATTGAAGGTTGAGTAGGCGTCTGGTGGCCATGCGTCATCCAATAGACTTTATTTCCCTGGGCATCTTACAAGTTGGTGGATTTTGGTGGGTAGTACATCAGTGGAGTGAGTTTGTTTCTACGTTGGAGGCCTAGCACCGAGTTGCTGATACGGTATACCTGTATGTATTTCCGGCAGTTGAACAGCTTGGCATGTGTCTGGTATAGGAGAGAGCTGAAATAGCAAAACAAGAAACCTACCTGGTCAAAGCACATCATGGGTGGGCTTGTCTAGAAATCCCCGAGGTAAAATTAGCAACGAACCAGGCGGCATGGTTGGACTTCAGACGAGATGATGCGTGGCAGGCACAGTTCTGGTCGGCGATTACAAGTCGTATGGGGACCAATGCGGGAGCCCGCTAAGTGCCGGATGGAGCCCCAATGTACGAGAATCTTCCTAATCGGGGGTGATATACCGACCGGGGTCTGTCTTAGCCTCTTAGGAGCTTCTTCGGAGGCAAGGATCAGCAGCCGTCAGGCAATAATCACTATGGCTCATTGGAGGCCGGGAGGTTAACGGTTGGCCAGAGTGGCATACGGCAATCGCTTGGGAGACCGCATATTTTAAATTCAGCCTGGAAATCGTGATCGAACCAGTGGGAGGCCTTTCGTGATATCGATGTACGTTAGTTGTACGGCATAAGCTAAGCTGACATCAATAGCTGACGATACCGGTATTGGCCGAGACAGCGTCTAGGCATGTTCGGCACCAAGCCAACGGTTTACGTTTGTAACTGCCATCATAATGCCTAATATGTAGTAATAATAAGATCTACTGCCGAAGTGTAATCTCAGTCCCTCCACTGAAGGCAAGACAGATCTGTCGGCAGATCAGCCCTACCACTGTCATACTGGTAACGTTGTATCGCTCATCTGAGCAGCTATTGTCGTATCGTGCCAGGGCACACGCGTGGCTGCCGCGAGACTGAGCCTGGATGAGGCTCCCCTCGCCACTCAATGAGCTGCCGGCGACATCCCATTAGGGAAATAATGCACCATTTCACCTAGGTCGAACCTCTCCTTTCACGGACAGAGGGTCGATACTACCTCCCAGGTCGCCGGTAGGCCTCCTTTTACCCCTAAGTTCCATCAGCATCATCAATTAACAGGCCCGTCTCAATGCTTGGGACCCATGCCGATCCTCCATTCCCAAAGTCCCATCTGGCGGTAGTGCCCCTTGGCCACTCACACGATCTTGCTCGGTGTGGACGTGTGGGACAGGCTAACTTAAAAATGTCCACCAGACGTCAGCATGCAGATATAGTTCTGCACCAGTCCGGTGGTGCTTCTCCCGAATGGAATCAATATTTGTTGCTAGCTCATGACCAGTCTTTGGTATATGCTTGTTTTGCTTGCATCATAGGTCATTCTTTCTGTTCTTTTCACTTCAAACGTTTACTCTCTCACTGCACATATCGACATAATGCCTGGCATTCCAAAGTCGAGGGGCTGCCAGACTTGCAAGCAGAGAAAGATCAAAGTAGTGCATCCACCAGCCCTAGACACAACGGTGGCCTAATTCAGGACGAGCTAACATGCTTTCTTCTAGTGCGATGAGAGTTGGCCAACTTGCGAACAATGCAAACAGCGCAGGCTTGAATGCCCAGGACCTACTCAGCTCGTCAAGTTTATCAACAATGCTTCACGCAGCGATAATCCAGACGAGTCACAGGCCGAATCTTCAGGATCAGACAGCAGGGCAACACCATCTAGCAGTCCTAGCCCTTCCCTGAAGCTGCGCAAGGTATACTATTCAAAAGTTGGTGATGATGCAGCTGAATACGGCCTTCTGCTTCAGGTCGGGCTGCCCCGAAGCAACCCCACAACCCTCGCGGACCGAATCAGCGTCCGTCTCGTCGCCAGCATGGATCACGGCTCTGAGGGACTAATAAGTGTCCACATGAGCTACCTTCCTGAGCTTCCGAAACGACTGAGCGCAAGTGCCTGTTTACGCGACTCGGTGGACCTTTTTTGCGCGGCATGGTCAGACTCCCGTCGTCATCGGAAGCGGAGAGAGCTGATGGAGATGCCCCAGTACGGGAAGCTTCTGCGGAGTCTTCGACGTGCGCTGGTGGCAGTCCAGGCCTGCAGTATTGAAACTCTGGCTGCGATGACACTTCTCGAACGCACAAGCAAGCTCTTTGATGGAGGGAGGTATGCAGATTTACATCTGAAAGGGATTAGAGAAGCTCTTATAAGGAGAGGACTGCCGAAGTTTGATGACCCGCTTGAGGTCGCGGTTACGAACGAAATTCACGGGCTTTTGGTTAGTCTGGGTCAACAGTGCATCATGTGGTATCATCGCTAATGTCCCACCTTTCTTAAGTTGCGTGATCCAACTAGGAGCGGAGAGAACGACTTCATCAGGACATCGCCTTGGAAAGAGGCATTCGACAGATGTGCAGAAGAACAGTCATCTACCTCAGATGTGCGGCCCTTTTTGATAAACGACATGCTACTTCTTCATAAATACACGAGAAGACTCGCTCCTCTGTACCATGATTTTGGGCGAATATATGCCGACCCATTCAGCCAAGGCATGACACGACTTGCCGTGACAATTCGCCAAAGACTGCAGGACATGAAGGACTCGACGCTGCGAATTCAAGAAGATTCACTGGAGGCTGATGCTGGAGGAGATAAGGTGGCTAAAGAGTCTTGTGCAAAGAACCTAATGATGGGTAAAAAAACATACTTCAAGTGTGTGCTACTTGCGGCCATTTGCCAACGGATGCTCATGTGCCATCTCGTTCCCTTGCGGATGGTATACGAAATGAGTGTCGTTTACGGGACGCCGGACCCGGAGATCTTCGATGAGTTTAGAGAGGTTAGCATTGGCATCTGGAATGCGATTCCTCAACTCCGGGCCTTGGAGTCGATCGTGGCAGTTTACATGATACATCCAGCCTGTCTTGGTTACGAGGATTCTATCAAGAGTGAAAGGCAGCATGATTATGACTCTGCCTGGGACATGGACAGCGCCCTTCGTCAGTTCCCGGAGGACAGGGAATCTTTGAATCTCGCAATAGCGGAACGCAGCAAACCAACGACAGGGCGTATGGTTTAGGGGTATAACGTTCGCTTCGCATCTTCTCTGATAGCTTTGTGAAAGGTCCGGGGTTCAATTCCCCGTTCGTCCAAATTTTTTTTGTTTCTGGCCACATAGACGCTGGCGTCCTAAGAGAATACGAGCCAATCATATTCCTGTAAATTTTGGGGGACCAGCGACCTTGATACGACGGCTAAGAGGGTGGATAACTTGTGGGGGTTGCGATGTAATCAACGTTGTCGCCTGTGGTTGCGAACTTTGATTGATCAGCACAGCCTTGAGTTGAGAGGACCGATTGCATCGGGGAGGGTGCCTTTGAAATGAGAACGAAACGAGGCGCTGAGTTTATGAAAGAAATGTAGACCGCGGGAACGGTTTTAATGGTGTATACGATTTTTGATTTTAAATATTCTAGGTAGCTTCTACTAGAGCTTCGCCACTTCCTCCATAATAGCCCAATAAACTAGTCTTAGAAGCTAAGATCATATCTCTAAGCAAACTTCAACAAAGTATACGAGACACTGAAATTCTATTTGATGTTGTATTATTTCGGATTTATTCTAATTGCTATGAGACCCATGAAGCAAGATTAGGTAGGCAGTTCATCTACCCTCGGCAAGTGTGTAGTGTTACCAGTCGCCATCACTCTTTAACCAGTGCCACAGTAGTCAGCATACTGCTTTGCGCTAGATATGGGATTTCCCCACCACTAAAAATGTTGTTAGTTGCATGAATGTATCGATATGATGGATCTTATGACTTACCTTGGGGAAAGAAACCTCAGCTCCAGAGCCACCGAATACAGAGAACGTAAGAATAAACATCATGACTTTGGCTCCCGCATCTAAGCCGCCACCGACGATGTAGTTATACTTGCCAAACCATGCAGGGTGCCGCAGACGCAGCCACCATTGAGAGATTATCCCTGTTGCAACTTGAGACCAAATGACGGACGTGGTGCCTGCTGTTGTGGAGGAAGCGTTATGGAAGATAACAGGAGACACCATCTTGCGAGTATCGTGGCCCCATATGGTGGGAAATTTCCGTGAGATGAGCCAATGGACGACGGGGACAGCAGCACCAAAGAGGATCGAGAGGGGAATCCACCCATATCCATCCTTGTTGAAGCCATACACATATTTAGCCAGCGACCAAGTGACGGCATTTGTGTTGAGGGATTGGATCTTCTGACCACTCCAAACCTGGTTGCCAATGGGATCTAGTAGGATTTCTCGGCGATTAGTAACAATGTTATCCATGATGACATAGTTGAGCGCCGTGCCAAGAAGACTGCCGTATGTCTGAAGGAGAAACATGGTTCTCCATGGGATCTTAAGATACTGTGCCATCTTGAGATCCGTGGCCAGGAAAACAGACAAAACGGTCACTTCATGGCTGAACATGGAAAAGTAGAGGTTTGCAACTGGCTTTCCAGGCTGAAGAACACCGCAAAGCATCTTGGACAAATTGTTGGTCGAGATGCTTGTTCCAAGCAGGCCGTAAAGGCAAAGTGAAAAGGGGGCAATGATACAGCCGAGAAGGATAGCAACCACGTAGGCCCATGGATCAAGTGTAGTGTTCCCGACGTATATAGCCCCAAGACCAAAGAAGAATCCGACGAGCAAAACGATAGCATACCACCACTGGGGAACGTCCTTGTAGTTTTGCTGCATGATCTTGTAATGTATATCAGGCTGCTCGTTTTTCCATGCGCGAATAAGAGACTGCTTGATCTTGGGACCATAAAACAGACCAATGTGAGTGAAGAGACCGCCAATAGCGGCCATTGCAGCCATGTTAGCCCAGACATTGGTTGCGGTGAGTCTGGGCAGCCCATGCTTTTCGAGTGCAGCGGGGTCCAGGATGGCTGTCCTTCCAAAGATGGCCGTTTGGTTATACACCTTTCCAGTGGTTGCATCAAACATAGCGGTAGACATAAAGGGGAATTTCTTTGCACCCCAGGCTCCTCCATAGTACAGCGAGAAGCACATGATGTAAGAAATCAGGATTCCAACCCAGGAGTTCGCCTGCTGTAATAATGGTAGAGACATGTACCGGGAGGTGATGTACTGCCAGTCAAGTGAGAAATTGAAAAGACCTTGACCTTCGTTGGAAGAAATGCCACCGAATACGTTCTTTATTACCGTCCTAGTAGTAGAAGGGGCGTGCATCGATGCAAGGCAGGGAATCGAAATGCCGTTCAACCATGGCCAAATGTAGGAAGCAATTGGTTCCCAAATCAACATGCCGATAGAAGTGAATCCAAACATGCGCAGGCGGTCTCTGTTGGCGCCTTTCGGGTCCCGGTGGAAAGTCTGGTAGATGGATATCATTGGCAGGCATTGCCACCAAACCATTTCAGTCGCTATGAGAATTAATGTTAGTTGATCTGCTTCTGACTAATATGAAAGTAATTGAACCCACGATGAACAATGATCGACCTTAGGAGGCCAACGAGACCATATCCAAAAATTGAAGCAGAGAAGATGGTGAGGATGGCGGTTGCGGCTTCTGTCTGACGATTGTAGAATAATCTTTCAGCCCCAAACACTTGGACAATCGCAGCTCCATTTCCGCTTGAGGTAGAAAGAATCGAAGCGACAGCATGCTCCTTCAGACCAAAATGTCCCGGGTTGATAAAGTGAACGACAGGACCGAGCCATGCAGCGTGTGAGGGCAAAAACTTTTCAACATGTTCTCGGCGTGGAAGCAGCTTAGACCAAGCAAGTCCAATGACATAAGCCATCAGACAGAGGAAAACAGAGGCAAATGACACCTCAACTGGCTTGTAGTAGTAGATCTGGTTGATACAGGCGGCAAGAGCAGTCAAACCAGATCCGATGATGAAGGATCGAAAAGTGCAGGCTGGGTCGCCGTCATCCTGAGTGCTGACAACGTACTCGGAGATGTCCTTTCCGTCACGAACAATAACTGCGCCTTTAACAAGCTGAGAATTCTGTTCTGAAGGGTTCAGGGGCTCGCTGCGCTCAATTTCATTGTCGACGATCTCATCGTCCGCAGACGACGATTCCGCAATTGTGTGGGTGATGGCGTGTGAGGGTTTGCCCATCATGAATGAGACACCCGAGGACGAGCCTGAGTTTCTCTATGAGGCAAGTAAAGTCTAGAAGAGATGATGATCCCACCTATTCAGGGTGGAGGGATCATATCTATTATACATGAGCCTTACCCTTGATATCGATGGAGTATTTCCCATCTACCACACCGCAGAGCAACGTTGGCTAGGGGTCCTCGAGCCACAAGGGACCCAAAAGGGAAAATTTAATCGCCAGCCGTTCATGAACTATTAATTGACCAATGGCACAAGTTGGGGGTATCCAAGTGCATACGCTAAACCAGGGCTTTGGGGATGCAACAAGAACGGGGTCGGATTGCGCCATTCTTGGCATCCACAAGGCCCCATTAGAGGTCACTGGAACTTGCAATCAGTGGATGAGTTCAAACTGTCTTTCTTCAGTCTGTCTGACCGGCGATTGTTTTCACTTTATTTGGCCTAGTCAGTATGTGCCTGTTCCCGCTTCTTACGCATGGCTGTCAAGCTTAACTCGTCTTTATATCAATAGCCTGGGAAACTTTAACAGAACCTGCTCTCCTTTCGCCAAAGCGTGCGCGAATAAAGATATGGCGTCATGCTGATATGAGCTCGCGCCGCGCCAACACCGGAATACCTCCTTTGAGGTAGAAAGCAATCGGCAACCGCCATCAATGTCAACAGGCGGTAACACATTCCCAGGAAAGTTCAATCTCGTGAGCTGATTGACATTACCATGGAGACCTCAGCTCGGAGGCGAAGAGTCGAGACAAGCAGAAGGAGGACAGGGTGTCAAGCCTGTCGCAATCGCCGGAAAAAGGTGGGCTTTACTGGCCAATTTTCACGAAAGAATCCCCTAACAATAGTTCAAGTGCGATGAGACGAGACCACAGTGTGTTGCCTGCGTTCAGCGTGGGTTGGACTGTATATACCAGCGGCCGCTTGTTTTCAAAGGCTTCAACGAACAGCAATTTGACTCGCCGGAGGACGCGCGTCATAGCGATACGAAAAGAGTCCTGGAAGGAGGTCGCGTGATCAGGGAGTCGTCTACCTTCGAATTGGAAAACACGATTATCCACGCCAGTCGCGCGCAGCCCGAATATGCTACTAAGCTACACGAAAACACACATCTTCTGCCTCAGGCGGACTATCTGGTCTCGAACAAGGTCCTAAATGTTTTCCGGGTTGGCGAATCATCATACTCAACTTGTAGCAGCGTATTAAAGCCCATATCTAAGCCTTCTTTACCGTCTTTGGACGAGTATGCGCCTGGACTACAGCTTCATGAACTAAGACGACAGTGGAAAGACGATGGCATTGGTCCTGCACCTCGAGCCGTGGAAGATAGTGTTCGACTCAAATTCTTCTCACACAGCGACTTTGGACGCGAGGGAACTGGAGGCGACAGCGACTCCGGCCACTTCTCGAATAAATCCCCTACACATCCGATACAGACCCCTTCAAGTTCGACCAGCCACTCGCAGTCGTGGGGAGAGTCACCCACAACAGCAAGTGAATTCTCGGGCTCTCAACCTGGATCTTTCCCCTTGCGTCCTGAGGTGGAGGAAGCCCTTCTCATGTATTTCGGTCAGCAAGTCCTCCCGAGGACTCCAGTTGGTGTAACGTTTCCCCAATGGTTCTATAAAAATCGCTGTTTCCGGGCGGCCGTTCTAGCCCTTTCCTCGAGCTTTCTGAAATTGGACCGAAATCGAGGCAACAGTCACAAAGTCGCGAACGTAGCAGTTTATGCACATGGACGTAACGATAAAATCAACTGGCTGTACTATGACACGGCGGTCAAGACTCTCAATGAGCAGCTGGAGAGCCCACACAAAGAGGACCTGGAGCAGTTGGCTGGTGCGGCATTGCTCCTGGCTTATCATGATATTGAGGTTGGCACCCCTCTTGGTGTGAGAAATCATGCATGTGGGCTCGATGCACTCGCATCTCGAATGGACTTTAGCACTTGTTCAACCCCCGGCTTATTTAAAGCATGGAGAATGCTTCGCTGCGATCGGAAGTTCTCAAGCCTGGCAACCCGCAAGACCATAACTGCCGTCGATGCATATGACATGAGTAGTGTTCTTGATCAACAGATCGCAATCCGAGAGGTTTTGATTGGGCTTTGGAAACTTCACTCACGATACTTCATGGAAGCTACGTTTTTGTCAAACTCCCAAATGGAGTCTCCACCACTGCCGCCCCTTTCATCCGCAAATGCTGATGATGAAGAGGGCAACATTGTGCCGAGTCCATCCGAGCGGGTTAGCCAATGGCTTCAATTGGTCCTCAACAGAGACTGCGACATGCATCAGGCTCAGCAGAAAGACTTTTATTCTGACAGCCTTACTCAGCATATGATAACACAGCAGTGTACTTACTTCGCCAGACAGCTAGACCAGTGGTACGAAGGGGTTGTGGAGGCTGATCTACCAAGGGTGAAAATTGGTACTGATTCGGATTTTGTGACAAGCAATTCCATCTCGGATGTGTTGGTAACATATCGGCTTGCCAACGAGAGCAAGGCCCTTGATCACATTTTGTACTTGCTGTCTCGGATGATTTGCAATTATCTCCGATCTGTGTTCAACCCTGGAGCAGTGGCTCCAGTCTCGGAGGCCTGGGCTAAAGTGATCCTCGGGATCATTTGCGGCATGAACTTCACTCGTCAAAACTTCACTTTGTTCCGTGTTGATATGTTACTTCTCATCACCGCGCTTCTAAGCGAAGGGACGCGGATTGTGATGATAATTTTAGAGCACGTGATCCCCCATATCAACAGCATCGATGAGGCCGACCCAGGATTCTTTACGTGGTCGTACTTGAAGACCATTCTCCATCTCATGACACAAGAGAGGCTTCAAGGAAGGACAATCCGTTTAATCATTGATGACTCCATCCAAGACTCGGAACAGAGACATACAGCTGTTAGACATCGACTTGTTGCTTTTGGAGACTTCAGTGGGCAAGGCCAGTTTCGGGATGTCTACAGCGTGGAGTGATTGAGCAAAGGGGTCTCGGTCGGCTGCCCCTTAACTTGATGAGCAACCTTCACCTACAGAGGAGTTATACCACTGTCTATCTACTTCCACGATGAAAACCCCGATTGACTTGTGAAGATTTCTTGTTATATTCGGTGTCATGGCCATTGTACCGGTAACCTGATCCGGAATTCCCCACATACGCATCGGGAATGAGAGGTATCTTCTTCAACAGTTACTAAGCGATTGGAGAACCGAGTGAAACCCGAGAATTCCGATGAGCACTGGCATGGAAATTCTTAGCCGATCTCTAATCCGATACGCTCTCTCTTGTTCCAGCTTCGGTTTTGGATCTCAAGATTGGGCCGATTCCTAAGTCGATACGATGCGATCGAGCCTATCATGCGATGCTTGTAGGTGAGTGATCAGTCTACAGAGTTGGAGTCGTTTGCCTGCCGTTGACCAAAATTCCCGCTCAGGAAATCCAAGGTCAAATGCGTTCACAAGGGTAGATCGCCTTGCCAAAGATGCGTTCGAGCAGGTTTCGCAGGGTGCCAGCTCACGAAGCCCATCAGAAAGCCGATTGTCAGGGCAACGCGGCCGCAACTAGAGTCCAATGGCATGCAGTCCTTCCAATCGCAGAGCCTCGCAGGAAGTCCTCGGCTTTCGGCAGACGCGTCGGCAAACCAAAGTCGCCTTGTTCTCGGCCATGTTGGTACAGCAGATATCGACGAACATGTATCTCAAATCTCCATGAGCAGGAAACTAGCGATACTCAAAACGTTCGCAAACCAGTACCCAGAGCTTACCATCATTCATGTCCAGACTTTGATGGGTGGCTTCGCATTTAGCCCATGCCCACCGCAACACAGGATCCTCTTTGCTGCTGTCCTCACCCTCACAAGGGCAAGACTTGCGCCAACAGAGGTACCATGGGCAGATACCCTGAGACCGCGAGAGGAGTATGCTGAATACACGAGAGCAAGACTTTCGGAGGTTCTTTTAGAAGCTCCTAAGATCGAGTTTGTTCAAGCCTTGCTAATAATTACGCTTCACGAATGGGGGACTAGGGACTTTCACAAGGCATGGATGTACTGCGGTAATGCCTTGATCTCGTCTCTTTATTTGGCCTTGGACTGAATGTTATAGGTATGGCTATACGCATGATGCAAGCGTTATACAGCATGCGTACCGCCCCATTTCCCCCCGATCCGACCTCTAATGATCAAGATCATGACCGATACTCCCGAGCCATTGAAACCAAAACGTACTGGGCCTGCTTCATCATAGACTGTATGGTTAATGCGGGTACATATAATCCACCAATGCTGCCCATGTCCGAGATGAGAAAGCTCAGGATTGGTTGTCCAGTGAATGCTCTTGAGTACGCGCTGGGTCAAAAACACCCAAAAGTCAGCGCTGCATCCAACGTGGAGTTGTCACTTGGGATAGCTCGAGGCTGTGAGATCTTGGTCCGTGGCTTTGACATCTGGTCACAGCTGATGACCTTTGTATTCAATGACGGGCGTAAAGCTCCTGGAATGTGTGCTCCACGCAACTGTCCCTGGGTTTCGAGCTCGCCCTGGGCAAAGGCTTCGAGTCGACTGGAAGCTTGGAGAGCGATGCGGGAAGCGGACACCCACTATCCAACAGCTTCTGTTGTGATGTACGTAACATTAGGGTATGGGGAGGCATTTGTGTACATTAATGTGCTCTACTACGTAAGGTATAGTACGGAACGCCGACATCCTCGAAGCTGACGATCACTAACCGAACCGGTCCGAACAGCGTCATCATGTTGCGGCGAGAGTATTTGCCCTTCCTACCTACTCCTGAGTCGCTCCCGTCCGGACCGACCGACCCCCCGTTGCTCGAAGCCGAAGCGCCTGAGAACTGGTGGGAGGACAATGCAAGGCAGCTTTTCCAATCTGCCGAGTATATCGCGAGGCTGCTCGAGGAGGCCTCTGAATGTGGTGTCCACCTGATGACTCCCTTTGCCGGATTCTGTGCCTTCTCCGCCGGGTATCTATGTGCATATGTGCACTGGTTTCCTAATATGAATCTCGGCCGCAGTCCAGATGCAGGAAAATGCTTGACTGTTTGTCTGAAGTACCTGAAAGAGTTTAAAAAGGTTTGGAGCATTGCTGAAGGCTGGGTACACTGACCACTTCGTTCTTCTAATGGATCAACGTGGCTAATATGGTGCAGATCAATACCATAGAGCATGCCTCGCTGCTCTACAGACGGGCAGCAACCACGGGTCGTTACCGTGGAATGTCAAGAGCTAACTTCAACGGCCTCCACCAGTCGTTGCATGAGTTTCGGGTTGTCGATAGGTCGGAACAACACATGAAAGAGATGGATGGCGTGGAGCAAGCGACAGATACGTCTCGGGATCCTATGGATGACGTAGCAACAATTACTGATGACTCTCCAGACACCAATGTGTTGTTGGAAAGCTTTTTACATGAAGTGAACAGCAATATGGACGAGCAGGGGCCGTGGTCACAATGGTGGCCGCCCATGGATGAAGCAACTTTTGCGTTGGATGAAGCTCATTGAAACTTCCAAAAGGCCTAGCTACACTCTACATTTTCTCCCGCAAGCTCTTCCATAAATATACACTTTCGTTTGCAAAGAAATATCTCTGCACAAGCATGACCCCATGGTGTCCTCGGTGTTTTGCGCATTGTCATTGCCGTGCTCTGAAACCGCAGTCGCTTCGTTCGAGATAACTTTCCATCCGCGAAGTAAGATGATGCATACAGCAGCGGCTACATATGCCAGTCCCGTCAACAGCTGAGCTCCTAGGTAGCTGTTCGTTCCTGAGACTATCAGTAGCGCAATGGGCGCACTGAAAGTGGACGGTAACACCAATGCGAGCCACATCATGTTCAACCCCGATGAGCCGCCCATCACACCGACCACTTCGGTCATTAGCGGTGAGATCGTGGCCCAAAAGCTTCCAGCCACGAGTCCTTCACTGATAGAGAAGAAAAGAAGAACCCAATAACCTTTGGCGTTCACCCACACGGTCAGGGGTAGGATTCCAGCGAGAAGAGTCATCGAGCATGAGATGTTGATTCGGCCAGCACTATCACTAAAATAGCCTACTAATGGCCGGCCGATGGCTTGACCAAAGTTGAATAAAGCGGCAATGAGCGAGCTTTGGGAGGAATTGAGGCCTATACTTATGGAGTAGTCTGCAAGGCTAAAGATTAAGATGAAATATCCAAGCATGGTGAAGATGCCGAATCCGATTAGGAGCTGATATTCAGCACGCTTCAAGAGAGTGATGTGGAAAGCGCCCTGATTAATCCCAATAGCGGTGTTCCGGTCGCGTATTAGGAAAATGCAGCTCGAATTAACTGTGAAAGCAATTATGCTCAGGATTCTAAACGCCCAATTGAGGCCAAGGCTACTAATCATAGCACCCGCAGCCAGTGAGTATACAGCTCCTCCAAGGCCAGCTCCAGAGAGGGATATTCCGCTAGCTAGTGATCGTTTTGTCGTAAACCATTGAGGCACAACGGCAGCTGTAGGTATAAACAACAGACCGACCCCAGCGCCGAAGAGAAGCCCTTGCGTTAAGAATAGATGCCATAGCTGTGTTGCGAAGCTGGCGATGACAAGGCTGGCGGTTTCTAGCACTACTCCGACAAACATAGTAGGGCGAATGCCATACCTACGCATTAAGATAGTCGCAAGCGGTGAAACAGCGAGGAGTGACGTCAAGCTCAGACCTCCGACGAAGGCGTACTGCATAGGCGACGACCCGGGGAAAATCTCATTGTCCATATAGTAGGCGAGAAATACCGCGTAGGCTGAATTGAAGCCCCAAGAATGGCCGTTGATTACGGCAGCAGCTGTCGCACAAACCCAGCCATAACCCCCGTCAGGGCTCAGAGTGGTCTCTTGGGCCGATTGTGTAGTCAGAGTATTCGTCTCCTGTGGTTCCGCTCGTTCCTGGGTCGACTTTTCCTCCATGCCCATGGTGTAGAGTTGGTAAGTCATGCTGGTCTTAGCTCGATTCAAAAGTGCCAGTAGATTTGCGAAATGTTACGAGCAGCGTATGCTTGCCAGGTAGGTAAAGAAAGAAGTAGAGTTGCTGCACAGGAAACCAGTCAGCAGTTACTAGGAACGATTGCTTTATCCCGTTACGTCGCGCCGGTCTCTGGATTTCCGAAATCTTTGAAACAGCAAACCAAAGCCGATCGGTACCGCCTCAAAGCCGACCAATTCCTAGCTGAGAGCCGATGACCCGACTGGTTTATATCCTCTAGCAAAGGTCTCATGCTTCTATCAGCAAAATTTCTGCACAGTCAATAGCTTCGTATTTGGCGGCTATGCTATCATCGAGTTTGTGAGCTGGCTTGCCAGGCCCGTTGCCACCCCAAAGGGCAGTGGGTTATTTCTGAAATGTAGCTATAGAATCAGACTTGTTGCTTGATGCCAAGTTAGCATACCATATTGCTCATAAAAGATCACGGCCTTGATGCGGCTAGTATCCGACTCGTTTGATTCGTCCGGTAAATGTATCTATTTTTCAACTGTCGTGGCTACGTGCCTCGGTCGAATCGGGGGCTGTTCAGCAGATTAGATACTAGATCGATGCTCAACTCGGGTCAACTGATACACATTGGATTCGACCTATGCCCTAGTCACAATATAGAGTCGCGGCCGAATGGTAGCCCTGGGCGGTAGTGTAATTGCTGATTATCATTATTTTTCCCCGCAAGAGTCATAGATGCCTACTGCTATGACCTCCTTTCTCTTGAATCTTTTGAGTATCTCCCGTCGCATAACCCTTCCTCATCGCTTCCAGCGCGCTCCGTCTGAAACTCTGTCGTACTTTTAATGATGTGGCTGGTGCTGTCGTTATCGTGTTCGTGTCGGATATCGGCGTCGCGGTTGACTGTCGCAAATCCTAGCTCCATGGCTTGGGAGTGATCTTGTCTTATCTGCCCAATTGTTACAAGGTCGGTGGCGTATGAACCGCTTGGGTTCGTGCTTTTATCCTTGGCCAGGCTCTTGAAGAAGGCCCGAAGTGATGGCAAGGAGCCCGCAAGAATGCCAACTCCGCACTCAACGACTGTCCAGAGAATAATGTTGGAGACTTGGTCTGCGGATCAAACACACGGTTATTGGTTAGGATGGGGATCACTGGAGCCATGAATGAAAAGAATCAACAGCCACGTACATATAAAATCATCGGGTTTCAAATAAGCATTCGAGTATGGTACACGAACAATGCTTGCGATGGATGCCCTGTACGTTCAAGTCAGCCCTGCATCATTCTGTATATCAATACCAACGGTTTGAGACACACGCACAATATTCCCAAGCCCATAACCAGCTGAGCATATAGCTTTAATTTGGCTCGCATCTGAAGCCTTCGTACCAAAATAATAGGAATGGTAGCGGTCACAAAATCGGTTATGACGTTCGATACCGAAGCGGCGTATGTTAAGATCGTGGGAAGAATCTTGTCCATGCAAGTTCCTTTCGATGTATCCCAGAATGCTTCGACTGGTCGGCACTGAACTAGGATAACGATGAGCCCGACAGAGCTCATCAAGACTGCAAGAATGATGAGTCCTCGCAGTGTCCAGATATATACTCTTCCAGCCGCGATTCGTAGTCTAGTAGTGTCGCGCTCGCATATTAGCCCCTCTGGCTGTCGATGGTACAAGGCGATGTAGAGGAGATAGCTTACACGGTGACGCATATGCTCGATTTCACGAAAACGAGAGTGGCGGCGTAGAATATCTGCCACATAAACACGTACTACCACAGCCAACATGTTATTCTTCGGCTCCTGTTTCGCTCGAGTCGATGGCGCGTGTTCGTACCTTCATACCCTCGATTACTTGGGCAGTTTCAAGTTTATTTCGGGGAGTGCCTATGCCTCGGTGGCATCCGGTGCTGACAATGGCATTGTGGACTATGTACGCGGCCTGCGTGCGACGATGTAAGCCATGGGATTCTTCAAGAGCCCTAGATGTCAATAACGTAAAATCCCACTTACCCAGCCTGCGCACATAAGATAGTCGTCTGTACCGAGTGATTGGTTCTTTGCTCGAATGTACATCCTCATCAAGACGATGATGGAACACAAGACCGAGAGGACGACTGTAGTGATGAATGTCCCAAGCGCTAGCCCTTCTGGCTTCACGGGCTGCCAGCCAGTTTCCTCGGCCATAATCACTGGCTACTACCGGACGAAAGATACGATGTTGGACGGAGGGAACATCGCGGATGAATTGTGATAAAAGTCGTACTTGAACCGTTCGACAATGGTTAGTAGGTATTTTTTCTTTTGGAGGATGTGGGATCCCTGATATGTTTGATCGTCAACGACAACGGTTCTTTTTGGCATCGCTGATGTCGCTGATGCATGTAATTAGGCCCTTTGGAATACTGTGTCTTACGCACTTTGCTTCCCCGGGAGTGGATTGCATGAGAGCCCCGTATTAGACATGCGGTTGGTCGTTCTCCTATCCACCAACGTTACGTCGCATGCGGGCATGGTTCGACTAACCAATTGACATGATGAGATCCTGACGAGCCACCTCCTCAAAACGGGTTGAGGAACCAGGGCCCATGTTCCCCGGTATTTGCAAGGTTTGAGCTGACAGGTTGGTGTGCCATTGCTGGGATTGCCACTCGCGAGCCCCCACGGAGACTTGGTCGTAGTGCTCTGGCACAAGAAAGAAAGGAAGATGCCCTGGGCTGATGTTACATTTAAGGCTGTATTGGTACTGGATCTTAACTCATGTGGTTTTTCTTTTACTTAATGATGACTACTAGTAGTTGACTTGGTTTCAGCAAACCTGGAGGTGGTTGTCTGCCAGGGTGAGGGCAGGGGCTCAACCCTCACCTAGTTTGAAAACCATCAACCCGGTCGATCACCGTCCCTAGCGGTGTGATAGCAGCGGGTCAAAGAAACTTGTACTGCTTAGTCCATGTCGAAGGAGCAACCTTGTCAGGTGATGGGTACAAGCCATGAACCACTCCTATTCCTACATATGTATAACCTTGTCGTCAGGTTCATCAGACGGACCAACCAATAACAGGGATAAGCTGTGGATGAGGGAATAAAGATGGTTATGTTGGTTGATACGTATTCATAATCCTCCCCCTTTCCACTGCCCAAGTGAATGCAAAAAGGTGCCTTCTCAAGCTCTCATCTCCCCGTCACGTCACTCTTCCACAAATAGATACCATGGCTTCTTACGCCGTCAAGGATCACTTTGCTGTCGTTACGGGTGGCGGCTCCGGTCAGTGATCCCTGCATGATTTCTCCAACCGGAGACAGAAAAACTCATTCATTCTAGGCATTGGCCATGTGCTCGTCAAGCTGCTCCTTGCTGCGGGGTGCTCCGTCATCATTGCTGATTTGCGCCTGAGGCCTGAAGCCGAGGAGACAATCAGCAAATATCCTCATCCGGCAGCTGAGCCCAGCAAGCCATCTGCTATATTCGTTGAGACTGACATATCTGATTGGACACAAATTTCTTCACTATGGAAGACCGCTCTCGAGAAATTCGGACGAATTGACATCGTGGTAAGCTGTGCCGGAGTCTACGAGCCTCCATCGAGCTCCTTCTGGTACCCGCCCGGCATTTCGCCCCTTTCTGAGGATCCCGAGGACGCCAAGGTGGGCCAGTACAAGAGCTTTGCCATCAACACCGTCGGGCCAATTCGACTGGCACAGATTGCGATTGACTACTGGCAGCAGAATCCCGAGGTCAAGGGAAATCTGCTGTTTGTCGCAAGCATGGGTGGCTACATGCACTCCATGCAAGCTCCCTTGTACTTTGCGAGCAAAGCTGCCCTAGTCAGCATGGTCAAATCCTTGGCTGGCCTAAACAGAGCGCTGGGTATCCGGAACTCGGCTGTCTGTCCCGGCCCTGTGTTTGTACGTTATTATGTACACCTGAGTAATGTCGTTGCACGTCACTGACTCAGAACTAGACGCCCATCTTTGAACAAGATTATTGCAAGGATAGGCTTAAACGAGGCGATGTAGCTCTTGAGCCGGAGCACGTTGCGGATCTGATTATGAAAGTTTTGCAGGAGCCACAGTATGGAAACGGAAACATCGTAGAGATCTTGATGGCAGGCAGCCCAGACGACCAATCGGTCAATGTACGCGAAGTGACATTGGAGGCCCTATACCCGACCGTGGGCCCCTTGGATGCAGGTACCCGGGCCATGGCAGAGGAGCTCAAGTTTTTCGAGCAGGTGAAGGAAAAGGGAATGCGAAGGTAGCCGTTTGCAATTGCCGAGCGCATTGCATCATAGTTATATACTACTACAGACTCGACCATTCTCCTCATACGATATACGCAAGCCGTGATCGCCCATGACTAGTGATTTTACCGATTCAAAACTGTGGACATCGTTCCACCCCATGCTCGTGAACAATGCTTACTCGTCATCCGGAATCCCGCGCGACTCCAGAAACGTGTCAGCATATGCTCATCGCCATATTACTGTGGAGCCAAGAAGTTTTACCAGTTTTGGTAGTTCTCAACCATGAGCTCCGTTTAGATACACATGTGCATGTTGTCATGTTGCCCTCTTTAGGCCGTATTGTTTGTGTGTTCTTCATTTTTTGTATTTGAAACTAACAAATTCCTTCTATTCTTTTGAGTATCTGTATAATATAGTTATGACCAAGCCCACGGCTCTATCTAATCGTCTGACCTGCTGCGATGGGAGACAACCATCCCGTAGATTAAGAGGTCAACCTATAACGTCTCAAAAAAAGCTCGTATCCTAATATCTAATAGGCTAAGTCTTTTGCTTAGAATCTTATATCCCAGAACAATTTGGCTACTTGAAGAAAACTTTATTAGTGAATGGTTACCCGTTCTAGTAGATTTTTAGCATATTCAGACAATTGGTTTGAATTATAGAGATAAAATGAATACTGAAGATAGACTAAAGGTCACATTGATGCCACCTTGGGCTGTATATATTCTGAATGGAGCGTCTACTCTAGATAGGTACTGTTAGGATATCTCTCTCTTCTCACTTACCTTTCTACTCAATAGCAAAAAGTATGACTCTCCGATAGTTTATCTAAGTTAATATCGAATCAGAACTATAATGATTTTATTATATTGTTTCCAATCGGTTGAATGCAACATCTACGGCTTGCTGGTTAGAGGGACAGCTCCGGACTCCGGAATGGACTCCGGTCGGACGAAGCTCCACTAAGAGATCACCACGGAGGTTGAAGTACCCGAAATTAAACGGCCAATTGCTTATAAGCGATGACAAATTCAATTCTAGGCAGGTGAGACTTTACTTGGGGGGCCTAATTTAGGCCCCCCAAGTAGAGATAGAATTCGGACGAAATAAGATTCGGACGAAATAGAATTCGGACGACATAGATTCGGACGACATAGAATTCGGACTTTCTGAATTGTCCTTAAATCCGTGAAAGAGTCTGGTGTACCTAAATAGAGATGAGGCAGTTGTGTCAAGGCAACGAGAATTATATAAATCCAGGGGTTGCTAGCACCATAACTCGTGATGAGACCCAATGTCTATAATTCGAGTTCCTCAACCTTATTGAAGTCATACCTAAAACTGGATTTATTTTTCTTGTAAAAAATGGGTTGGGGAAAATTGTTCTTCACCGTTGGTTCGGTGCTGTCTTCTTTGGTTGCATCGCAAATAGTGCCGACGGAAGTTCACAATACCGGGTTCAATTCTTCCTTTGTTCTCACTGAGGCTCAGATCAAAGCTGGTGATCTCAGCGATACCCTCATTCAGAATGTTCAAAATGTTATGAACTTCGACAGAACGCAGATGGCTTTTGGGGGACCAAACGAGGATGACTTTTATACCCTCCCTGCCTTGACAAACTCAACAACTCTCAAGCCAGGCCAGGTTCTGAAAGTCGAAAGAATTACCGACCCTAGTGCATATGCCATCCCCGCCAACACTGGGCTCTCGCGTATCATGTACACGACTATCAACTTCAACGGGACCGTCATTCCTACATCCGGCTTTATACTATGGCCATATGCCGCCCGAACTTTCGGCCAAGCCTTGAATGAGACAGCAAAAGCACCTGTCGTGGTTTGGGCGCACGGTACATCTGGCTTCTTCGGCCCTCAAGCCCCCTCAGCTCATCGCTCCCTCTGGTATGACAATAGCGGGCCTTTCGCCTTAGCAGAGGCGGGTTACGCAGTGTTTGCTCCAGACTTTGCTGGACTAGGTATCGGAAAGTCCTGGGATGGCAGTGAGATACCTCATCAATATCACGCTACTCCAGCTACAGCCCACGATGCCGTGTACGGCCTTCGTGCAGCCCTGGAAACTTTCCCCGAATCGTTGGACAACAACTGGGTTGCCATGGGCCATAGCGAGGGAGGCGGAGTTGCCTGGGCCGTTGCTGAAGTTCTCCACTATGAGGAGAGTGAGTTTGCCGATCTGGTGGCGGGTTACAAAGGTGTTGTTGCTGCCAGCCCTACCACGAGGGTGTTCACCGGTCCGGGCTACTTCATGGCTCCCACAGTCGCACAAATGCTGAAGTCGATCTTTCCTTCTTTTGAATTCAGCGACTGGATGACACCTATCGGAGTTGCCAGGTTGAATCTGATCAAGGAAATACAGGGCGGGATTGGTGTTTTTACCCAGGTATTGGCGAACTTGACGGAGAACGTTAAGGAAGACTTCAAAGACACCTGGTATGTCGACGCTTTTTCCAAGCTTGGTGATGCGGGTCATAAGGATTTCAAGGGTCCAATTCTTGTTCTGCAAGGCACTGCCGATACCTATGTTCCCTACGATGTCACCTTGGAGACCGTGGAGGAAGCCTGGACGAACTACCCGAACAATGACCTCAACTTCCTGGCGGCAGAGGGTGTCGGACACGTGCCCGTTCTCAGAGCTACTCGCCAATTTTGGCAGAGGTGGATTGATGAGCGGTTCGAAGGGAAGCCTCTGGCTAAGAAAGGAGGAGTCAGAACCGACGTTGCGCCGTTGAGAAAGGATGAGCAGTACACAAAGATCATTAACTCTTTCCCCTTGTGGGCCGGACTTCCACAGTTCGGTTATGAGGTTGTCCTGCCAGTCTAGTTACAACAATACGGCTTCGGGAGAGGTTGTCGATTATTGTTTGATGTGTTTTATTCTTCATATGTTGTCAAACGGTTTCATCGAGGCTAGCTTAACTATCTTCCTCCATTTTACTTTTCTTTCCTTCTGAATCTTAGTCTTTGTTGATTCCTATCCTAGTTCCTAGAACTACAGGTGTAAATTTAGATCAATTAGCCTAGGGAGAAGAGAGATACATATGTGCAAAGGGTCAGAAAGAGGGAATGTGGAGCTTGATAGAAGGGTTATCGCAGCCTTAGAAGTTGGGCGCATCCTTATACATATTAAAATCAGAAACTATAATTAGTTCACTATACACGAGCAGGCTTTGAGTGAAACACTGTCGTTTCATATTCACTATTACGTGGTTCTATCAAACCCCCACCCACCTTGATCGCCTGATCCGCCCCCAAAGTGCATGATATTGTTCATTTGGGAGAGAGAATCTACAAGGCCTCCTTGAGATGCACCGACAGCAAGATTGACAAGACCTGGGCGATCTGAGACCTCTGACTGAGACGAGTAATATGCGTCATCTCTCCTTAAGACTTGAATTAGATGATGTTCCCATGACGTTCCTTCGTACCGATCCAGACACAATCTTTGAACTGCAGGGCCGAATCTAGTAATCCACTCCTCTTCGCTAAGAGTTGTATACTTCTTTCTTCCTTGGTCATCGGTCTGGGAGAATGGCCACTCTGCACGCACCACGTGGTATTTCTTCGTAATGAGATGAAGGATAGGCCAGGAGAATATCCAAAGAAAGGAGAGGTAGAAGACCCAGCGTATCCAGGTCGTCGTGCGCCATTTGTTGATCACGCTGGTCGAGAAGATATCCACGGCACGATCAGCAACGGGGAATTCAATCGAGAGTCTGCCCCTATAGCCTGTACCGCGAATGAGGCCTTCGAGGCGCGAGCTCAGGAGATCCTCGTCCATACCAGTGACCACACGCGTGAGGCGGAATCTTTGCATTAACAAGGATTAGATTGCACATTTTCTTAGGAAATCGCACCAGGAGAAGGCAGGTCACATACACTCGCACTCCGTTAGAGCTTGCACAATAGCGATGGCACCACTCATTCAATCCCGGCTTGGTCTGGTTAACTTCGAGGTCTGGTTTCGTACGGGGGGCCCTCCACTTCATCGCGGTTCCACGATAAGTTTTCTCATCATTTTCGACAGTGATCAAATCCATGCCGTTTGCACCAGAGTCTGGGCAGACGTAGTTTTGCATGCTGATAAGAATGCGGAAATCGGTGACCTCCTCGGTTGATTCTTTGTCCTCGTCATCGTCGCTGACCTTGTATCGTCTGGTTTCGTTGTGTCTGCCTATAACGTGAATGTAGGGGGCCGGGGGCCTCGCCGCTATATACTCAATCCATTCCTTCAAGAAGTCTGGATCCGAATCAGAACGTCCATCCTGCACATCGTTCACCTCGTAGGCTATGCTAGTGCGACCAAGATACCGCCCTTTTGGAGTATGGAGATCACGTGAAGTCGTGCCAGTGAGGAGGAACAGAGGCATACGAGAGTTCTCAGCATCATGACGGCGGTTGGCGCGGATGTTGTTGTCGTGATCCAAAAGGGCTACCTCCTCGTAGGCCGGTGGAGCAACCAGGGCATCCGGGTAAGGGTCATCCAGCGCCGTCTCTCTTCCTGGGGTGTTGGGATCTGCATGGTCCTCATTTCCCGGTGGGAGAGGCCGACCCATCGGAACGGCGAGGGATTTTGGGGTTGAGCGACCTGATGCGCGGATGCACGATGTGATGCTGAAAGACAGCAGCGAGGCTTGAAACGAGGAGAGGATCGAGAGATGTGATTCACGGTGGAATGCCAAGACCTGGCACACTTGGGCAGAAATCTAGACATCAATAGTCCATACCAGCCACGAATGAGGAGTCGGTGAGACTCAGCCGCAATTGAATTTGGTAAGGCCACATTGAAGTCACAAGACAAATGCCCCACACGAGCCCCTGGCCAACGCTCTTTCCCTACCCTATAACATGTCGAACTGCTCATATCTTAGTGAGAGTAATTTCGTCAAAAGAAGACTGATATATGTTTTTCAATTGAAATCAATTTGTTTCAAGTCAAAAAAAGTCGGGAAAACCAAATATCTGGAGCGCCAAAAATTTAGAAGAAGGCTCAATAGATACATGCTCCTATTTGATCCCAGTACACTCGTGAAACAACATATGATGAACAGAGCAAATCTTATGCGACAAAATTTATTCTAAAATTAAAAACATTGTTGATTTTGGTAATTGTTTTAAAACATGTAGAAAAGGGGCTTGCGACTTCTTGTTTTGCTTCTAAATTGAGGCTGAGGACATTGCAAGGCCCATTGTAGATCCCCTCGCAAAGCAGCCAATCGTTGCCAACCCTCATGCTCCCGCCGGCTCGGACGATCACCGTTGGAACCAATTTAAAGCCATGCATAGACCAGAAGCTAGGAGAGGCGAATTTTTAGACTGTTCAATACAGCACAAAAGGTGGGATTTTGCCTTTGTTTTGCAACATAAACTCATCTGTTCAGATGGTTTTGACCAGGAGGGTGAAGAACATATAAATAACCTCTAAGCTGGGCTAATGGCGACGAATTTGGTGGGCTACGCCTGCCATTTAATTCGGAATAAATCTACGCTTCAAGTTGAGTTATGGTTGATACAAGTTGACTTGTTGTAGAAAAATGTTTTCAATCTGCTCCAATGCTCTCTTTGAGAAAATGCAACCAGGTGTCTGTCCTTCAACAATGACATGACCATTCCACCGCCTTTCTTACGAAACCTGCCTTTTGTTCAATAGCCCATTGGCATGAAACTACACGTTAGACGACGCAATCAAGGTTGGACTGATGAAACAACCTGCATGATAACGTAGCACAATTAATAGGTCGACCTGTAGAGCAATCTTGAGTGAAGCTTCGATCGGACATTTGTGGCATTGACCTTATAATTAGATGTCTGGGGTTTTGGTATCTACTTTTTGGGATATATAAAGAACATGGCTATGATATATGCTGCTATTCGACCCGGAATATACTGCAATTGCTGATGTCGTAGGAGAGAATACGGGTAGGGAATTGGGGTGAGATGGAAGAGAACGGGCACCGGCTCTGGATATTTTTAAGAGCGTGACAGGTTTTGCTACCTCTAATTGTTTTTTCGCGCTTGTGTCGGCTAGTCATGTCTGACGCTCCAATCCTTTTGCACACGGATTTCATCTTGCATGATGGATGTCCTGGTCAATCTTCTCTCGGAACCCGACTCATCGTCCGCCCGAGACACATTAGCATCGTGGCTTCCCTTCATAGCATGGCCGTATGTTCCCATCTCCCAGGTCGACAAGTCCTTCGATCGCTTGCTGTTCCCGGCACCGGATCCGAGCGCAGAAGGGTACCCTGATCTCTCGCTAGAACTACCTCCGCCCTTTCTAAACTTTGCGAAGAATGGCCGAAGCATGGGGATGCTGACGCAGAGAATGGCGAGGTTGGGTTCGAGGATGAAGAGAAGGATGGTCGTGGGCATGGTACCGGTGACGTTCATGGCTAGGTCGACGGTCGAGATGTAGATGATTCGGAAGATGGCGCAAACGACAACACTTCGAAAGAACAGTCAGTTAGTTGATTCAACGAGTGATCAGGATGACCAAAAAACAAAGCAGTCCCAGTGAACTCAACAAGTCGTCAGACAAGATGAGTAAAAAGGAAATGCACTTACGCCGTAGCCAAGGAGAAACAGGCCATGATTGCCAACTTTTCTGTCTTTCTCTTCTGTAAATGCCACAAAGACCTCATGGGCAAAGCCATCACGACCAAGTCACCTGCTGCGTTTGTAGCAATGACCGATTGAATGAAGGGAATGTATGCTCCGCACACTCCCTGTCCTGTCCACTGAGCCGAGATGGGCTTGCAAAGGAATATAGAGGCAAAAACGCAAGATATGTTCCACAGACCGACCAAGACGAGACAGATTATTGAGGAGTATTTCATGAACTGCGTCGGGAATATTCGGAGGTAAAAGCACAGCATACTGGCTTTGCACAGAGCGAGGAGGGTGATGTATACAGGTTGCATTCCGAATGAGACCTAGAGACAATTAAACAACCATTAATTTGATGCTGTTTGATACTCAATACCAGTGAATTTCTTACCTGGAGGATCCAAGGCACGTTTGGCAACACTAGATGCCGGACAAGATGGGTTAGCTGAAGATCATGCTGAGGTGATCACCATGATAGAGACTCGAGTCCACCGAAACCGAAGATCGACGTACATTGTGGGTGTTCAGCGAGATTATATCCGCTGCCAGTTGTCGAGACTACATGTTGTCCAAAGGTAAGCAAAAAATCATCTAAAGATACCTAATGTAGAATGAAACGTGTTAGGTAGGCATAACTTACAAACTCCTTGGCAGATCAGCATTGCGACGCCCATCGGCTACCAACACCAAATCGTAAGTGAAAGTCCTGGAACCAGCAAAATGCATTGAACCAACCGTCGCAAGCACAATAAGTGCATCATCCCATCCAAATCCAGGTCCGGAAACACGCCCGACCACTCTCAACGTAACGACAACCAAGGTAATGAAAACAACAATGCAGTTCACGATCAGTTCATTTCGAACTTCGTCGGTCATCGGCATCCGCTGTTCTGGTAACCAAGCCATTTCTCCTGCTGCTAACTGCCTAGGCCGTAGCTTGGCGGACGGGTCAACTAAAACTTAGGTAAAATGGGCACTCTTTGACAGAGAATGGGCGACAAAGAGAACGATGATAAAGAAAACGACCGCTCAACGATCCGCGAATGTTAATATCCCTTTGCTGAAAGAAGAGAGAAGCCCTCACTTCTCAGGAGAGTGACATTCTTTTGGTATCCAAGTTTGTCTGGCTTCCATGCCTGATCTGCAAAATGCCGTTCGAATTCTCTTCTCTGAAACGACGACCAGTAGCCGAGAATTCAGACCCATGTTTAGCCCCTTCGACGAACCCACGGGCTAGAGTTAGTGGACGGCAATCTTCCCCGGTCCATGCGATGCATCGTGCTTCCATTTCATTCGCTACCATCGATTATGCACGGTACACATGTCATACAAAATCACCAGGCGAGGCGAGAACGGCACCGTTACGTGGGTAATCAAAAATAAAAGTGGCTCGGGAAAATCCCCTAGCTATGGAAACCAATCACGGGGGATTCTCAAGCAGGGCAGCCGTTGCAACGGTTCTGGGTCGAGACAAACTCCAGGGTTCAGGCTTCCAGCAAATGAGGCCTCCCCCCATGTAAGTCTTGGTATTATGCCGAGCTTCGCAGTGGACGGAATACGTCAATCTCTACCAAAACCAAATACCCAACAATCAAGGTTGGTGAGCTCCTTGGCTCCCTCCGCAACTCCGTCTCCGAAAGTTACCCGAGACGGGGGTTAAGAGGCACTCTTGGCACTCACCTTGATCAACTCCCCTTGCCCACCGTGATCCTTAACTTGCCACCTGTCGAGATGGGATGGATTTTGCGCCGTTTCTTCAAATCAACCTTGTTGGCTCTTCATTCACAGGGAGATTGTGCAATGAATATTCTATGTAGTATTCACAACCCCGTATTTGTAATGAAGCCAAATGACTTCGCATTATTGCGATATTCATGCTTCCTTTTCCCTGGATCGGCCAGCTTACCGGCCAAGCTAGGCACGGGCCAGGTTGAGAGGAGACAGGGGTTATCGCGGACCATCTCTCCATTTTCGGTTTGGTTTAGCTGTGTCACCATTTTAAACAAGAGAAGGAGGCTGGTTCCACCACACATCGTATGTAGACGTAAAGAATACCCAAAGAGGATCAGGCCTCGGCCCCGTCTACTCCAGGTGTGTTGAGGCGTTTGGCCATATAAAAACAGGGGAAGAGCCGAGAGGAAATACCGGACAGGAGCAGCTGGTGACATCCCTCTTCCCTCTTCCCTCTTTCTCTCCTCTTCATTACTTAATTTTCCACATCAAAAATCAAGAACCATGTCCAGTGCCGGTACTACCAAGCAGTGGAAACTGGCTAACAAGCCGGTGGGCACGCCGACCATCACCGGCGAGAACCCGACCTTTACGCTGCACACGGTTGACCTCCCTCCCGTAAATGAGGGCCAGATCCTCGTCAAGGTGCTGTACTTCTCCAACGATGCTGGTATCCGAACCTTCATCGGCACCACTGTCGATAGTGACCGCTTGTACCTGCCGCCTGTCCCACTGGGCACTCCTATGCGCTCAGGCATCATTGGCGAGGTGCTTGAGTCCAAGTCAGAGAAGTTCAAGCCTGGCGATCTCATCATGGAGTTCCATCGCGCTTCATGGAGCGAGAAGGTTGTGATCGATGCCGAGGGCGTTCAGCCCGTCGCGCCTCTACCAGCTGGCATCTCCATCACCCACTACCTTGGTGCATTTGGTGGCTCTGGCCTCGCAGGCTACATCGGTCTGCTGAATGTTGCTGAAGCTAAGCCTGAGCATACCATTGTGGTCTCGGCTGCCGCTGGCGCTACAGGATCTGTAGTTGTCCAGACCGCCGTAAAGCTTCTCGGCGCAAAACGGGTCGTTGGCATCGCCGGAAGCGATGAGAAATGCGCATGGGTCCGAGACCATCTCGGAGCTCACGCGTGCATCAACTACAAGAGCCCAACGTTTGTCCAGGATCTTAAGGCCGCCACCCCAGACGAGGTCAACGTCTTCTTTGACAATGTTGGCGGTGCTGTCCTCGATGCCGTCCTCGCTCGCATGGCAAAGCACAGTGTGATTGCCGTCTGCGGAGCAGTCAGCCAGTATAACGCTGAAGAGCCAATGGCTCTCAAGAACTGGTTTGAGGTGGTCTCACAGAGAATTACCATCAAGGGATTCTTCATGTTTGATTACCTTGACAAAGTACCCAAAGCCATGGAGGTACTGATTGGGGCAGCTGCGGCGGGAACTATCAAGGTAGATATCGAAGATGTAAGAGAGGCCACTATTGAGGATGTGCCTAATGTTTGGGCAGCCATGTATAGCGGAGCGAACAAGGGCAAGTCAGTCACCAAGCTGATCAGCTAGATGGGTTGAATGTGTTACGATATGATAGGTCTAGATGTCTCAAGCATGTTAGACTTGGGTCATATATCAAGAATATAATGATTGGCTTCCACAGCATCGAACAAACGAATCACATAAGCCCATGCCTACTCATAGGGTAAATGTCAAGGCTACGATAAGTTGATTGAAATCAACGGAGGACATGAAACCCCTGTGTACTATCTCATGGTGACAGTCCAGGAGCTGGTTGTGTCAGTGAGACTGATGAAGTTGAGATTTGACATGCATTTTGGTGGAAATTTCCTATGCTATGCTCCTCTCTCCAAAGCCATTGCCAGGAAGCTGTCGCCATTGAGCCGAGAAAGGTCTAACAAGAGACGATGGCTAACTAGTAGTCATGACATAGCGTCCAACATATATGAACTTGGAATTTGGTTGACAAGAACTCTCCAGAGTTTCACTATCCCCTAATCACCATGGTGATGCAAACATGACATTCTAAGTTAGATCAAGTGTGACATGATCCTAGTCCTCTTGAAATCCGATAAAAACCTCAGCATCAAGTACTTATATTTGTGCATGCTTTCACAATTATTCCGCATTGCACTGTTGCTGTCGATGGGAGTGTCCCATCTCCTTATAGTTCATCCAGTAGCCGTCCAGGTCCAGCGCCGCCCTGAGATTGGATGTATCTCCATTGGGCCTCGGTCAAAGATATAATTATGTTTTGAACAATTTGGCTCGTGATGACTTTTGGAAATATGATTTTCAAGGCCGAAACAAAGAATATATCGATAGCAGCGTGGGAACCATATTCAAAGACCGGCCTTTGCGGGGCAGGTACTTTGATGAATCCGATAAAAGAGACGACATAACTGAGCCTGAAAAGTCTTGTTATCCACATTGCACACATGAACTACACAGAAAACGATACCTGTTAATTTCTGCGGCCCTAACATAGAGAAACTTTGGTATGAATCAAAGTCGAGGATATTGTTGAAGGTGCACTCACTATTATGAAATTCGTGGCGGTTATTGGCGGTTTTGGGGTTCCGTAGACGACGATATCCAGGGTTCCTTTCAGGGTCGCATTCCATATTGTTCCGAATATGGCGTCGAAAGTCCATTTTAAGAGAGTGTTGCGCCAGCTGATGGCCAATCTTTGAACCTTCCCTTCTGCAATCCACCGATTGACGATCTCTTGTTCTTGTAACTCGTCTCCCTCGGCTGTCTTTTCCTTCTTCTGGCTCACATTAACACCTCCGGCTCGAGTGGGGAGGTAATACTCTAAAATGAGATGCCAATAGTACGACAAAGCCGCGGCGACGGCCTGGATGGGTAGAATCTTTAGAAGAACTCTCAAATAAAAAGTCTTTTTGGATTTCTTTGGGCTTTCTGCATCGAATGTCGCGTTCGTCAACGTAGAATTGGCAACGAGGCCATGAGGTGCGCCGGTCTGCAAACTGCTTCCGATTTTAACGGACGTCGTGTAATTCTGCAAAACGGGATCATCCCATACATTGGAATCCCATTTCCGAGATATCTCGTGACTGGTAATGTATCCAACCAAAAAAAGGGCTGTGGCCTGCAATACGACGGATAGCACGCTGTTTCGTCTCATGATGATGATGATGATGATGATGATGATGATGATGATGATGATGATGATGATGATGATGATGATGATGAAGTTCAGGCTCCAAATCGTAACTGATAAGTTTGCTTCCTCTTTTTGGTAAAAAGGACAAAGAAATATTCGGAAATGCCATTGTTTAGGGCACTGCTTGGATATATATGGCTTCGGATCGCGCCAACCACAATTATCGAACCATATTGCGCTTTATAATTTGCAGGGGCGGGGTTTGGTAGAATGTCCTTTTGTTCACGCACCGCCATGCAAAGCGCCCTGGAGAGCAAGGCTTAACATAGCAGCGTGAAAAGTCTCACAGAGAGGCAATTGACCATGCAAAGGCCGCTGCTGGGATGCCTAGAGCTCGGGGATTTCCTCATGCGGTTGGATCGCAAAAGTACCGTGATGGCTAGATCCCAATCGCATCTTTCGGTTTCGACCGTTAATGATCGCTGTAATATTTTTGATAAGTCAGGCAGGAGTTTCTAATGGGGCAAGAGGTGAGATTGATATTCTCTTTCCAGTAATGTTGCAAATTCTCCTAGAAAAGAGGTTCAAGCCAGGACAATCTCACATGCTATAATAGTAGTGAAACGACGAGCCAAAGGCCAAGCTCTCGGATTCTGCACACATTCTATCTGTCCGTGTTTCAACATGGCAAAAAGGCAAAGTCAGCTGCAGGGAAATTTCCCACAGGTTCGCAGATGTCCAGCGGTTGGGGAGGGTATCGGCCCCTCCTGTGGAATTGCCAGCAGTTTGCCTTATTTCTCGCACAAATGGCCATTCACACGAGCGAGTCAACCGATATTGTTCGATCACTTCTAAAGTTACGTGAAAATTGGGTGCGTGGCGTATGCAAAAGCAGGGAGATAGGGAGCATAGCAGCGATTTGTCCTAGTACCTTCATTCCGGTTGTAGGGCAAGTGGTAGCAGTTGGATTCGGGTGTTCAGTGTGCATTTATACGTACACCTTTGGATGGAAGGCCGGGGTTGTCCGGAAGACATATAAGGAGTTGGCTAACAGATTCGAGGAGTTGGAAAGATTGCAATGGGTCATGTATTTAACAGGACGTTGGTCCCCTGCGGGGTCCCCTTACGAACGAGCTGAGTAGTTGAGATATCCTCCATCCTGCAGCTACAGATGCTAGAAGTTGAAGATCAGTTAAAAATTAGTTAAAAGACTATGGCTGTCTTTCCATGCCTGCTGTTACTACGGCCTTACAGGTAATTCTGGGAGGGATACATTCTCCAGTGACCTGGGCTATATATAGCAATTTTTTGAGCTTGATTAGTCATTCTGTTTTAGGCTGTTAATTATCACGTCGTATTCCACATCGCGGCGATTTCTCTTCTCCCAGTCAACGCTCTCGACTATTTCTCTCCCTGCCACGAACTTGATATGGCTCGATTAGCCCAGACTAAATGCTGCATCATTTGCGGCCATGAAGTCTTTCGGCCTAGACCGAGGGATGAAGACATTCCAGCCGCCTTGGCGTGGAGGCAAAGATACCGCATTGGTATGTTCCGACCACAGTCATGCTCTCTTACGCACCGTTACTCACCACCAAACACAAGTTTACCAAGATCATCAGGGTTCCACGAGATTAAGCGGTTTAGCTTCGCACTGTGATTCTCGGGGGAATTCTTGGTATGCACCATGGGATCACGAAGATACCCGCGCCTATTCAGGAGTCGCCAACCTGCCGGAGCGTGAATTACTCCGTGTGATGGACTATGATTCTCCGTCTGGTGACCATCTGCGGTATGGATTTCCTGCGCACGATAATTGCTGGACCCTGCTTCAGAAAGTTTACTCTCCAGCCTCTGTTCCCTACGACATGCTCTTCAATGTCTGTAAGTCGCTGGAGGGACCGCAGCCTGATAGAATTCTCGACTGGGGTCACGATTATGGGGGCGCATTGCAGGTCACTTACGGTGACAGGACTGAAGGTCGCAGCGTGGACGACAGGCGCGATGCTCCTCAATTTTTCTACCAGGATCCTTGTTCTTCTGAGGACATCGAAGGCCTTCTTCGTCAGAATTACGAACCACTGTTTTCAGGTGCTGAGATCTCTCTAGAAACTAGCCCTTTGAAGGATCCCTTGGCTTCATTGCCGTCTGATGTGCGCTTTATAATTGCAAATCTGCTTCTAACAGCCGATCTCCATGCCTTGCGGCTCGCGTCGAGGGCATTCTACTTCATATTTCACGAACAGTCCTATTGGGCGCTGAGATTCGCCCCCGGTGGAGATCGAGATTGGTTGCTTGAGGCGACAGGACTTGCGAAGTCTCAGAAAGTTGACTGGAGATTACTCTACAGAACCACGAGTCAGTTGGAGCAGCTTCCACCAAGTCTTCGTAATAGATCGAGAATTTGGAACCTCGCCAAGCTTATCAAAGATGCGACACCATCTTCGCCGATCGAATCAATTACAAGGCCCTCCATATTTGGCCCTGATTGTGAGTTTGATATTTGGGCAGAAGTGACTTCCAGTCAACTTGATACAGCACGATCATCGGAGGATAGACCCAAAGTAAAGCTCCCAAGGCAAAAATTCCAACTCCCTGGTCCATTGGAAGAGATCAAGGTGTACTTTATCCGACTTGGTCCAGCTGAATTCATCTCCGGTATCACCTTTTCTATGACTTCTAACAGGAGTAGGCACATAGGGTACAAATCTGGATCAATGCGTAGGCTCAAGTTGCGCGAGGATCCGATTGGCTTCAATCTTCAGCTCGAATATGTGGGCATCCTTTCCATTCAGGCGGTGTACTCCAATGGAGATATATCAGAATGGCTCGGAGATAGTTCTTGTATGCCAACAACGAGGAGGCTTGTACTCCATGACAAGATCACTGCGGTTGAAGGCGTGTTTGATGTCTGTACGAGCCTTCTAACAATTTGTCGAACAAAGCTTACCAATGACTTTCTTAGGGATGCAAACTGATTAAATTGTCCTTTTCGAGGCATCCACCAAACACAATGGAGGAGGAAGAGGCAATGAGCAAGAGAAGATCATCTGTTTTTCACTCCGGAATATGGTACCCAGAAATGCCGGGCATCACGACAAACTTAAACGAAAAGTATGCAATGCTTCCATATGACTTCTACCCGACCCAAAAAGGTGAAGCCGTGAGTGGATCGAGGTATCTTCCACTCTGCTTCATTAGATTTGCGAGTCAAGATGGCCAGATCCTTGGGTCTCTCTCTACAGTCCGTGGGAAACTGAGTACGGCAATCACCTTTACTTACGAATCAGACGATTCCCCTTTAGTGGAGGTGTCATGGCCAAGGGGATATGGATATAGAAGCATGGAGGACCCCAGCTTTCAGATTGATGGCAAAGGTGGTGAGCGGTTCGTCCAAGCCATATTTAAAGTCGAAGGGAATCTGAAATCAAATGAGGAGCCCCTCGTTCACGGAGTGCTCAGTTCTGCTATTGTATGTTGAGCTATACCTCTTACTTCCACAGCTTCCTCAACTGGAGACTCAGTTATATGACATCATTGAACGTCTAATATTTTTCTTCTAGCTTCTAACAGATCGCGGGCGGGAGTGTGAATTATGCAACTACGGGCGTCAATATGACGGTGTCTTCAACACAATCGAACTCAGGTTACATCCTTTGGAAACCATTACAGGAATATATGGGGTGCCTGTAAGTCTTGCCAAAGGGACCCCTTTATCTGGAAAAATATACTAACCACAATATGAAGGGTGGGATGTTCTTGGGCATTGTCTCGGAGAAGGCCAACGACACACCACCGTGATGTTAGTGGAGGTTCTCGACCTCATTTTCGTATTAGATGTCGGCTGCTTCATATATTCGCTCTTCAATTTGAATACATTTGGTGCAGATGACTTGGAAAATACACCGAAAGCAAACGAGAAAGGTGACGTTTGTTTTGGTGGTGTCATAAAACAAAAGATCACCAATAACCACCTTTCTGACTGACGGCTGTGGAGGTGGACATAATTGATTTGAATGCTTTATATTGTGAGTGTTATATATAGATGGAATATTTGATATTTATCTTGCATCGAAGTATCGGTACCAAGATGATCTGTCTTTGACTGTACTAAGAACATCACACTGAACTGACAGCTTAGTTGACACTGATAATCGCTCGCCTAAAGGATGCTAGGGGTGGCGTTCCATTGTCAACCACTCGGCTGATAATGTGAATTTTCGTTCGTGAAGCATTTCTTGGTATTCTGAGGGAGACGTTGGGTGTATCTTTTCCTTCCAACGAGAGGTCACCATGATACCCTCCAGCGCCATCATCATGGTACCACATGAACGTAAGCGAGTCTCCATCTTCGTCTTTTGAGCCATCTGCGCTCAATCTGACGACATCGCCGGGACAAGCTTTGAGAACAACCGGCGAAAAACCAGCTTTGCCTTGAAGAACGGCTACTGGATTCCGATTCCCTACGCCGTTTGCTGCCCAGTCCATTCTTGCGATGAAGTCATTGATGTGGTATGGAAGAAGACTAGTGACTGACTCCTTGCTCCAAGCTGCGGTTTGAGGTGAAGTATCAGTCCAAGTCGTGGTCACATTGTCCGGAGTGAGCTCCCAGGAGAACTTCCCCGCAAAACTCGACTGTCTTGGGTCCTCGGGGTCGTTAAGGCCAGGCCAGACATACGCGAAACATGGCGAGTCACCCTCCGCAATGTATCTCCATTTAGGATATTTCTTCCCCAGAGCACCCTTGCCTTGGATCTCGGTCACGTAGTGGCTATCCCAATACGTATCTCGAATAGTCCGACCGTAGGCGACCCAGGCAGACTCGCTGGAGATATAAAAGAGTTCGGGGAAAGTCTTCCGTATCCAGAACTGCGAGCTGTTCGTATAGGGGGCCCCTTGATCGCGATCTTGATCAGTGATGGCGTATACCCGAAGCTTGGACAAGAAGGCAGAGAGTTCAGCTTCTGACCGGGTGCGGCGAACGTCCCAGATGGACTGTGCTAGAACGTTGGCTCCTCCCCACACTCCAACATAGATGGGTCTCTCGTCTGCCTGATCAACCAAGCCAATGATGAAGTTTGAGCCATCTGTGTCTTTGCCATCTCCGATTGAATCGATTCCTCGTTCTGGGTAACCATTTCTAATGATGCTTTCGAGGTACTCCGGGCTTGGCCAGTATCCAATCCTTTGTTTGTCCTCGTATTTATGAAACGCGGATTGGTTGCTTCGCTTCATCAAATTTGGCAAATCAGAACGGTAGCTTTCGATTACATCGCGTATATGGTTTGGGCCGAGTGGCTCAGGAGGAATGCTCCATCCAGAGGTGGCGATGAGGGCCTCGATTTCGAATAGATCAGCGCTTGCAAAAAGATGCACCATCGATTGCATATCATCAGGCTCCCATGAAGCCTGAGTGATATCAGTCAGAACAATGATACGCGGTTTCAAAGGAGCTACTTCTGGTTAGCAACTGCTTCCTGGGGAGAGATTGAGGACAAGTACCATGCTGAGAGACAGCGTTGGCTGTGACCAAACTGGACAATGTCGCAAGAGCTAGTGGCAGCCTCATATTCAACTTTTAGACGTCTTTCACTTGCGAATAGGCGAGTATTCGTTCAGAGATGTACTAAATTGACTCACTCCCAGTACGTTTTTCTACAAATGGCCACCATATTTATACACAATGCGTACAAAATATGTATGAAAGACTTGCGATGGGTCAACGATAACTCTCTCAAGGCGCTTAAAACTGCCAGATGGATAAATCGAACTGTAGCCTCAATCGGGCCGTTCACGGTGGAGATGAGAACAAAGCACCGAGTCTCCAATAAGCCCTGGCAACATATGGGTCATTAGAGAGGTGAGGGGCAGTCGGCTGATCTTCACGGCCATTTCCCAGTAAAGAGTCGGGATCACAAGCCCAGGGAAGCACAGCATTATAGGCTGTTTGTAGGTGCCTCCAAGTGGAGCATGAGATGGGGATTGTGATTCCCCATGGGGATGAGAAATATGTCAAAACTTGTGCCTAAACCTTCCCTATTGAGAATTGAAATATATTATCCTTCCCCGCATGCCAAATATGGCAACCTAGAACGCTCCCATGAAAGAATAATCAGGCTGCATCTCATACGTAATGGCAGTTTTCCAGGCCATCTCGCCGCTGGAGGTTGTTGTTTGAGCAATAGGGCTGGATACATGGCACATATTTCCACCCTATCACTCTAGTTGGATCTACGCAGCTGACGACCTCAGCGAAGGGTCTCTCAGCTTCATCCGCACGTTGATTGGCTTCTTCTCCACCAGTAAGAAAGTCCTCAGATCCTCCCAGCGCAGCTGCTGGCCTGCCGGCTGGAACTCGAATGTCCATACAAGGCTTGCCAGGATGAGCCTCATCTCAGCCATGGCTAGATGTTGTCCCATGCAATTACGTGGTCCCACACTGAAGGGCTGGAGGCTTTGCCGCTGGTCTTTGAAAAATACAGAGTCACGGCCTGTAGTAGCCTCGGGGAGCCATCGCTCAGGAACGAAATTGGTAGGTGAATGGAAGTAGTGAGGGTCTCGGTTCATCGTGTATGCTTGAATCGATACAGAAGTCTATGGGTGGTTGAACACATGGGACATATTAGCGTAAACTCGTCAAAAGATAACTCTGTGTTTACGGTGAACATCAGGAGATTAATCTACCCCTCCAGGCAGCCAGACGCCGCACACGGTATCTCCTGATGGCGGTACCTTCCTCGGGAGTACCCAGGGGATAGGAGGACAGAGCCGAAGACCCTCCCGGATGACAGCATTGAGATAAGGCAGGTCCTTCAGAGTGTCTAACTTCATCTCTTCTCGACTTTGGAAGGCACCGAGTATCTCTAATTCCAGCTTACGAAGCTTGTCCTGGTTTCTAGTCAAGTAATTCAGAGTCCCTGGCAAAACTGTGGCAGTTGTTTCGCTCCCAGCCGTTGTCAAAACCATGAATGTCGAGTAGATTTGATCGGTTGTCATCCCGTCTGGCTCATCCTTGGTCTTCATCACGTGTGGCATTATGTCCGGGCGGTCCAGTTCCCAGTTGAAACGCCGATTGACCTTGTCCACAATCTGCCGATAGTGATCATCTGCCATTTTCTGAAGCGATGCCGGAATGCATTTGAGAAGTAGATACTCAACCACGGGGTAGTAGCGCGCGGCTGCTACGTAAGAAGCAGCCTTGACGCTGTTGAAGAGAAGTGAGATCCATGGATGGTAGCGGGAGTTTTCTAGGCAGTCAAAGGACTCACCATAGTCAAGGTCTTCGAAGATATCAAAAGTGGTGAAATTGAACCAGGGTGACATGTTCACCACTGCGTGATCAGTTTCCTGAGGCCTTGCCCTTACTGTTTCCTGAAGCCTTTCAACAAGAAGGTTGACATATCGGTAGAGTACATGCTCCTGAGAGCGCAAGGCGCGTGGAGTGAATGCAGGGGCAAGTGCCTTGCGAATCCGAGCGTGCGAGTCTGGGTCAATCGCACTGATGAGAGAATCAGGGCTTGCCCGGCTGTCGCTTCCACCAGATTGGATCTTTGAGAAACTGTTGGTGACCAGGCCTCAGCTGAAAGATATCTGCCCACGCATCGGGCTGGGCAAAGGTAACTTCGTCCGGAGCGATCCGCAAAACTGGCCCGTATCGACGATGGAGATCTTGAAAGTCGTGCACAATGGTTCCTCTAAGAAGCGCAAAGATAAACGGGAGCCTTGACGCAGACCAGGCCGTTGCACCGGGAACCTTGGCTAGAGGGTGAAAATAGCGGTTGTAGATGGTGCGAATGATGGGATACTGGTTCAATCAGTTCTTTTTCATTACACAAGGAACTTGGAAAACAAGGTCTGGGAAGTCCTTCGACGAACGCACAGTAATCACCAGAGCGAGGACAGTAGTCCATGGGCTGGCCAAAGAATAAATGGCCTCACTGGCTGGCATGCTATAAACTCGACTTGGAAGCACTATGAAGATATAAGAGGTTGTTTTACGGAGATAGATGACAAAGTGAATTACAATCTGTTGGTGGTTCTTGTGAAATCCTCACGCAAACTCCACGTCAGCAAAGGAATGAACGTACATCGAGCGGTCTAAAACTCTAAACCGCAAGCAATTACATAAGCAACAGAAGAGAACCAGGATTCTGGGAAGCCTTCGGATCATCATGATTCGTGACTTAGATAGCGAATTGGAATGCGACGGTTCCCAAAACCCCTTGGCTGATGCGGATGGAGGCTCACAGGGATATGTCAAGGAGAGATTTGGAGTTCACCACGGGGAATTTGTGGAAATAGAGTCGCATTAGAGACTGGTTAATCTCAGCTGCTTGCACGAAGGATCGCAGCTAAACACGGAAACAAGTACTTTGTACACACAACATTCTGAATGTTGCCTCCACCAGCATAAACATCTACAAGAAGTGCGCAATTGCCCATTGCCATGGAATCGATCATAAGACGTACGTTTCTCGTTAAATGGATCCATAGCTGCTTAGATGATTGCCAAACTCGCATTGCCATTTGTTGCAAGGCCTGGTCCATGTGTGGCACTTGGGGAGGACTATTCGGAGGGAGTCTCCTCCCCATCGTATATCTGTCGACGTCGCCGATCCTCTGAAATTCTACGTGTGAGCCGAGATGAATAAACAAGAAGAGGAATCACATTGATGAGCACAAAAACCTGTGTGGGGTCGTAAATGGGCAGGGCTGCTTACCTGGAGCCTCGTTTGCTCGTCTCGAGCGAGTGTATATTGGTCTCTCGGAGCTATGAACCCAGAAGCCAGTTCGCAAGATCTTCGATTGAGTCCCCTCTTCCAGCGCTTCAACATTCCCATTCTCGGGTGAGATGATCTCCTGCGCAGGGGACTGTCTCCAGAATTTGGTTCCTTGGAAGCTTGAGTGTTGCGCTTTAGAGGTAGCTCTACCTTGTTGATCGATGAGAACTAGGTCAACGGCTGAATACCAGCTCCATGAGGGACAGGAGATCACTACATCCGTGGTGCTGGGGAAAACTCTTTCGAGAAAGCCATCAATCATTGGAAACAACTGCCCGAGAAGGGCTTTCTTAATTTCGGTCCAGTGAAGATCGTTTCGGTCAAGCCCGAGAGAGCTTGCGTTACGAGAAGTCCTTGAAAAGGCAATCCGAAGGTTGGCCATGGATGGGAAGAGAGGTGATGGGTGTTCTCGGGCCTTCTTTTTCGATGTAGTTCTAAAGGTTAGGTCAAGAGGGACACGGTCCAGATCTATGACAAGTTCGAGTGAAGTCATGCAAAATAGGGCTTCCTGGGGTAGAACATCTTGAATACTTCGAAGAAGTGCAGGCGAAGCAATGTTGATAGTGTTATTACCATACAGCACGCTGAAGCCTTCGATGTACCTAGAGTGGGAGAAATATTAGCAAGTTGACCTGGTTTCTTTTCAACGGGGAAAGCCTCACGCTTGTCGGCAGGTGAGGAGCCATCCAAGAATCCCAATTTGACACTTCTCGGGCCATGTTCCCGGCCATTGCTTACAACGAGCGACACCCTCCAGGCACCTGTCATCTTTAGGCTCGCATGGAGCGTCACTGTCTCTGGATATAATCCCGTTGTTGTCGCCGAATTTATCCATATACCGAGCTGTCCTGGATGTATGGCATGAGGAACGATGGCAGACACACCCAAACCACACCCACTGCTTGGATTTGTTTATTTGCAAGTGGGAATTTTCCACCGTGACGAGGCGTTCGATCTTGGCATGACATCCAAACCGAGGATCGTCATATCTGTCAATATTTGCTAAATAATAAGGGCACTGGAAGTTCAGACTCATGTGCAATGTCCGCGAACCGAACGCGAGGTCCAAAATATGGTAGCGAAGCTCAGGGGGGAGTAAGAAAAATCTGTCAGTCCGATGGGTTGGTGATTCAAAGAACATCATTGGCTTGTGTATCCCAGACGGCTTTCCCACTGGTAGGAAGAACCGTTCTTGGAATGCGATATCCCGCTTCTTTTGGAGTCCCCGTTCCAAGTAGGACAGCAAGCTCTTGAGAACCCCGATGACGGCGGGCGAACTTAGAAGTAGGTATCCCAAAAAGGCGGCGAACCACACCAGAGGTATCGAGACGGGCAAGGACAACATGAGGGGAACCAATGGTATGGACCTAACAACGCCCCTTTTCTTCATCCTATTGCACAGTGAGCGCCCAGCTTTTTTGAGCCATACGATGATGGTCAGTGGGCTCAAAGCTTCATCGCGAAAGGCCTCAAGCCCATCCTCGCTGGCGTCTATCACCGCTTCTAACAACTTTATCAGAAAGCGTTGTAGTCTGTGTTTTGATCCATTCGGCGCCATCTTTGCTGGACTTGGGGTCACGGGCTATGATTCGCAAACCACCGCAGCCGAGCTTGGCCTAGCAAGCGAAACGCGTCTTGATGCCAACAAGTTGCGCTTATAGCGTGGCCGTAGATAACTTGATGGTGTTGGCACTGATGGACTTGGCCGTGTCCTGAGGGGGGAGGATGGACGACGTCTTGGCTCGTCGGTTGTAATATTTCAAGAAAATCAGTTGATCGTGTTCTCATTTCCGGCCGGCCGGCGTCTAATAAATTCAATCCTTCGCGTCTGCCTTACAGGGATGTTTATTGGAAACAACACTGCCACAAACTCAATTGTCGCGCGCCTTGGATTACGCCTCGCCGCCTTGCAACCCTAATCACAGTCAAGATTCGACCATTTCAAATACTGGGACATTTCGAACAGAATAAATGCTCAAGATTGTCCGAAATACCCTTATCCTGCGGCAGCGTGGCCTGGTTTCACGCCTGGAGACTGGGCATTGCAGGGGCCCTAGAAACGAACAACACTGTGCCATCAGCTGCAAGTAACCACTTTAGAAGGGTGAAATACAAGAATACGGGGCCGACGAATAAACGAGGAACTAAAACAGACACGAAGTAACACGCGCTCTAAAATAGGCCTCATGTTGTTCAGTCAAATGAGTGGCTGAGATCTTCTCAAGCTACGGGTTTGAGCCTAGGCAGAAGCTTTGTCAGCCGTATTCAAGAAGTCAACTAAAAACAATAACAATGGAGCCTCGGGAGAGTGTTGTCAGGTAAGCTTTGACTAGACACGACACAAACACGACATACGAGCAACCGGCAAAATGGCCCCAAGCACGAACGACTCCGGTGGCCAGCCGCTGCCACGTATGGAGAAGCTCTCAAACGAGATATCTGTATATCGTCCGCCTGGATATGAGCCCGGGTCATCCGGTGATGCGGCCAACTGCAAGGCGAGCCCGCGGCTTATCATTCTCGGCACCTGGACTGATGCGCGGGACTCGCATATTGCTAAATATATATCAAAATACCAAGAGCTGTACCCAGCTTCCTCCATTCTTTTGATGAAGAGCACGACGAGACTTTTCGACAACACGGCGTTGATTGGGCCGGCTGTTCGGCCAGCGTTGGGCATCATCAGAGAGTTCTTCCCTCCATCACCGCCATCTTCACCTCCGTCGTCATCTATCGCGACACCTTCTCTCCTGATACATATCTTCTCCAATGGCGGTTCTGCAAGTATGTCCAACTTATATGAGCAGTATGCTGCAACATCAGAGAATGCAGAGGACACGGTGCTACCTCATCATATCACCATCTTCGACTCAAGCCCTTCGGTGTTTCGCATCCACCAGACTGTTGCATACCTCACGACCGGACTCTCTTCACCCGCGCACCGGATGGTAGCCATTCCCGCTTTATACACCATCGCCACGGGACTTTCAGCAATGATCAATCTCGGCTTGTGGAAAGACGTGCTTCTCCATTGGGGGAAGAGTCACAACGATCCTTCCAAGGTACGCGAGAGGCGACGGGTGTATATCTACAGTGACACGGATCCAGTGGTGAGTCACTTGGACGTCGAAGCGCACGCAGACCAAGCCGAGAAGAACGGTTTCGAGGTCTACAGGGAGCCTTTCGCTGGATCGGGCCACGTCGCCCATGTCAGGGAGGATGAGGTTAGGTACTGGGAGATTGTGAGGAGTATTTGGAGCGGGAAACCAAGAGCTAAGCTATGAGTCTCTGTCTGATCATTATTTTGTGGAAGTCCGAGCATAATCAAAATCTACAAATCTTAGGTTGAGGCCTGGATAGTACAAGCACGACAGACGGGTACAAAGCAAGCCAGACTGAATTGACAAAGAAGAGAGAGATCCTGAGTTGTGGTTTGTGAGAGGCGGAATCGACGTGCTCCAATGTGGCTTTTCATAACAGTGCCGCAGTGAGTGGCCAAGCACAGATATTTTGGGAGATAACCTAGCCTTCTGGAGTCTGGCATCACCATTCCAACAACAAGAAAGAGCCTAAGCCTTCGCGAAGGACTTCGTATCAGTTTATTTACGGTGCACGCTAAACCCAATAACATATCTCATATCGTATGTTCCAACCAAGTCGGCTTCCGTGTACACAGATCAAATAGTCCCTTTAGTCTCCCTCCTCTTTCCATCAAATTGGCATTCAGGTACTCCTACACCCGTCCATGTGATCATGCTAGCATTGAAGAACATGCCAAGTGGCAAGCGGTGGCTGATCTTCATTGTAGATGGCCCCGCCCAAGTGCAGTGGTGCTTCATATCTACAACCAGGGTATGCTTAGGCTAAGAAGATTCTTCCTCTTTCCTCATCGGTTTGAATCTCACCCCTCTCTTCAGTGGTAGCCAAACGGGGGAGGTCCAGCCGGTGGCCCGTGGTTGTTCTGCCCATAAGGAGGCTGGGGAGAGGTTGGCTGCTGGTACGGTGCTTGAAAGACTTAGGGAGTGGTTATGGCGACTATGATGGCCGTGTCGTTGACTTTGTGTGCATAGACTTTCTCCTGGTAATTCTACTCTTTCTTTACCTTTCTCTTAGCCAATATTCGTGGGAGGATGCAATTCCAGAGAATCCAGCCGACGAAGAGCACAGCAAGGAAGACGAGGACGATGGAGATGAGGGCTGCCGTGGAGATGGTGCTTTTCTTGGATGAGGAGGAAGACCCGCCACCACCGTTCCCCGAGCGGCCACCCTTCAGTCCTCTACGAGTGCAGAGCAATGCAAGGTCTTCCGCATCGTCGGCCGATGGGAGGGCGGCGGCATAGACAGCGGGCAACATCTAGCTCCAAAGCAAGAGAACCTTGCTTTAGAATGCCTTGTTCATTTCCAATTCGGGCTTGTCAAAGTGTATATGGATTCTCCTGCCCTAGAGAATTAACCGAGAACAAAAGCGTGCGTCAATTCAGAACCAATTTGAGGTCGGTCAGCCAACCGTTGGTGAAGGTGTCTTATATGTTCCTATACTGCTGCTAAAGGAACATTATACATGTAGCTACCAAGGTTTTCGATAATTCCAACACAGGGAAGATATGAATAAAGTGGGATCTGTGTTGTTTCTTGCCATATCACCTCTGTCGATATACCCAGGTATATATAATTATTGTGAAGCTGGCCCACGGCCGTTCCTCTTCAATTTTGGCCTTGCCAAGAACCTCAGATCATGGCTGAGATATACCAAAATAAGTTCGGTTGGTAGAAGGACCCGCTGGAAAAACGGACTCATCAGCGGTGCCCACGTAATGCATGATATGATTTAATGACTAGAACCAACAACATATGCACCTCCACTGTCGATATTACTCATATTACGGCGAGCGTGGCATGTTTTAGCAATGGCTGCCTAGTATTAATTAATCACTATACTGACCTCTCACTAACATAATAAACTCCAGTACGCCAGCACTCGTCATCTCACCCTCGCTGTCGCCCAGTTTCCAGCTTCTTACTACCCACATGTCTTCAACCAACGACAACCTACCTCCCTACCAGGAGAAGGCTTTCGCTCAAGAAACCACGTCTTCTGTTGCCTACCCTAGCCGTCTTGCTGGTACTATCCAAACATGTTCAATAAAAGATGGCCAAGTTGACTACTTCTCTCTTATTCGGGTTTCTGATTCGACCTACCATCTATCCCTTACAATTGACCCTACACCTCTCTATCGCATCGAACTTTGCCTTGGATCCAGTAAAGTCGGCAATATCCAAATCTTCTCTGCATCTGATAGTACACTCCTTGCTGCAGCACGTACATCAGGGGATCAGAAAAGCAAGACCCTCCCCATCGGCATGGTATGCACTTCTTCACCTGCGGAGCCTAATGCATCTTGGCGGCCTGTTGCTTGGGGAAAGTCATGGCTTCCTCTATGGATTGATACCCACATACCGGTCGTTACGATACCTGGTAGACCTGCCAAGCCTCAGCACTTTGAATGGAGAGTTGAGGAGGGTAAAGGTGCAGACCTAAAATGGGAAGGTAAACTCCCTACTAATTTCATCAATCCGGCACCAATTGAATACAACTTCGCGAGAGTGATCATTGAGCCTGATGGAGGGGAAACTTTAGTAGAGATCCGGAGGGGAGCAGGCATTGACTTTGAGTTGAGTGTGATTCTCGAGGCGTTTCTACTTATAGACCTTACTGCGAAGGCAAAGTCAGCTTAAGGGCCTGACCCTTTCATTTTTCAACTGCTCTTTACCATATGTGGTCCATCTGCCATAGAAATGTCTCTTTTATAAGCTGCCTGTTTGTATTTATCATACTATGTCAGACGTCATAAGCTCCATGCTTCTCCATTCAATGGACACTTCAACAACCTTGCCATCTGCTATAAACCAAGGTTTCGAACCCCTGTTGTGTTGCCAGTGCCGCGCTGACAGTGCCTAGTCGTCTCACGCGTGGACTTTCTATCACTTTAAAGGATGCGTTCGCATTTTGAAAATTGTATGACCTGGAAGGCGGTCCCCAACCCAGGTTCCTTATGCTAGTATCCCAATCTTAACGAATATGTGCCCGACTTCTTCCCCTTCGGGGTTCAAATCCTATCCAATAATAGAATATTGTGCTAAAAATGCCTACAAAGACCTTTAAACACACAGTGTGGTCGCGCCTCGTCCACTGATAAAAGCAGCGAACATCTTTCATGATCCGACTTGTTGTAGAGATTGATCACACAAATAATCGTTTTTCATAACTTCTAGATCAGTCGGTGTGTATCTTGTACTGATTTATCCCTAACTTCAAACAATGGTATGTTCTAGAAGAATCCAAAGTAATCACTCAGTTCTTCACTCCCATCTACTTTTCTTTCTCGTAATGTTCCAATATTTGTTCCCGTACTATCAGCTATAGCTATTTTGGCATAAACGAATCTAGAAAATATTACTTTGGCAATCATAGAAAGGCTGTGTAAAAATGTATCCGAGGGGAATGGAACTCTTTCGAATTGGGTTATGTTTGTTTGGCTCCAGTGAGCCACCCGAAGTAATCAGCCAATATTAGCGTCAACATCCTAGAAGAAAGTTAGTCAAGCAATCTAATTATTTGTTTCAGAAAATGTCGCTTACGCATGTGGACCGGTGCGAAGATAAAATATTCCGAATCCACGGTAGAAGCGTGTAAGCCCCTCCTCCTTTGCTATCTTTCCAAAGCAATCTGTCATTGATCGGTACACAAGAGCTCCTTTCGCCGTTCTTGCACGTCTCTGTAGTCTCGTTTTGACGAGGTCGAACGGGAGGGCAATGGTCGAAGCAAAGAGGCAGGCCAGAGCGCTAGCTGTCACTGTCTGTGTTTGAATGGACCACGATGTGTGCTCTTTCAACCGGGCTTTGGTATCTGAGAATAAAGCCAGTTGCCCGAGATTCAGCGCCATGGCTCGTGCAATGGTAGGCGTGCACCCTGCCCACAGCGAGGTAATGCCATCCGAGCGTACTATCGAGCCTAATGCATCAAAGACCGACTTGTAATTTTGTCGCTGAGCCATAGGTCTCATACCATCCGACTGCATCGTTACCAGCGCCAGGTCCGCGGGATTGGCCAAAAAGGCAGCAATAGCCCCAGAGGCTAGTCCTGCACCGGCCCTTTGGAAGAATGTAACAGTAGTGTGGCGTTCATCTGCTCGTTCCTGCAAGACTTTCATAAAAGTGTCGAATATCCCGAGGCGTGCCGTGGCATATACAGCTTGCCGGAGGAGCCCAGCAGAGAGACCAGAGTATAATTCAAGCAGTTCTCTCCGAGAGGCGAGATCCTTGACCAACGTAAACGATGTTGGTTTAATATTGGTTGGTGGACATTTAGCAACAAGCTGCATGCGGACCTACAGTAATTCGATTAGCTATGATTTGCGAGGAAAGGCATGCTGCGTACCCTTTCCTGTTTCTACCTGTTGCGGTTGCTTGTGCTAGACATCGCGTACCTTGATCATATCAACGGGCTGGATTATGGCAAACGCGACCATACCTGAAGCACCTCCGTTGACAAAGGGAAGAACTGCTGCGACATTCCGGCTGCTGAAAGCCTCCCTCGCATGGGCAATACCGGATCTGTTTGCGACTGTGACAGAGGCCATTGCTTCCCGTAATCTATTTTGTGTGATCATAGCCAGGACTCGAAACAAAATCGCAAAGGAATTCATGGTGCAAGGTTCGTAATATATACCCAAGATTAAAGTCCAGGCCTTGGTTTCTCGGTTGATGGTGAGCCGGCCCGTGTTCGACGCCCGAGCCGTCATATACAACCAGCCGTGGTAACAGCCAGGCGCCTGCCAGCTCCGAGAAACTCAGTCGCCGACCAAAATCCGGGATCTCGGAAAGCCAATCAACATGCTGATTACTGGGAGGCTCCCGGATTCCTGGCGTAATCCATAGTTGTCATCGTATATATACCCGCTTTTTGTTACCGCCGACGGCCCGGCTCGGAGGCTACACGTCTCCATCGATGTCTCGGCTGATGGTCCTCGGGCATGGCTGGGACTGTGTGAGAAGGCGATGTTTGTCTGTTCTGATTGTGCACAGTCATGAGCCCACAGTATGACATCTAATATCCTCCTTGGATGCCAACCAGATGAGGAATGAAGTGAGACGCGAAATTGATGAGCAATCATGAGCGGAGCACAGCTTGCAATTAACAGAATGTTCACACAATATAAACAAGAAATTTAATAATGTGCCGAGCATTGTCCGTTTAGTTTGTCATTGATAGCCCACAGTAACTGAAAATATTAACAGCTGATAAAACATATCTAACAGCTCTATCTACCTAAGCATCCCCCGAACTCTCCTCTAAATACAACCCCTAAGGTGCGGAGGACCGAAAACTATCATACATAAGCAAAACCATTCACTCAGACCAGGACTTTTGACGTAAAGTAACACAGTGGTGTTGCACTCTCAGCTGCGCTGTACAATATTTTGATCGGCATGCGACATATGTGGAACACACCAACGGTTTCAGAGACAACGGGGGTGGGAATCCTATGACTGAGGTCTTATACTTATGAGGACCATAAACCTGTAAAATATGAATCTTGACCCAAACACAAACGCGAAACTATAGTCATGTTCAGCCACAAGGTGCTCCTCATCGGTGCCTTGGCTTGCGCCAGGGCGACAGTACACGAGATCACTACGACATCAATCGCAAGTGTCTTTCTACCAAATGCCGACCAATTCGCGTATGGTGCCATGGGCTCAATTGTTTCCGCCGACGTTAATAAGACGGCTGTTGTTCTTGGGTGCCCATCGCATTCAAACACGGACTTTTGTCAATACATGTACGATGACACTGTCACATATGGTCCTACAACATTCAGCTACGATGCACCGCTCTCCACAACGGAATGGCCTAGCTCAGGTTCAACACACGTGGCGTCAGAGTCTTCTCATATTCTTCTTTCCTCGCCCATTCAAGTTAACAATTGCCAGGTCCTACAACCGAGCATGCTCGCTTGATCCAGAAGCTGATATTGCCTACTGCACAGAGGAAAGGATCTCAGGCTTCCCTGAAGAGGCGCAATCAACACGCTACACACTGACGACTTCAAACTTTGGCGACCTACGCACGAACGTAACCGTTACAGCTGGCTTCGAGAAGCTCGAGCCATCCTCGGCCACTTCCCGCCAAACGCCAATCTATCCTAGGATAACTAGTATCGACGACTAGCTAGACAGTGAACGAGCATCCTGCTGGAGGGTCGAGTGAGACTTATCGGAGAGACGCTGTGAAGCTGAAGGATCAGCTATATGTCTGTTAAGTTAGGCTTCTAGTAGTTCCAATTAAACTCTCAAACGATAATTCTCATGCCTTGTCGCTTAAATTTGAGAGTGAGACTTGCATCCATGTGCATCTACAAACCATTGCTTTAATCGCGAATTTTTACCTTTCATATTCATTGCGTTGAGATGTCAAGTGTGTCAGTGAAGTTCCAAGTGAAGTCCCACGTATATATACACATTAATTCCATAACTAAAACATCTTCTTGAACATTCATCAAGACAGTCGTTACCGCTTCATTAAAAACAGCTCTTTTTGCCCGCATGTTGGAAGTGGCTTGCACAGAACTAGGACAACCGAATCATCCTACTCAATGTTGCTGACCAAGCACCCCTGACCTACCCTTGACCCCTAGTTCAGAGCACGCCGCCAAGTTGTTAAACAACACCCTGACAGTTATAAAACTGTAAAAAATATGAAAAAGGAGAGAATTATGAGAAAGGGCAACTAATAGTACAAACTGTTTGGAAGTTATCATAATCTACATCTGTAATCTAACGCCTAATTTGTATTGGGCAACCGGCCAGAAAAAAAGGTCATGGCCGTAGAGCACTCTGTTGAAGCAAACAGCAAAGGTGTTCAGTTTCGCAGCCGGACTCTTCGCTAGAGGATAATCTTGACTACGGATAAACTTGGAGGTTAAGGAGAAGAGTGACGACTTTCTTTAAGTTGAAGAATTGACGTACGGCTCAGCGGAGCAAACGAGTACAGCCATGAATCCCCCTTTTAAAAAGTAACTACATCTAGGTACTAAGATGTCATTTAAGTTGTCTTACCTATTCAATTAATATTTGGAAGGCTAATGGTTGACTGATTAAGGTGAACTGAACTATGCATTGCCCTAGCTACGAGGCGCTGCTTCTTCACATAATACGTGCCTTCATCTTTAGGAAGGGCCAAACCTAACGAGTGGGCCAGTAATAACACACATGTTAAAGGGTCTTGAACTTTTGTAGGATTCATTCTTTAGTCGGAACTTCTTCTCTGGGAAGCCAGCTGCAATGCCACCCCCCTTCGCGCCCCTCTATTGTGGCAACAAATCCAAATTGGCAACCGAATCGTGAGTATCATAGCCACAGTCTCTTTGAATTCTTTTTGGAAGGCAATATCACTGTAGTAGAGAGGCTGTTTTGTAGTATTTAAAATGTAAGAGTCTACCTGCAGAACGGAGATACTCTATCTAAACTCAGCCTAACTGCCAGTTTCGAGAGGGAGAATGCCAGTAGCTATCTATTTACAAGCACTAATTTAATATTTGAAAGTAAGATAACGGTGCCCCAAAGTTCCCTTCAGATTATCATCACGGAAGAGTGACCTCACCATTCGTAGGGCTGGGTGTGGTAGTGATCGTAGATGCATGTTTGGTCAAGCGTTGGGTCTAATTCGGGGTTGTTCTGTTAACTTAACGCTAGAACCCAAAGAGGTCAAGGGAAGTAACCGACACAATAACCGTGATTTTGTGGCGTTTCTTGGTCGGTAATTCATTCCCGCTCATCCGTTGTGCAAAACGGGATCATGGAACAAAATTCCTACTGGGGCCCTCTTCCTGTAGCATCGTTAGAAGACAAGATGTTAACCCTATCAGAGCTTAGGCTTTAGCCTAAAATGTGTCTGTTGGGATATTCATCTAAATGCTAGGCTACCGATAGCATCTAATAAGCAAATGACAAGTGAACGCCGACCGTTGATCTAATTATGCCTCGAAGCTGACTGGTCCTCGATAGGCTGCAGAAAAATATCCATGGTATGTGGTGAACCCAGCAACAGCTCTACATATGGAACTTGATCTCACTTCATGTCGCTTAGAACTACGGACGTGTCCGCGCAAGCTCTTGAAATTAATTGGTCACACCATCTGCCGAGGATTGGTGAATCAAAACGCAAAGTAGCATGTGACAGAATGCTGCCGTGCCATTGAGCAAGCGAGGGCCTTGATTGTGCAATTGAAACTGTAGCATGCCTTAGCAGAACCGTTTACAGCGAGTTTGGGCGTCATGTTCCATGTGATGGTTGAGTGAGCACTTACCAGGCATCGCGTGGAAGCCTCCCAGGGGTCCTGGTCTATAATGCTGGTAGGGCAGCGTTACACTCCAAGCTTGTTGATGATCGGCACTCACTGGTAGGAGCAGACGAAGATGGGAAAAAAGGTCTTGTCCCGAAATGGACGACGACGCGTCACCCTCCATAGCACGCCCTGCATTCCCAAAGGACACAGAACAATAGTTCCAAGAGAGGGGAAGCAAGTGATACGTCTCAAAGGCAGTTGAGCGAAACATGAGAGTGTTGCATCGGCCCAACCTCACTGATTTCGCAAAGAGCTTTCATCAAGTAGCGGTGGCATCATGATTCTCAGGGGTCTAACTACTTTCCCGTCCACACAAGCTTTGCAAAGCATGGAATCAAGCTTTCTCCACAACTCGGAATGGGACATCGCTCACTTGGCAGAGCGGGGCAGTCCACGGAGCTTTTAGAAGAGAACAGCTTCGACCTTTGGTTTAGTTTCAGTAAAGCATGAAAATCAGAAGATCTTTCCAAGTGTTGAGTTCGTCATGGATTCATTCCAGGATTTCGTAAATAATCCATCAAAATTGGAAACAAGAAGCCCGACTTCATCGTGTTTTCGAAGAAGGTCTCCAATTAGGTTAGGGCTTGAGGTCCAAGTAAGGCTCATGGGGTTTCAAGCCCGTACCTCATGTCATCATCCGGTCAAACCTGTTAAGGAAGAGTCTATCCCTCATTGGAGACTGAGATTTTAACCATCTGAGCAAGGTTATCCTACTTGCCCCGGAACTTTATAACGTCGGCACTGGTGCTACAATGGCGCTTCGCGAGACAGGGAACCTGCATCCATTTGAAATTGCTTGGACCTGGTTTGCTGCATTGCCGGAGGAGGCCATTTTAGGAAGCCCACAATTGCGGCCGTGGCAAAAGTCACATACTGTTTTGGGACGGCTCTCCAGTCCGAGTACTGCCCGACTAAAAAAATATGTCCGGACGGAAACAGCATTGTTTCGCCAACGTCGTATTGCAGATATGCATCTTCCGAAGCTCATACCATCTGAGATGGATCAGCTTCCCACCAATGGCGAGTCTGATTTAGAATTTGGATGCATGGGATTCGTCAGCTTCCAAGAAAGGGAAATACAACTCACAGATGATACCCTCTTCTTGAACAACAAGGGAAGAAACCCTCTCCTGCCTTGCGAGGAAGGGATAAACAAGAAGAGGGTGTCAAAGGGAAAGATGCCGACGACGACTTGGTTGATGGCGAGAACTAAAAAGTATAAAAGTGATGGAATGCCTCCCGTTCCCGTCTCGAAAGAACAGCACCAAACTAAAACCTCTTATTAGTCCCGACCCTTTCCGTTATTGAACTTTACCACCAACATGCGATTCCAAGTTGCAAGCACTGTCCTTCTTGCAGGCTTCGCCCTGGGCCATCCTGGTCATGACCCGGAAATGGAGGCCCTCGAACGTCGCCAAGCCCTTCAGACCATGAAACGCGCCTCGCTCTCGCACTGCCGTCGTCACTTTGAAGAGAGTGGCCTCGCAGCTCGGAACCATGAGCGACGTGCGGCCAAGCTCGAGAAGCTTCGCTGGAAGCGTGGCTTGACTAAGCGTAGCTGGGAAGACGTCCTTGCAAAGTCTCACGACAAGTCGGAGCTGGGATATACCCCTGATACCCCCGCAGACACTTTATTCTCTGGAATCAATGCTTGCATTCTTACTCCCGAAACTACCGAGGGCCCTTACTGTAAGTTGCTCGTTCCTCCCTTCTGTCTCTCTCTGTCTCAAAAACTCGTTCTGACATTACATACTAGACGTTTCCGGAGAAGACGTGAGATCCGACATTCGCGAAACCGAGCGGGGCGTTGAGCTCCTTCTGGACTATCAGGTCATTGACGTTTCGACCTGCGAGCCAGTCCCAGAGGTATACCTTGAGGCTTGGCACTGCAACACCACTGGTGTGTATTCTGGCGTCAACGCTGGTGGAAACGGCGGTGGTAGCGGCAACATTGAGACAACTCACCACCGTGGTATCCAGTTGACTGATTCTGACGGTGTCGCTGAATTTACCACCAATTTCCCTGGCCATTACACTGGCCGCGCTACTCACATTCACATCATGATTCATACCAACGCTACTCTCCTTGCCAATGGGACTTTGGGCCACAACTTGGCCTCTAGCCATGTTGGCCAGTCGTTCTTTGACCAGGACCTTATTGATAGGGTTGAGGAACTGGCCCCCTACAACACCAACACACAGCAGCTTCTCACCAATGACCAAGATGGCATTTTCAAACAGGAGGTCGGTAATGGTGCTGAGGATGTTGACCCACTTGCAGAGTACACTTACCTTGGTGATGATCTTTCCGATGGTCTCTTCGCTTGGCTTGCTTTTGGCATCGACACCACATATCAGCGCACTGTGAGCCCAGCCGTCTATCGTTATGAAGATGGCTTTGTTGAGAACCCAGGCAGCGGTGGTCCAGGCGGCCCAGGCGGAGGTGGACCACCTACGGAATGAATAGTGAACAGCGGAAATCCTTAGGTAGAAGTGTATGATCAAATTGGCTATTTACTTCGGGGCTCAAGGAAATCGTCATCAATGCTCTTGAAGTACTTCAGCTAGCTACAGAATGTTTAACACTTGGATACCTTCAGTCTTAGTTCTAGGATAAGTTTCCAATGATTCATTTTTGGTGGATTTCTATGGAAAGAGCTGAGCTATGTTACTGCAACTTTTGTGATGAATCAAAGAAAGTCCCCCCTCCCCCCCCCCCATGATGATAAAAGTAACATATTAACCAGCTACCTCCCTCACCGGCCCAATGTACCCGTGGCTTCCTTTCCACGCCCAGTAGATGCCCAGTATCAGCGTGGAACCACCCCAGACAAGAGAGGCATAATTCATGTTCTGGGCAGTAACTGGAAGAGAAAAGGGCAAGCAGTAGATGACGAAGGCAAACACCATATAAGTGCTGGCGATGGCGTTGGCTGCAAAGCCCAGCTTTTTGCCCATGCGCATAGGACCGTACACGATATTCTTTCTTCCTGTGAAAAAATGTGGTAAGATGGCAGCGATATACGCCGAGGAGGACATGAGCACGTAAGAGCCAACAAAGGCGTTGAAAGCACTCGTGCTTCCGACATATATACACCCCATCAAGGTACTGAGCACTGCCGATGCCACAGTTGCGTTGATAGGGGCATCGAACTTCGTGTTGAAGTTTGAGAAGGCTGATGGCCATGGTACCGCCCCGTCGCGACTCATTGCCCACAATGCCCGTCCGCTTGTGATATAAAGGCCGATGATGGTCAGCCCAATACATATCTGCATGAGTATGAGTAGGCAGATCGTGCCATTGGCTGAGCCAGTAGCTTGGAGGTAGATCTCAGCAAGTGGGAATTGACTTGTAAAGATCATGTCGTAGTCACTAATGGAGTACATGAGCGTGACGAGGTACAAGAAGCCAGTAATGAACCCGGTGACAGTCTGAAGAGCCATGGCAATGGGAACATTCCGCTCAGGACGCGGGATCTCCTCGGCCAAATGGCTGACGGCGGCAGGACATCCAATGCTGTAAGCTCCGTTCAACATACCGGCAAGGAAGACGATGGCATCTGGGTAGCCATTTTCAGCTTGCCACTCGAGCCATACGAAAGAAGAAGTCGCATGACCGCCTCCACCAGGCTGGGTAGGTACAACAGCAAGGACCACAATGGTGATGACGAGCCCGCTCAGGAGCCAATAGATGCCGAACTGGTTAAGCATGGGCATTGCGCGGCCCGCGAAGCAGACTGAAAAGCAAGCCAGCCAAGTGGTGATCACATAAACAATAAAGACATGAACCTCTTTGACAGTATAGTCGGGATGTTTCAGAGCATAGATCTGGAGGATACTGCTGCTCCATATAGCGGCCATGCTTGCGGCGCCACATATCCAAGCGAGATAGTTCCACCAGCCCGCAAAGAACCCAACAACTCGACCGGCTCGTCTACCGGGTGTCACAGAGGCCCAGTAGTAAACACCGGCGCTGGAAGGCATGGCGCTTGCCAGCTCGGCGAGAGATATAGTGACCACAAGGTAGAATATTGACACGACAAGGAACTCGTAGAGGACGCCTGTAACTCGGTCAGCGGTTGTCTTTGTTCAATGTCGGAAGTATGAAGGTACCTGGAGATCCGCCATTGAAAATTGCGACCTGTATCGAACCACCAGAGGCAGGCCAGACGACTCCGATGAGAATACCCAAACCGGTCAGAGAGAGGAGGCCAAAGCTGACGGGTACGTCGAGAGAACTCTCAACAACGACGGAGCAGCCATCGCTCTGATTAGAAACAGGCGTGTGCTTGGACACTGGCGTCGTGTCTTGTAGGTTTTTACTGAAAGATTGCTTGTTGTCTTCCATCTTGAGGCAATGTCTGATGAATTAATTTGACAACTCTTGGAAAGCCTCAAACTCCAAAAGACAATGTTTAAGTACTCGAAGAAATGCTAATCGTCACTCATCGTGTTACTCGAACCGAAATGGCACTGGCGCTCTCCGTTGAGTAGGGAGGGGGTACAATCAGTGTCGAGGAGCCCGGCTGTCTACACCGGCTTAGCCCAACCCTGCACCCTATCATGTCTTTGGGCTCCAGGCCGTGAAACTAGCCAGAACTTGCCTCTAAGGGATAGTACCATGAGGGGAACCATCGTTCTGCACTCACTATTATTATTTCCGATACCGGCATAGCACAGTTTTGACCGGTGCGGGGTGCAGGCATCTTTATCTCTCATATGGCCACCCCGAGGGTAGGCTCTGGTTTGCTAACTCTTTCCTAATCAGATATGGTGCCACAGGAACACATTTGTCATGGCTACCTCATACATCCATGGGGTATTTAAGGCAGCTTCGTTATGATAGGCGGTTTTGAACCTTGATCGGCTCCTAGGAGCTGGTATCAATCACCAACCATTGATGATCAACAATATTAGGCTATCGGAATGTCTTCTCAAGTTGCGCCCCAATCATTTCTCGGCATAGAAGGCTGCCATGTATTTGTGACGGGTGCCTCTGGTGGTGTTGGCGGAGCCGCGGTCAAAGAGTTCCTTGGTAAGCCGCAAATTTCGCCCAAAAAGTCCAGGATGCTGATGGTTATGTGACTAGCGAATGGCTGCCAGGTCACTTCCTTTGATAGGAAGCCCTTGAATGTCGAGGCGCTGTTCCTCTCGGATGAACAAAAGACTAGGCTTAGGCATGTGCTAGGTGACATGAAGGATGAGTCCTCCATCGCACAAGCCTTTCAAGAAGCCTGTAAGAGATTTGGCCCAGTCCAGATTCTTGTTGCCAACGCCGGCATCACCGACGAAAGTAGCCATCCTCCCATCTGGGACCTCGAAACTGAAAAGTGGGATGAAGTGTATTTAGTCAATGTCCGAGGGACTTTCTTGACGATCAAGCATTTCCTGCGACAGGTCAAGCAAGCCCAGGAAACGTCCGGCTGCGAGCTGGACAATGTCGCTATCGTGGTGACGGGCTCTGAAACTGGCGTCTTTGGTCAAGCTGGTCACGCCGAGTATGCATCCGGCAAGGCGGCCCTGCAGTATGGACTTGTCAAGACAGTCAAGAACGAGATTGTGAGACTCAACTCGAAAGCTCGCATCAATGCCGTCGCACCAGGCTGGATCAATACTGCATTGATCGGAGACCGACTAGACGACCCAAAGGAGAGATGGGCAGAGGCTGAGGCAACAGTGGCTCTGCGCAAGATTGCTGAGCCCAGCGACGCAGCGCGATGTATGGCATTCTTGGCATCTCACCGAACGGCTGGACACATCACAGGCCAATGCGTATCGGTAGATGGAGGCCAAGAAGGGCGCCTATTGTGGAGAGAACCTCAGGATGATGTCCAGTCCAAGGCCGCCAATGAGGCTTCTATCCATCAAGAATCCCGACTTCCGGCCTCAACAGTTTCTGATAAGCGGCGCAGATTGAGGATATGTCTCTCTGTTGACTTCGATGCGGTTTCAGGGCTGATTGGAACCGGCCATGTACCTGAAAATAATCTCGCGGACTATTCGGCTGGACACTTTGGTGGAAACGTCGGCGTTGAAAGACTACTGAAGGTATTCAAAAAGCATGGTATCGCACAAAATATCACCTGGTTCATACCAGGTCACTCGATGGAAAGTTACCCCGAACGGACTCGAGCCATCGTCGAAAGCGGTGCAGAAATTGGCCTCCACGGATACAGCCACGAGGGTGCATACTCTATGTCCGAACAACAAGAACGGGACGTGATGATGAAATGCATCGAGCTGGCCAGCACACTGTGCCAGGGCAGGAAACCGGTCGGGTATCGTGCTCCGTTATACCAAATAAGGGAGTCAACAGTTCATCTGCTGAAAGAGCTTGGATTTATGTACGACGCCAGTCTCAACTCTCACGACAGTCTTCCTTATTTTCTTACCGAAACCCTCGTCGAAGGTAGCCCAGCGATTCCGGACTATAGCCAACCTGCAAGCACGTGGATGAAGCCTTTAACGTTCACAGAGCAGATAAAGCCGGGATCGCAGGCTGCGAAAACATCTTTGGTAGAGATTCCCGGTAGTTGGTACACCGAAGATGCGACGCCTCTATGTTATTATCCGCACTCCTCAGCTACCCAGGGCTACGTGAGTACAGACGTAGTAGAGAAGATGTGGATGGATCGATGCGAATGGTTGTGGGAAAATGAAAGCTTTTTGGAAGAGGGCCCCGGAGTCGGATATGGATCCGTCTTCCCAGTCATTCTTCACCCTGAATGTGCTGGGAGGAGCCACGTTATCGGCATGCTTGATCGGTTCATTTCCAATCTCAAAGCAAAGGCGGACGGTGCTGCCAAAGGAGAGATTACTTTTGAAGTGATGAGTTCTGTAGCACAGGCTTGGAAGGCAAGGGAGGCCATACTGTAGATGTAGGGTAGTCTGTAAAAAGTCGATAGTTTCAAATCTTCATTTTCTTTCTCATCAGAACAAAGTATGCATGCCTTTTGGTTGTGATAGACTAGGATTGCTCTTCTCTTTGATCAGGGTGTCCGTATCGCCAATCTGCGAGTTACGTATGTGGACCGCCATCTTGCCATAAACTTGAGACAGATGGATAGCTAATGAGCCGTGTTGAGAGCGGCGTGTTCGAAATTGCAGATGACGGCTCCATAGATAGCCAAGACTTGCTATTTTCGGGTCGCTTAGAGCCTGGACTAAGCGTGATCGGGAAAGTCTAGGAGGATAAAGGGGGTGAGGGTCTCGGGGGGATGTCGATCGATGTCATCTTTGGCTTTAGCGACGATCATGGCGGGGGGGCGTGTCGTTTCGCAGACTCGCAAGATAATAACGATGTGTCAAGCCGCCCTGTGCCCCCAGGGGGGACGTGACCGGCGTTAAACAATACTACTACTACGTTGTGTCAAGATAATGGAGTCTTCGAACACCACGGAAACTATCGAGGAAGCCTTGGTCGAATCAACAATGGCGGTCGTAGAGATGAATTCTTGACTAACCAATTCCAGACAATTCAAATCTAAGAATCGGTAAACCTTCAGGACAGAACTAACCGAGAAATTATGTCGTGTTTGGCAAAGCAACGACCGTCACCGACGTGTTCACAGACGAAGATCAACTAGTGATTGGCAATGCCTCTGAATCGGCGGTAGCCTCGACTGTTCAAAGTAAACACTGTCTCTATTCATTTAGGGCATTTGCTATTCAACTTGAAGGGCTCTTTGAACTAGATCTGGGGATGAATCAAGCGCTAGTGTGGCATCGACTCTTTCTATCCTCGACCTCCCCAGCTTCGAGTTTATCAGCAACGTAGAAGCTGGCGTTTAATGTACGTGGAGATCAATCATGAATTGTATCGTGTAATCAAGAGATTAAGATCAAAACTTATACCCATTCTTTGCATTACTTCCTCCGGAGATCTGATTCCCATATGTAATCACTACCTACGTATCACAATCTTGAGCTGCAGCAGCTCTTGGGCTGCTTATCTTCTCTTTCGTCGAGCACGCTCTTGTTCATGGCCTGTGTAGATACAGCAACGTCCAATGCAGGGTTACCGAGGAAGAAGTTGACTGGCTTCAAGCTCATCGTCATCTTCTCGTACGGCATGACCGGCCAGTCCTCGATCCTTGGATTATGAGTTGACCCGAAAGTGTGCCAGACCACAATGTCTTCGTTTCGGACCGAGGTCGAGCTACCCGGATCCTGCCGACGGCGCTTGATGGCGGACTCGATGCCGTCGCCGCCAATTGATTGCATCGTGTAGCGACCAGATGGGAAGAGCTCTTCGTCGTCATATCGAGTCACCCAGATGGCGTGTTTTGCAAACTCAGACCGCTTGGCATGGAAGGAATCAGCATTTGCCAGCAGCATTTGGCTGTAAATGGGATAGATCTTGAAGCCGACGGGTGTTTTGGTGATAGGGTTGATCTTCTGTTCATTGATGATTTTGAACACTCGGTTTTTGGTGATGTCAAGGTCCAAGCCGCCCTCGTTTTCCACGTTTTCCTTCACCGTTGTGTAACCGACCGAGTAAGGATTGTGGATGCTCCCATCCACTGGCATGGCATGTGACTCTTCAACCTGCAGGGTGTTGTTTTGCCCATCAATTGCAGGGTCTAGTCGCAAGCAGAACATATGCTGATGGTACGGCGCCATGACTCCAGGTCCCACGACGGTTCCATAAGGCACAGTATCACCAAGGTCGATTGGAACTGTAGATAGGATTCCAGTTGCTCTAACTTCATAATGGATGGAGGCATCCTGGCCAAAGTGGAAAGCAAAGATATACTCATAGTTGGAAACTGTGATAATCGTCTGGAGGACAAGGACACGAGATCGAGTTACCACGGCATTCTTAGTACGGAAGTTTGTATGTTTCCACATGATTCCGTCGTCCTGCTCGTGGCAGCAGATGACGTTGGGCATCTTGAGAGGCATTCCAGAGCTGGTGTTATGCCAGGCGCTGAAATACTTAATAGTTCCCAGGCAATCGCATCCGAGTTGGAGGTTATTGGCATTAATTCCAGCGCCGTCGTTACCTAAGTCAAAGGCAGCTTTGCGAGGATATGGCTTCCGAGGGTCGCCGTAAGGGACAAACATCTCTGAAAGCGAGAGCCTATAGAATAAGCTGCGCCCATCGTAGCGGATGTCGTGCAAGGTCAAGCCTTCACGGTAATTAAAACCAATGTGAAGTGACCACTTCTCCCAGGTAAGAAAGTTCCCGCTTGTCTGGAAAGAGGGTCCCTCGGGCTGGACGACTTGGTAAGGCTTCGTGCTTGAGCGTGGAGGGGGCCTCAGAACGGGATGATACTCGGAGGCGGCTGTTGAATGGATCTTTCGATGGTCAAACGGACGTCCTTGCTCACTCGCCCTCTCGTCAGCCGCCGATGGGAGATGGTACACCTTGGTGACCTTTAGCTGTTCTGACACTTCGGCACACAGCTCGAGTGGGTAGGCATAGTAGTTTGTGTCCGGATGATCCATCAGCCGCATGTAAAACCAGCACTTATAAGAGACACATTAGCCCGAACCCGGTGGATTTGTAGGCTTGAGATGTAGACCTACCATGGTTGTACGCTGCTCGGTGGCAATTTCGCCATCCGTCGCATATGCCCAAGTCTCAATGCAAACTGTTGAGCCTATGGGTAGGTTCAGCTTGTCAATCTCGGCTTGCACTCGTGCATCAGCACGGCACGCTTCCTCGACGGCACGCATATAGTTGGAGTCGATGTATGAGTGCTTGCCCGCCATATGCTCTTTCTTCACAACTGTTGACTGATCAAGATCGACCAGGAGATCATATAGCTGGCCTGGCCCCTCCCCCTCAAGGAGGACCACTTGGACACGCGCAAAACGAGGCGGCTTCTCTACGTCGTTATGATTTAGGTCTTGGCTGGCGAGCCATCGAACCATGAGCTTTTTGGGCGGCTCTTGAAGGGTAATGACTCTGAAGTTGGGGCTCTTCCCTGGAAAGACGGCCCTCGCAATTTGGGCAGCCTGGATGAGAGTATCAGCAAGAACAAATGTGTATTATTGATCAATGATGAGAAACATGTTTCTCATACCTGCAGGACTTCCTCTGCGTCGAGAGGCTGGAAAGGATGAATAAAGGACATGGTCAAGATTGGCTGGTGCCGTGACGGGACAGAACAATTGAGCAAACACCGTGAAAGAAAAGTTGAGTCAAGTAGGATGAAGAGATAGATTGTCCATACATCTTCTCAGGTACAAAGCACCCTCTTTTATACTTGAAGGCCCCGAAAGGTCTTTCTTGACTTTACTTTTGGAGGAAATGTACGTGGTGCCAATTTATCGCAGTCATCTTCATGCTACAACTGCCAGACTTCAAGTTGTGGAGTTGTTTGCCCATCCGGTCCCGCCGGTGCTTTCTTTCTCCACGTCTCCCTCTTTCTATGAGTGACTGGGAAGGGGGAGGGTGTGACAATATCAAGAAAAAGACATGGGTCACTGCTCCAGGGGTCTACCAACCAGCCCAGTCTACAATTTACATGACTACGGCTTTTTTATGGGGGCAAGGAATGAGAAAAAAGACAGCTCAAGCGCCACATAGTGAGCAGCGCGAGTCAGAGCCCAGGTGGATGCTCCATAGCATATACTAGCTACAATGGAATAGCCAGGAGGAGAACATTGTCTGAGACTTTGAACCCAGGTTCGACTGGAAATGAACGACTCGCGTGCAATGTCACTTTTCAAAAGCGCCTGGCGTATATACTTCTTGTTAAAAATGTATACATATACATATAAGAATGATTGTTTGTTCCCATCATAAGGCAGAACTTCGACGGTTACTAGCACGTTTACACACAGATGATCTCTTTATCATGATTTGGTAGAACTAAGGTACCAGACATTCTTACGGCATTTTTATTCACAGAAACGGCGGATAATTTCTGATAAGCCAGTTGCCACTTTGCCAACGGATTCAATCTCGACCCATTCTTCCTTTCCATGTAATCCGTATCCTGTAGGACCCCAGATCAGAGACGGGATTCCCTGAGCCGCGAGAAGTGCGCTATCTGTCCAGTAGGGCGCACCAGCAACGACGGCCTCGCTCCCTGTCGACTCGCTGACCACGTCCTTGACAAGCTTGAAAAACGGATGATCTAAAGAAAGCTCAAACGGAGGTCGGTGAAATGTCAGCTTGAGGTCAAACTTGAAGTCGGCCACCGAGTCGGCCACCGACTGTAGTATATCACGGACTTGCTCCTCTACAATAGCCGGTGTTTCTCCTGGAACAGTGCGCCGCTCGAGAATAATATTGCAGAAGTGAGGATAGGAAGCAACTTCCTCGCCTCCCTTGATAATGGAGGCGTGGATGCTCCCTGGTCCAATCTTGGGATTGCTCCCCTGGCCGTGCTGGAGACGATGAGCAAATTGGTCCAGCTGAGCGAGGAAGTATCCAGCTTTGCAGATGGCATCCACGCCCAAGTCCGGGCGTGAGCCATGGGCAGCCACTCCATAGATGTTGACCTCGAGAAGGGCGAAGCCTTTGTGCACATGCAGTATTTCCATGTTGGTAGGCTCGTTGACCAGAGCTGCGTCGGCCCTCCAGCCTGCGGAGAGAACGTCGCTCGTCCCAACACTGTACCCTTCCTCATCCGCCACAGCAGTGAGGAGGACATCGCCACGAATCTTCATCGACTTGGCACTGGCCAAGGCAACCATTGCCGCCGCGAGACCGCCTTTCATATCAGCAGAACCGCGACCGAAGAGCTTGCCGTCTGAGATTACGCCCGACAACGGCTCGCCTTCGTATGTCTTGAGAGTCACCGTGTCGAGATGGCCATTGAATAAGAGGCTCTTGCCCCCGCCCGTGCCTCTCACCACGCCCACCACCGAAGGGTGCCCCCTGACAGGCTCAATCCAGTGGCTCTCGATGTTTCGATGCTCCATCCAAGCTGTGACATAGTGCGCAATCTGGGTCTCGCCTGGCCCCGGAATGGTGCTAATTGTTGAGCTCGAGGAGTCAATCTGCACCAGCGTTTGAGTCAGCGCGACCGGATCATTGCCTTGGACAAAGTGTGGCACAGTGTACGCTGCTGGACCTTCCGTGCATAGTAAGACTGCTGTCGATTCAGAAGAAAGGCCCAGCTTAGCCAGCCTGGTTTCGGGAATGAGCCGAAGTGCGGCGAGCGTCGCCGCACTTGACGGTCCGACTTGAACGTGCCATTTCTCAAGGTCGAGTATAGCCTGGTGAGCTTCGAAGTCGGAGACAGTGACGGCAACGTCGATGCCGTTACGCAGAATGTCCCATGAATCATCTGCAATTTCGCCACGTCTCAGATCGCCCATGATGGTCGGCGCAGTCCCCGTAGTGACCAAAGCCTTAGCCTCAAGACTCTTCCACAAACATGCTGCAGTATCAGGCTCGACGCTGAGAATCTTGGGGTTACCATGGCCCACGCTATCGTGGAAGTGTGAGATGACGGCTTCAGCAAGAAGACCTGCTCCGACTGGGATAACGACCAGATCTACTTTAGATGCTCGCAGCTGCTTGTCGACCTCCTGCAAAAAAGGAGAGAAACCTTCTACGATCCACTAGCGAACGAATAAGAGTCAGTATAAGTAATATGTTAGAGCCGCATGCCATGTAGCTTACTCTGGAAGTCGCGTTCGGCTCTGAGAAACGCAAGAAATCCTGGAAAATGGCATTATTGATACGGGCTGCGCTCGCCTTGGCTGCTGCAATTGTTTCGACCACGGTGCCAGAGTCCAAAAGAGGCTCCGCGCCTTCTGAACGTATGCGGTCCCGGACGGTCGGCGAAGTAATGCCCCCAGAGACGTGTAACTTTGCAGGAAGCGTCAATAGTCGGGCGGCAGAAGCCACTCCCAGGGCGTAAGCCTCATCAACAGCAGCGACAAGTGTTATCGCCTGGGCCGAAATGGCGTTTTTGACATTGGACAGGGGTGAGTCCAGGGGAATGTCCAGGTGAACAGTGACAGCGCGGAAGACAGCCCACGAAATACTGAGCTCCTTCCAAGACAATCCCATTGGCTGTGTTGCGTAAACATGTCCTAACCCTACAATCCTGGCTGCTTGGGGGATATTCACGAGACGTAAGGGCAGTTGTGCTTCAATTTGCTGGTAGAAGTCGACCACTAGACGAGTCTTGTTACTATCAGCGCCGCACGGCCGGGCAGGGAGATGGCCCCGGATGCATGTGTTTGCAAGGGGAGGTCGGCGACTGGGTTGTAGGGAGTCCATTGGAGAACTGGATGACGAGGATTTGATGATTGTAATCACTAATGCGCCGAAGAGAGCCTACGAGGATATGCCATGGGTGGAAATTCCGAGACGCAAAACGACAGGAGGGCGCTGGCGCAGTGACCTGACAAATCCTCGATTCAGCAATCTGCAAATTCTGGACAGCTGCTTCTCGATGTATCATGCATGGGGTAGGCAAAGCGAAGGAGCTGCCTTGACAACCAAGATCAAGGGGGTACCACATACTAGTCACAAGTTGAACATTAGTTCACGATGGCTGAACACTTCTAGACGTGGGCCGGGGCCAAAAGTCGCTAGTTCCTAGGGGTGGTGATAAGGAACATGGGCGTGAAGTCAAGGGTGGGTTCAGAAAGAGTGGTGGTAGTATTAGTCCCAGTAATTACCTTTAGAGGTTACAACTATATATTGAGCAGCCACTGCCCTCGCTTTGCTGCATTTTCGTACTTTACCTTTAGAGGCCAGCAACTCGGCCGCTCTTGTCAGCTGGGATTTTTTGTTTGAAACTGTGTCCCAGTAATTGCCTTTAGAGGTTACAACATACTGCGCAGCCACTGGCCTGGCTTCAGTTATTTTCACACTTTGCCTTTAGAGGTCAACAACTCGCCCTCGCTTAATTAAGTGTTATCATGGCTTCATGGTTACCTCGCTCATCTTTACCTTTGGAGGTACGCAGTGCCGGTAAGCCGCAAGTCTCATGACTAACACCGGACCGGCCACGCCCATCTTTCTAGCCTTTGGAGGATCATTTCTTGTCAACGAGCAAATTTCTCTCAGTTCCATCCTTCTGCTGTGGGGATATGCAACCATTGGAAAAGTCTGCAGTCCTTGTGACCTGAATTTATATCGATCTTTGCCTTTAGAGGTTATCCGAGACTGTCCAACGTGCTGTGGTCGATCCTTTCGATGTCCCCTTCCTCGGTGCCGCGTTTAAGAGACGCCCCCGGCGTTTTTCAGCTTCCGGTCTCGGACGCGCGCCACCCATCCACGCTCTCCGGGTCGAGAACGACGCTGAAAATTGCTCTAGTCGATGGCGAAGAAATCCATCGACTACGACCCTGACGGTAGTGACACTTATCATTGAGAATTGTGCAAGGGATTTAGGACTGGTGGGACTATAGGTGATAGCTCCCGGCTTTCGTCTGTTTAGCTTGTTCTTCTTTCTCTTCCCTTTGTCTGGAAGGCAATCGTCGAGGCAACCAAATTTAGATCTCGGCCAAGCCGTTGAATACTTGGTGATTTTCAGGGCTTGTAGCGGACTATCACCGGACTGTGGTCCCAAACGATTGACGAATCTAACAAACCAGCTTATATTCGAGGCGGAAAACCCTTGCACTTGCTGCCTCAAGTTAGGTGTAGTGGTCTATAGCTACCTTACCTCAAGTTCCATGTTCAATATTTAGAGTATGCGCCAATAACTTGCGAACTTTCTTCCGTTCACAAGTAAATAGTAACAATCTCGCCAGCGACATGAAGTTTTACCCATATCTCAGCCGAGAAAAGGGGTGTATATTCTTCCGATCCAACTATGCTAGTGGGGTTCACCTTTATCGTCATCAAACTCAGCCGCCTGTCAAGTTTCAAAAGTATTCCATTACCCAAAAGAATAGTAAAGACGTAAGGTAAATTTGTATTCCTTGTTGACCATAACAGTAATGACTCTGGCTTCAGAGTCTTGCAGCCCCTACAGTCAAGGTACCAGTCTTTGAAATGAGATACTCTTCTATAGCAACATCCTTCCCGGCCTCCTTTCCGTATCCTGACTCCTTGATTCCGCCAAAAGGCGATTCGGCACATGATGAGTTGCCTAGAAGCACCAATTCTTAGCCGACTCATCTAGTTCAACCGGCCTAACAAAGCTTACCTGTGTTCATGCCAATCATCCCAGCCTCGAGGTTTTCAAGAAGTCTCCATGTTCGCTGCACGTCCTTTGTAAAGAAATACGATGCCAGCCCCATGCTTGTATTATTCGCAGCTTGAGTAGCCTCTTCTTCTGTGTCAAAACGGTAGATCCCTAGCAAGGGACCAAAGACTTCCTCCTTTGTTGTCAGCATATTAGATGTCATATGGGAGATGACAGTAGGCTGGAAGAAATAACCAGCGGATTGGATCTTTTCGCCGCCGCAAAGGATCTTCCCTCCCTTGGCAACAGCGTCTTGGACATGGGCTTCAAGCTTCTCGATCCCACGTCTAGTAGTCAGTGACCCCATTGTGACCCCGGGCAGCAAGCCGTGACCAACTCGAATTTTGCGGGTTGCCTCAACGATCATGGATGTAAACCTGTCATAGATACCACTCTGGATATATACCCTGTTTGCATGCGTGCAGGCCTGCCCTGCAGTACGCCATTTCAGTATCATGAGTGCAGCTAACGCCTCATCAAGATCAGCGTCATCAAAGACGAGGAAGGGGCAGTTGCCACCCAATTCCATTGTCACCTTCTTGAGGCCCTTGCTGCAATACTGGGCGACAATACTGCCAACTGCAGTGCTTCCGGTAAACGTTACCTTACGCACTCGAGGATGTTGACACAACGACTCGCTTACAGTTGGCGTGTGGGCGGCATCCGTTGTAATGACGTTGAATGCGCCATTGGGGAATCCTGCCTTCATCGCAAGGTCTGCCAAGGTGAGGACGCTGAGTGGCGTCTCTGGGGACGGCTTCACAATAATGGTACAACCGGCAGCAAGTGCAGCAGCTACCTTGCGTATTACCATGGCCACTGGGAAGTTCCAAGGCACGAGGGCCACGCAAACACCAATCGGTTGTTTGACCACAATGGTGCGACGTGTCGAAATGGAAGGGATGCCAACCGATCCTCGTATTCGCTCAGCTTCCCCGGCAAACCACCAGGCAAAACCAAGTGCATAATCAACCTCGCCGAGAGCCTCGGCAAGCGGCTTGCCAGTCTCATAGACCACGATCCGAGCAAGATCTTCGCGAGCCTCAGTGATCAACTGGTGCCAGCGCAAGAGGTTTTGCGCTCGCACGCGAGGATTCACATGCCTAAATCTTTCAAAAGCAGCATACGCCGTCTCGACATAGGCATCGACGTCCTCAGTGGTGTTGATTGGACATGAAGCAACGACTTGATTGGAACCGGGGTCTTCAGAGTTGGAGATGCTCCCAGTCAGCAACGCGGCCTGTCATGGCCAGGATATCATCCAACGTACCTTCGATTTCGAACGATCCCATGGACTTTGCTTGAACCCACTGGCCATCTCGGAGCGACGCCTCGTGGAGCAGTGATGGGTTGTTGAGCTATTCAACTTGTTAGTATGCTTGGTCTCTCTGCTTGCGTAAAGAGCAAAGCCACCTTCAACATCATTGTTTTGAGTTGCTAGCTTTACTGTGAAGGTCTTGTAGCGGTTGTGATCTGCGAAATTAATGCGAGCGTGTCATGTGAAAATTCACTTAGCGAGATGAACGCCTTGATAATATATCAGGGAAGAAGCTCCCCCTATACTAGGCCACCATCCAGAACCAAGACTAGCCAGACCGACACGGTAGGAGAGGAGTGTCACTCATCCGACTGAACCTTTCCATGCAACATTGATGCCTGTAGATACATGGACTCCGGCATAAAGCTCTTCCCACGCACTCCCTCCCATTGAATCATCCATACACACCCATGGGCCCTTGTTTGCCCCTCTCCCCATGTGGAGTCTTTCATTCTTAATCCTAGTCGCCTAGTTCGTGAGCTTGGTGGAGAGTGGGCACTTCCCCAGTTTCTACCTCTAAAGGAAACTCTAAGCAAGTCGGCTCCTAACCTCCATGGCTAACCTCAAACGATGCCATGTCCTGGATCTTTGGGGGTAATCATGTGCGAACCTAGACCTTTGGAGGAAACTTGATGGGAGCCTGGACTATTATGCAAGACCCTTACTCGCACAAGTGTCTCCGAACTGTGGAGAATCTCATCCAACCATTCTTACGAGCCATAGAGGTGTGGGGGATAGCTACAAATCACTAACGTAACAACCACACCCACAGAGCAAGGTGTCGGTTGATGACTGGTAACGAGGTATTTCGTGAATTACTTGGCCCGCGTTACATCCCTAATTGATCCCTGCCACCTTCTAGCTCAACGACAGTGACATTGGGGCTGTTACCTAACAAACTTAGCACTGGCGGCCATGCAAACATCAACGCTTCTTGATCCCTCATCACGATTTTTGAACTTGGACGTCAAAATTGAACAAGTCCATCGGTCTGAACAGCATCGCCAATAATGAAGCTGAATAAAATCTTAGCTCTTCTATCTCTCACTGCCAATTCGACGGCTCATTTACATCACCAGGATGACGAGCTCGATTGGACAAAAGAGCAGCTTGACGAACTGGAGGCTAAATGGGGTCAAGAGGCAAGAAATGGCCCCTTGAAGCCGCCTCATGCCATCTTGTGGTCAATGACTGACAGTTTTCGCAGTGGGGATTCACTGGTCTGGGCTCGTTTGCCCATCTCGAGTACTCAAAGTGTCTCATCGACCCCTCCAAGAGGTTTGACATCGCCATCGTTGGTGCCCCTTTTGACACGGCCGTTGGCTTTCGACCAGGAGCTCGCTTCGGGCCCAGGGCCATCCGCCAAGCCTCAAGCCGGCAGATCGCATCGCGGGGCTTCAATACGCGTGCTGGCATTAACCCCTATCTTGACTGGGCAAAGGTGATTGATTGCGGCGATATCCCCATCACTCCTTTTGATAACGACATTGCACGCAAGCAGATGTCGTTGGCTTTTGAAGAGCTTGGCCGGCATAAGACTGTCTCCAACCGTATTTCTAAGCCGCGGCTTGTAACCCTGGGCGGCGATCATAGTCTTGCTTTACCTGCACTAAGAGCTCTCAACAAGATCTACGACGGACCTGTTCGAGTTCTACACTTTGACGGTATATTTCATTTCTTCCCTTCCTGTTAAGTCTTGTTGCTGAGCCGGAGCATATTCTCGCAGCCCATCTCGATACTTGGAGCCCTACAGCCTACCCTTCATACTGGGGCGCGACGCACTTCACTCACGGCTCCATGTTCTGGATGGCCCATCAGGAGGGGCTTCTATCCAACTCAAGTTCTAAGCCCTCTGTCCATGCAGGCCTCCGCTGTCGCCTTGGGGGGATCGATTGGACCGATTATGAAGACGATGCCTCTCAAAACTGGGTACGCATTGCAGCCGACGAGGTAGATAGAAGCGGTACAGACGGTATTATCAAGCACATCATGGACACTCTAGGGACGGATGACCCCGTCTACTTGTCAATTGATATTGACGTGTTAGACCCCTCAATTGCCCCAGGTACAGGTACCCCAGAGCCGGGTGGTTGGACGTCTCGAGAACTCATCCGAATCCTCCGCGGCATTGAAGGTCTGAACCTTGTGGGAGCAGATCTGGTTGAGGTATCTCCTGTTTACCAGAACCAGGGTGAAGAGACAACCATGGCTGCGGCACAGATCATTTTTGAGGTCCTTACATCAATGGTCATCCGAGAATCTGACCATAAATCGAAGGAAGTTTACACCGTTCCGGGCAAAGGCGAGCTCTAATCACTATTACTGCCAGCCTTCGAATTCACCAACCACGAATGACCGCTTCCCAAGGGCTATAGCATGCAGCGGCCTTTGGCGCCTAGATGAGCTCTTTCTTGCACTCAAAATCTATCCTACGTCGGACAGATTTAGGGGATGATAAAATGTCTAGTGCAAATTAGTGCAAAATGGAAATAGATAGCATAGGAATAAGAGTTTCAGTGCATTCATCTCGGCTCAAATATTGCTATGGGACTTTCGTTTCTTATAAGTACCTGTAAACGTTGTCATATGTACGATTGTTATAGTTACCATGACAGCTTAACCATCACGCCCAATCCGCATATGCACATCATACACATACATTTTAAGATGATTACATCAAACGGACCAGGTTCTGAACCTCCGTAGAAGGCGGTGGGTGTTAAACCAACACAGGGGGCGCTTTTGGGAGACGATGATCAGCGACGCAACATTTGAAAGAGCTTCGTGCAAGGGGTGCAACAGTCAGACAACTTCCCTTTGTCCGATACCAATACTTCATACTGAGCGCCATCGGAGCGGGGATTCTTTTTCCTATACATGGTCTAGCAAGCACTACTGGCCCCATGCAAGTCTTGCTCTCGGGAATCTGCACCAGTCTACCCCATGGGGTACGTGACGCCCCTCAGATAAGCGATCTGCTTTACGGGTGTACATTGAGTCAGTATCTCTCTAGTTTCGGTGCTGTTGTCCAAAGCAGAGGGATCACTCTCCCGTCTCCTATATGGAATACTTTAAAACCCTCCTGATGATCCCAGCCAGCTGTCTACTCGAAAAGAAACACCAACTCCTTGCAAGTCTCCTCTCACTTCTCACATCCTAATTATCCTTTACATTCAAGCTCCGTCCCCTTTCTTCTTCATCAATTCTCCTTTTTGATAAACCGTCATGGAGATAAACAATGCCGGTATGGAGACAAAGCTCAACCAGACAGACGAGGCTCAAAGGGCACCAAGGCAAGGCACCTCTCAGGGAATTCTCCTTGATGCAGACTGCATCAACAGTCAATATGGCCATACCGACCGTGGTCTCTCCCCTCGCCATGTCCAGCTCATGGCTATCGGCGGTGCTATCGGCGTCGGCCTCTTCGTGGGCGTCGGTGCTGTCATGACCAAGACTGGCCCTCTGTCGTTGCTCCTGGGATACTCCTTCTGTTGCCTGCTATTTGTGTGGCCTACAAATCTCTGCCTTGCTGAGATGTGCAGCTACCTACCACTGAACGCATCTATATTCCAACTAGCCAGTCGGTTCATCGATCCGGCCGTCGGCTTCGCCATGGGCTGGACTTACCTGTTCGCGAGCGTAATGCTGGTCTGTGTCGAATATAGCGCCGTCGCCACTATCATGTCTTATTGGCTTCCGGATGTCAACCCAGCGGCGTGGGTTGCAATGTCTATGGCGACCTGCCTTCTGCTCAATATAGTGGCCGTTAAGTAGGTATATCGTGTGCCCCCAGAGTGCAGCCTGATCTAATATGACAAAGGTACTATGGAGAATCGGAATTCATCATGGCATCTCTCAAAATCCTTCTTCTATTCGGCCTCATCCTCTTGACCATTATCACCATGTGCGGCGGTAACCCCAAACGCGATGCCTATGGATTCCGCAGCTGGGATGGTGGTAGATTTATGCTTCACTACTATGCTGAGGGGCCTACTGGACGCTTTCTCTCCTGGTGGAAAGTCGTTCTCTATGCTGCTTTTAGTGTTGCTGGGCCAGATCTCATCTCCATCACATCAGGCGAAATCCAAAACCCTCGAAGGACTATTCCACGAGTCGCAAGACTCGTGTTCTGGCGCTTAGTTGGCTTTTATATTATCGGTATACTTGCCGTTGGTATTATCTGCCGCGCTGACGATCCCCGCTTGTTGGGGGCCATCTATCTGGTGCTGCTGGTGCTGCGGCATCGCCTTTTGTAATCGGCATCCAGAATCTGGGCATCAGTGGACTGCCGTCTCTCATCAACTTTCTTATTCTCACTTCAGGCCTATCATGTGGAAATGCCTATGTATACACATCTTCGAGGACTCTATATGGCCTCGCCCGTGGTAAGCCGTTCCTCAAGTGCCAATATATTCATTGCTTTGGCGCGTCTAACTTGTTGGCGCCAGAATCAAAAGCTCCTCGCTTCCTCGTATACTGTACCAAGTCCGGGATACCAATATGGTGTGTCTTGAGTGTCAGCTTGGTCACCTGCATCACCTTCATGGTTGCTTCAAACGATGGAGTAAAGGTTTTCTTTTGGTTTGTGGATATGACGACCGGCGGCCTAGTTTTCACATACATCTTGATGCTCGCCACCTTTCTCGCTTGGCATCGTGCCCGCAAGGCTCAAGGGTTTCCTAGCAGCAAGCTTTACTACGTCGCTCCATTGCAACCATACACGGCAATGATGGCCATGTCCCTCGGGATACTGGTCCTCCTCACTCTAGGCTTTGACGTCTTTTACCCGTTCGATATTCGAGGCTTCATCACCAGCTACTTCTGTATACCCTACACTATCGTCCTCTTTATTGGTTGGAAGATTGCCAAAAAGACGTCTTATATAAAGCCTGAAGACGCTGATTTTGTTACGGGTAAAAAGGAAATTGATGCAGACTGTCTTCGGTGGGAAAGTGGAGGTATTGAGGAAAACTGGGAAGAACATCTTCGTGGGTTGACTTTTTGGCGTAGATGCTGGGAGCGGATGTGGTAGGCTTTTTATCTTGAGGTCATGTTGTAATATTACAACACAAGCACGGTGAGGAATTGAGTAGTTCCAAAGACGCTGAATCAACGTTTGGGCGAGGGAATGAATTTGCAACGAGAGAGTCATAGCACATATAGTCTAGCATCAGCTCATCGAACATCCTGCTGGGAGTGCCCGCCCGTTGCGGTTATGATAACGTGTATCGCAAGGAGGATATCCGCAGCATGTGAGCATATGCCACAATAGAAAAGTAATTCAAAAGCCTATAGGTAGAAGTAACGCTTATTACTAGCCTGACTGCCTGCATGTAATTGACATTCTCCCCTTAGCAACTACCAAAGCGCATTTCCAACCTCGTCCCAAAACAACCTCCCACTCTTGCCGCCATTCAGTCGTATAATCTGCCCAGTGGTCGATGGGGACCATATTTCACTGGCCAGTATTAGACACATCTTGGCGATTCCTTCCACATCAACTGCCTTCTTCTGGGCGACGGTCGACTCGGCCTCGATCCACTTGAGCTTCCCAGGCGCATCTTCGGCACATTCCTCACGGAAGCGCCTCGTGTCTACAGCGCCTGGACAGATGGAGTTGACTCTAGCCGATGGATGAATGCGCGCGGCATCCGGGGCCAGGGACAGGACGAGCCCGTATTGAACAGCAGACTTGCTTGCCGCATAATCTGGATTGCCGGCGACGCCTAAATCGCCAGCTTCAGAGCCGAGTATGATTAATGAGATATTCTTCCTTTTCTCGGTATGCGACTGGGCTCCAGCTGCACCAGTGCCGTTTGCTCCGTTTGCTCCGTTTGCTCCGTTTGCTCCGTTTGCTCCGTTTGCTCCGTTTGCTCCGTTTGATCCATTTGCAACGTTTGCCATCTTCTCGTCAGCTTTGCTCATTCTGTCCACATGCTCAAGCCATAGCTTTGCCGTTATAAAGGTTCCGACGGTGTTCTACTCCGAGTTAAAAATGGCCCAGAAAGTCAAATTGCAAGCATAGGCATCCCTGGAAAAGTTCAACGTACCACCTCAAGCGTCCTGCGGAACTGGCTAGTGGGCATGCCAATAATAGACGAGTGGTGATGAATGAAGCTGAGATCAAGGGCAGCCGCACAGACGCAAAGTGTGGGAGTTGAATTGAACCGTTCCTCGACACTCTCCCAGGCTAAGCCCATGGCCTTCTCATCAGTTGTGTCGACCGCGACCCAGAACAGATTAGGATGCTGCTTGGAGAATTTAGACTCGTCGATGTCAAAAGCTCCCACAAAGCAACCAGCGCTCAAGAAAGCATCAACGATGACTTTACCGATCTGCCCTCCTGCACCTGTTACAACGACAGTTTCGTTTTGAAGTCCCAGTTCAAGATCCATGGTCACTGATTTATTTGTTGTGGTCTCAGAAAAAAGTACGGAGTGAACATCAGGCCTCTCTTAAAAGCTAAGTTCGGGTTGACATGATCTCCGCAAACTAATTTAACAGCCGAAGTCTCGAGACGGGCTTATGCAGGCTACTTTGTCATCATGTACAGCTTTATGCCCGCATTCGATACAGTAATTGCTTCTATTTTGAGTTTAGTTTGAACTTATGGGAAAATTTATACAGGCTTGGTTAGCATAGATTATTCCAGCTACCTTTCCAACACATAATAGGAAGTAAGTTGGGAGTTCAGGATTGTGAAAAATCACTATTCCAGTCGGATTATCTTAATTGATAAACTGCTTGATGAATGTTCACATGACTCCCTCTGCTTCGTGGTTATTCTGGTCAAGATTTCGGTAATACGAATGAACATTTATTCCCCGGTAGGTACAGGTTTGTATTGAGCAGAAAAGGGGGAACGTCAACCTACCCGACTTGCCCCCTCTACCTTGACGCAACTCGGGCGATCAACTAGCTTAGACTTACCAGGAACAGTAATCGTTGGCAGAAGTTCCCCAGTCTCTGCGGGTCAGATGAAGCACGCTACCTGGTATGGTGCTCACGCTAATGCAGGTTTGCTTAGACTTGCTTAAAACGGCCACTCCTGTCCCTCTGTTTGTGCGTTTTACGATACTCGTTCAGCCGTCATTTGATCGACAATCTAGCACAATCGGCCCATATGCGAGAAACTATTCGACTATGATTCACTTGCCCAAGTTTACGTATGCGATGTTGGACAGGAGATGAGACATTCAAATTGTGAACCAGACAATGATAAGCTACGTGTGTGCAAAATACTAGGCTAATTCTGCATGATTCCCTTGAATTGTTCCGATTGAGGTGCACGATGTGTATTCAATGGAGCCAGCTACAGCTCGTCTTTGCCAGACTGGGCTTCTTTCCCCAGATCCTTCATCCCTCTTTTCACCATCGATGTCAAAATCTCATACACAACCTGCGCGGCAGCAAAGGTGGTCTCCTCTCCTGCGCCTTGATACACGGGTGAGACCTCGACCACATCAGCACCAACGAGGTTTAGCCCCTCGATACCCCTTAGAATAGTAATAAATTCCCGCGTAGACCAACCTCCTGGCTCAGGAGTGCCTGTTCCTGGCGCAAAAGCAGGGTCAAGCACATCAATATCAACAGATAGATATACCAAATTTTCATTACCCAAAATCTTCATGATACCGTCGATGATACCCTGAGTACCAATTTTATCAATATCATGGGCCGAGAACCGAATCCAATTTTGCGCAGTGTCATCTTCATGGTCAACGATGCCAGAGAGACGTGTTCGTAGACCCGCGTGGACTGACGGGTGAGACGATGAGTTGGAAAAGAGACCTTCTTGGTTGGCCAACCAGAACATGGACCCGTGGTTGAAAGGCGTTGCGCCCCAGTAGGAAGGATACGCGTTGGGATTCCAGGTGTCAAGATGAGCTGCGCATTACAGGTTTTAGCAAGTTGTCACATGTGCCTGGCATTCATCCGTGTCTGGTAGTTTTACGTACCATCAAAGTGGAGGACTTGGATATCTCGGTCGCCATAAGCCTTCTTTAGCGCTCGGAGGGCGGGGAGTGTCAAGCTATGATCACCGCCGAGCGTGAACAGCTTTGGCTTGGATGCCACAGATGATACAGTCTTGCGCTGACCCAACTGCGTCAAAGCCTGCGTCATTTGTTCCTGGGCAATATTGTTGTCAATAGGCGTAATTGGAATATCTCCACAATCTACAATCTTGGCCCAGTTCTGATATGGGTTGATATCTGCTCGAGGATTATAACCACGGAGGGAATGCTGGCGCCCTGATGCGTGACGAATCGCTCTTGGGCCGAACCTTGCACCGGGACGGTACGTGACGGCGGTATCAAACGGGGCACCGACGATAGCAATATCGAAGGGCTCGGTCGGCTCAGTAAGGCATTTGACATGGTTGAGGTGCGCGAACGTGCCAATGCCCCCAAATGCCCACTTTGTGCTTGTTAGCGAGCTTTGTCAGGGGTAGAAACGGGAAACTGACATCGAATCCCCATTTTGCCTCCAATTCAGCCAATTCTTCTTTAGTCCACTGCTTATCGTCGTGGTGATGGCCGCAGCCGACGGAAAAGCCAGCAAGGGGTAGGACGGACAGCAGATTGTTGGCCCTCATGTTGATGAATCACACTATCTCTCTTTGGAAGTATGGTAATAGATTCATCCAAGAGAAAGACTTGATTCGATCTTGCAGCCAGATGGCCGTCTGCTCTAGATAAACCTATGCTTCTTCCGTCTCCAGTTGGGCAAAGTTCCCAAGCTGTCGAGGTCGTAACGAGCTACTAGAATAGGATAGTTTTAGCGATCTGCCCCAAGGAGTGGCATCATCTCCACATGAGCCTGTTTACATGCTAAATTCACTCCCCAATTTGCGTCCAGTGACGACAGGCTATGTAGGATGGAAGGACATACCCAATGCCGCTGCCAAGGCTAGAAGCCCTTCGTCATGCCATGAAGGTCTCCCAATTATTCTGCATCATCACATCCATCCAGTACGCCGGCCGGCTCTGTGAATTGGCATGACGATTGTCTGACTCTGCCCAAGTAGCCTCAACTATATCAATACACCGTTGGACTGGGATTTTCGGAAGAGAATGCATGAGAAGCTGCAGTCGGCTTCTCAAGAATCCCCTAGCACGATGGACAGGGGCGGCTGTCAATGGCAAGAAGTTGTCTAAACCAGCCGTCGCCGTGGTAGAAGTCGACGCCCCGACCATGGGAAGAGTCAGGCCGCTGCAGACTGCGACAACGAGGAATGGGTGGAAGTCCTTTGTACCCGACTCCGCTGGTATCGAGCGGAGGGTATCGACAGCCGCCAGAGTGAGTTGTCTCAGCCTCTCCTCCGCTTCAAGGGCAGAAATCTTGGCCCACGTGTCATTTTCCTCGAATGGGAAATTTTGGTACTTCATCCCCGATTCGAGCGTGTCAGGGAAGACCTGATATAACTGGATTAGGCCAACAAGGCGATACAGATCCGCTAATGTCGTGAGATGCCAATTCGGGGTTTGTGTGTCCCCAGTCTGCACTATGGTGGATTCTAATGGAACCTGCAAGCTGGTGAGAGTCTTTTCCAATTCTGCTGCTTCATCCAACTCGCGCATTACCGCCAGAACGCTGTCGTGCGTGTAAAAGTGCTTCGAGATTGCACGTCGACGATTTTTTCTAACCAATCGGCCAACTCTTGCCAGATGAGTGTGGATCTCGTGAGCGACACCAGTCACCGGATGTGGGATTTGAACCATGGGGAATAAGGAGCTGCTTTCCAAACCTCCACTTGCATCCCCATGAAAAAGGTCGTCGTCGTCATCTACCACAAACGCGAGAAACATTTCCCAGCCAGCCAAGGTATTCTGGAAGAAGGATTGACTTTCCCCTCTTGATGAAAGCCGATCAGAAGCTGTCATTTTCTGCACATGCATCTTGAGGAGTCGGAAGTATTCAAACCCAATGTCGTTGACGTTGAACCAACTAGCTGTTCCACCAATCATGAATATCGCGACCAAAGTTTCCTCATCAATGGCAGAGTCATTTAAACCTTTAAGAAGACTGATGGCCTTTCCTCGAAAAAATGACCCGGTACCTAATAATTGGGGGTAGATGTTTGAAAGAAATGACGCCGCCATGCTTTGCATTGTATAGTAGATGAGCTCGGATGACGCCCATAGACGAGAAACAATAGATCTAAATGGATTCATCTCGCTGTCGAAAAGAGCTAGAATAGCCGCGGTGTCTCTAAAATAGTACTCGACAAGTAAGGTACCGTGGTCGTTGAACGGTGGATCGATCTGTGACAATGTGTAGGGTTGCGGAATCTCTAAGGCCTGCAGCGCCTGTGAAGAAATAACAGCCGGTCGTGTCATGCCAGGGGCCTCCGAGGTCTGTAGTGATGCCGCGGGTGAGGCCAGATCCCCCCTCTCTCCGTGCAGCAGATCCCTCGAGTTCGGTTCCGCCGTCTCGAGTGCTGCATCAAATGTGTCATCCGCGTGTAGCAGCGTCGGCGTCTGGATCGGTATCGCAGCAGTATTAGGCCCAAGGCCAAACGGTATAAACTCATGCATTGTGTCGCAAAACGTTTCTTCGATCCAGGCATCACTGTCATGTCCGTTTCTGGGTGGAGGAAAGGAATCCTGTAGGCTGATGACTGAAGCATCGGTGACAGATGGCACATGTATCGAGCGAAGAGATGAAAAGCTTTCATTGCTCGCGGTACCTTCTGGCCGGTCTGGTAAATCCGAAGGGCCAGTTCTCGTAGGTTGTGCAGTCTGATTCACCTGCATCGTTTTCTGTCGAGATTCGTTATTGTCGCGATGAGATGTTTGATGTTTATGCGACCATCTCACCCGGACAATTGGACCGGAGCAGGGCAAACTTAGACGAGTACATCTTCCGCAAGATGGCCAATTCTCGTTACATTTCAACTATCATTGGGCCTGTCAGTGCGTCTCAATTGGTGATCATTAACAGTGTCTCGTTATTTACCCGTTGCGACTTGCATGCGGCGCATCCATTGCGAGAACGAGGTCCGTTAGGCATTCTGTGGTTACGGAATAAGCTTCATACAAATGGTTTTCTTCTCGTCCATTCATACATGAGTCGCTAGAAAAACGTGGAGATGAGAAAACATGGTTCGAGCCGACTTCCGTAGATATCAGAAAACTAAATATGGGGGAGTCTTATCTCAGGTACCTACCTAAGGTACGTACCTAAGTTATAAGCAGTTAGCAGAGCCATTCACGTGAACTACTTAGTCATGTGACTCCATATCACTTGATTTCTGTCGCTGGAACAGTCAGATACTTCAGCTTCTAAGACTACCCTATATCCACCATTACCACCTCTTCTACAACGCCTTTACCATGATGTGATCAGTCTGCACCACTGATCCTATGGCAAAATCATGAACTCCAACTTGTTTATAACCCCATTTCTCATACGCCCTGATCGCTCTTGGGTTATCCTCCCATACTCCTAGCCAAACGTTCTTGAATCCCTGTTCTCGAGCCCTAGTCTCAACTGCCTCCCCTAACAGCCTTCCAACACCTGTACCATGCGATGACGGGTGTACATAGAGGCGTTGCAATTCGATCGTTCTTTCAAAAGTTTCTACACAAGGCTCCTTATTGCCTTGAGTAAGGTAGGCGAATCCCAGGAAGTTATTTTCGTCATTGGTAGCGACAAAAACGTCTTTCTTTCCATCTTGTATATCTTTGATGATTGATGACTTCGAGTAGGATTCCTTTAAATAGGTTCGTAATTCACGAGGCTCGACAGAATGTCCATACGTGACCGCAAAGACGTGTGCACCAAGCTCTGTGATGCGGTTAGCATCAGCAAGTGTTGCGAAGCGGACAGTGACACAATTGTCGGCGGCAGAAAACTGTCGTGGTACTTCGGCCGTCATTGTAGTGGCCTTCAGGGGTTGGATGAAAGGTAATACTGCGTGCTTCGGTGATTAAGTACTACCTATATATCATGCCTGGCGAAGTGGTAATCCGGAGAGAATAAATAAGTGTTTTTTACGGCCTCCAGGGATTAGAAACCTACTTTGGTTTTTACGACTAGAACTAATTACTAATCAAAATGATACAGAGGTACAGCGAATACATAAATTGTATTGGCTTAATTAAGGACTCTTAGACTTGATTTAGTGATTGTAATCCCTGGGGGGCTGTACACATGCGAGTATGAAAGGAGACCGGGGAGGGGGTGTGAGGAGAGACGGGGTAAAATGGGGCCTTTTGTTCCCACCCTCCCGTCCTAAATAAACGCGAGTCAGAGATTCGGTCAAGTCTCGATAAAAGGAAGGTCGAATTGTTGGCCACATTGCAGCGGTTAAGTGGCCTGGGCAAAGGACACGGGGTGCAGTCACGATCGGTGTTAGCGAGAGCCGGTTAGCCTGCTGGGAGCACATCTAGAGACGATGGCGTGTCATGCCGGCTGACAAGAGTCGGAGCTTCATCTACACCCTTGTATCTTGAACTTTCATACATGAATCCACGATCTTATTATTGGGACGCGACCTTTATGATTGTTAGATTACTATCGTTGACCGAGTTTTGGTCCTCGCTTATTCAGGCTCTATTCCTTCTACCAATTTCCTAGCCACGCGGTTACACCGTTCAGCTTCTATTTGACACTTAATAACGGATTGCTAGATATTGCTTGGTCTAACTCTTGAGGGTTATAAGATATTGATATTGGTTACGCTGTACTTCTCTATGCGAAACTCATCACTGATGGCACCCCTGCATCGGAAAGCCTGACGCTAACCCTCATCATAAAATTCATCAGAAACCCAGCAGTTCTCCTGCAGATTAGGCTACCTCCAGCGATCGAGGTACAAGTCAAGCTGAAGATGACTCCGCACTAGGCCTGCAGCTAGTAGAGGGAACTGTTTCTGTTGTGCTAACCTGCTATAGATACTGGATCTAAGAACTGAGCTGTATACAAGATATTCGGCCTGTTACTCGAGCCCGCCGTGTCCGATTCTCACCAACAGCATCCCGCTTACTAAACGATCGTTGCAGTTACTCAAATGCAAGGCCCTAAGTTCTTCATGCTTAAGGCAGTGATAAAAAAATCAAGTTTCAACAACAGTTACAGCGGGAACATCAGACAATACCTTGTTAGCCCGCAGATTTGATATTGAGAGAATGACACCATATCTATTCAATAGAAACCGGAAACTGCCAGTATTTGTATGCCTAATCAGGCTAGTCGTGATCTTTTGCCATGTCTTGTTTCCACTGCTCCTTGATTTGGTCTAGCAGTCCAGGTGTAGCACATACATCCACTGCTGTGCCTGCCATGGCCTTGGCCACCCTCATCGCTCTTTCGAACGCTCCTCTCGTGCCTGAAGCCTTTTCAAAGTCAGGACTGTGCGGTTGTCCACCATCAGGGCCCGGAGGGATAGCGAAGCTGACATTCATGCTTGGCAAAGCATAACTCAGATTCCCTTGATCAGTACTGGCCTTCACCCATGTAAACTGGCCAGGTGGAGGCAATGGTGGCCCGGGAGGATCGGGTAAAGCTTGCCAATACTTTCGCCACGAATCTGCGAGTATGCGATTCGGGATATGGTCATGGTAGCCTGGGGTCACTTCGATGGATACTTGAGCACCTGTGGCCTGAGCGCCAGCTAGAAAACATGCCTCAACTTTCTGCTGCAGTTCATACAGCCGAGACAAGCTAGTTGCTCGAAGAACTGCCACACCTGCGGCATTCTCATGTATCACATTTGGCTTGTTACCACCGTCTGTAATCTGGAGACCCACGATGTCGTCTGGCCGCAACTGCTGGCGCAGGACTGAGATGCTGTTGTACGCCACGATGAGAGCATCCAGAGCGTTAACACCTAGCCAAGGGCTGTTGGCTGCATGCGCTGCACGGCCAATATACGAAACACTAAGGCGCGTGTAAGCCGTCGTGCGGACCATTGGGGAATTGTTCAGGATTCCCGGATGGGAGATGATTGAGACATCCACATCGTCATAGGCACCTGCATCGAGCAGTTTGATTTTGCCGCCGCCGCCGCCTTCTTCTGCTGGTGTCCCAAATACTACGACTTTACCACCAATATGATGAGTCTGCATCATCTCTGCCGTTGCCAGAGCTGCAGCTACAGACGTGACGGCGATGAGGTTGTGGCCGCACGCATGTCCTAGCCCAGGGAGGGCGTCTACTCGTATCCCGTTTGATCAGTGTTAGGGTCTTGCCACGGGACTTGAGTTGGTCATAACGTACCCATCTCCACGTTGAATGAAACCGCCGGGCCTGGCCTTTTGCTGTCGTAAACACTCATCCATGCAGTGTCCATGTGCATAGATGGTGTGACCTTCCAGCCATCCTGATTGCGCATAAAGCTCGTCAAGGCATCATGAGCTTTGTACTCCTTGAATGCTAACTCAGGATTCTCGTGAAGAAAAATGTTCAGAGCCCAAACAGAGGGCTGTAAACATTCGATATAGCGGTGGATATCAGACAAGTAAACCGGTAGATCTTGGCCATGTCTATCAACTTCTTGCCTCGTGACAGACTTGGGAATCAAAATGTACCCATCCTCTTCCATGATGATGAGACGTCGGCACTTGTGATTGAAGCGCGGGGGCATGTGGGGGACGAGAAAACATCGAGTAGGCCTCCAGAGATATCGGCAAGCACATGACGATACGACCCATATTCGGCGTTTCATGCGGGCTATTTCTCTTGGCAGAGGCTGAGTAAGTTCTTAGATACGAGCCAACTGTACATCCGAACCCTCGCAAAGATATAATGCTCCAATCACGCTGCATACTTATGTGGCAACACTTGCATGCCCGGAGACTTCCAATTGCGCACCCTCCCGTGTTTCTTCTTGCCATGTCACGATTTTAATATCTTTCCAAACCCCTGAAGCCATCTACTAAAGAGACCCAAACATTTGTTAAAAAGAGACCCAACCATGACAGTTAAAAAGCGCCACGTGGTAACAAACTTACAGTACTGGGACGATCCAGGCGATGGCTCTAAGCCCACGCCCATCTACATTGGCCAGGGCCGGATAAGTAACAAACGCCCCCACAAATCCCACGAATTCACCATCCATGACCTCGGAGGCGACGAAGACAATTATCAGCTCGACAGCCACGGTTTTCAATATTACAAACACAAGAGCCAGGAAGAGCTATTCGTCGATGATGACAAGATACGATCAGTGTATGTGCCCGAGTGCCAAGCGCTCATCAAACACGTCACGGGCGCGCGGGATGTCCACGTCTTCAACTACAAAGTACGACGTGGACCAACGCAATGGCATCATCTCGGCCTGCACAATCTGGCAAACAGGGGGCCCGTGACGCGAACCCACGTCGATATGTCTTATGAGGGGGCGGAGAGGCGGTTGCGGTGGGAGTTCCCCCACGATGCGGATGAATTGCTGAAGAAAAGATACCAGATCATCAACGTCTGGAGGCCCATCAAGCCGATACTCAAAGACCCCATTGCTGTAGCCGACTCAAACTCTGTGCCAGACTCGGACTTGGTGGGGGCAGAGATGACTGAGGATGGCTTTGTGGGTGAGTCGTGGGTGGTTCGCCACAATCCTAACCACAGATGGTATTTCAAGTCTGGGATGACACCCCGAGATGTGCTGCTCATCAAGAACTTTGACTCGAACAAGAAGGTGGCTCGCCGAGCGTTACACTCAGCGTTTGAGGACCCCGCGTTTCGCGATTGCGAGTCTCGACAGAGCATCGAAGTGAGGTGTTTGGTGTTGTATTAGACTTGTTGGATAGATACAACAAGTCACACTGCGCATTATAAATCCAGCAGCGGGGTAATGTTATCCTGGTCTTTGGGAACACTGCCACATTGCGAAGAGGCCACATGTGTTCAATTCTGTTTCCTCGTTCCCTCACAAAGCAGCACATCATGCCGAATAGAGAAGTGGAGTTGGTTACATTGCATGAATGAGCATGAATGCGTTAGCAAGCTGCCCCTCTCGTATCTCTTGGCGTGCGGTCGGCATGCCTCCCCATACTGAATTGAGATAGTATCATGTTAGGCAGAGCAGTACTTGTTTCAGGAAGCTCGATACTCTAAACCCACACGCTATGTGCTCGTCAACCAGGTAGCACAAAGTCAATGAAAATCTTATCTGCTAAAGCAAGCCTTGGCGCTGTCATATGCGACGCTGTTGATACGATGGAGACCAAGCGGAAGTCCATAAAAGCCTCGCCGAATCCTTGTGGTCAGTCTACGGTCTCGGCAGTTAACAACCATCATCAGCACTAAGTCTATCATATCCAATACCATCCATTTATATATTCTGTCGCTTCTCACCATGGCTCCTACATCAGAACCTCTTCAAACCGTTGACTGGATGGGTAAAACTGTTCCTGTTTGGTCAATGAAAACCTTAGACTATGGTCTCTTGCTCTCCCATGAGCCCTCTGAGATCGATAAGCTCGTTAATGCCTGTATCGACGAGGGTTACTTTTACCTCGATCTACGCGGTATCGATGGCCGCCGCATGCTTTCTGACCACCAAGAAACTCTCAAGTTGATGAAGAGATTCTTCGATAGGCCATTAGAAGTCAAGAACGAATTTGGCCTTATCTCATCTCATCTAGGATACGAGCCCGTTGGCAGCAGAACTGGCGTGGCAGCCGGCACCAAGGATGGATATGAAATGCTCAAGGTGTCCCGAGACGAGATCCAGCGAGACAGTCCCAAGATTCCCGCTATTGCCAAAGAGAGCGGAGAGCTTCAGATCCTCGAGAATGCAATCGGTAGCTGCAACACAATCACAAAAGTTCTTCTTTCTGCGCTGTCCGACGGCCTTCATCTGAGTGGCGACGGAAGATTTGAGAACCAGCACAAAAATGAACGTCCCTCAACTACGACGGTGGGTTCTTCCTCTTTTATCTTCCCTCTAATTTCTATCATTTCCAAGTCCCCGATGTATTTCCTTCTTTGGCTTGCCAATTAATCACCTAGCTAACTCCGGCTATCTATTAGCTATCAATGATGCACTACTTGCCTTCGGAGGTGTCTGGCCCAAACAACATCGGCCACCAGAAGCATACCGATATTAGCACCTTGACGCTTTTATTTAGCGAGCAATGGGGCCTCCAGATCCGTCCACCCGGCGAGTGCGGTGCTCTCGAAATGGGATTCGTTGCCCCCAAGCCAGGATGTGCCTTTGTCCACGTCGGCGACTCCCTCCGCTTTGCCAGTGGCATGAAGTTCCAAAGCTGCATCCATCGCGTTGTTCCGTTTAACCCGACCGAGCACCGCTACTCCGTCGCGTACTTTTTGCGAGCGGAGGATGACACCATGTTTGTTGACTCGGAAGGTCGTGCTATCACTGCGGGTCAATGGCATGATCAGAAGTTCAAGGCATTTACAGACCCTGAGCTTTGGCAGGCCATGGCGCCTAAATCCATGATTCTAGGCGGTATGAAGGAGGACGGGGAAGATGAGAACGTTGCACCGCTGTTTAAACAGGCTCTTGCACCAGAGCCTGTGCTGAGCAATGCTTGATTATTGTACCATGTACCTAGAGACGCACACGAAACTTGTACAAAAGTTTCAGAAAGTGATATTCCGTCTTCTTGCTATGTTTGTGTGGCCACACCGGTGTATTGATTGCCGAAAGGTTCCTCTCGTGCTTTTCAATCGCGCTTCTCACATGGAGCAAGTAAGCGGTCCCAGTACACATGCTTCCTCGGCTATTTCTTGCTCACACAGGGATAAAAGGAGATTTTTGTGCGGGGAAATAATTAGCGCCCGCCTGAGAACATTGAACGTAGCCATCATTCCATTTTCCAGCTATCGTTATTACATCTTCCCGGGACTGGTCTTTTCCTATAAAAGCAACGATGAGTAATACCGAGTTACAAACCATTACCATTGCCGAAGCGGCGCGAGCTCCAAGCTTACGAAACCATGCTCAATCTCCGCCGGTTCATCGAGCTACGGAGAATGAGGGCCCAGGTGCCGGAAGACCAGAACAGGAGCTTGCGCCTGTAGATGGAGGAGGTGCTGCCTGGAGACTACTCTGTGCTGCTTTTGTATTTGAGACGTTACTTTGGGGTAATTGTGGATGAATGCATACCTGATTCCCGCAGAGAATGCTAACAGGTCCCGGCTAGGCTTCCCACTCTCGTTCGGTGTCTTTCAAGAATACTATAGTAGAGTGCCAGAATTTGCCAATAATCGGTACATTTCCGTGGTTGGTACTATAGCATCTGGTTTCGGTTATCTCGGCGCACCAGTTGTGATGCCTTTCATACAGCGGTATCCGTGGTGGCAGCGACAGATGATTTGGGTTGGCTGTACGTGCTGTCAATATTGATTGTCATGATTCCATAGTTTAACTTGCTAATTGGCATCATAGGGCCGATCTGCATTCTAGGACTGGTCCTAGGATCTTTTGCTTCTACTTTAGAGGTCCTTATCCTCACCCAAGGTGTAGCTTACGGCCTAGGCTTTCTGATATTCTACTATCCAATTCTCAGCATGGTCAACGAGTATTGGATCGCGCGGCGTGGCATGGCTTACGGTATCCTATGTGGTGCATCCGGGGTCTCAGGTTCCATTATGCCGTTCGTCCTGCAAGCGCTGTTATCCAACTACGGATATCGAACGACACTTCGCATTGTGGCTGTAGCTCTTACGCTCCTCACCGGACCGTTGATTCCTTTCCTAAAGGGCCGGCTGCCTCCCTCAGAGCGTGCCACAATTCCCAGAATAAATTGGACGTTCTTTCAGAGCCCTCTGTTTTGGGTATACTCGCTGTCGAACCTGCTACAAGGTTTTGGATACTTTTTCCCGTCTTTATATCTTCCCTCCCATGCCGCCTCCCTCCAGCTTGGCGAAAGAAGCGGTGCCCTCCTTCTCGCTCTAATGAGTGTTTCTCAAGTTGGTGGCCAGTTTGTTTTCGGCTTTTTATCTGACCGCAGAGTACCGATCAATGTCCTAGCCTGTTTGTCGACCGCAGTTGCAGCAGTTGCTTCCCTCACGCTGTGGAACCTGGCTACTTCGCTGCCGCCTTTGATTGTCTTCGCTCTGCTCTACGGATTTTTTGCTGCTGGATTCACAGCCATCTGGGCCCGCATGAGTACTGCCATTACTGATGATGCGACTTCTATGCCAATCGTCTTTAGTCTTTTGAACTTTGGTAAAGGTGTCGGGAATGTACTTGCTGGGCCCATTGGAGGTCTCCTTATGTCGGCCTCGAAGCCCACTACTGAATCAATGATATTTCACTGGATCATTGTTTTTACTGGCGTTTGTATGTTCGCCAGTGCTGTTGTCATCTTTCTGCAGTATATTAAAAAACAAACAGACTATTCATAACTAGAGAGGGTAAAGGCAAGCTATTTACTAGCATGTAACTATTTCTAGAACGCCATTCCTCAAGTGCTATCAAATTTCAACTAACGATTATACAACTACATTCCACAATCATCATTGTTCATCTGAAGCCCACAATCCTATTTCCCCTTTTTCTTTGGAGGTGCTGCCTTCTTTGGAGGTGCTGCCTTCTTTGGAGGTGCTGCCTTCTTTGGAGGTGCTGCCTTCTTTGGAGGTACTGCTTTCTTAGGTAATGCTTTCTTAGGTGATGCTTTCTTAGGTGATGCTTTCTTGGGTGCTGCTTTCTTGGGTGCTGCTTTCTTGGGTGTTGCTTTCTTTAGGGGTGCCGCTTTCTTTGGCAATGACTTCTTCGTTGCTGCCTTCTGGACACTTGGCTTTTTCGGCGATGGCGACTTCTTTTGGGTTGTTTTTACGCTAGTCTTCCTCGTAGGCGATGTTGGCTTCTTAGCTGCCGCCTTTTTAGGAGTTGATGATTTCTTCGGTGTGTTTTTCTTGAGCGTTGCTGGTCTTTGCGCCAGCTTTGTGGCAACTGACTTCTTATTGGCCGCATTTTTTGACGATGATGGTTTTTTCAGAGTTTTTGGACTCTTCACTGACTTCTTTCCTGACGGTCGCTTGGATGCTGGTTTCTTTGAAGTCGGCTTCTTGGATGCTGTTTTCTTAGGCGTTGTCTTCTTGGGTGTTGGTCTCTTTGAAGTCGGTCTGTTGGGTGCTGTTTTCTTAGGCGTTACCTTCTTAGATGTTAGTTTCTTAGAAGTCGGTTTCTTAGGCGTTATCTTTCTGGATGGTGTTTTATTAGAAGTCGGCTTCTTGGATGCCGTCTTCTTGGGGCTTGATTTCTTTGATCCTGCTTTTGTTGAGGGTGGTGTCTTTTTCAGCGGCGATGGCTTCTTCGATGCTGCTTTCTTTTTTGTTGCCTTCCCGGTTGCCTGTTGCTTTGATCCTGGTCGCTTAGTTGCAGGCTTCTTCGTACTTTGTTTCTTAGATGACACATTCTTTCGAGATGATGTCTTCTTGGGAGATGACTTCTTATTAGCTTTTGCTCCCTTTGATGATAGATTCTTCAACCCCGCCTTCTTGACAATTGGCTTGTTGGACGTTCCCTTTCGCAAAGCTGAATGTTTGGCTGCCGACTTCCTTGAGGATGTCTTTTTCAGAGATGATCCTCTTTTTGGAGCTGGTGACTTCGAAATTGTTTTTCTTGTGGGCTTCTGCTTATTAGAAGCTTTCTTGTTGCCCTTGCTAGTCTTGAGGCTCGGTTTGCTCTTGGCCAGACTCTTTCTATTGCCTTTTGCTGGAGCCTTCTTGTTCTTCTTGCTGCCTGTAGAAACTCCCTTTGACTTCTTGGCGACGTTCTTGTTACTCGTTTTCCCTTTAGATAAGGCCTTTTTATTGCCCTTTTTCTTGTTAGAGAATTTCATGCTTTTGCTTTTTTGGCTTTTGAGTGAGGGTTTCTTTTTGTTGTTGTGCTTGGCCACGTTTGTGCCCTTTTTGCCCTTCTTCGTGCTGCTCTTATTGCTCTTCCCTGGGAGCTTGCGATCGTTTTTGGCTCCAGCATTCTTCTTGGCTTTGCCCGCCTTGGGTAAGCTCGTTTTGATATCCTTTCGGTTCTTATCTGGCGTACTCTTGTTGCCGTTGGGGCTTTTATTTGGGTTCTCTTTGCTGCTCTTGGATGACAAATTCTTGTCGTCCTTGGCATGGACCGCCTGACCCTTTGCTCTTGTTGAATCAGAGCTAGGCTTTTTCTTTTCTGCGTCGGTCGCGATTTTCGCTTTCGGGCGGATGGAACACGATTCGCCGCTTCGTTTCCCAAATTGCGACCCCCCTCCACAGTCACTAGGGCGTCCCACCCCTCCAGCATACTCCCCTCCCGTGATAACAGTAGTTGATGGATGCATATAGTCCTCGCATCCAGGTGCATTTGCCCCCCCCTTGCAAGGTAGGCTGATCAAATCCTTTTCTTTGCCATGTCCTTTCACGGACACCAGGGCTCCTTCAGGATCACCGAAGGTTTCGATGTCCATGTTGCCACCGGCATAGGCCATGTTGGCTATTTCCTGGCAACGTCCTCCCGTGCGATGACCCCCTTTGCAATGGGCATCTATGTATTTTTGGGTCTCAGCGTTGACTGGTGGCTTTGCTTCACCTCCCCTTCTTCTCGCATTGTTTCTGGCTCTCGACTTTGCCACTTGGTCATCCTTTAAAGTGATTTATTAGCCATCTGAGCGATATATGGAGCCTGGTAGCCACACTGGCCATGATTTACCTTGTAGCTGGTTGCCAAGACGAGTGATCCCAGCTGGGGGCTAGCTGTGCTATCAGGATCAGGATACCAGTGAGCACCAATGGTTCCTGGTCTGTCCTTTTCTTCCATCTTCCTATCGTCGGCGTCCGCTTGAACCTTATCGTAAGCTTGGTTACGATGGATCCTCATATCATCTTCGCTAGGCTTGGGGACGTTATTCGCAAAGGCCCTCCAACCTTGAGTGCCTCCATGGAACTTGTGGAATTTCATTTTATCGGCCAAGGGCTGGAAGTTATCTGACGGCACGGGTGTATATTCTTCTTCTGCTTTCTTTCGATCCACATCCGAGGTAGGAGCGTTAGGCCCCAAGTCTGGCTTTACCTGCTGATAAGGAGGGTCGCCGGGTGCAGCCAATGTTCCACATATCAGCAACGATAGCACCAACAGGCAGATCAATATGAAACTCCTCGTATTTGTCCCAGGACCTAGTAGCTTAGCCATTTCCAGGGATTTCTAGGGGCGAGTAGGTCTTGGTCGGCAAGATACTCAACTGTCCTGCGACAGCCTCGAGTAGAATGGAACAAAAACACGAGGAGCACCAAATAAAAAGAGAGTGATAGAAAGAAGAAGAAGAAGAAGAAGAAGAAGAAACGGATTATATGGACACTGGACGGAGTAGAGCAATATATGGAAAGTAAAGGGCACCAACTTTGGGGGCTTTGGAAATACAGCGAGATCTAAGGAAGAGCCAAAGGGTGGAAAACCTAATGAATATGTACTGCATCTAGGGTCAAGACGCACATGTCCTTCCTCGCATATGGAAACATTGGCCCGCACATAGATGAAGCGCTAAAATTGGAATCATCATGGCAGGATAATTTGTGGCAGATGCTTCCGAAAATGACTTCATAAGCCGAGCTGGAAGACCGCCAAGAAGGGGAGTCCTGGCATTCTATGTCCCAAACTAGATACAAGATCCCTGCTGACGGTCATAAGATAGACGCATGCTTATATCCAATAACCTAAAACGGCCTTCCGTGCTGTAGGGCTATTGATCAGTGGATGCACTTGTGTGGCCTAAAATGCCAAAATTAGCTCTGTGATCAGAGGAGCCATGCCAAGGTGCGACTAATGAGTTGTCGTATGTAGTGTATTGTCTATTCTTTCAGTTGGGTACGTAAGGGGCCACATTCAGACCAAATATCTATGCTACATCAGCCATAAGCCATTGTTGATTATTACAGCTGATCACTAGGGATTTTGTCTAACAAATTGGAAGCCTTCGCAGATAGTAGCTGCCAATCCGGAGATTCCTCTAGCCCTGACTTATTACCTAGTCGCCTCATCAGTCTCTCACTAGTTCATAACGGTGCATCCATAGACGCGCTAAAAAAAATATTACGTGGAAGAGACCGATACGGATATCCTAACCTGACCCTATTATTACTAATTATGCAGAGCTACTATGGAGATGCGGCTGAGCGGGCTTGAGTGAGATCAGCTCACTGCCATAAAGGATCGGAGTACTCTGGTACTTTGGTTCATCCACATTTGCCTGGACTTTTGGTGGTCCGGCGATCGGTAAAAATACGGTCTTGTGTTCGCTGGGTAAGCTGGTGCATTTCTCTCTTTGACACGTTCATCGCCCACCTCGTTCATCAACTCAACAGCAACAAGACGCACAACCATGGATCCACCATCCCCCCTACCACCGCTTTTATCTCTACCTTATGACATCCGAAGACAAATTTTCGTTTTCGCCGGCCTAGTTCGAGAATGCCCCATCACCATCACCCCAGTCTCCCGACCAACACTGTACTTCGGTACTCAGCAGCTTAGCCATGGCTTTGACTTTCCGGGGTGCGCGTATCCATTTCGCAAGCAGAGGGAGCCAGACTGTGTTTCGCATGGGTATGATCCGGAGTGCGACTGCCCGGATCTTCCCAAGCAGCTGCTGTGCGTCTGCAGGTCACTCCATAAGGAGGCGGTAAAGCTGCTCTATGGCGAGAACAAATTCGTGGTACGCGCGCATCACCAAGTCGAGGATCTAGACATTCTCAAGACACTTCCAGTTTATGGAATCCGGGCACTGCGTTACCTCTTGATTCGCCTGAACAGTTGGCCGTGTGCTCGTGGCCACAGTCTTAGCAACCCAAAGCGTGACTGCTGCATCATCTGTCCAACAAGCGCGCCACAAAGCCGAATATCTGCGAGTGACCCAGAGCTTTCCACCGGCAACAATCTCTCAGAAAGCATCATCGTGCGCTGGACGGAGATATGTCAACGCCTTTCTGGTATCGTTATCCCTGGGACTCTTCACCTAGAGTTCATTTGTGATGCTCAAGACCTAGATACTGCCCAACGCGTCGTCGAGCCAATGAGCTCCCTTCCCCGCCTCAGGGAATGCAGTATAAGGCTTGGGAGAAGCAAAGAGTATTCGCTGCGTTCTCTTGCGCAGTCAACCGCCCTTGAACTGACCAGAGGCGTTGAGAGAAAGAAGCCTCCTACTCTATCTTTCTCCTCCTTACCCCAGGAGATCCGTCTGCGTATCCTCTGGTTCACGAATCTTGGGCCTGGAGGTACATTCCTGAAGGGCACTCACGATGAGCTGGAAACTATACACGTCGTTCGCGGAAGGTTTGCCCATGAAATTGGTTACCGGCGTGGACTCCGAACCTGTTGCCTCGACTGCTCCTTCACCAAGCTGCACTGCTCTTGCCCGTTGAATTTTGCCTCTTATAGCGCTTCTTGTTGCTGTCGGGTGTTGCCCTTGGAGCTCTTCCTTGTTAGCCAGCAAATGCACGTCGATGCCGTCGAGATTTTCTTCTCGACAAATACATTTGAGTTCCGAGGTCCTTTTTCTGATACCCAGAAAATGCTGGAGACTCTTTCGCTCAGATCTTTGAAACAGCTTCGGCATCTCGTATTCGACATGAGCTTTTCAAACCCGTATTTTCGGGATCATGACCAGCTCCAGTGGCATTCCCTACTCTCTTTTATGAACAAGCACTGCAATATATCCCAGCTATGCATTGCAATCGATTTGTTTTCGGATAATGACGCTGTTTTGGAATCTGAGGATGAGGCGAGAACTATTGAGATAATATATCATGGATGTGTAGCTTTAGTACGGGCAGTGAAGACTGAGCTATCCACCAGTCCTACAGATTTTCACGTTGAACTCGGCATTTCATGGGACCTGGAACCGGTTCTAGAGAAATACATCATGGGCCCAGAGTATGACAGCAAGAATGGCAATCGATATTCCAAGACGGTTTACGAAGATGTGGGAGACGACTTTTACCGTCAAATACCCCCGTGCCACAAGGACCTCTGAAGGTCTTTAACAAATGCATTTACACGTCTAGGTAGTATGAAACATTAGGAAAAACTATACCCCCCCACTCAATAGTCTGAATCAAAAGTTGACACACTTCACCATTAAATCGGATGTTTACTATCATTACGGCTTTCTTTCTTCTCTGTGATAACTGTATTCATTTTTTTTCTTTCGGAAACACTAATTTATAAGTTCCCATTCCCCTTTACAACTCGAGGGAATGAACTCAATATAAATATACTTAGTCTACCAATAGGTTCTACGACAGCATCACATCGACCAGGAACTCCTCTACTCAACAGTACTAGCTAGGTAGTACTCTGTTGAACGGTCTTCTATCAAACAGAAGAGCTAGTTGACGAAGGAGTGTCAGTCGATGAAGGAATTCCTGGTGGGGTGCCGCTTGGGCTGGAGCCTTCGCCCTCGCCGCCGCCTGGCGGGCCAGAGTTAGGGTTTTCCACACCACCTTCGTGATAACGGAATGTAGCTGGCTTAATGGCCTGGGACTGGGTGGTGTCTATACCAAACGCAATCCAGGCGAAGAGGCCATCACCAACAGAGTCACCGAGAAGAGTGTACTCGAAGACAGGATCAACGCCATCAGTCCGCGTTTCCTCCGACAAAATGCTGTCGTTCTCGTTCAGAGTGAGCTCTTGTTGGTTGGTGTTGTATGGGGCCAGAGTCTCGACCTCGTTGATCAGGTTCTGATCAAAGAAGGTCTGACCGACGTGGCTAGCGTAGACGTCGTTACCAAGAGTGTCATTAGCGAGAACCGTGACATTCGTGTGGATTAGGACGTGAATATGTGTAGCACGACTGGTATAGTGCCCGGGAAAGATTGAAGAAAATCCAGCCACGCCATCATCGGAAGTCTCCTGAATGCCACGAAGGAAGGTCTTGTCGATATTGGTCAAATCACTGCTGTCCCCGTTGCCGTCGGCGTTGACGCCAGAGTAAATGCCAGTTGAATTACAGTGCCACATCTCCAAATAGGCCGATGGCACAGGTTCACAAGTATCAACATCAATGACTTGATAGTCGAGAAGAATGTCCACACCCTGTTGAGTCTCGACAATGTTGTCGCGGATGTCCTCACCTCCAACATCTAGTTGCCTATTAGAAATCATTCGGTAAGAGGGAATTCCTACACTTACAGTATGGACCTTGCGTAACCTCCGGGGTAAGAACACAAGAGTTGATACCAGAAAAAAGAGTCTCTGGATCGGTTTCAGGAGTGTAGCCAAGTTCAGTCTTGTTGTGCGATTTCTCTAAGACATCCTCGAGGGCCCGCCTCTTGAGAGCTCGCTTCTTTCGTTCGTTCTGAACAAGTGCAGCGCGGCGGGCATGGTTGCGAGCCGCCAAGCCACTTTCCTCCCAGTGGCGAGCGCAATGCTTAAGAGATCTTCTCTCTATAGGCACAGAATTGATGTAGTCACGTCGCTCAATGGCCTCTTTTGTAGGGTCCTGGCCAGGGTGAGCCAGGACACTGGTGCCAGCCAGAACGGCAACGCCAAAGGATGAAAGGCGCATGATGGTCAATTTGTCAATTTGACTGTCCGAAGGGTATGAGAAGAAAGCGTTTATGTGAGCAGCTTATTTCTTGCCAAATTGCCAACATTGGGCTCCGGGTCGATATTATATAGATTCTGGTCATCTCCAGTTTTCTTCATTGCTTGCCTGCATACCTATATCAGAAAAAACTAAAAAGAAGTCGTCGTCATTCCTATACCGACTTTCCACCACAATGTTACATGTTCCAGCACGGGCCTACCCAGGTCATTACCACATGTGTAGGAGTTCGCCTACTTCTCGCAGCTCCAGCTTGGACACTTCCACATGCAATACTCAAGCGACTGGCGGTGGTGCGATATTCGTTTCATTTCGCATGAACAAGCTCCGGCAAGACCGGGCAGGTTGCCTTGCAAGCGGACCCTTTTTCCAATTGAGCAATCAGAAGCAAACAATTTCTCATCTGCAGGGTCTCGACTTGCGCGTTACGCAGGGATGCAAATGCTTAGCTTGTGGAGAGTTGGACCAGCATCAGGGTTTCCGTTTGTTGTTTAATGCGCTTATTCACCTGAGTCCTGAGATCATTACTCGCTAATAGGTTGAAGCAATGATCAAGCGTCAAGGAAGATGACGACCCAACAATAGGTGGATATGAAACACGGCTGAAGTCAAGAAGCGATTCGTCTTGACTTGAACTTTACACTAGAGCCATTAGGCTACCACCCCTTTTTTCAAAGCAATACATAGTCCCGTTATAACCACAGACCTACACTAAAGTGAGCGAAAGCTACATGTGCAAAGACCCTTCCTATACGGTCAAAACATTTAGATTGCCTATGTAGGTACTTAAGAGGGTACATGTTGATAATTGCAGGCCGTTGACGCGCAAACACATACGAACGCAGCTATCTTGCCGGGGTATTAAAGCTTGATTTCTTCAAGGGTCCCTGTTCTGGAAGGTGGACGATACCATTCTCCCCGACCTGTCACCGCTTTAACATTAATAACCTTGTTATTACGCTGGGAGGTCTGGTTTGCATGGGTCAAAAGGATGGAAAAATTAACTTCAGTCATAGAAAGAAACTAATTACAATTATCTAGCAACCATCGTTGCAACTCATCGTTATTCACCTACTTGGCATCGTGAAGTTCCAGCCGGTGAGGGCCTTTGCAGGAGGATGAAGGCCCCTTTTGTTCTTGAACCGAATGGCCAACAATAGTTCCGCATGTAATATTCCAAACGCCGCGTCAGCGATTGCTTCATTTGGCCGACGCATGTTCTCCACCCGACACGGGTAGGGAAACTCGCTGCCGATCTCCAGCTGCTCCTTGCCCGAGACAGTCAGTCCTTGGTATCAACAGTTTCCTACCATCGTTTGAATCAAAGGGCGTGAGTTTTGAGATAATTTTTTCAGTTGATAATTGCAAATGTTTTTCAGTTCAGGTATAAATTATCTTCTTGACAGCAAGGGGTGCCGCGTCCACGTGAAAGAGGCGTCAGATGTGAAAATATGAATCAAGCAACCGTAGACCACATGTCTGGAGGCAAACGCCGACCAACACCATCTTTCGCTCAATGCCGTATGAGCCTCTCGAAGATATTCCAGCACGTCATTCGACTCTAAAATCCCAGAGATTGAGGCTGTCATGACGGCAGCATGGTGTGGCTTTCGTAAGAATCAAGAAGACTCCTTTATTCAGGATTTCTAATGCCCGACTTTCATATAGAGGGCGGAAGGTTATGCATCAAACCGATAACAACAAAGGCCACGTTCCATCACCAAATAAAGACTATCTCCGCATCTAGGTTTAGATACTTAACACTGGTTAGGCTTAGTGATACCCTATTTCTCCCAATAGGGCCCTAAATGCCCCCAAATATGGTGTTTTATAGCAAAAGTAGTACCTAGCACAGTAGAAACCAAGTGAACGTACCTCCATTTCACATAATTGTGCTTCCCCTTATCAGTGTACCTGGTGAGCAGCGTACGTTTCGCATATCCGGCAATCATAGCCATCCATCTCATCATCCAGCACTTAAAACCCCGACATCAAAGGGCGATCAGGACTATTCAAACTCCATACCATATGAACACGTGAGCATTGAGGAAGAAAGTCAAATCAAAGGAACAGGTAGTAGGCTAACAAGGACAAGACTCATCAGGCATGAAGAACAAAGGGGGAAGCTTCCTTCTAGAACTCTCTCATTTGCACATCATTACTAGTAATGTCGGCGTACTAGATTTCCTAACAATCAAAAATTGAAAGCAGGAAAGGCAATGAGGGAAGGCCGGGGGGCTAAGGGAAGGGGGGAAATTCAGGAAATCATTCCGACGTGGATGGCCAAGTTCCTCGGCCGTGTTGGACTCGATAGCATTGAAAAGGTGCTCATGTCTCATGAAGTACCACCTTCTCCTTTAGCCAGGTGTGACGGAGTCTGGAGATAACGAATTCAAGATGCATCTCAGGAATGTTGCAAGGGTGCTCAACAAATTAATCCCTCCAATCCTCGGGCGCCAGGCCCCAAATCTACGGATCTATGCGTCCTAATTCTGTCCGGAGTGGGCGGACTCGCAAAGTTGGACCTGAACCAGGGCCTCGCAGTCGGGATGTGGCAGTTGAATCGCCTAGCGTCTGCTAATGCTGAGAGAACGCCTTACACTTGTCGTCATTACGGGGATTGTGTTTACCCACAACTCGCATTAGAAAGCGCTTGACGCCGATTCGTCAAAAGAACCATGTACGGAGCCCCTTAGTTGAGGAAAACTGAGTCGTACTCCCTGTTTCCCCACCCAAGCCACGATTTGTGTAGCAATTGCAGACGCAGAAACGCGTCAGCATCACAGATTGAATGAAACTTTCCAGTTTCAGAATTACGACGACTTTCCTGCTTGGAAAGAAGCTCCGCGCATTCTATACCATGCGGGGATATAAAAGAACACAGCTCGGAGGACCACTCCATGCGGAACCAACTATTTCCTGTTGACATCAATTGGAGATTATCTCGCGGTACCTAGAATTTCAATTTTATCGCCCCTACATTATTTTATTACGAAAATGCACAAGCGTCGGCACCAGCAACAACAGGCTTTCCAGCCAAAACCAGATGCTGAGAAATCTCACCAATCACACCAACACAAGAGCGATCACGGACCTACAGATCTCAGCGCCTGGATAGTTCAGGTTGGAATAGCTGTCAACCTCGGACTTGCCGTCATCAAATTGGTTGGAGGATGGGCGTTTAGTTCAAAGTCTCTGACTGCCGATGGCTGGCATAGCATGACGGATCTTGTCACGGACCTCCTTGCTCTGATTTCAGTCGTCGTCATTGCTATGCCAAAATTGACTGAATTTCTCCGACCGACCGTCTCCAACATTGAAGGGTCAATCTCACTGACCATCTCTGGACTCTTGGTGCTCATGGGGATTCATGAAGGATGGGAGAGTCTAGTGTCCTTCCACGAAAGCTTCTTCGGCCAAGCACTACTTTTCGGGGAGAGTGGACTTGGGTACGATTCCCATGGCGACATTCATCACGATGTCCCCAGCTTACAAGCGGCCTGGATTGCTGGTCTGACAATTCTCGCCAAAGAGTGGCTGTATCATAAGAGTAAGTACCTGCACGAAAGTGAAATTGATCCCGTTCTATGCACAGAAATACTAATTACTTTTTTGTAGCAATGAAGATTGCTGCCGAAACCAAGTCTTCGGTTTTAGCATCGAATGCCGTCCATCAACGGGCAGATAGTTTGATGAGCATGGTGACAATCGTCGCCATATTGGGAAGCAACATCTTCAAGGATACTGCTTGGATCGATTCAGTGGGTGGACTCTGTATCTCCGCAATTGTCATTCGCGCGGCTCTAGAGAACTTGACAAAGACAGTCAAGACGTGGAAATCGGCCGACTAGATTTGTTCAATAGCATACATGTTCTCTTTCTCTTTCAGAAGTATAGCGCTGTTCCTAGGATCTAGGTTTCAACTGAAACACAAATAAAACGAATGGTATTATCTTCACCTCCATTATAACAATTGTAGGTTCTATGAACAAAGAACACAGTTTAGGACGTCGAGTGACGTAAACTTGGCCTTCCAATGCAAACTTTGGTAAATTTCGCGTCAGCTTCTAAGCCTGGATCGGTTTGTGACCACGAGAATATGTCTGGCATCCTCTTCAGCTAAAATTCGACTACAAATATCAATCATTTTGAGATCATCAGCGCATAGAGGCGAGATATCTGAGGTTTTGTCAAGGAGGCCAAACTACCCGATGCCTCTAGGGTAGGGTGGACGTGAGGTTCAGTATCAGAGTGGCTTGAGCGGGACGATATTTTGCACAGCCACATACAGTGAGATTCTTGGCGCTGAAGCCTGGAGCCTGCGCCACTTATTGTCCGACTGCTCCTTTTCTTCTGCCACGCTGATCACGAATCTCACTCCACGCGGATTTCACGTTCACGATTGTGCTCGGTGCCCCGCGACCATAGAACACGATCTCGAATACAGCTGATGGGCCGTACAATGTGTCAAGATGCCTCTATCGAGGAAGAACCATGAGATATTTGACAAGCTTCGGAGGCGTCACGGAATCCTGTTTTCTCCAGAGCTGACGAGCGAGCAATGGCCCGAGAGTCACCGCAGCGTGCTGGAGGCAATTGAGACTGCCAAGTCGTATAGATACAGCACATATCAGGCCAGCCAGGACGAAATCACCACAAAGCCATGGAAAAATGACGCGAAACGACAAGCAAAGAAGCTTGTCGCAAAGTCCAAGGACTGCGTATCGCGGAATGAGGCGACGTGGAGACTAGCATGCGAGTCCCTTGTTTTTAGTCGCCTGGCTGCCGAAGTGGCGTGGTATTTTACTCTCAGATCACCTAAACCCTCAATAGTACCCGACTGACTGTGGTGTTTAGTCAAACATGTCGTCAGCGAGTCTGGCGGTCTGAAATAGAGTCCTCTCTGGACGACAACAACAGGGCTTCGTCCAGCTTGAGAAAACGGCAGCAACAGCGTGAGCGTTGCCGTTGCCCCATGAGCTCGCGACCAGACGGCGAGTGAGTGCCAAACTACAGCTACATGTACAATTCTTAACGCTGCTAAATATCATGTTTCTGCAATCTAGAGAGGAGATGGTGGGGTTAAACAAACTCTTCATTGACCGAGCCGACGACATGGTAGTCCACCCGCCGACTCTAGCTGATGAGTTACCTCAAGATCAAAGGCCAGACCGAGTGTATGGGCTGCGGCAAACACGCAAATTTGATGAGCTTCTCTTGAAGAAAATCGGTAACGGTATATTTGTTGAGGATCGATTACAAGAGCAACCTCATTCTACCGTGGGAGAAGCCCTCTTATTCCCATTCATGGTCGTAGAAGCAAAGGCTGGAAACGCCGCGGACGAATGGCATGATATCAAGCTTCAGACTGCCTTTCCAATCTACACCTACTTGCAGACTCAGCAAAGTCTACGTGCTGCGACAGGCTCGAGGTGCAGATGGGATTCAGGGCCGTTGGTTTGGTTCTTCTGCAGTAGAGGAGATGATTGGAGACTGTTCCTCGCCTATCAAAGCCGGGCGGACGCCGCTCCATCTCAATCTCCCGTGTCATTCAAAACAGTAAGGCCCCCTCAACCTGAAGTTTCGGCAGGGTGGTCAATGGCTGACTTGGTTTTAGATAATCGCACCTGTTTGGACGGGCTGTACATCCAATCTTGACGCGGCGCTGCAGCTTTTTTTAATTGTAGACTTCATCGCTGACTGGGCTAGAGATGTCTACCGCGCTTCCATCATCACCGAACTGCGCATCTTATCCAGCCCTACTCGCGATGTGTCCACAGTTGCTTCGGAAACCTTTGTCTTTTCGACTCAAAGCATTCATGGGTATGACAAAACGGATGAGGACATATTCGAGGAATCCAAGGAGCATCAAAATGATCTACAAGAAGGTTTCAAAGACCTGGATTCTTCTTACGGCGCGGTCCGTCATGTTGCCCCGATTGAGTCTCGGTTTCGCGCTCTTTTCATCACCGAAGACAATGTGCAGACATTTTTAAGTTCCATGGAGAAGAGCGACAGGGAACTGTTCGTCAAACGCGTCTTGACCACATTTGACCGGCCCCAATACTCCCAGCTGAGCCTCACCGGTGACAATATCAGCTCCATCGAAGAGGCGTGGACGGGCAACACGAGACTACGGACGCCGTTCAATATTCGGGAATCTAGACTCAACACCTTGCTCGTTGTCACCTATCATCTATCTCCTTCTTGGGAGCAGATACGTGAACTATGCCTCATCTCAATCACGAAGCAAGCTTTCGACATCATTTCCGGCGAAGTTAGAGTCAAAACCCCACCATCTCAAACAAAGAGCGAAGGAGACTTTAGCTGGGTGGTTGAAAAGGTCGCGCAGCTCAAGGACATGAGCGCCGCGGACAACCTGTCTTGCTGCATTTCCAGGGTCTGCGTGTATCTGGACGACTACCGGCTGTCGTCTGTGGCGAGCCAGCTTCTCGGCCGATTCGAGAAATGCGATGCCACAGTCTGGGAACTCGTCAATTACACATATAAACAGCATAGGAGGGGTGACCTGGAGCCGGACTTGCCATTTCTCCGTCTCTCGACAACTGTCGATGTGCAGATGAAATCCAAAAGCTCCACCGCCGCTTTTGCCCGACCATTGACGGTTGACCATCAACTACGCTGGTCCAGAAGCTCTACTGTTCTTGTTCATGGAAGTCTACACCGCCAGGGCGAGGTCAAGCGCGTGCCTAGCCTCTGCGTATATTTGAATGAATTCTACAAGGAACCGCCGAGCGTGGCTGATCTGGCTAAAATCATAACTACCACATTTCAAGACCACGACGTTTATCATACTACTCGCGACAATGGGACCTTGAAGCTCAGGACCTGGAATATCTATAGAGATATTTGGAACTTGAGGAACAACTATGGAGTCTTTTTCTCGTATGGAGATGCCAGTTTCTCCAAGTGGCTAGGCGATCTTGGCTCGCCCCCTCCCTCTCGACAGGGCTCTCCAAGAGGACCCTTTGATACTGGGCGTACGATGTTCGAAAGGAAGTACAATCCGTGGCAAGACCCTCGTTTGACCAATAACCAGACGCGCCCTTCTCTAAGGAAGAAGTTTGTGAAAGAGCTGATCATGACTGAGGCTTTGGAGTGGGCTCGTCTCGCAAGGCGAAGCATCCTGCTTGGAAACGCCTGTTGTTGTCTTTGTGGAGGCGAGCTTGACTCTGGAGATGACGAACCCGAGTTTCTGTACGAGATGAAAGCGGAAGGGACCAGTTTCAACGGTTCTGGAATCCAAGTGACCGACTCGCCTGAAACCGCGGCAGTAGAAGCGTCGTCCTTGATGCCATATAATTTCAGAAGTCGTTGCCAAGGCGAGAAGGAACAGGAAAGGGTTGAGAATCTTTGCTTGGTGTGTACGGAGCACATGTTTCATGAGAGCCACTGGGGCGAAGGATGGCAGGATTGGATGAGAGAGGTATTAAGGATGGCTCTGTCCAAAAGCATGGCCGAGGGTTCGCCCGAGGTTGGCCCCGTTGCTGGCCCGTCGCGTCTCGACATCATGTCAACACCGCCGTTGCCGGAAAGCCCACATTTCAAACGATACTCATCCCTCGGCTTCGATGATGATGATCAGCTCCCGTTGGTTAGAAAGAGAAGGCATTCTGGAGACGGAGCAGAAATATCTGCTAAAGATATCAAACCTCTGATAATCGACTTGACTAGTGATACCTAAAGAGACAAGTAATGTTTTTGAACTAGTGACTCTAGTTGCCAATCCAGATAGTGAACCGGTAGACTCCCAACACATCCAGCCGCCACTTTCAACTCCACCAAAAGCCACATACAACCTGTGACCTGAAAGTTGAGTATTCTGGAAGCTATCCTCCTCATCTGGCACCTAGGTGCAATCAATATCCATGGCCACTTTATTCACCCACGTAAACTCTGGGTCGTGACCAAATGGTATAGAAAAGGGCCGCTTCAACCCCCTAACCTCACGAAACATCACCTCGCGTTCCCCATCAGTGCTCACCAGGGCTTCTGCCTTCTTCATCCCTCTTCGTGTTTTCCCCAGGTTCGAACCTATATCCCACATTAGATATTTCACGGATATGCTCTCCAGCCTGTAGCAGTCCTCCCATATGAATTTTGCTGCATCTCTATCCTCACCGCCGCGGGTTAAGAATCCTTTGATAACGCCATCAAGAATGATCCGCCCTGAAGTAGGATTGAAGGGAAAGCGCCGCTGGCTGCGGTGGGGGTAACATGTGATAGCTCTTAGTTTAGCTGCATGTGACAGCGCAATACCAATGTCTTCCTATTTTCGGGCGTCAGTTCGGTTCATCACCTTTAGAGATATGTGCCTCAAGCAGATGATAGTTATGGGGCCTCTTCTCACAATTTCATTCTCTTCCGGGGCGAATTCGATCTCCTCAAGATGAGGCAAGTTTTTGACAAGAGTTGACACAGATTTTGCGGACAAATAAGATACTCTACGATTACTTATAAGTTCACCAAATGAAATCTTCAGTGTTTTTAGGCCTCTATGCTGCGTAATAGCTTGCAGGACCTGATCTTCAACGGCAGGGTCGGCGGTGGTATCAATCATGTGTCGCGAGTCATTATATAGTTCCAACGATGTGAGCGTGGTAAACGCTGAGATGAATCGGCATTTCTCTTCAATGAGTGGTTTATGAAGCTGCGTCATCGTCGCTGGTTGCTGTAGTTCTTCATCTGTCTCGTCGTTTCTGACGCTGGAAAGTGTGAGGAATAGGGTGTGTAGACGAATATTTGAAGTTGCAGTTGCCATTTTCGCGAGGGTTTTGAAAAAGAGCTCGCATGCGCCAGATACTCGCCTGACTTCAAGCTGGTCGAGTCCCAAGAAATCGACCCAATCCTTCAAGTGACGTATCACCTCTGTGTCTAGAGTCGTGTCTTCCAAGGTCAGTGATTTCAAGGCCGAGAAAACATGATGCTGGGCATTTGTAGAGCCTCTGCTTGTAGGCGCCTTTCCTCCCAAGTGATTTAGAAAAGAGGTTGTGTATCCTATCCCTATCACTCGAAGGCTCTTGAGTGTGGACTTTGAATTGCGGATTAGACTAGCAAGTACGCTCTCGCCAGGTGTAAGCTGGTAACTATCCATTTCAATCATGCTGAGATGTTGCAAGCCCTGGATTTGGGCCAGTGACTTGATAGCGGTTTCACTGAACGCGTTTGTGCCGATTGAAAGAGCCTTTAGCCTTTCGAGCGACGCTATCTTCTCTGCAATAGGCCTGAAAAGAATGTGAGAGTGCGTCGATTAACCATTTGCATGCTTGAGGTTGACTTACTTTGTCAGAAAACCAATATCTACTATCTCTAGGTTTTTCCAATGATCCAGTGCATGTCCCAAGTATTGGTTCACAATTTCTTGATGTTGTTCGCCCAAACCGAAAGAACCAACAATGAGCTGGCGGACGAAGGATGCGCATTGAGGCACCCCATGCTGGTTGATTCGGTACTTGTGGCCTTGGTATTTATCAACCTTCTTTTCAAGTTGCTTTTTTTGTGCCATGGTTAGATGGGAGTCGAGAGCTATGGCCATCTTTAGAAGCCGCGAATGGTAGGCTTCAAGAACAACCATCCGCCGGTGTAGGCGTGGCGCTGCGAGCGAGTACAAAAGTTGACTTGTCCGGCTCAATTTACCCATTGTAGACGAGTCTGTGATCTACATAGACTTAGCTGGGTTCTAATCAAGATCTCCCGTACGTTGATACGATGAGCTTACATTTTCAACAATCATTTCAAGGATCTCGATTGGTAGAGAAGACAGATAGTCATGGCGAGACTCCGATGCTTTGCTCTTGGCCCTGCTTTTCATTGCAGACGATCTCCCCATTTTGGCGGCCTTTCACGTCTCACCAGTGATCACCAGATTTCAGAGATGATGCGTTGCGTTTCCAGCTAATGGTGGTTGACTCTCAGCGAGAGCAGCAGCTGTCTGTGAACAAGCATGACTCTACGGCCGGGTACTTTTATGCGGTGTGAGCCTGGGTCTTCAGGCTTACAGCCTATTGGACATCTGCGGCGTAGCGAGAAACCAAAGACCAATAGAAACGTCAAGAATGCTCGACAATTGTGGCCACGTGTACTGTAGTAGCCAGGCAAGCCAGGTTCCCATTGCATGCTTGGCGTATCAGTCGCAGCCCGTGCATCACTGTTGTTTATCGTGGCTTGGTCTGCGATCTCGCCATGATCCGCATATATATGATACTCCGTTTCTCAACGGCGTGCAGAATGTCACGTTCATCTGTTGGCTGAATCAGCAAGCGATGTCAGCGATTGGGAAGCTACATATTATTCCGCTTCGTTTTAATATCCTCATCTGAGCATATTTATGGCGTTACATTCTTGGCAAATCCATACGATCAACACGAAGTTATTTAACCAGATATCACCTCTGCCAGAAAGTAAGATACTCTGATAAAGAGAGTTGCAAGCAGGGAAGCTAGAGCCCCAATGCAGCTCTCACCAATCCCGGTCGCATTCCGATCAGTGGCCTGGATGTTGAATTATACACAAATCCAGTACACAATTGTCATCACGGAGGTAGGTCTTGTGGAATGTGGGAGAGCAGTGAGATGCAGTAGAGCAAGTAGTTCCGGGAAGTCCGAACCTGTCTGGTAAGGGTAGAATGTAGTTTTCACCCCAAAATTCTTGTGAGGAATTCATGCTTCGTTATCAAACTATATAAATCCTACTATGTCCCGTACCTTACTCTCGTTGGTATCATCTTCCACTCACCAGCAAGTTACCAACTCATCACAGAGTATCATCTATCTCAATTACGGAATCTAACTATCCCACGTCTTTGATCAAAATGGACGCAGTCAAGACCATCGTTTTCCTTGGTCTCCTGAGACGTGCTTTGGCTATTCCAAAGTTCCCCGTGAATGAGAACCATACCAAGATCAATTACCCAACCGATGTTGGTTCTGGAGAAGTCAATATCTTCTACACGTTAGTCGAACTATTTTGCCTAATTTCTCGAAGCAAAAAGTTAACAGTTAGCAGTGGGTTTCCTGCTTACCATCAGATGGTCATCGATCAAGGGTACAACGTCACTGCAGTTAACATCTCGCTTCGGAATGAAGCAGCCAACCTTGTCAAGGCTGGTTTCAACGTCTACGGTATAATTATAATCCTGCCCGAGCAGTTGACATAAATCTTACCATACATCTATCTAGTTCTCTTTCAAGGCCCTGACCAGCCAGTGTCCAATATCGCTGACCGCATGGCTGGGACTCACTGGGGCGTTGATGCTGTTGGCTGGGGCCAACGGGGTGCTGGTAACTCTGATGTTACTTATCGGTTTGAAGGTAGCAGCGTGAAAACATGATTCTATCTGTTTTGGTAGCGCTAACTCCATGAAATGTAGACAACCTCCATCAATACCGAGAGTCGGCCCCTCTAACTCCTACTGTCTTCAACTGGGGCCCTGATACTTTGGCCGAATCTGTTACTCGCCGTGTCCCTTTGAACGAAGATTGCACCGACAAGCCAGGAAGACTTTTGGTGAGTTCATGTTCTAAACAGAGAGTAATGAAAAGGGTTTTACAAAGCTAATGAACGGCTTTCATTCAAGGCATACGAGGAGATTTGCGACCCCAAGCTTTGCGAGAAAACTACCGTCGTTACCAATGGAAGCCTTGAAGATCTGCTCAAGGGCCCTGGTGCGTAGTATGATTGCCTTCATTTGTCAGTCCTTGGACGAGTGGGTGGACTCCTTGCATGATACCCAACTATTTAGGAGTTGTGATTTTCATTCCGATGGGATGGGTGGATTTCTCAGTAGTTGAACCCCTGAGGAACAACGAAAGAAACATTCGGCTTAGAATGATAGATCTCTACACAATCAAATTGATTGAGTTGTCGCTCTATGAATTGCCTTCACTATTCTACGAAGTTTAGACAACATGTAAGATGCCTTTACCTCGCGCCAAGTCGATGTCTCGGCTCTTAGAAACATAAAATCGATTTTCACTATAACCCCTATTAAATATACTTCCGGGGTTCTAATAAGGGAGATAGGACTGAGAGTGTGTCTGATGATGATAATCTTGAAGAGGAGGGACATCAGCTTGATTCATAAGGGGTCAGCTGAGAAGGGGGGTTATTGCGTAACAATAAAACAACACACAACAACAAGAGATTAAATACACACACATTATTGACCCAAATAAGCACAAAGTATTAGCCTTATTCGTTTGAATCTAACATTAGTTGGTCTGTGCCGTCCTTACCCAAAACCCCGTCGGGTGTACTTTCAGCAAATGGTCGACGATATCCAAGGGCTGTGGAAATGTCATTTGAATGGTTGGCGGACAGAAGGGACAGAAAAACCCGCCCTTTTCGTTCATCAAGCTCCCAATTCCAGGGCTACGGTTGTACTGTCGTACCCAGTGGTCGAGGTCGTCACGCAGAGGGCCAGGTTCAAATTGACGCCAATCATCCGGCAAGGCCTGAAATTGACCTGGTTGGATCACCTGGGTAGATATTCCAAAAGGTGATATCGTGGTTCCTTGGTGAGTAGCGCTAGCCACCGTATTATGAGGAGATAGGATTTCGTGCTCTCCCCTGTTTGTCAAGGGAGGAAGCCACAGATGTGTTCGGCTCGAGGGGTTCAACGGGGGAAGGGTTGAAGAGGGATTTGTTTCCTGTGCTGGCGAAAGATATGCATGCTGGGAAGGAGGTATCTGGCTATTGATATGTGTTGGGTTGTTTGCCGGTCCGGAAGCCCAATGAACGCGTATGTGTCTCTCTGCCATATGACGCTCAATCCCATTAAACATCTCCCCAATTTGAGCTCGGGTGCAAGTGGACCCTTCTTCTGCATTTGGACTTGTCACGTTGTGCGAAGTTTCGGAACTCGTAGATATACCACTGTCTTGAATCTCCGATTGGAGATTTGACGTAGGGTGAGGTTGGCATATGGCCATTCCTCTCGGAGTTTGGGCTCCAGCGATCGGAGTACATGATGCTGAAGGGCGATGCTCTCCTTGTTGCTCGTTGGGGCGTTCTCTGGCTATATTCCCTCCCTCCATCACATTGGCCTCGTTACAAGTATAGTCAAGGCTAGTATGGGCGAGGTTCTCCAAGTAGGATTTTTCAACACCCCTACTCTCATGGGGTGCCTGACCTGGCTCGGCCGAGAAGGATGATGATGTGTTCTTGGGTGCCATGCCGTTCTCAGCATCACGTGTTGCTGAGCCACCCTCAATCTCATCATTTTGATGAACTGCATTTTCAGATGTTGTTTCTTCAGAAAACGATCCGCCATTTGGGTTAGGGAATATCTCTGGTTGAGTTGACGTTTCAGGCTCAGGATTTGAGTTACTCGTCCCATCGAGGCTTGTGCGTAAACTATTGTCCACCTCCAAAACAGCAGTTGAGTTTTGATCATTTTGGATGTTCTCTGTATTCCTAGCTGGTGATTCCGATCGCCTTGGTTTGATTTTGCGGAGTACGTCGCACGCTTCATGGTAGTGATGATTTAGCTTCCATCCCACCTCATCATCAATACTGATCATGTCACCACCAGCAACCCACGAAGCTGGGCATTTTGTCAGTTGGGAGCTAACCAAACATAGGACTGGATATTCCCGATTCGATTCGAGCCTCCCGTCATCCTCATACCCTCGTGCCCACTGATACTTCTGAGCGCGAGAGCTGAATATACAGCACTTGGGCATATCTTCGTCCAGATTCAGGGTGGCGAGGCTCTCACTGATTCCGATAGACTCCATGTCGTTTAGAGGCAGAATGAGAATAGGGGTCTTAACAGCATTGTCCCCAAAGTATGCCAGGCACACCTCCCCAGGCGCACGACGTACATATGTGTTGTCTTCCTCTGAACCATCTCGCTCTTTTCGAGGCGCGCGACGACCAGCGGGCTCCGGTCCATGCCGGAACACAGAGCCAACCTGCCTCCAACCAGGCCCTAGGGTTTCTTGTACTGTATCGTCTGTGGGTTCGTCTCCTCGGCCTCCTGATCGAGTTCTCCCCGACATGGTTTCACTTCGGCCACGACCTCGGCCACGCCCTCGAGGTCGTCCTCGGGGCCGCCCCCGTTGTCCTCTCATTTTAATCCCTGGACGTTCGGCGGTGCGCGTGCCGAAACGACCACCGGTAGAAAATCGAGAACTCCTGTTCGGGCGTCGTTTGCGTCCTCCCTCATTCTGCTCTTCTGTTTCACGTGGCGAAAGTTCAGCATCAGGGCGAGGGCGCTTCATCTGTATCCAATTCAGTAAAATTCTTATTTCAAACGAACATATAAATTCTGACGGATTTTAACATACAGCCTTTTCCGTGTTACCTTTCGGTGTAACTGCATGTCCCTCCTCTTCAGAATCTCCGCTGCTCTCTACAGTTTCGGCTTCTGACTCAGACTCCCTGGTGCGGTCTCCAATTTGACTGTCGCCGTCCTTGGATCTATCAAGAGACGTTGCGTCATTCCGCTTTCTCCCATCATCAGGAGAGTGAGCCTTCACTAGACGGCCCATAGCCGCGTGTAGGCGCTGAAAAACTTCTCGTTGTCGTCTCTCATAGGCCGCTTGTTGAGCTTCTAGTGTCGACTGATGTTGACCAGCAAGGCTCGACTTTTCCGTGAACAACAGCCCCAGGCTATCCCGCTCCTGTTGCTTCTCAGCGGCTGTCATCTCGTCATACGCAGCCCACCATTGCGATATCCGGGCGTCGATAGCGTCGACCTTCGCCTTGTATTCTTGTTGTGGTGATCTCAGCGCCTGTAGCTCCTGCTTGTGTCGTTGGAAGCAGTCTTCCCATTCGGCGAAAACTCGTTCCACCTCCGTGGCAGGAGGTGCCGATCCTCCTTCAACCTGATCGGCAGCCATCTGCAGACAGAGAGCGCAGCACTTGGGGGCTATTTTCCCTGTACAGAGTCGTACTGAGGTTTGTGTGCGGAGGGATCGAACGGGCGAATCGAACAAGTTTGATCTCTGAAATCCAATGGATATTTATGGTCGTACAATATCATATCTATCTTTGGAAGGTGTGCCGTCATCAATGATGATGATGTGAGGTCAAAGAGAGAGCTGTTTATAGGCAGGGGAGGAAGGATGAAGGCTGAGAGAGAGCGCGACAGGGGCGATGGAGATGGATTGGGGGGGAGGCCAGGACACGGCACAGCCAACAGCCAGTGAGCTTGGCAACAAGGCCTCGTTGGCTGCACGTCTTATGAGGTATTACCAGGTTGTTGTTGGTTGCAGTTGTTTGTTGGTGGCGCGAAAATAATCGCTTTGATAGGCTGAGGCTGAGGAGGGTGTGGAGCGGTCATAAAAAGGTGACACACCCAGAACCTCCAGCATTTAATTTTAAACACAATATCAAAATAATTAATCTAGTAATAAACACAACATTGAGCTGAATATTATAGAACAATTCGTTACTTTCTTATTATTGTGTCTCATATCATTAACATGAAAACTAGCTTACACACGCGATAAGGGCTTGTGTACCCCGTTTGATCTCATTCACTTGTGATATACATACAACCTGCACAACGTCCTTAGCGCATAACATTTCAGCACGATCGGATATGGTTAGCCTGCTTCGACTTCCCTAACATAATTATGTCATGGTCTTGTGCTCTCCAATACAGCCAAAAGAAGAGGTATATTGTAGCGGTCCTGCAATACTTGGACAGCATGAGAGCTTTTGGTCCAGCGAGTGAATTCGCATAGGGGAGCACAGAATATAGCTATCGTGATGTCCTCAGGGACGATTTCCGCGGCGGCTACTCCGTCCTGCATGCCTTGGTTCGGCATTTGGGTTGGCATCCATCTTTCCGAGTGATTCGGAGTCAAAATTCCAGCTGATGCTGAATGCATAAGTTGGTGGAGACTCAATCGCTGGCCTCGGTCTCTGTGTGCCAGTTATTCGACTTCCTCCTCCAAGTGATCGCGATTGGGAGACGTTTATGAAGCTAAGAAGTTGCGATTATAACAAGAGAAGGCTATAAGCACACGTGTGGAGAGGGAAGATTAATTATCAAGGCACCGAGGTAAGAGACGCCTCGTACATTTCTGTGGTCATGCGTACAGCATGCCTATCACAATTTTGACCGAAAGTCGCATCACCTTCTCATACCCTGAATCAGGTAGGTCTTACTACTTGACAGACCTTGCTTGGCTGAACCCAACTCATGTTCGTCACGACTCATGTACGAACTGCTTCACGCGATGGCGTGGGGTTTATAAATTAACTGATGCATTTCGTGCCATCAATATCGACAAGTTAATTACAAGACCCTCAGTTTAGCAAAAGGCTTTTCAGGCTGTCTGAAGACTTTCTCAGTAGCTGCCATACTTTTCATGTCCTCTGGGAGATCCATGAACTCGAAATTGAGTACCAGAAGAGTTATTAGAATCCGGAACTCGAGAGTGGCAAGTTTTCTCCCTGAATTAGGTTAACGGTCAACGGTCATAAAATGAAGATGGCTGAGTGTGCAGCCACGGACACTGAACTTACCAACGCAACCTCTATAACCGCCTCCAAATGCCGTCGAGGGAAGGGCATGCTGATTGAATTTTTCTTTTCCTGTCTCTGTATTCTTGGTTATATATCGCCCGGGATCGAACTTATCCAGATCAAAACCTGCCCTTCCTTGAAGTCCATCCCCAGTTTTGATGGCATTTGCTCGGCAGGTCTCAGAACGCTTAGATTCATCGACAGGAATAGGCGGTCGACTTATATGATAGTTCATGATGATCTCTGCACCCTTCGGTATTGGACAGCCTAGGATAGATGTATCAACAAGAGCCTGCCTCAGACTTGCCTTAGCCACACCAGCTAGTCGGAATCCTTCCTCAATCGCGGCATCGAGATAAGGTATGTCTGAGTGCATTATCTCCTCAGCAGATGGTGCATCGTTTCCAGGGAAAGCGTTACTGAGGGCCTTGCGAAGTTGAGTCTGAACAGCCGGATACGCCTCCATGAATCGGATGAACCAAGTCAATGCATTGGCTGTTGATTCGTGGCCCTACCAAAGAGGGGATATTAGTGATCATTGAACAGTGTTGATACATAGATTAGAACGTACTCCAACAAGAAGAACAAACAATTCATCAAGCATAGTCTGATCTTTTGTTGGGTCAACAAGGATTTTGTCGCCCTTTTTTGCTTGTAAGACTTGGCGGCGTAGCACTTGATCCATCATACACTGATCTGCGTCACTGTTATTCAAACTCTCGAGCTCCAGTTTCTGGAACTTCTCCACGGCACTTTTCATTAGTGAACTAATTTCTCTTGTGATTGTTCGGCGAAACTTCCGGTATCGGGGAGTATACGTCACAATTCTCCCAGCCAGCTTCGGCGCTGGCGTTTGAGAGACTTGAGAAATAGTGTTAGAAATGTAGTCCACCTCCTCCCTGATAAAGGTCCCTCGTGGCGGTGTTAGGTCTCGAGGTTTACTATCAAGTTCGCTCTGTAGTTTCTTGATCGAGTAGTCAATCGTTCCGGCCTCGTCACCCAGTACTGATGACCAAATAGCATCAAGCGTAGCATTCAATATATCATCGAGAACAGCGAAAGGTTTGTCAGCACAGGTGGTAATCGCTTTCAGGCGCCACAACTCCACGAGCTCAAGTGCAGCCTTATGTATTCTTGGTGCGGTGGCCCTATGAAGAAAGCCAGCGGTCATAACATCTGCCCACAGTCGCTTCTGGGCTCTCAGCTCAGGTGTTGTATATTGGGCAAGAGAGCCTTTTGGGAACATAGGTTGGAATATATTGATGGTCATAGGAGCTTTATCAAATTCCTTGTTACGCCGAAGAAAGATATCTTCAATCTCGCGAGGATCTTCCAGAATAATAAGCGGTTTCTGTGTGCCAGGGAAAAGAAACTGGGCAATTGGCGAGCCCAACTTCTGTGTTGTTATTGTGAACATCGAGATTGAAAACTCATTGGTACTTGAGATCACCGGCACTAGATCAGGGATATCACCCATGATACGGCTCGCTGACGTTATATTATAAGGAATTCCCGCATACGGTTTTGGGTAGGCAACGCGGGAAACGGCGATCACTAAGATCACAGAGCAGATACTCAGGAGAGCGTAAATAAGCGTAGTGTTTTCCATCTCTGATGGCTTGAAAGCGAGCTTTTAGGATATAGGTTCACAAATGGTTGAGAAGGGCACCTTGTCTGGGGAAGAATTGTCAGCAGTCGTGGATGTTTTATGGTCAAAGGTTTTCTACTGATAAATCAACCGACGGTCATTGGTGCAATCAATTCGGCTATGAGACCGTCAGCAACTGAGCGGTAAGTTCCTAGCGACGATATTACCTGTGGGGATGTCAGCAGCATAGGCCACTAAGCGCCCCAGCAACCCGGCTTTGAGTCTCGAATATTTTAGCTAAGTCTCGTTTGGGTTTCGCCATTTGCCATGAACTAACCACTCCCGTCAACCCTTGTTGACGTCTTGTTCCGAAAACGAACCCGAAAGTTGAATATCACGGGACTAGACGCTCGTCACTGTTGAATGCCGAGACTAGTGCACTGCCAATACGATCCCGAGCCAATAGGAATACTAAAAAGCGAATGCTATTATCTGCCGCTGGCCGAGTTCTACATGCACCAACCTATAACAACTGTATAATTAATGATGACAACTTGCTATATTTACCTCATTAAGCAGGTAATCACAGTCAGCAAGGAAGCTTTAGCCTTTCATGTATGTATTTGTGCTTTTTGCCTCGAGTACCTCATTCTCTCGGACCACAATTTCACCAACAATCCTTGGTTGTTCGAAAATCAAAATTGTTCAATAAGCTCCCAGATTAGAGAAGAAAAGTCGTTCCAAGACGAGTAACTTCAATCTGTCAAGATGCGATTCATTCAGCCAAATTGAATTACTTGCAAAACACAGAGTGGTGGCTTCAGGACGTTTTTCTACGAATCACAACATTATGATCATCACAGTCATGGTGGAGCAGAAATTCTCTATGTTAGGTCACAAATATGTGTGCTTTTTTGGTACTCAAACGTTCTTTGGTTGTAAGGCAGCTTATTATCCAGTTGGCAAAAGAGAAAAGTGACTTGAGCCTACTCCCGGAAAAAGCAATTGAGACGAGATTTTGGCATTCCATCATGATGAAAATAATCTTCCGTCTTAGATAATGTAGAGACAGCTTTACATATTCGTCCTATACTCATAGAGCAATCACAAGAGACACATGGACAAGAGTACTTCTTGCTAAATTATCCTTTGGCCAAAGCAACAGCGCTCAGGAGGTAGTTGAACAAGATCCAGAACTTACGGGGTTGTGATAACTATAACTATCGTAACTATTAGAGCAACATTCTGGAAGCTGTCACACAGAAACTCCTCTCGCATCGAGGGTATATGCTACGGTGAGCAAGGTAGAACAGTCGTGGTAAAGGTCTCTTTGGGATAACACAAAAAGAGTTTCAATGTAGTTATCTTGCAAGTAAGTTCTCAACCAACACGCCGGGGCGATACCATGTATATGTGTTCCCCGAGTAGCACGTTTAACAAGAGCCCTTGTGGCGCAGTAGTCACCGCAATTCTATGAGGCTGACGTGAGATATAGACCTGAATTCAAACTCAGCCCCATTCATGGTCATGCATTCCCGCTTATTAATGGCCATCGGCATCCGTTAACCAAATCAGGGGTTCTAAGTCAAATCCAACTGCCGGTCTCCTCCGGGACTTGCAGGGACATCCTGTGTTCGCTTCAGCGTGATCTGCCCAGAAGAGCACCAGAAAGCCGAACATCTCACCATCTTTAAATACCTAATCTCGTATTTGGGGGTAATCCATGTTAACCCGTGAGTTGAGAAACGAGCCAGGGTCGAGCGACGGCAGATTTACCAAAGCCGCATTATTGTAGATCCCGAGGAATCATTTTGGTTTTTTGAAATGCTTGGTGTTGGAAATAGAGAGCCTACTGACAGAGCCTATCTATTCTTCTTTCAAAAAAGAAACGCCAATGCACTTATTCGACAGAATGGAAGTATAAGAATACTATTGAACGTCGTCTCACATTAGGTGTTTGTCGTTCATATGATGAGTCTGGACCAAAGTACCAACCTTAAGAATAGGATCATTCTTTTGCTGGTGCGAAATGACGATAACTCCTGCGCCAGTTTAATTCTACCTGTCCAAAGGTCTAGATAACGTTCACAACGATGGTATTGAGACCACACGTATTAGCCGGTCTCATCAGAGCAACGCCTCGCAAAGAGATACAGAATAGTAAATACCCCCAATGCTAGGGAATATTAGATTTTCAATACGGGTTGATTGAGGCATTAACATCCACTCATGAGGGAGATGCATTGACATATGAAAAGCCGATTACGAACGCACTTGGAACGGGGTGTAAGTGAGAAAGCCTTGTGCTAATGCAGTATTGAATATCACTCACACGAGGAATATCCCCATATCCATGTCGCTAGCTTAATCCATTTTCAACCTCTTGAAGCACCAGATCTTAAACTAGGTAGGAGATAATTGAAAGCAAGCTGGCTCTTCTATATGCTATATTGACTCTGCTAGTGTCGTTCGCAAAAGATGCTCTTCCTCAACATCAAGAATTATGAACGTTGACCAGGCTGATTAAATGCCTTGGACAGACGTTGATCATGCATATTACATTTATAAATTAGGGAGAAAATTGCTAATAGTTCTCCTGTCGATCGTTCTCCATCTCACGATCATATCTCGTACCGTCCCACAACCCTGTCATGGCAGTGAGCATAGCCCGGTACGCGTCATCGAAAGGAACGCCCCTGGCTGCCCTTTTTGGAAAACCTCGTACAGACCCTGAAGTAAGTAGAACGGATATCCATGGCCAGCACGAAGGAACATATCACATAGTGACCCAATGTGGAAGCAAGACGACGCAACAACATACTGTGGCTAGGCTGACAGGCTTCTAGGCGGTAAGACCCATTACGTGAAGGCCAAATCGCAGCGCCAAAGAGGAAGGTAGCCTGTATCAAATTAAGGAGAGTTGCTAGATGTTAGAACAATCTCTGGGATATAAGATGTTCCCGTCTATCCGTGTTTAGAGTACTCTTCCACCACACTCATCATTTTCAGACAAGGCAAATTCACTTACAACACTTGTCTACCTCGACGTTTGGCCATTCAAAAACCATGAAACCATCAACCTTTTCGATTTTAGCAGGAGTTGTCAGCATCGCAACAACTGCCAACGGAGCTCAAAATGATGCGGAGAGTGTCTGGAATGAGGCACAACTGAGCTATGAAAAGTTCACTGAAGAGTTCCTCGTCAACGCCACTGCTTCAAATGGTTCTTGCAACAAAGGGAATGTTCGCACGCGCCAGCGGTGGGACGACTTGTCAACAGATGCAAAGCTCGAGTATATACGTGCGGTGAAGTGCTTGTACTCTCTCCCATCCACAACGGATCCCCTTGTTGCACCTGGCGCCAAGACTCGCGTGGACGATTTTGTCTACACTCACATCAACCAGACAAATTTCGTCCACGGTTCCGGAATCTTCCTCCCCTGGCATAGAGAGTACATGTGGCTCTATGAAAGTGCGCTCTACGATGAGTGCGGCTTCAAGGGGACCGGCGTGCCCTACTGGGACTGGTTCCTTCACACAGACGACCAGGCTAGTTCGCCAGTCTTTGACTCGGGACCAGCAGGGTTTGGCGGCAACGGCCTCTACATCCCACACGAAGCAAGCAACGACACTCTCGTAGATGTCCCCGGACCTGTCTGGGTAGACCGAGATGCTGGCACTGGTGGTGGCTGTGTCGTCGATGGCGCCTTTGCCAATCTCACCCTCACCCTTGGCCCTGTCGTTCCGGCAGATACCCCAGCGGATGATCCATATGGTCTCAAAGGCAATCCACGATGCCTGAAACGCGACTTCCTGCAAGCTCAAAGCTCAGCTCACCTGACATTCCAGCAAGCCGCCGATCTGCTAGAGACAACCACCTACGCCGAGTTCCGTGCCGCCATTGATCAAGAGGAAATGCATCCTGCATCGCATCCTGGCATCTAGGCCCGGAGGTATCTTCTCTACCGCTCTATGGCGTGCCTTTTGCAGTCAAAGATAACATCGACGCAGAGGGCTTCGCTACCACTGCCGTATGCCCATCATCTCCTTCGGGAAAGGCGGCCTCGGACGCAGTTGTTGTCCGGAACTTCAAATCCGCAGCCGCGATTCTCATCGGAAAGACAAATCTGGATCAGTTCGCAACAGGGCTGGTTGGAACGCGCTCACCCTATGGTGCAGTTCCCAACTCATTCGATTTAACCCGTGTAAGCGGCGGATCCAGCTCTGGGAGCGCTGTGGTGGTTGCCCGCGGTGTCGTACCCTTCTCACTCGGAACTGACACAGCTGGCTCTGGTCGAGTACCCGCGGGATTCAATGATATTATAGGGTCGAAACCAACACGGGGAGCCTTGAGTACTACAGGTGTAGTCCCAGCTTGTCGAACCCTGGATTGTGTCTCCATCTTCGCCCTTACCGTGGAGGACGCTCAACTCGCCTTGTCAGTGGTGGAAGGATACGATCCAGAGGACTCATGTTCCCGCAAACGCCCAGATCTATTTCATGAACAAGGAGACACTGTCTTCGGCCATGTCGGGTCCGTCTCAAGTCCTCGACTAGCTATATGTTCCAATCCGAACTGGTTCGGATGTGATGGTCATCATCCTGCCTATGACAAAGCTCTGGAAAAAGCTGCGTCTCTTGGTTGGATACTGGAGCCTATTGACTTTAGTCTGCTATTCCAACTTGCCCAGCTACTGTACTCGGGGACATGGGTTGCGGAAAGATACGAGGCAATTCGATCCTTCATTCGGACCGTTGACCCCCAGGCAATGGATCCTGTCGTTCATAAAATTATCAAAGGCGCTGAGAAGTTCACGGCGGCTGACGCGTTTGCCGGAGAGTATTTGAGACGAGATCTTACCCGACAAATCGAGACGGCTTTTGCCAGCTTCGATGGCATCCTCGTCCCAACCACACCGACATTCCCAACGCTGGAACAGCTCTCGTTACAGCCTGTGGAGGAGAACTCCAAGCTTGGGACGTACACCAGCTTTGTCAATTTCATGGACTGGTCAGCATTATCGTTTCCTGCAGGTTTCAGGCCAGACGGGCTTCCATTTGGCCTGACGCTTATTGCGAACGCGTGGCAAGAGCCACAGCTTCTAGAGTTGGCTCACCGGTTTTGCTGATCTGCGGGGCCCCGAACTCTTGGGGCAACTGGAGAGTGCGTTGCGGAACGGTCTCTTCCAAACTCAGTCTCGCGGATTGCCCACGATACTGTCCCGATCGCTGTTGTTGGTGCGCATCTCACGGGATTCCCCCTTAACAAAGATCTCACCTCTCGAAATGCGACATTCTCAAAGCAAACATCCACGTCATCCAACTATAGACTCTTCGCCCTCTCTTCCACGTCAGGAGTCAGCAAACCCGGGCTGAAGCGTATCTCTGATGATCAAAGGGGCAAGGAAATCGAAGTTGAGGTCTGGAACCTACCTAGATCAAGCCTGGCTAGCTTCATGCAAACCATACCTTCCCCCTTTCGATTGGGAAAATTGAGCTTCAGGACGGTTCTTGGGTCCATGGATTTGTATGCGAGCCTATTGGCCTAGAGTCTGCCACAGACATCATGGATTTCGGCGGTTGGAGATCGTACAGCAAGCATATCGAAGCCCCGATCCAAAGTTCAGAGGGACCGTCCCAAAAGAAGACCATCTCAAAGGTCCTCGTAGCCAACAGAGGAGAAATCGCCGCCAGCATCATCAAGACGCTGCACAAAATGTGTCTCCAAGCTGTAGCCATCTACTCCAGTTCGGACCGTGCATCTCCCCATGTCCGTACGGCTGACGTTGCTCTGGAACTCAAAGGCCAGACTGTTTCGGAAACATACCTCAATATAAACCAAATAATCGAGCTGGCCAAGGCCTCCGGGGCCGACACGGTCATCCCCGGGTACGACTTTCTGTCAGAAAATGCGGACTTCGCAAGGGCTGTGCAGAATGCCGGGATGGTATGGATAGGTCCCACCCCAAAGCAGATGCATGACTTGGGACTCAAGCACAAGGCTCGGGAGATTGCCCGTGCTGCAGATGTACCTACTGTGCCTGGGAGCCAAGGGCTCCTCAGCTCTCTAGATGACGCTCTTCGAGAAGCACAGCGCGTTGGTTTCTGGCTCATGTTGAAAAACACTGCTGGTGGCGGCGGTATAGGTCTGAGTCACTGCGAAGACGAGGAGAGCCTCGCAACGGCCTTTGAAGCTGTGTCCAGACAGTCCCAGGCGAACTTTGGAAATGGGGGGTTGTTTCTAGAGCGGTTTATTACACAAGCTCGGCATGTCGAAATTCAGATTCTCGGTGACGGGACTGGGCGGGCAATAGCTCTTGGTGAACGCGATTGCTCTCTACAGCGCCGCCATCAGAAGGTTGTTGAGGAGAGCCCGGCCGTAATGGTTCCCCAAGACGTAAGAGACAGGATGAAGGCGGCCGCTCTGCGCCTAGCATCGTCGGTCAAATATTTGAACGTCGGCACGGTGGAGTTTGTTTACGATATCAACTCAGCCGAATTTTTCTTTCTTGAAGTAAACACTCGCTTGCAAGTTTAACATCCAGTCACAGAGCTGGTCACTGGGTTAGACCTTGTTGAGTGTATGATCAAAACAGCGGGCGGCCGCTGGGATGAGCTGTTCCCGGAATCTCAGCAGCACTTTGTTTTGACGGGTGCGTCAATCGAAGTGCGTGTTTATGCAGAAAGCCCACTCCAAAGCTTCCGACCATCCGCAGGTGAAATCACAGAGTTGATATTTCCTGACGACCTGAGAGTCGATACCTGGGTTGAACAGGGCACTACGGTAACCACCGCGTATGACCCTATGATAGCCAAGATCATATCCCATGGCGCTGACCGTAAAGAGGCTCTCGAAAAGCTCCTCAAGGGGTTGTCCAATACAAAAATTGGAGGACTTCAGACAAACCTTGAGTACCTGCGCCAGATTCTAGCGTCAGAAATCTTCCAGTCTGGAAACTACTCGACTAAGGCTCTTGACACACTTCAATTTCTTTCATCCTGATTTGAAATACTTGACCCTGGTGCATTGACAACCATTCAGGATTATCCAGGACGAACGGGATATTTCAATAATGGAATTCCTCCAAGCGGTCCTATAGACAACTATTCCTTCCGGTTGGCCAATCGCCTCGTTGGGAACCCCACCACTACTGCAGGTCTGGAGTACACTCTTCAACATCCTACGCTTAAGTTTCATCAAGAGTCCATAGTCGCAGTTACTGGAGGCGTTGTCACAGTGACCCTAGATGGCAGTATAGTCGCTATTTCAAAGGCTATCAAGGTTCAGCCGGGACAAGTCCTGCGGCTTGGGGAGATTGAGCATGGTTATCGTATGTACATTGGAATCCGCGGTGGCATCAATGTTGTCCCAGTAATGGGCAGTAGGAGCACCTTTGAAATCGGCAAGCTTGGTGGATTCCATGGACGAAAGCTACGAGCGCATGACATTATACCGATATTTCCCTCTGATACATCCGATACCGCCACCAGTAACCAAACAATTCGCCCCATTCCGATCCCACACCAGCCGAACGCTGAATGGCTAATTCGAGTTGTTCCTGGCCCTCATGGTGCTCCAGATTGCTTCACAGAAGACTCGGTCAAACGGCTCGTCTCAGAGGGCTGGAAGGTTCACCACAATAGCAATAGACTGGGCGTCCGTCTCAAAGGCCCTTATCCCGAGTGGGCACGATCTTCAGGTGGCGAAGTTGGCTTGCATCCCTCTAATATCCACGATAGCCCATACTCGGTGGGCAGTGTCAGCTTCACAGGCGATGAAGCCGTGATCCTGACCTGCGACGGACCTAGCCTTGGAAAATTCGTTGTCTTCTGCGTCATTGCCAGCGCAGATATGTGGAAGATTGGCCAATCAAGACCAGGAGAGGTTCAAACCCGTCACCCTTGAAGTGGCGTTGGAACTCGATCGGGCGATTGAAGACTTGCGGGAACTCGATGGCATTAACACGATTCCAGATACCATGGATTCTCAATCGCTCTCAACCGAACCCTTCATAGTGCTTTCCGACGAGAGCCAGAAGATACAGGCGCGATAGGCGGGAGATAGAGCGATGTTCCTAGAATTTGGGGATGTCACGGGATTTGATATGCGGCAGAACTTTGAGATATTCGCTTTTTGCGAACAGCATAGCAAGTTTTCAATACCAGGAGTCGACGATTTAACGCCAGGGGTCTTCACATTGCATGTCCAGTATTCACAAGGCATCTCCCCGAGTATAATCAATGATCACATCACCCGGCATGTGAAATCTTACAGTGTCCCAACACAAGTCCCTTCCCGAATCTTCCGCATGCCCCTTGCCTTCGACGACGGGGTATGTCGTGCCGCCATTAAGCGCTACGAAAACACCATTCGACATCAAGCGCCCTGGCTTCCAAACAAAACCGAATTCATCAAATTCCTTGCGGAGCTCAATGGGCTGGAGACCGTCGCCGATTTGTTGTATGAGGCAAGTTTCCTGGTTCTCGGCCTCGGGGATGTGTTCATGGGGTCTCCATGCGCAAACCCAATTGACCCTCGACACCGACTCTTTGGCTCCAAATACAACCTATCGCGATCTTTTACTCCTCGCGGAGCCGTGGGGATCGGGGGCCAATACATGTGCATTTATGCCACCGATTCTCCAGGCGGGTATCAGCTGGTCGGCAGGACAAAGGAGATCTGGGACCATGGCTGTGCTTCGATTTGCTCGGGCAGGGACGGGCTTATCGATCTCGGCGCTGGATCACCGTGACTCTTCCGTTTATTCGACCGAATTACGTTCTATACTGTCACAGAGGAAGAGCTTGATTCTAAATCTTTCAGCGAATTAGTCAGAATTGAGGAGAGCGTACTTGATCTCACTGAGTATGAATCGTGGCTGGCTAAGAATAAGCTAGATATCGAGTCCAGAAAGGCACATCAAGCACGCGCCATCTCCAGTTCTCCATTCATAGAAGAGCTAGCACGGCCCTACCTGCAACCGAATTCAGACTCAGGGAAAGACAATCCCCAGCTCGGTGCCGACACGGTCCCGGGAGAGTGGATCCAGGCGATGATGCCAGGGCGTTGTTATAAGATCAACGTTGAGGAAGGCGATATCGTCAACAAATGAGATATTCTGGTAGGTAATCAGCTTGTTTTGAAGTCCCAAAAGCCCATGTGTCTAACGAGCATTCTCTAGCTCTGCATTGAATCAAGTAAGATGGAACTTGAAATCAAAAACCAAGAGAGTGGCAGGTGTGCCGCTGTAGGCCTGGCAGTGGGTGATATAATTAGCATAAGCGATAATTTGGTCAAGATTGAAACAGTTTAGGTTAACTAGCGTTTCATTCACTAGTATTCGCTTTCATACCACTCCGACAAAATAGCGCTGCTCAAACTAAGTGTAGTCAACTCTCGAGTGGTCAAAGCTTATGGTTCACCATTATGGTCTTCGGTTGTACTTGTCGAAAATTATTGTCCTTCTCATATTATCCTGAGGGAAATTTCGAATCCTTTCAAGGGCTGCACGTGTTGGCATGGGTTCAATATTGTTTTTCAATTGGTTTAAAAAGACATTTTTCATTTGTAAGACTCGCATTTCCTTCCAGTAACCACCTGGCCATCTCGGACTGCCCTTGAACCTTCACACTGAAAGGCGGGGCGCATACACGTAAGCTGAAGGACTGTAGAAAGGCGTGGGCCCTGGCAGTTGAAGCACCCCATGCCGATTGGTACGCCTCCGAGCCGGCAGGCCAAGACTCTCTATTCAGGCTGGCGGCAGGCCTCACCTTAAACATGACATGGATGGCGGCCCGCAGAATTGATATGGGCCATCCTTGCAAGCAACAATACCTTGTAATAACAGGCAACAGGCAAAAGCCATGTTGATGCATCACCTCAGTATCTTTGCCAGCTCTAAATGATGCACTACATACTATAACTAGTAACCTGTTGCCTAGAGCGATTGCCTGGTAGAGAGCAGACAGCAGATGACAAACCCTTGGTGATCAATGGTAACAAATGTTTGGCTACGCAAGTCAAGACTTGAAGGAGAAAAAGAAATAAAAGAAAGAACATTGCTTAATACCAAATAAAGGGTATCTTGAAATAAAAGTCTATTTAGCTTCTCATTATTGAATATCCTCTACATATTGTCCATTTACATCTCTTTTCATCTCAACTTTTGTTCAATCGGTGAGTTGAAGTTGTTGCGCCGGCTGTCTAGGGTAGGTACAAGGCAGGAGCGTAAACGCGCCATTGGACTCGAGGCGTCTGGACCACGACGAAGGAGAGATGACAGACAGGGACACGGCGGCCAGGGAGTCGGAGAGTCGGAGGGAGGGGATCATTCATCCCTGAACCCCTGCCTGAAGGTGTTCTGCTGCGCCGCTGGTGGTTGCTGGGCTGATCAAGGGGGTCGGCATGTGGCTGATCAAGTTCCACCAGACGGCATTTGGTTTCTAAATTAAATTAAATTAAATTAAGCCCCAGACTCATATGCGCGGCAGTCGGTGTCGATGACTACCGACTACCTAGTAAGGGAGGACAAGGGCCGAAATTAACCCCGCTGTATGACTGTGGAGTATGAGTGCCGTGGCGGGCGTTTCGTTATCAAATAGTTGGAAAGCGATTTGCCGAACTGCCGTTAGTGGTATCATGATTCATCCCCCACATGGAGGATTCCAGTCTAACTCCTAGGTTCCATGCGTGAGACGAACTGCCGCTTTGGTCCTGATTCGTTGGTAGCTCGGCACTCGCATGATCAGTGTACTTTCACAGAGGAATTACCATTGTACCTCGGAGAGCCTTCTGTATTTGACAAATTGAACATGGTGGGGCCAGGCCGCTCGTCTCACAGTAGAGCGTCAAGTCCGGTCCGCATCGATCAATCCTCTTGATGCAGCAACTTGGGAGCTCCTACGCATTACGTAGGGACTGTCTTTACTATTGACCGAAGACCTGGCCTGCAGGGATAGCTTGAGCTGACAGTGTCATTGTGGACCTACTATGTAACACCGTCGGTGAGCTTTCCATAGCGTGGTCGTCGGCCCTGGGGTTTTCTTGACGGTGGCTATAGGCCTGGGATAATGCGAGATCGGTGCTTATGGTACGGAGTAGAAACGCGTGGCATCGCGGGCATCCTGGTATTCTGATACCGAAGCCAGCCTGCCTAATTATACGGGGCGTCTTTCAGCTACGTAATCTTGCAAAACGTGGTCAGGTGGTATTGCATCTTCCGGAAGAAGAAGGATTCAAGCGGCGTAGCCTGTGACCCTAAGTCGAGCGGCACTTGCTGCCTTGAATGTCTCTAAGTAAGCAGCAAATCCCGGTTTGCACGGATGCAACCACACTTGGGCGCATGGAGGGGGCAGCGGACCACCTTTGAGCACAGTCTGGAAAAGATTGACACAGCATGGAAGTCTGAGAGTAAATAATTGTCCAAACTTCTATGAAGCCGTAACACAACGGGAGAAATGAGAAATAGAAGGGAGGTGAATAAGATTTCGGGACATGGAGAGAGAAAAAGAATGGTGACGTAGAAGAGGATGAACAGGATGGCTTGGGAATAGAGCAGACCACAACAGTTGAGCACATTAATCCCAGTGATCCCGGCCCCTGACAGGCTCTGTATATCCTTGGATACCATCCTTCTGGAGGTAGGGAATGGTTCGTGGTTTTGACCTTCTTGGAGTGCACGCACGTAAGCAGGATTCCACTTCGTACAATGACCAATCCTACGCGTTAAGACAAGACGGTTAGTTATCCCCACGCACTGTCTACAATCTGTAGTTTGTGGCCAAAAATAGATCACACTTTCACTGTTAGCTCTGCATCGAGAAAGATAAATATACGGCTCAGGTTCGTCCATCCAGACGTCTTCTTTTGTTTCATTCATCAAACACTTCAACTTTTCCATCTTGTCTCCTTTTTTCCTTATCTGTCAATTTCCTTGACCATCTTTCTATCAGTCAAATTTCCTTGATATTCTTCGCCAACCTTAAGTTAGCCTTATCTATTCTCCCGATTTCATTCTATTCCAATTTTTCCTGACATATCTTCTGGATTCAATCATTCACCATGGTCGCCATTAAGCAACTTTCCGCTATTCCTATCGTCTTGGCTCTGTCTAGTGCCGTTGTTGCTTCCGATGTTTCAGGCGACATTGTGGCCCGCGACGACAACGTCGACCTTGGGGTCCGCGTTAACGATGGAGGCGACATCGCCCCTGAGATGGAAGCTCGCGGTGCTGGCGGGAGCAAACCCAAGACTGAGAAGCCCAAGCCCAAGATTTCAAACCCAACTCTCATCGGAGGCACTCACCCCGTGACGATGCAAACTGGAGGTGGTAAGAGTAGCAGCAACCGCGCCTCTAAGGCTAGTTCGACCTCCAGTCACGGCGACCCCTTTTACCTTGAGAAGTACGTCAAGAAGGGTAAGAGGGGCGAGGAAATCTACGAGCGTGACGAGGACGATCTCTTTGAACGTGACGAGAATGACGAGCTGCTCGAGCGCGAGTTCCAAGATGACCTCTATGAGCGTGATTTTATGGATGACCTCTATGAGCGCGATTTCGAAGATGAGCTGTTTGAGCGCGACTTCGACGACGAGCTGTTCGAGCGTGAGTTCGAGGATGAACTCTACGCTCGCGGCGCTGGCATGAGCAAACCCAAGACTGGGAAGCCCAAGCCCAAGATTTCAAACCCAACTCTCATCGGAGGCACTCACCCTGTGACGATGCAAACTGGAGGTGGTAAGAGCAGCGGAAACCGCGCCTCCAAGGCCAGTTCCACTTCCAGCCACGGAGACCCCTTTTACCTCGAGAAGTATGTCAAGAAGGGAAAGCGAGGTCTGCGTGCTCGCGGCGCTGGCGGCAGCAAGCCAAAGACCGAGAAGCCTAAGCCCAAGATCTCCAAGCCTACTCTGATTGGAGGTACTCATCCTGTCACCATGCAAACTGGAGGTGGAAAGAGCAGCGGAAGTCGGGCTTCAAAGGCCAGTTCAACCTCTAGCCACGGCGACCCCTTCTATCTTGAGAAATATGTCAAGAAGGGAAAGCGAGGTCTGCGTGCTCGCGGCGCTGGCGGCAGCAAGCCAAAGACCGAGAAGCCTAAGCCCAAGATCTCCAAGCCTACTCTGATTGGAGGTACTCATCCTGTTACTATGCAAACTGGAGGTGGAAAGAGCAGCGGAAGTCGGGCTTCCAAAGCCAGCTCAACCTCCAGCCATGGTGACCCCTTTTATCTTGAGAAGTACGTCAAGAAGGGCAAGAGATTCTACTAGATCTTCTAGCTTAAAGGCATAGGATCTTTGTATCAAATATACCTGTATATACTTCGTGGCTGTGGCTGGTTGGTGGTTTGGACACGTTCCAACTGTATGTTAGATAGAAATCGTGTTTGGTCTATCTGGAATAAAATATATTTATATTTCCGAGAAAACAAAGAGAGACTGAGGCATCGTGATAGTGAAATTGAATGCGCGAAACGAGAGTCATCAACCTGGTTCATCGACAGGCAGTTCATAGTAGCTGGTGATGGTACCCTTTGTCCTTTACCCCCCTTTAACCCCCGAACCCATGCTTAAGTGCGCTAATATACTAGAATAATCTTAATTGGATTAATGTATGATCGGTGGCTAGTATAATATTATGGGGGAATCGATATTAAATTGATAACCCGCGGAGAACCCCTTTCAATACCAGATTGATTTATGATGCGATCTGTGCCAGTCATAATGGCAGCCATCTGATCAAGAAGTTTCCAGACTGGCTGTAACGCGTGATTTCTACCTGGAACAGAGCGGCCATCGGAGTTACACGAAAAGAATTTTACAGCCTAAGTAAATTCGGACGCATGGCATGAGACTTGTACGGTAATGACAGTGGTTATATTGTTTTCTCTGGTAAGCACCTGGGTCAAGCTACCATTTCTTTCCAAATGGGGAGGTCATCATTGCCTCTACATAAAATTGGCTCATGCCGAACGATACCGGATGAGGTTCTTCCTCTTGCTTTTTTGTCGGCCCCCTCATTCTTATCCTTTGCGCCCAAAGAGTCCCGGGAATGTGTTTTGTAAACATCTTTATAGCAGTAATTCTCAAGTGGAGAGACAATTTCTTCAATCAAGTTACTCTCCAATGTGCAAGGTGCTTCCATAAGATGAGCTTGTTAATAATGATTATTCTGTCTTTTATGTCTATCAAGGTTGTGTTTGCGGCTATATCTCTTCCCACAATCTTTGAAATCGCACCAAAACCCTCCTCCCTCATGGTCAGCATACTTGTGCTCCTGAAGTCTGCTTGGTGCTGTAAATGTCTTCTGACAATCACCGACATCGCATGTAAGCTTCTTTCCCTGATGAATTGCCTTGAAATGGGCATTTAAGGCACTTTTTGACTTCAAAACCTTTGGACATGCTGGCCATGGACACTTAAGTTGCTCATCTGTATGAGCATTTCTGATGTGCCTGTTAACATCACCCTGTGTACGGAATGTCTTGGTACAGTCAGCTTCAGGACAAACAAGATTCTTAGGACCATGAGAATTCTTGATGTGGTGGTTGAGCAGGTGCCGCGCCATAAAGTCCTTTGTGCACCCTTCCAGACGACATGGGTAGATTGTCTTGTTGGGATGTGACAACTCCATGTGCTGTTGACGGGAATCTTCAGAACTAAACATCTTTGTACATATGACGCACCAAAATCCTTTTGCATGCTTCTTCTGTACATGATCGCGAAGTTCCTCTTCAGAATTAAAAAATTCTTTACATCGACCAACGGTACATATAACCACGGGTGGCACTGAATCGTGAGAGTGTCGATGTGAAATGAGGTCATCTTCGGTCTTGAATCGGAGGCCACACCCAGGAAAGTCGCACTGATTCTCCCATATCTTCTTGTCCTTGTGCAATTGGCGGATATGCCCTTTAAGACCTTGAGTCTTGCCCAATTTTTTAGCACAGAATGGGCATGTTCGTCGCTTATCCCAGTAGGCATCATCAATTTCAGCCTGGTCCGGATTTCCGTCCCCCGGCAGCGGACTCCATTCCCGGTGGTCGTGAACTTGCTGACAGTGAGATAGGAGGAGACCGACGCTTGAGAAGACATCTTCGCAGTGAGCGCAATCGTGACTGTCGATGGGGGCGTTGTCTCCATTTGTCCACAGGTCGATGGGCTGAAGATGCATGTCGAATGCAGGGACAGGTGGTATGGGCTCAATGGTATCATCTTGTACCCCACCCCAGATGGTGTTACCCATCGACGGGTCAACTCTCCAGTATGTGTGATGGAGAGGCACGCGGCGGTGAATTTCACGCAGCATGGGCACCATATGCATGGGGAAATCGAGCATGAAATAGTTCGTCCAAAAAGAGTCCACCGTGATGTTCGAGTCCTCGAGGTTGATATGGATGCGAGGATCAAAATCTTCGTCAGTGTCCGTTATCCCAGTCATCATAGCTAGGCCGTGGTCCACGCGTTGGCAGATGGAAACGCCCATCATATGTTTCATGAATGGGACGGTTGGCAGGCCCATTCTATCCAACATGAAGAAGGCCACCTCTTCCATACCGGCATCAGGACGCTTTGCCTTAACATCCAAGACAAGTTGGACGTATCCCTTGGCTATGCGATAGAGAAACCTTTCCCAGTCGACATGCGGCTCCCCGAGACCAAGTTTTTCCGCGGCTTTATTGCAACGGTTTCGCATTCTGTCAAGCCTCTGGTTGATGAATCGATACACAGTGTCCCAATTCCAACCAGAGGCGATGGCTTGTGGCCTGGAAAGAATGTAGAAGGGATACCACACTCTCTTGGTTCGCCTGCCGCGTGATGGGATGCTGCAGTAGTAGTCAAATTCTTCCGCGGACAGTCCTTGGTTGATGGCCATCTCTTGCATTTTGCGATAGACAGCATTCCAGTTGACCATTGGTGGCGCCAGTATCGCTTTGGCCTCCTTTGGGGATAGGACCTGGAAGGGCTTGTATCGAGTGTCGTCGGACTCCTGAGCCTCAGCTAAAAGCCTATCGAAGGCTGCATTCCTTGATCCCGTTCGTAGGATGTTGAGTAGTTGTGTCTTTTCTTCTAAAGACAAGGCCTCCCATCTAGCCCCTTTTGTCTCTATGTGGTCAACCAAGCCGAGCACGGTATACATGGTCGAAGTGTTGCACATCGAATTGTATAACCAGTCCATCATTCCTTTGCGAGCCGGGAAGGGAATGTCTGGGGCATCGACAACGTCGAACCACTGACTGGCGAGAGGAAGTGCCGTGCAAGGGAGACGTTGCTTGGCCAGATTGAGACAGTTGGCGACCAATGCCATGTTGGGAACCTCATGATACATCACTTCATTGTCGCGTAGAACGAAGGGATAGACCCCCTCCAACGACCACACCGCTGGGCCAGGCGTGAATCGGAGCTCGATGCCGCTATAGTCACATCTCAACTTGACATTGTCATCGTGTGCCGGAATGAGTGATGGTACAAGAGCATCTATGATGCGCTTTTTGGCCTCTGGTCTGGTGGACGTGCGGTGATTTGGAAGTTTCGAGTCCATTTTGATGAACAAAGTACCGATTCTCCGGGACCAATCTGCCGCCATCTGTTGTCGGCTGATGGATCTCACATCAGGCTCATGGCCCAAATGACGAACACGCTTGACTCGTTGCCATCCTCCTTCCACTGGATAAGGGAACGGGCGACCATCCTCGTCGACAGTAGGCTCGGGAGCTGCCTGATCTTCTCCGTCACTGTCGGATTCAGGTTCAATCTCAAGCTGGAGTGTCAGGCCCAAGTCGTCATCCTGAGAGTCGTCATCCTCGGAGTCGTTATCCTCGGAGTCGTTATCCTCGGACTCGTCATCGTCTGATGGCTGGGGCGTCCACTCATCGGAACTGCCAGCAACGGCATCCTGAACGACGGTCTTGGTTGTCTGATTGCTGAGACGAGTCGATCGACGAGGGGCGGGCGAAGGCTCAATCACGGTCGTCTTGCCTGCTCGCTTGGTGGTTGGCGGGGGAGTGGGCACGACTTGGGATGGTGTAGCCTTGGTGGCGAAGAACGACTTGATGCTGGACTGATTCGCTGGGCGAGGCTTGAGCTTCTTGACCTTGGGCTTTGATGTCGCAACAGCCTTCGCGACAGCCTTAGGTCGGGACACAGAAGGAGGGTCAACATGACCGAACCGAGCAATTTCAGCCTCAAACTCTGGCAAATCGGAGCCGGAGAATCTCAGCTTCATGGCGTCCAGGGCATCTCTGGCAGGATTGGCACTGGTGACTTGTTAGATTCGTACTATGCGACAAGCTTCAATTGACTTACACATTGCGAAGCTGGGTAGCGAGAAAATGCTGCTGGATCAGACCATCGGTGGCAATCTCCTTGAGCCTCTTCGCGTATTCGGATGCCTGGGCCTTGAGCGACGCGGTCTGGAAGGCGGCGTTGTTGGCCTCGTCGAGGGTCTGGCGCACACTGAGGTACTCTTGCCAGCGCATGTTGATGGTCGCGACAGGATCGTCTTCGGGCGATGGCGAGGGTGTCTCTGCGATGATGGGACTCTCGGGGACGGGCGTCTCAGGAACGGGTGTCTCTGCGTCTTCCTGGATGACGATGCAGCTTCGGACACTTTCAGACTCCTAGCCTGATTCGTCTTGGCTGTCGACGGAAGAGCTGGCGACACGAGGCTTCTTGTTCTGGACGGATGGTGTCGGGCTGCTTTGACGCTTGCGTGACGATTGCATGGCCAGTTTGGCGGCTTCTTGACGGGCGGCATCTTGACGGGCCTTGAGACTCTCGAGGACATCAGAGCGACGGAATTTGACGGTGAGCGAGATGCCATCGTTGCAAGCAAACTGATGGTGGACAACTCGGTCAATGTCGCCAGGGAGTTCCAGCCATGCTCTGCGACAGGGTTAGTCGTTGCCATTGAACAATGTAGTGGCACTTACTGGTCTTCAATGGCGTCGAGGAGTTCCAGCTGACGTTGGAGGCCTTTCTCAGCATGATAATCGCAGTCCTTTACAGCAGCGGCAATCTGGGCCTGGCGGTTGCTGGCGAACGCAGACGACTTGAGGGTGCTGTACTTGTGCGCTGCGACGGTGTGCTCGACCCAATGGTGGTCAATCTTCTTGGCGAGTTCGAGAGGGGTGGTGACGGGAGTCTCCATGGTGCCGTTCATCTTCGAGGAAATGTTGCGTATAAAACGAACAAAAGTACCAGACTCTGACGAATCCAGCGAGGTTCCTGAAGATGTAGGCAAAGGGGGTTCCAACCTAGTCTTAGACGAACTGAGTCTCGTTTTGTCTTGCAAGAATAAATTCAAGCAAGAAGCAAAAGTACCAGCCTCTGACGAGACCAGCGAGAGAGCTCAGTTATAATCTTCAACTAGGAAGGAAGTCCAACTTAGTCTTAGACGAACCGAGTCTCGTTTTTGTCTTGCAAGAATAAATTCAAGCAAGAAGCAAAAGTACCAGCCTCTGACGAGACCAGCGTGAGAGCTCGGTTATGGTCTTCAACTAAGAAGGAAGTCCAACTATGGCTTGGACGAACCGAGTCTCGTTTTTGTCTTGCAAGAATAAATTCAAGCAAGAAGCAAAAGTACCAGCCTCTGACGAGACCAGCGTGAGAACTCAGTTATTGTCTTCCACCAAAGAAGGAAACAGCCGACTCAAAAGAATCGGTAGCGCAACCTTGGAGACTCGGGGGCAGACAGTTTGTCGAGACGGGCAAGACAAACGGCAGAGAAGAGAGGGACAGATTGGTCGCAGGCAGGTAGGCAACCAACAAAAAAAACAGCTGGGAGACGATGTAGACAATCCAGATTAGACAAGTTCATAGGTAGTAAATTGGTACGACTCGTCGCTCTTATGTACAAGTCCAGGACCCAAAGCCACCTGCAATCGCCCACCCCATGCCCAGATCTCTCCCACGATCGCCATCAGGATCCAGATCGGAAATTGAGCAAGTTTTCCCGGAGCAAATGATGCGATTGGTCCAAATTCCCTCTTCTTATCAGGCAAATTGCCTGTTTTGGGCGAAGAAGGGGTTCGCTCCTTCCCTCGAAACTGGTTGTCTTCCCAATGTGGGACTCCATTGGCCAATCGATTGCCTTTTTCCCTGAGGCAGACAGAACACCGTGCGATTAAGAAAAAGGTAGCTCGAGGTTCAGCATAATAGCACTGTGTCGGTCCTCGGACTGGACGCATTGGGTGGGTTTGCATCGATGAGGCGGACGCGAGACTTCGATTGGGAAGGAAGTCGGATGCTAGTCGTTGGGGCATTGCGGTCGGTCTGGCTGTGTCGAGGACGTGGGGGAACAAATCGTCGCAAAGTGTCTGCCCATGTGGACTGGGGTGGGCTGGTACTGTACGTGGTTAGCGGGATTTGCGAAAGGGTTGGCTCAAATGCACACTTATCCACCTAAGCTTAATTTCAACGACAACCTTGAAGGTAAGCAGACTGTGGATGGTAGATGAGTTGGCGTTGCCAGCCGCGCATCCGTTGGCGCATGGTATGTGGGTTGGGTGAACAGGTATAGCCAGTGCATGTAGCTGGCCATGAACTAGGTACCTAGTACTCCCTCGCGTGAACAGTTAATATCTTGTGAATCAGCCCGTATGGCCTTGCATTGTGTATTTCGTACGTAGGTAGGCATGTATGATGTGTTGGAGTGACTCCAGGTCACGAAGCTGGCACCATCTCCCGCAATCCCACTGGTATGCAGGGGGATGGGAACATCATCCACTTGATTCCAATGAAACCGCGCAGAGCCTTGCCGTCTTGCTATGATCAACTGACAATGTAAAACCCTTGCTCGCCAGGCCTTCAGTCCTCGATCGTCTCTCGTGTATTGGATCGCAAATCGACCGTGGGTGGGTTGCTATCAAATTGTCCGTACACATTAGTGTTGATATCTTAGACAGGTTGTGCTGATCCATACCACATTCTGGCTTGTAGCAGCGAATTTGCCTTCCCTCTGATTAAGTTGCCCATCGCGTTAGGGTTGCCCAAAACTGATATGCGAGTATCGGTCTGAGCGGCCCTTGGAGTGGCGGCGCAATTTGTTGCTGGTCCATGTTCGTCTGGCGCATTGCGGAATTCATGGTTGGTCATGGTCATACATAACTACCTCAACATCAGTTGAATTCAGCAGTTCCAAGCCATCATGTCCCCAGGTTATCACTTGCCTCTACATCCGAGCTAAACGAGAGCTGATGACATTTACTCTTGTTGTTGAAGTCTCGAGGTCAAGACCCCTGGTGGCATCATCTCCCCCGGTCCATCTCTTCTTTCATCCGTAGGTATCGAGCGACTCGCTCGTCTTCAGAGGCTTAATTCGACGTCGACAATGTGAAAGTTCGTAGACGATGAGCCCCTGGTGAAGTGGTGGCCTCTTGGCGCGGGCGTGGTTGGAAGGTTGGCCCACATAACGACCTGAAAAGGTCTCCCCGAGTTGGTCTTGTACGAATGGAGTGTGTGTCGATATCGCTTCGTCAGAACTGATTCGCACTCGGGATGTGTTCGATGTGGGTGGGCGCTCGGATCGGTGGTAGGCAAGTTAGGTGGTAGGCAAGTTAGGTGGTAGGTAAGGCAGGCAAGGTAGGTATCATCTGATGATACAGTCAGTAGAAGATAAATAGATAAACGTGGCAGGGGCCGACAACGTCACCTTTCTCATTTGGATGGTTACCTGTTGCTTGACTGCGATCTTTCTCGATGTCGTGGGTGGCCGATTCTAAACTGTGACGTGTTGTTTTGATCTGACGTAGCGCATTGTCAACTTACGCGACTAGACTGGCCAAGTTGAATCTTTGCCATGCCATCGTTATCAGTAGGTAGACAGCAGGCCGGGTCGCGGCTTGGAGCGAAAGATAAACATAATGATGGATGAGGAGCACTGGGCAATAACCAGCACTCGATAAAGACTACCCGGTCGTCACAAATGTTCAAAGCTCAGAACAATTAGGCGGCAGGGCAATTATGATAGCGGATCAACCCCGCGTGCTTGGGATTCAGGTACATGTTTTCGTATATGACGTACCTATTCTAAGCTGGTGAATACCACAAACTGCTGGCGGTTGCTGGGGCTGGCTTCGCCCAGTCCCGTGCCAACTACCTGAGCGTGAAGCCACTTTGCCAGCAGAAGGCTATTCTTTGTTGGAGAACAAGTTTAAAATTCGTCAATTCATTATGCTACTGATCTATGGGATAAGTTATCATAAAGCGTGCATCTACAGGAGACCCGATCCATCATGCTGATTTTGGCCATGTTGGAGACCACTGTCGCGGATGACCAGGCTCGACATAAAAAAAAAAAAACATCATCCAGGTGGAATCGAACTATCGATGATAAAAAAAAAGGCCCTAAGTGGAGAGTGAACAATGAGAACCAACGTCTGACGATGCCGGTAAGGCCATAAGGCCCAAGTTCCCTGACCACGGGCGACTGCGAATGGGTTTTTAGACTCTATATAACATTCAACTTGCATTCTGCCAACCATGACAAGTCATACCTACCTTAGCTATAGATATACCTACCTACTTAGCTACCATAGTCGTTGGAAGGCTGTCGCGCCCACGAATGTATCTCACGATTGACCGTGGCGTGCATCGCGACTGATGGTTGGTGCCGCAATTTCCAGGCACAAAGCTCAAAATTCCGTCATCAGGAATAACGCACCCGACATAAAGGCAGACTTTGTGATGCACGACTCCAGAAAAGTTGACCTCCACTGACAGCCTCTCGACGACCTCTTCGCAGACCCCTGTACTATGAGACGCCATGCCCTGCAGACGAGAGTTCTCGATTCAGCGACGTAGAGAATCGATACATCAGTTTCACGCGAGCCAACGAGATACCCAACGAGTTCACGATCCAACCTCCGGTTTACGACGGCGTCAATGATGCAGAGGGAAACCTCGTTATGATTAATCACATTCTAGCCCTAGACGACTCTTCGTATGTGATCGAGAACCACGAAAGCGAGTTGGACCAAGACTTTCTCTGTGTTGATTTAGATGAGTTACAACTCACCGGCGGAGCACTTGCAAAGTGCTATTGAATTCGCCGACGGCAACGGATTCGATGACTCAAACGAGCTCCCGCATTATTCACTACTCTCGATACGACAGATCAATAAGCGAGATTGCAACCACCGGGCGAAGATCTCCAACAACGAGCGTGGCAATCTTGACTTTCCGAATATTGTTGAGTTCGGTCGGCACGGAGAGCAATTATTGACAGATTCCATTCGCATTCGAGATCAACCCAGCAAAATACGGCAAAATAAGGGAGCTATCGCGTGTGCCATCTATGAAAAATGGCCCTTGATGGATAATCTTGGTTGGTACCCATTACCATTTGGAGTTTAACTATTTACTACTTACCGTCTTTAGACCAGCTCTTCCCGGCCCTTTAATCAGATTGGAATCCGCCCAGTCGGCGCGGCCCATTCAGAATACCAAGGTCTTGGCAAGACATTAGGAAACCTGATTTTCTAACGATATCCTCCACATTTCTAGATCCGATTATGCGAACGAAGTCTTTCGAATATTCCAATATCCTCCAACCTGGCGATACATTCAACCCCCGAATCGTCATATTCAGTTACACACTATGCAGGAATGCGTTCGGGACTCTTGTTGTTCTTCCTGTTATCCTCGGATGCTGCTTGAAGGGAGAAACAAGGCATCCGCACGGCAATGGTGGCATTAGCACTAGATTATTTCGACTTCAGTCCATATATGCACCAGCCCAGAACCTCACCGTTGTTGAATGGACTGTCGCTGCTATATGGATTTCACTGGCTATTTACTTTTTATGTGCTGTCCATCTTGTCTGTAAAAACAGACTGACTTTGCAAACAATGTACGGTCAGGCAGGCGAGCGATTCGCTTCATCCTTACAGCATTTGCCCAAGCGGCTCGTCTTACGCCCGGTAAGTCACGCTGGAAAACCGTTTAGAATTATCGTTCTAATACATTTTCAAGGCAACAGAAGACGGCCTAGTGGTGAAATTACCACCAGAGCAAGATGCCATCTCCCAGGAACCGCCTCCCGTCTCCCGCCGCCATCAGAAATAGGCCTCGGTACATTTCCCATCGCTAATTCTGTCGCACAAGCCAACTCTGTCGCGCAAGGCACCGTTAGTAGCGTCGCTGGATCAATAACAAAGGCAGAGAAAGTGGAATACTACGACGATAAAAAGAAGCTGTCGAATCTTCACGTGGGACTTCACCATGCCGAGATTGCTGACGAGTATGGCGGGTGCCGGATGGTGTTTACACTCCAGGGAGAAGATAAACATACGTGAGGCCGACCCAGTTCTATCGCAGACACATCACAGTTAGCAAAGGAAGGGAATAATGGGTTGATTATACATCGGTGAACATTCGGAATGCTGATTCTACATTAATTCATCAAAAAAACTATCTCCTGACGGTGAGCCTCGCGCTTGAGGGATGCTTTTCTGCTGAACACCCTGAGCCCTATTAAACATCCCTCCATCAGCCAGAGATGCCCCGTTTTCATAGCGGAGAGCAAAGCTAAGACAGTTCGAGCATGGAGACCATAAGATGGGTACTCTTAGAAATTCAAAATTGTCCGTTAAGCTTCATTTAAGATTGGCGGACTCTGTCGTATTTATTATAATAAAACTCGCCTAATTTTCTAGATACAATAACTGCGTTTCATCCTTGCTAGCCCCTAACTACGAGCATTAGAGATGCTCGTTGCTGTGTTTCTCGGGTACAGGGTAAATGCGAGTTGGGTTGAGTGATTGGGCCCTTGTTATGATTTTGGCGCTACTGCGTGACATCTGTTATCACCAGAAGCCCGGATCCTTTATTATTCCAGGAGCTATTATGATAGATATCTGCCACATTTGCCCCGCTTGTGCTATTCCGCCTTAAACATCGTTGTAATCAATCTGACGCTGCATTTCTCGAAGTAGTGAGGCCAAACTTGATCTCGGAAGGGCATAAATTTATAATTGAATCGGAGGAGGCATGCCAACACGATTACGTAATACGGTGGTGAGCAACCCTGGAAGTGCCCAGCTTCGGTGGTGCCAGAAGTTGGCCTTCACAAACAGGTACAGTTGAACCAAAATCGGCATATGGGTAATATAGCATTGACGTAAAAATTTATTAGTGGAAATCAAGAGAACATGTTTCTCTGTTGGTGATTTTGTTGCTCTGAATGACACTGATATGTCCAACGAGTGTCGGACTCGACGCCTATTTGTCCATGTCTGGCATAATGCGAAGTATGTGTTTGCAGTGGTCCATTTCGCAAAGCCTCGGTTGGAAGGCCAAGCCAAGAACTCGTTCTACAGAGTGAAATATTCTGAGATTAAAGGGGAAGAGACAATTGTTGGCCTACGACGTGTGCGCCCTGGCAGCTTTGGACAATGCCCCGATCTGATGGGATTTTTATTCTCATGGACTTTGATGTGTAGGTATTTTATGTAGCTGGCTCTTTTATTTCTCAAACTATGGTCGGATTAATATTCACACAAGTCAATATTCCAGATCGTTCAACAAGGGACAATGGATTAGGTACAAAGTAATTCACCTCCATTACATCTCATATTATGCTTCTGCCAACTTATTCCCGCGTTGTCCTTGCAAAGCCCAAATGGATGAGTGACGAGTCTCCTAGAAGAGATAGCGGCTGCAATTGCACAATGTCCGTCCCAACTACCAGACGGCCTGCAACGCGCACGCGTCAACACCATCTGACCTTTCTCTCACGCGTACCACGCCCACGTTCCCTCCCTCTTCAACTTCTGCTCGTCTGTCACCCTTCTCCTATCAAACACGTATCCCGTGCGTCCATTCACCGTCATCACTAACCGCAATGGCCGGCTATTCGCATTGCAATACTTTTCGATCTCGGCTTCTCCTTCACGCAGAAAAACCCCATGGCACCACACTTGAAGCAGAATCTTGAGATTCTCCCATTATGCTTGTCGAGTTCAATTGGAAAGCTTTTCGAAAGGCCACCTCACAAACTTGAAGAACACGCCACCGCTGATTTCTTTGACAGCTGCAACATCCGAGATCCCTACATTACCAGAGAGACGAGACTCACCTGACTTTGCGAAAAGAATATACGACGACCCTCCCGCCATTTCTTCTACTTTATGTTAGCATGATCGGCGAAGCGGGTGATTTCCGCCCATCATAATCCGAAAGTATTCATTGTGATGGCACCCATCATCAACACAGCGATCGGGCTACCTCAGGAATTATTCCCCGGTACGAATTTCTTGTGTTCTCAACTGGATTGGGAAATCTTTTAATGCCTAATGCCCAGATACAAATAGGATAACACTCGCCGGTCACAAAGCAGAACTGGATATCCACCTTCTCCCGCTTGGTTCTCCATATCACCAGTTCTTTCCAAGTTTTTCCAATTGATGAGGCCAAATTGTTCCTTTTCCGATACTCCAAATGCACCATCTCGAATCTACAGCATCTTTTCTTATCAAAGTTTGACAGAACCCAAGCCAAATTTGCTACACTAACCAGCGATTCCTAAGCACCTCCTAGAGTTATTCCAACTCGTTTACCACCTTAATTCTTTCTGAAAGGTACATGTTTCCCATTTTATTAAACTATAGAGGCTTCTGGTTGGCTCCTGGTCATGCTTTCATCACACTCTGTGGCGGATAATGCCAGGTCAGTTTTCTTCTCAATACCATAAATTAAGATCATGATGCCAAAGTCCAGCTTCATTCTAATGAAATCACTCACAGGCAATTGCGGTATGCGTTGCGACTTCCCGACCAATTAAGCAGCCAAGGTGCGACGCTTTAACTCTTCTCTTCGACCTGAACTGACTTTTGCCCCTGTCTTGACTCGGTGAACCCGCACACGATATCACCAGAACTGAAGCCGGTCACAATATCACGAAGCCTCATCCAAAGATACCTCCTGCCGATGTACCATTTTCGCAAATTGGGGCACGCCATCCTCATCCGAACTTACTGGCGACTGGACGAGTCTTGGATGAAAGGTTTGTTGGTCTTGTGATCAAGGGATGCAGCCGAGGACGGAGATCGCAGGGGATTGTATCGACATTGGATTGTGTGGGAAGAAAGTTCATTTGTGGTGATGAGACAAATATTTCATATGGATAGTCGGAATGAGAAAAAAATGACAGATTCAAAACCATGATCAGCATGGAAGCCTCTGATTTTACAAGGACTATTACCAAGTAGATTACCGTGATATAGGCAACACAGTAATCCCAGTTCACCACCATAACGAGGCGGGAAAATGATCTCGACTTTGTCATGATTACTAAAGTGGCATTATTGTAGATCAAGAATATCATGTCTTTGTTTGGCGACCGTGTTCACAATCAACGCCATGGTCGCCAGCGCTCGCGCTTTCAGCCCAAGACAATGTTTCGCCAATTATAGTGCGACACCACCCTTTTGGATTGAACATTGTGTTAAAAAAATCGGTTACAATATGGAAAATTTTCCGACATTATGATGGCGCTCAACCTTGTCACCCCAGCCACGTCAGTAAGCTTGGCCTGGCTCGTAGCTACCTATGTAGGTAGGCAGGTATGCGAAGCAAAATGTGTCCTGAGTGTTGGGCGCGTGACCCTCGTACGAACATGCTGCGTATCTTGAGGCAAGCAGTTACTACAAGCTTAACCTCTATATCTCATTTCCGTGAAATTATGGACGTAATCTATCTGTCTCCCACGAAAATGAGCAAGCACTCCGAGTTTGGCACAGAGGCAGAAGTCAAGTCAACGGCTGCCAGACACATTTGTCAATAGGGTATGGTGTAGGATTTGGCAATGTGAGCGTATTAGCTCCAGAAGTAGTCGCATAGCACCCGCAAAACTCCACTTTGCTCTCTATTTTCCCGAATGGGGAAGATGAAGGAGAGGTCCCTCGGATTTGGCTGTTGGAGTCGACAAGAGGTGGTAGACTTGGCCGTTAGGGATCACTAGATCTGCTGCCATGGGTTTGCATGGGCATACATGGGTCTCTATTTGGCGGCATCAGCCCTGCCCACCTGACCTGCCATCTTTAAATCATGGCATCTAACGAACCAAATATACCGCCGTAGTTGTAGCTCCCGTTATCACATGTGCTCTTGAATAACCTTGCATCAATGGCGTAGGCTTGCGAGAGAGAAGAAAAAGTGAGGTGAAGAAGGGGAATCCAACCATGAGTGCCTGTGACTCGGCAAAAAGTTACAGGTAGCGATAGTCTGTAGAATCAGAGGACCAGCGTCTGACGACGCCAGTTAAGGCTGAACACCGGCGACAGTCGGCAAACTAACATACTCTATAGAGTGGTCAACTAGGTAGGATTCTACCAACTGCGATGAGTCGTAGCTACAGTCACAGCTACAGTCACGAAAAGGATACAACGACCGCATATGTGGTCTGACAGTGATCGCGACAAGCTGTGCTGATAGCTTCCATCATCCCTGAGTATTAGAATGTTCACAGGTAAAGTGGGCTCGTTATAAGGAGACCAAAAAAATTGAAGCTTTATCCTAAGTGTAATCGAATCCTGGGTATCTATCTAGGCCTCGGCGAGACAAAAAAAAAAAAAAAAAAAAAAAAGAGAACCAATGGACCAGCAAGGACCAACCAACGTCTAACGGGACCGGTAAGGCCTCAGCCACTTCATCGAACCACCGGTTCGGCGAATGTGACACAAGTTTCAAGATTCCATGCAATATTCATCCAAATTCAATCAACCGAGGCAAGTTGTAGCTACAGTTACAGCTACAGTCACAAGAAGACTGTCGTGACTACAAACGTATTTTGTCAAGCAACCACGATAACGCGTAGCTGTAGTCATGACCAGCGTGTTTGGGTGACCTTCAATGTTATGAATCGATTATCAATCGCGATGACGCGTAGCTAAAGACGTGACGCGCCCTGCACAGGAGACTGGCTCACTTCCAGCGTCACGTATCAGCGCTGGATGCACGGCCAATATCACGGGCTATTCTGGGAAAGGGGAATCCTGGGTTCCTTAATTTGATTCTATTTAGTTCCCTCACTGGATTATTATCTAACCATTGAGACCGAATTTACCCTCGAAGTGACCATTGTGAGCATTGTAAAGGTTTGTCCTAGCCACCTGAGAGTGTTCTCAGATTGCTCTCAGATTGCTCTCAGATCAAACTGACCCAGTGGAGGCGGCAACCTGAGGCATTGTTTACGGTTGCATGGTCCGTGCACCTCATGTTGCTATATCCCCCCGCGTCCCTCTGCTCCTCTTCTTTCTTTCTCTTCTTCCTTCATCATCAACGAATCGACCATCCCTCTGCCACCAGATTCGTTTCTGCTTATGCATTTTTCTTGTCGATAGATCCCAGAGGGAGAATCTATCTTTTGTTACAACCGTACCAGTGGACGCGTCGAGACCCTTCGATTCATTCCGGTTTTTCCAAGGTTCCCTATCCGCTGGTCTCGTCAGAGGCTGGTACTTTGCTCGTCCTAGACTTGCATTTTAGGGTTCCAAGGTTAGACCAGTTTGCTCGGAGTTCTGGCTCCGTGAAAGCTGAGTACCGACCTCGGAAGCGGCTGTCTAGAGTGAAAGTTGGGTAAGCAATCTCGCGTCTATCAAATTGTGAATTGTCAATCTGCTTGTCGAGGGTTTAGTGTTTGTTTGATAACCTATACCCAAGACAAAAAGAGTTGTCATTTTTTATTCATCTTTACTAAAATAATTTTCAATTAGGTACCTCCGTTGGAGATCGTCAGACTCTGATACTTTTGTTTTGCCTCGCGGCAATTCAATTTGGTTCCCTTCTCAAGCTCTTTTCTGTCACTTCCGCCCCCCCCCCCCCCCCCTTCGGACAAGATGGAACCAAGCCGAAAGGCATTCAACAGGTCTTGCTGTCTGTTCCTCGAGTCATAGGATGGCCCTATGGTCAGTGGCAAGGACTTCCACCCGGATTCCGATATCGGTTCCAGACTGGTCCAGTATGCGGATTTGCATACGGATCCTTACACGGGCTTCAGTCTGCTGTTCCCGTTGAAGAACCACGGCGAAGAAGGAATCGGCGGCAGGATCCATCAGCGTAAGTTTGTTTTCCTTTTATAAGCTCGTCATACTATGCAAATTTCATTGCGTGAAGTTCGTGTTGAGCGAACTTCATCGATTGAAGTCTATCATAGGTAGCTAACGATATGAACAGTCGATCGGAACAAGATGACGATTGAGCAGCCAGCTCAAGCATTGCTGGCTGATGAATTTGAGATCAAGATCAAGCTCCCGCGCGGTCACTTCAAGTTCACCGTGCAAGACGTCGATGCTGTCCCCGGTCTTCGCCAGCGCGTTCCCGACGCCAAGCCTAAGTCCAGCGCCATCCATGTCACTCTTGAAGCTGGCCACAACGTGCTTGTTGAAGGATTCGGCAAGGAGTTCTCTCACCCTGGCCACCCTTGCGACGGTTGGTTGAACCACGGTCAACCCATGATTGACGGCAAGACTCTGCTGGAAGTTTTGGACGAGCGAGAGTTCTTCATTGTCGCATCATTTCCACACAAGGAAGTGATGAAGTACTGGGGTGATGCGCCTCTCCCACCATCATTCAGGTACGAGCAGGTCTACGGCAGCGGCACGGATCACGCGTGGAACATCTCTGGCGCACAACAGAAGTGGGAGAGTCTGCCAAGTGGTGAACAGTTCAGAAGATCCATCACTTTTGACGACATCAACGAGCGCATTGCCGTTCAGACGCAGTTCGTCATTCAGGACAATCTCTGGGTCGCACGGGCCGCCGCCGAGATTTTCGCCACCACGTTCCCGGCATACTTTGTGCCAACCATTGTGGACGGCACCACCCGCTGCAGCGAATACTTTGCCATCATCCGCCGCCCAGCAGAGTTCAAGGCGAAGTTTGAGGCAGCTCTCGACGTCCTCTGCGAAGGCGAATTCCTGCGCCTAGCCTTCCACAAGCACGGTGAAGATGTAGCTGTGCCTGCCCTGGAAGACCGCAAGTGGAAGAATGCGGCGGTGGACACCTGGATCGCCAAGATTGTCGCCTACCCAACCGGCATCGCGGCCCTCGCCCAGCACCCCACCAGAGAGGACGATATAGTCCTTCGCGTCCAGGTTGGCAAGGCCAAGAAAGGAGTCCCGCAGGACGTCAAGACCTTTCCCAATGTCTCCGCTGCCAACAAGTCGTTTGACGAGGATCCGTCCACGTGGGCTCGCGTGTCCCTCTTCTTCGATCCAGGCCTTGGCGAAGATGAGCGCAAGGTGAATGCAACGTGCCAACTCCTCCCTGGCGCAGAGCAGACTCACTACAAGAGGAAGGGTGATGCGGCGGCCTACGACATTGCTCAGCTCATGGAACTTCACCGTCGTCTGCATATGGGAACTGGTTTTCATGAGTTCATCAAGGGTGCAGACAACGCACGCTATGGTATGTCTGGTCCTTTACTTGATTATATTCACTCACTAACGTATGGCAGATCCTCAAGAAAGCCTGGTCGAGTCCCTGAGGCAGCTGCGTTTGGATGGCGACAAGTCCCAAGGTCGCGCTCTGCCTGTTGTCGACATGCTCTCTGCTTGTGTCGGCCCATACCTCGATGCTCTTCTGGAAAACGTTCCTCAGCAGGATCAGCCACGGTTCATGAGGTATTTCATGGAACGTCTACTCGGCCTCGCCCTCATCACTGCTGTAAGTATATTATCCAATTCCTCACGGTCTAACAATCGGTCGCTAATTAGATAGGCACCTGGGTTTGGCAAGACGACTGCTGTCTCCGTGGTTACCTTGGCGCTGAGCCACTCTGTCGGCCGTGTCCTTGCCAGTGCGCCTTCAAATGTGGCCATCACCAACTTCGCTGCCCGCCTCTTCGCCATCGAGTGCAAGGCTGTCGCGCTGTGCAACAAGGACAAGGCCGAAGATGATGGAACGAGAGTCCGCCGAAAGCTCATCGTCCGCGCCCATGCCATCAAGGATGAGGTCCGCGCTTTCCAGACCCTTCTCAAGAGTCCCAATCAAGGCGACGATGCGGCCCCAAACCACAAGTGGAGGCCCGATTCAAAGTGGCACGCCCATCTCTCGCCTGCCTGGTACCTCTTGGGCATCCTTCGCTCTCCCGCCGGCCACCAGATCGAGGTGGATGACAACACTGCGCTGGCCCTACTCCAGAGCGGGTTCGATGCCGCCCCGGAGCTCCAAAAGCTCCGAGATGTCGCTACCGGAAAGATTACCTGGAAAGAGTTCGAGGGTGACACCTCCAACAACGCCGACAACATCAAAGTGTTGCTCGAACAGGTAATCGATGAAGCTGACATCCTTTGCGTCACGCCCTCCATGTCAGACAAGTCTCCCTATCAGTTCTGGAAGGAGACCGCAAAGGGTGTCGCCGTGGACGAGGCTGGCTTCATCAGCCGACCTGATCTCGACTGTGTCTGGGGCAACACGCTCCTCCCTTGCATCCTGGCCGGTGATGAGAGGCAGCTGCAGCCGTTTGTCCGTACAACCTCGCAGAAGGACAAAGACGGGCGGATCCTCAACAAGCAAGCAGCCGATGGAGACATGTCGCCCTTGAACTTCTTCAAGGTCACCGGTGTGGCTGTCTACGTGCTTCGGATCCAGTATCGCATGGCTGACGACCTCTTCGGGCTGTGCCACCGGTACATGTACAGCGACATCGACTTCGTGTACCATGAGGCATGCAACCCCAACCTCCCCCACCACCAGATCGGGAGAACCCTGGAGGCCTTCGCCCAGTCCAACCTGCCTGGCCTGAAGCAGTACGACGACGGCAAGCTGCGGCCCATCTTCATCCATTGCCCCGGTTCCAGAACCATGAAAGCGAAGGGCAGCGGCTCCAAGTTCAACCCTGCTCAAAACCGCGTCGCTCTCAAGTTCCTCCTCAAGTTCGTCCTTGAAAACAAGATTGATCCAAGCCGGATCAAGCTCATCACTCCATACCGAGCCAACAGGGACGAACTTCAGCGCATGCGAAGGAAGGACGCCGAGCTTGTCCATATCGCTGGTATGGAACCTGTGGCCACCGTCGACTCCTTCCAGGGTCGTGAGGGTGATGTTGTCTTTGCCGTGTTGGCGACAACTGGTAAGTCTACACTGACGCTTTCAATCCATTTTACCTAGCTAACATATCCATTAGAAAATAGTGGTCCCGGTTTCATGACCAATGAAAACCGCCTCAATGTCCTGCTGTCACGACAAAAGAGCGGCCTCGTCATCGTCGGCGACATCAACATCATGGGCAAGGTGTTCGGCGGTGGCGACGGCAAGGGCAAGGGCAAGGCCAGGGCAAAGGGCAAGGGCAAGGGCATGATGGATGCTGACAAGTGCACAGTGAAGACTGGGGGCGCAGTCAGTTTTGTGAAGTCAGCATTCTTGGCCAAGGTTTGCCAGGAAATGGTGACTTCTGGCAGGGTGGCCGAGGCCCCTGCCGAGTGGCAGGCCAGTGAGGAGAAGAAGGCCAAGGATGAGAAGAAGGCCGATGAGGAGAAGAAGGCCCAGGACGGTGAGAAGGCCGAGGAGAAGGCTGAGGAGGAGAAGGCCGAGGAGAAGAAGGAGGAGAAGAAGGAGGCCAAGGAGAAGGCCGAAGAGAAGAAGAAGCCCGAGGGCAAGAAGAAGGGCAAGGGCAAGAAGCCCGAGGAGAAGAAGCCCGAAGAGAAGAAGGGCGAGGAGAAGAAGGCCGATGACAAAAAGGCCGACAAATAGATTAGTTAATTGACTTCGGTGTGCAGTTCATTCCATGGTTCAGATGTGATTGATGACCCAGCTACGCGTTTCCCTCGATCAGCTTAGCATTCACGCTACATATCACTACGCAAAATGAAACACAACAAGTGTGTGAGCCCAGCTCTTCCAGTGTTGCCAGAGGCAGCCAGTCATCTGCACATGAAAGTCAATACCCTCACATCACCAAATCCTGTACCCTACCCTGTAAACAACTGTGCCAAACAACTGTTGATTTTTACCCTTGCGCCCGACTTGGAATGACTGCTTAATTTTGTGGGAGACAGATAAATCACGTCCGCAACAATGCATGTTTTCATACAATTGAGAAATGGGGGTCAAGCTTGTGGTAACTGCTTGTCTCAACATGTGCGGCATATTTACACGAGGGTCGGACCCCAATACACACTCAGGACACATTCTGTTTCGCATACCCACCTACCTAGGCACTGCGCAATTATGTTCTTGCCCAAATTCCTAGGTTCAAATATGAGCAGGCCCCACCATCACCAGTGATTTATTTCCCCAGTCACTGACATGTGGTCCTGCGAAAATAATTCTCCCTTGAATTGATACCAAGCAGGCTCCTGCTTTGCCCTGCAGGCCTGCATAAGCATCTGCGGACATTCGCGAACCAGGATAGACCACCTATATGAACTTCATAAATTTTACACTGCCAGCATCAAATAAACCAGCAGCTATTACAACTTCCGACCTGGGATTTCCCAAACCGACCTCCTGGTATCGTTATCAAATGAAGAACGCTTGATTTGTGAGCGGTCCGGAAAAACTGAGTGTTTACGCGTTGCGGGTTAACTGATCTTCCGTAAATCCGATCATCAGTGCCCACGTGACGCCCATGTTGAGCCAAATGACCTCCCCTCAACTTCCATCAAGGTCGCCACAGGCGAATCGGCGGCTACACCCACCGTCTAAACAACCGTTCATATCCTCTCATTGCAGCTGCTCTAATCTATTTCCAATCTTTCATTGCACTCCCTGCCCCGAATATCCTAACAGCTCGATTTTCACGACGTTCAAAGCCACCGACCGACTGTCCGCCCCATCTGCCGCCAGCTTTGCTCTCATTTCGAATCGCCATGGACCCGACCTCTCCGTCGTTTATCAGCGCGTCTAGTATGCCAAAGAACCATGGATATTGAGACGATTCGCCACCGTTAGATGTTACCAATTGGATTGGAATTGGCAGAAGGCCTAAGTTCCCTATTTTTTAAATGAGGAAGGCTTCCCCATCCACGCCCTTGGCTTGTCAAATTCAAGATTACCAATCGGCGGAGCCATCAAAAGTATAAAGCTAAGGCTTACAGGCCCAACAGATACTACCTGGACTAAGAGAAAGATTCTATCCACTGACAACATAAGCCTATTGAAAACCAGAACGATGGCTGCTTCGCGCTCGGTATCAATCACCTACGTCGCCGCAGACTGTGGCTCCGTCATTCCTGGCAAATCAAAGGCACCGCAAGCCTTCCAAGATGTCGGGATAGTCAGGAAATTACGAGATGCTGGGATACCCGTCGTATCAGAACTTGATGCGTTAGATTCACCGGCCAAATACTCCGTCAAGCCCTTTTCGAAAGGAAGCGTCCGCAACGAGGAATTGAACATTTCTGTCTGTCAATCCGTCCGCCGCGCCGTTTCTCATAACATAACGGCCTCCTCGTCCGATGGGCCACCTTTTCAACTCATTCTTGGGGGGGAGTGTTGCATGTGTCCAGCTATCCTCTCGTCTTTTTGGGAGCACGCCGCTTCACAGTCGCCTCCAAAACGGGTTGGTCTCATCTATATCGATGCCGACACCGACCTCGCCTCCCCCCATGATCCCAACTCAACGGGAAACTTCGCTGGTATGAACATGACACATTTAATCGGACGAGAAAATGGGCTAGAAACCATGCGACAATTTTCACGGCCGTCTGGCGAGGCTGTCTGCGACCCGAGCAACATGGTCCTCTTTGGCATCAATATGGGATTTGCGGGAAACAAGCCAGAGCATTTCGCCTATCTTTTTGACAATGAATACACTGTCGTCAGCTCGAAATCTGTGGCTCTTTCTCCAAAAGAATCCGCAAAAAGGGCCCTTAAACGGTTGGAAGAAAACACCGATATCATCATGGTTCACCTCGACGTCGATTCAATCGATCCACGCTTGTTCCCATTGGCGAACGTCCCGAATTTCACCGGAGTAATGTTTGAGCAAATGATGGCTGCATTGGGTGTGTTTCTGGCGAGTGACAAGGTGGCAGGGCTCACCATTGCAGAAGTGAATCCTGACCATGATCCAGATTTATCTATGGTTAACCGACTGTCAGAGGAAGTTGTCCAAATGCTATCATCCAGACGGTTTGTTTCTTCTTGAGGACTTGGTGGAACTACCTGCCGTATGCTTCAGTGATAGAGTATTTTGATCGATAAATTACAAATAACTTCAGCCGGCTTACCATATCAAATTTGCATGAGCAGAATATTCACCGTACCACAGATGGCAGCTGTCAGAGGCCATGCGGCTGGGTTAGCTGCATAAGTGGCCGGGTAGAGATCTACAGACTACGCCCAGGGCTGCGTGAGGTTGCGCGCCGTCGTGATACGTATTTATAGTCTGTCAAGTATCAGTTACACCGCCCATCAGCCGGCTATGAAGCTTTGGCTATAGATTATAACGAGGACGTCACGCTACTGCCAAGCGAAATGGGAGATGAAATAGATCTAAGATCTAACAAATTTGCAACCGTGAAATCAGATGCGGACAGTCATTTCTCAGCAGCGTGGCCACTAAAGTAGTCATGGACATAAATTAGGATCACTTGATAGGCCTGATAAATTAAGCTGATTCCTTCCCATGAGTTTGTATAACTTGCTACTGACATCCTCTTGCTCCAGGGCCAAAGCTCTCTGTACTAGCTTTCCTGATTTATCTGATTTCCTGATGAACATCTGAATAAGATTGGTGGCTGAGACGAGTTTGAAATGTCCACACATTGGAACGTCATGGATCAACCTCTATATTGATAGCCACATGATTCCAAGTGCAAAAGCTTCACGTCCCATGAACCAATAACCCCATAGCGAAAATCATTTGACACGATCCATCGCGGGTGCGGTTTGTTTTGGAACTCGAAAACCCTCTCTGGGAAATTTCAGCAGTCGTCCCAAAATTCGTGAACCGCACGGCATAGCACGAAAAGTATTCTTGGATCATGAAAAAGTATGGTAAGTAATTGCATCATCTTAGCCAGGTGGGTGCTTGATTCTGATTAAATTAATCCAAAGGACATCATTTTATCTGGATTTCTGAAGTTAGGAATTTCAATGGTAATGAACGTCTGCACTTGAAAGCGCGCCATCTAATTACGGGGCGTTCTATAGGGTAGCTAAATGGGGATACATGCACTGGTTTCGTGGAAAACCTACCACTTGCATCTCTCTCCGTCTGCTGCCTGTGACACCCCTTCACAAATGGTTCAGTTTGGTTCACGTCTTTAGTGGAATCTCCCACGTTGAACCCACGCGGGTGATTAATTCGGCTCCGCGCCAGTGTCAACCCTTGCCCCGGAGGTGCGCGTCAACCTTCCTCGCTTTCTAGCGGTTCCCTTGGCCCAGAAGAGTGGGAAATATCGGCCTTTGTGTGTTTCTACCTAGGTACTTTGCCTCTATTTCTCTTGAACTACCTAGGTACCTACTAAGCTACGCGCCTACAGCAACAGTCCACGTTCTTTGGTCGTCACATTGGAAGATGGTAAGAACGCACAAAAAAAGAATCGTGCTCCTGCAAGCTAACAGCTAGAAACAGTCAAGAGCAGCTCAATCACACGTGTTCGTCCAACAAGCGCCTTCGACTCATCCCGAAGCTTGGCGAAGCGATGGTCCGTGACACTCCGACGTCCCAAGGGCGAAGATGATGCCCCGAAAGAAGCCCCGAAAGACACCTCGACGATGGCGTATTGGGTGATCAAGCTATCCTGATGACGAATAGAGGCGTCGGCCATGAGGGAACCTGTGACGATTTGCTGAGTGTTTCTGAAGATGACGACGGTACGTAACATGAAGCCCAATGTTCGTATATAGTGAAACTTGACGCTGATAATCGCTTCATGGACGACTGACAGGAGCGGAACCGATGCCGATGCTATCCTACCGCGAACGACTGAGACATGTTGCCGGTTGGGTTGGAGATGTCCGAACAAAGGGATCCCCTAGCGCGCGACGAAGCCACATCCCCATTTGAATACGTACGAGTTGACGAGAGCGCGGGCTCGGGACACAAAGGCGACGATAAGAGTCTTGTTGTTTTTTTGCAGTTGTTTGTTGCTTTGAAGGCAGAACAGAGCCTGATGTACATGAATTGACTATTTGATACATCTTTGGTATGGACCGCACGTCCCCAGGAGACATTGTCTTTTTACCAAGCTGACCAAGTGCCCGCAGCTCCTCACGTCGTTTCTTGCGTTCTGCCTTTTCAAGTCAATCGCTGTTCCACGCAAGTTGTAATCGTTGCTCTATCTCTGAGTTGAACCTAGCTTAGTTCACCCGAACGAGAGCGGTTTTCTTCTTCAGTCTCTTGCTTTGGGCAAGCAAAATCGGGCGTTCCCAATCCATCTACATATCAAGATCACCCGCATCGGTAGTTCAGAAGAGGTCTGCGTCGGAGTCACCCGAGTCACTTGAACTTGAAGAGCTTGCAACAATACCTTCAAGAGGATAGTTGGTCGGCCGTGTACACGTCATCATACGAGGTCCCGTCTCGCCTCCGTCCGTGAAACACAAGGAACACCAGAGTCACGAGGGACCGGCTACTGGTGCAACGAGTGGATATGTGTCTAGTTACAAGGTCAGTCAAGGATGTGGTCCCTCTCTCAGACTAGGTACCTATACCGAGACAGCGGGCTAATAGAGTTTTCTTTGACGGGATGCAACTGGACTATGAGAACAAGGGAGTTCTTCAGGCTCCACTGATCCAAGACTCGTTTCGGCGCCTTTCGTCACAAATACTTCCACCTTTTCACAAAGATGTTGACACCAAGAAGAAGGAAATCTTTGGCTAAACTAAAAAAAGAGAAGGCGTTGACCGACCCCATCAGGGTCGGGCGCAGCTCCCAGCTTTGCATATTCATTGAGAGGTTACTCCACATACCAATAGCTATTGGCTACTGGATTTACAAACAATCTCCGACTGATATAAATAGACCTCGAGTCGCCCCGTCTTTGATGATGTTACCGTGGGCTTGTGGGGAAGGTGTTTCGTGATGTGGCGAGGAAGTGTGCTTTGTACGCGCGTATGTTATGAACCTTATGAATACAATCAACAGCTACAGCCTCGAGCGGCCTCAGGGAAGTCAGACCCCTCCGTGATCTCGCTGACAGGGATCCAGATGAATGCAATCAACAGCTGCAAACCTAAGCGGCCTCAAGCGGGTATGTCTGATCCTATTCACCCTGTCTCTCATGAATGCAATCAACAGCTGCAAACCTAAGCGGCCTCAAGCGGGTATGTCTGATCCTATTCACCCTGTCTCTCATGAATGCAATCAACAGCCGTAGCCTCGGGCTGCTCCACCTCCATTACGCATGGGCACATGTGCCTAAGTCGTCCCAACGACCACTTTTCCTCTGAACTCAAGTCTCCGTTGCTTTCCCTTTTGCGAGAGGTACCGGAACGCGCTTTGCCAAACTGGCGCGTTCTCCAGTCAACGGAAAACTCTGCAAACCTTGATAGTAACGACTGACTTGCCGCCAGGGTGAGCTGCTCGTCAGATCACTCACTATTTATTCAGCCCTCCTTCACCTCTCCCCGTTCGCCCTCTGCCCAATCCAAACACTTCAGCACACGTCACCAAACTACAAAACATTTACCCGTCTTCTATGACGCCGAGTTTACTCCTGCTCATCTCTCCTACATGACTGGTTTCCCTGTTGATCGCCTTGTCACTCTCAAGTTGGTGTTTTCCTCCTCTTTGCTTCAAAGAACCCTGAATCTTGGCTAACGATACGATATTTGCTCATCTTCGCAGCCGGATTATCTCACCAGAAATCTTCGCATGGCAACTGTCCCAGCAGCCAAATCCCCGACATCAGACAGGCGGACCTGCGTGAGACGATAAGCCCCGCCCGGCCGCGAGCACAACACCAACCGCGACAAAAACTACGACGACGCACACGGGTGGAGACCGGTCCAGGGACCCAGGGAGAGAGTCAGTCAACAGCGTGTTCCAGGCAGGCAGAAGGCTCGCCTTTCACCACCACGTCCATCGCCACCAGCAACCGAGCACAGAGGACAGTTCGAGCTTCGCGTCTCTCTCGCCCTCGGCCACCGTATTGCAGACCGCAGCTACCATGCCGAGCCGTCATCATCTACGGCTTCTCTCCGCCTTCATATCGACCTCAAACTGAAACCCAGAACCCACTACGATAGTTCGAACCTGCTCAGCCCCGAATATCGAACCCCACATCAAACCACCTCCTCCAACAACCCGAGACTGTGGACGGCGGATAATCCATCCCCCCACTCATGAACCCGCCTAACAGGCGACGTGGAGGCGGCGTCCACGTACTGCGTGCTGGTCCTCACTCGCACCACACGACGCGGTAGCGCGCCGGCTCAAAGGACGAGGAAAAGGAAAAGGAAAAGGACGCCAACATGCCACCTCCTCCAACAACCCGACACTGGGACGGCGGATAATCCATCCCCCAACCCTCGAAGGCCACTCATGAACCCGCCTGACAGGCGGCATGAAGACGGCGCCCACATACTGCATGCTGATCCTCACTCGCATCACACGACGCGGCAGCACGCCGGCTCAAAGGACGAGGAAAAGGAAAAGGAAAAGGACGCCAACATGCCACCTCCTCCAACAACCCGACACTGGGACGGCGGATAATCCATCCCCCAACCCTCGAAGGTCACTTATGAACCCGCCTGTCGCGGCGTAGAGGTGGCGCCCACGTACCCGCTGTTGTAGTCGAACTCTGTACAGACAACGTGGGTGGTAGCGCTGGTGACAGAGCTGCTGGTGCTTCCGCCCAGCGTGCGCACAAGCTTCTCCAGAGATCCTTGCGTGTGACCCAAGTGGCTGAACTTGCCGCTAAGAACGATCTTGTAGCCGTCCAACGGCTGGGGTGCGGAATCAGCAGCAACAGCCGCCGCAGCTCGTCGTCGAGTGGACATGATTTGGAGTTTGATATGAATATGAGAGGGGAAATGTTGGGAGAGTGATTCAGATAAGCAGTCCGCCGCTACCGGAAAGTGAAAGGGGCACTGCGTGCTGATTCTCACTCGCATCACACGACGCGGCAGCGCGCCGGCTCGAAGGGCAAGGACAAGGAAAAGGAAAAGGACGCCAGCATGAAGGATGGCACCTCCGCGACCAGCAATAGCATGCCCACCGTGCCGCCCCTCTCCCCGCCCGCGCCCCTCGAGGCTACCAAAAACTTGAGGGCCACCTCCTCCAACAACCCGACACAGGGACAGCAAAAATTCATCTCCTAGCCCTCGAAGGTTACTTATGAACCCGCCTGATAGGCGACATAGAGGTAGCGCCTATATACCACGTACTGGTCCTCACTCATGTCATATAAGACGGCAGCACGCCGGCTCAAAGGACAAGGACAAGGAAAAGGACGCCAGCATGAAGGATGGCACCTCCGCGCCAACAATAGCATGCCCACCGTGCCGCCCCGTGCCGCCGTCATCAGCCCGTCCTCGCCCAGCCACGATGACTCCCTCGACGGCAGCGGGGGCGTCACGCTGTCGGACCGCAAGGACAAGGACAAGGACAAGGACAAGGAAAAGGAAAAGGAAAAGGACGCCAATATGAAGGATGGCACCTCCGCGCCAGCAACAGCATGCCCACCGTGCCTCCCCGGGCCGCCGTCATCAGCCCGCCCTCGCCCTGCCACGACGACTCCCTCGACGGCAGCGGGGGGCATCACACTGTCGGACCGTAAGGACAAGGACAAGGAGGCCAACAAGGACAGAGACGGCGGCGCCGCCAGCGGGAGCAGCCCGACGCTGGGCACCGGTAGCGGCAGCAAGCCCAACCGGCGGAGCATGACCCTCAAGGGCAAGCAGCCGCAGCAGCAGCTCCGCGACCAGCAACAGCATGCCCACCGTGCCGCCCCCCGTTTTCCAGAAGAAGGCTGTCGACATCTTCTCCGCCCCCTCCCCACCCGCGCCACTCGAGGCTACCAATATGCCATCCTCAGAGTAACCAAGTACCGATAATGCTTGCGCTTCGGAAGAGAAAGAGAACAAAGTTCAACAGCAAAGAAGGTTGTCAGGGCCTGACAACTTAGTGCATACATGCATGCGCTTCATTCAACGACATTCTGCAATCGCAGGATTCTCATTGCCTTGATACTTATGGCAAACCACGATTGGCAGTCCATCATTTCATCTTCATCGCCAAGAGTGACGAAGTAAGGGTGACCGAGTATTATTAGTTGACCGATGACAACCGTGAATACCTGGACCTTCAACTACCCGAAGAAGTATTCACTACTTGATGGGTCTGATTGGATCGGGAACCTTGAACAGCATAATACATGGTCAGGTCATAGTCCAACCAGCCTTTGATGGTGTAGCATCCGAGTACAAGAAGCTCGTCACGTCACAAATTGTTCCTATCAGAAACTCTGGGATCCATCTCAACGAACTGAAGACCGGAACCTGCATCTTCATCAACCGTATCTCGAGCGAAACCATCTTTGTCATTTTTCCAGGTAACGGCACGAGAGGCCCGAACCGTTTTCAATTTTGTGGACAAGCGCTAGAAAGCGAGGAAGACTAATGCACACCTACCGGTGCAAGAGACGGCACTGGAGGAAGCACCCGTGTGGGTTCACCATGACAGATGTCAACCGAAGATATGAACCAAACTGAACCCTTTTGTAGGGGTGTCACAGGCAGCAGATGAAGAGAGAGGATCTCAAATACAATGCATTCGCTCGGCAATGCATTCGCTCGGCAACTGCGTGGCACCAGCCAAAGTAGGTGTAACGGCCAGCTGAATACTCAGCCACCCCAGGCTCATGGGAATCTCCACCGGCTTCAAAGCTTTTCGGTCACGAAAGAACGATTTCCAACTGCGGAGAAGAACTTGGGCAGCAGATGGAGAGAGAGGGTCTCAAATACAATGCATTCGCTCAGCAACTGCGCATGAGCACGATAGCTCGTGCAGCCGAAGTAGGTGCAATAACCAGCTGGCTACTCAGTCGTCCCGCGCCCATGGGAATCTCCACCGACTTCCCTCGAAGCTATTCTCATAGTAGAATAATTTCCAACCACGAAGAAGAAACCAGACAGCAGATGGGGAGAGAGGGTCTCAAATACAATGCATTCGCTCGGCAGTTGCGCATGCGCATGATGGCACGTGCAGCCGAAAAACAGACAGCTGGCTACTCAGTCATCCCGGGCTTATGAGAATCTCCACCGGCTTCCCTCGAAGGTATTCTATCACGATAGAATGATTTCCGACTACAAAGGAGGGCCAGGTATGAGCACGATAGCACGTGCAGCCAAAGTAGATGCAACAGACAGCTGGCTACTCACCAATACCCGCGCTCATGGGGCTTCCCCCAGAGACTCGTAGGGCTGGCTGTAAGTGTCCCGGGGAGTAAAAAGAAATCTACCTGTGGAAGGCGACCGTCGGAGGCTGGGAATCTCCACCGGCTTCCCTCAAAACTACTCTATCACGGTAGAATGACCTCCAACCACGGAGAAGAAGCCATGTACCCCCCGAGTACATTGCATCTAAAGTCATACCTCGAAAACTTGGGGACCAAACCTACTACATTGAGTGAGAGTAGTAGTGAGAGAGCTATAAAATTATATAGCAGCTGTTAAAAAAAAAAGGGGGGGGAAGGGGAATTGTTAAATGCCAAGAATTCAGTCAACCTCGCTATTGAAGGTCGTACCGGTCCGCCCCCCCTCCACGGCAATTCAATCTCAACGCAGAGGGGACGCGTCGCGTGCGCAGCCCAAGAATGAGACTGACCAGACTTCTATGCCACAGCCTTTCATGAACCTTGAGATGTTGCTTTCCATCTATTTAAAGGCCGTCATATCTGACCTGGATGAACCGCACAGCGCAAGTCCATATCGACAATCCGCTCTCTTGCAAATCGCTGAATTCGTCGCTCCATCAGTCAAATCAGTCGAATCCCACACATCACTACATTCACCGACAATCGAATCCCTCGACTCTCGAACATCGCTGCCTTCAAGGGCACTCAAGCTCAATCATCCCACCGAGCCTGCGTCTCGCCCGATCGGCTACCAACCACGTATACGCTGAACCTCAACACCAGTCATCAGTGAAGTTAACTCCTATCGCAAGGGCAATAGGCGCTCACACACGTACGCATCAAGATGAAAAAGAGGAGGTCAAAGGGAAGACAGCAGATAGTAGCAGTAGCGCCTGCTAGAAGGCGCTCCCAAGACACCAAGCTCTTCACTTTCGCCCTATTGTCGAACCCTAATTCGTTGAACCCCAAGCAAGGAAAGCGAAAGGAACGAGACGCAACATCACCGGGAAAATCAAAGGCCCCCATCGGCAAAAGAAGCCCCTCTGTTGTCGCTGCTGTCGCTGCTGTCGCTGCTGTCGCTGCTGTCGCTGCTGTCGCTGCTGTCGCTGCTGTCGCTGCTGTTGCTGTCGCTGCTGCTGTATTTTTTTATCCCGGTCACGGTCCCCCTTGTGGCACAGGGCGCAGAACCCCCCCTGTTATGGTTGGCCAATGGGTCGAGAAGCAGCAAAAAGAACTCATCATCAAAAGGGGTATAACAGCCAGCAGGCAGTGGCGGTAGCGCCTTCAACAATGCCCAGTTGAATGGGGTGGTAATCCTAGCTCAGCCAAAGGTTGGCACGAGCAGTCATAAGCTCGTAGGGGCTAAACTGTCATGGACATCATTCGCCGAAGGCAATTGGATGTCTCACAGTTGAAGGTCCTTGTTCTTAATAAAGCAGATAATATACTGGACCAGCAAGGTCTCGGCAACCAATGTATAAGGGTCAAGGGGTATATTCTCACTTTGCATAGGTAGTTACAATCCATTGCACGCGCTAATACGGAAATAAACATACTGCCCAAAACCATCCAGACTCTTCTATTCTCCGCTATATTCCCTAAGAAGGTTCTTCAATATACGAACAAGTTCGTACCTAATGTATATTCGCTTAAGCTTCAGTATAGCGATCTCACAGTTAAGGGTATTTCCCAGATATTTATTAAGGATATAAGGTCTCAGCTCTGCACGCCGCCTTTGATCAAAGTAAACGAGACGACCTTCTTTCCAAATTCCGCAGTGGTGAGAGCAAAGTTCTGATCGCTACTAATGTTATCGCTCGAGGTATCGACGTGTCCAGCGTGTCCATGGGCAATCGGCACACTGAGTGGAAACCGAATTGTAGTTGAGCATAGGCAGCCGCGAGGATGTATAAAGGAGGAGTTACTGGAACCCAACCAATCGTCGTCGAATATTGGCACAGAGAGAAGCTAAGCTATCGCTTCCGGCAGTCGCGAGGACGTGTACAAGAGGAGTTACTGGAACCCAACAATCGTCGGGGAAGCTGGTTCATCGCTTCGGCAGTCGCGGGGACGTGTAACAGAGGACATGGGGAGTTACTGGAACCCAGCCATCATCCTCGGATATTGGCACATGGTGAAGCGGGTTATCGGTTCCAGCAAGAATTCGCATGGTGAAAAGAACCCAGCTTCCAATGACACGTTGTCTTCATTGCCGCAAACAGACGAATACATGTGGTCGTGGGAATATACAAGGGGACTACCCAGTCTTCGCCTTCATGAAGGCGAGACGCCAATCAGTCGCCACTCGACCGGTGTCTTCTACCTTGCTGTCATTGACCACTCCGCCCTCGTCTTCGATCCCGGAATCGTCCAGCACTCCAGTGGTTTCCAGCACTCCAGAGATCTCCAGCACTCCATCCAATACCTCTGAAGCATCTCCAACTTTGGTCTCCCCCAGTGATGTGATCACTCCGATTCCGTCACTCACCACCTTTGTGGCTTCGGACACTTCAACCTCCGTCGCGTCAACTTCCTCAGCGGTTTTATGTGCTGCGAATAGAGGTATAAATACATCTATCACCTCCATATGCTCTGCCCCAGGCTAACCCAACTCATCATACAGGTACCTGCACTGCGAGCTCTGACTGCTGCAGCGGCAGCATTTGCTCCTTCGGTGTCTGCACTCCAGAACAACGCGCGCCAGCCGGATATGAATGTAGCTTCGACCGACCTGACCTTTGCTGCGGACAGTCTTGCTACAATGGCCAGTTCTACCCTAACCCCCAGTTCCCCGGAAACTCCTACAATTTCTGTGGCTAGGAGCACAGCACCGTTTTTGGCCGGGAGTGGCCGGACTTTGGCCCTGCGAGGCCAAACTTCTTCAGTGAAGGCGACATCATCTTTGCCGTGATGGCAGCTACTGGTAAGCCTCGACTAAATCTTACAATTGAGTACGTGTGTAGCTAACAGCTCCAACAGAACGTACTGGTCCGGGTTTCATGTCCAGCGAAAACCGCCTCAACGTCCTGTTGTCGCGTCAGAAGAGCGGCCTCGTCATCATCGGCGATATCAATATCATGGGCGAAGTGTTCAGCAGCGGCGACAGCAAGCGGAAAACCAGGATCAGGCAAGCGTCCGGGACGTCTCAAGTCAAAGTCAAGGGGGCCGGAGGCAAAGTTAGTTTTGTCCTGTCGGGATTCCTGATCAACGTTTGCCAGGAACTAGTGGATTCCGCCAGGGTGGCTGAGGCACCTGCTGAGTGGCAGGCCAAGGACTAGAAGAAGGCCGGTAAATAAAACATAAATTGACTTTGTTGTGCAGTTCATTACATGGTTCAGTACGTGATTGATCGCCCAGCCACTTGTTGGCCTCATATTCATGCAATGTAGCATCCGTACTACATAATACTACACAAAATCTTTAAAGTTCCATTCCTCTTCCCAACCTTTCAAAGTTCCTAGGTACCTAGTAGGTAAGCTGCATATGATCTGGTTGGCACCTCAGGTATGTAGGCCCACGACAAGCCCAACTCTTCCAACATTACCATGGCTACTACGAGAGATACCGACCTACGCATTGAAAGCGCCCCTTTAGACATGAGGTAAGCGATATACTCAGGTACGCTACCGTTACGCACCCTACCCTACAGACCTACAACCCCCAATCGTTCCGGTACATATCAGTAGTCTGATGGACGTGCCTTTGGGGGTAGAGTTCACTCACCATAGCATAGCGGTCTAAATAGTGGGTAGGGAGGTATTTACCCAGGATCCATCTACGTGGGCTCGCGTATCTCTTCTCTTTAATCCAGGCCTTGACGAAGGTGAGCGCAAGGTGAATGCAACCTGTCAACTCCTCCCTGGCTCAGAGCCTACCCACTACAGGAAGGAAGAGGAAGTCGATTCCCACATTGTTGCCCAGCTCATGGATCTTCACCGCCGTCTACATATGGGCACCGGCTTTCATGTCGCGGTCACTTTACCTTCACCGTGCAAGATGTCGATGCAATCCTCGGTCTTCGCCAACGCGTGCCCGACTCCAAGCCCAGGTCCAGCGCCATCCACATCACTCTTGAAGCTGGCCACAACGTTACTATCGAAGGATTAGGCAAGGAGTTCAGTCACCCTGGCCACAGGACGTTGAGGGCTGCGTCGAACTGCTGTCTGAATTCTGCTGGTCGGCGGATGATGGCAAAGTACTCGCCGCAATGGGCGATCTGGTTGACGATGGTTGGCACAACTGAAACTACAGGCGGCGACCCTTTCAACCGCAGAACAATCAGGCGGTAGGGCAATTTATAGCGGATCAGCCCCGTGTGTTTGGGAGTAAGGTACATGTTGTCGTACATTACGTTTTCTAAGCTGGTGAATACCTACCATAAACTACTAGCGGTTGCTAGCGGTTTCACACAGTCCCCGTGCCAACTACATGAGCGTACAAGCGTGATTATGGAATGTAAAGGCTACTCATTAGATAACAATTTAAACATCTGGTACATCTGGTAATACAAGATGTCACTGATCGATACTGTGGTATGAAACGTGGCATTTTCGCTGCGGTGGGCTAGTGACTGCATCCTGTGTGAGCTGGCTCCCGGTTGCCGACTTTTTCCTGACTTTGTTGTGGCACCGCCGCTGGATGATGATATGGAACCAAGCCATGGGATGTACTTGAGCAATGGGCGCAGTGTGGCCATGGAGCCGGCAATCAGGCCCAGTCCCGACTCGGTTATGGACCAAATCGCGATGTGTGCAATGTTGAGGAGGTAGGCTTCCGTGGCGTTGTAGGCAAGGAGGTATCGTAAACGGACGAGTGTCGCAGTACTAGCACTATAAGACGGTTAGTAAGTGAGAGAGAGAAGTTTGGGAGTTTAAAGATAGCTGAACACGTACACGAAACCAAACCCCAAAAGAATCATAACTGGAACCTTTATTCTGTAGTGAAGTTGGACATCCCATACTATTTGAAGAGACACCGCAAGTTAGCTGAGATAACCATCTGGAATGATTCTGGTGACGGTTTACATATGACGGCAGGCAAGATCGCGGTGGTCCAGTCTGTAAGGATCGAAGTCGCCGAAATATAATAAGAAACGTTGGTAATCAGGGAGGCGTCGGCGCATGACCCCAGGCTTGGGTCCCAAGTGGCGGAGACAGGTTTGCACCAAGCGAGCACGGCGATATCAGTGACCACAGCAGCGATGGTTGATAAAGCAATGACGGCGTAGATGATGTAGTGATAAATCTTTTGGTTTGTAATGCGAAGTAATGCTATACAAATACTTGCTTTGATAGGAACGGTCGAAAGGACTAGTACAATGTCTAAGGTTAGGGAGTTCTCCTTTCGTAAGGTGGTCTTATTACAAACCATAGAAGAGCTGGAAGAACATGAACCACTGTGCAACTTGTAAGCTTCAAAATACCCTTATAATGTTTCAGAAAAAGATGTGGCGTACCATCCTGCCCTGCTTGTCGTAGTAGTCTGTAATCATCTCTGGCGGAGACCCGACCCCATTCAAAGATCCTGCAATGGTTGAGACACATGCTGCCGTGTAAGCAATCTAAATCACTGTTAGCAAAATGGGCTTTCGAAGGACGTGAGTAAGTAGATGTGTTGAGGACTCACTAAGCCAGCAACCATCATATAATCGTCGAGCCCCATCGATCTGATACTCGTGCGCACCCAGATGCGCAAACCCATGGTGATCCATGAGAACGTGAGCAAAATAACTGAAAGAAGGAAAAGGCCCATGGCCGGCCCTGTAGGCTGAAGCGTCATGGTGACTGCAGGGACAAAAGCAAATAGTTGAAACAGTGATAGATGTATGCCGTCCTTCACATTCTCTCGAACTCGGAACGCAGTCAGAGCACAAATGCTCTCTCGCCCTTTTGTGCCAAAATACCGATTGGGGGCAGAGCTTTAAGTGTTGGGCAGAGTCAGGTCATTGGCATCGAGACCCTACCCTTGAACTATCAGTCGCTTGGCATTAGTCGAGTTGTTGCCAGCTAAGCTCGTAGGAGCTACACTATCATGGGCCAAGCCGATCTAGTCTTGCAATCGAACCGGGGAGTTTGTACAGACCAGGGATCACAACCACCCACAGGTCACGGATCTCGCATATGAGAGGCAGTAACAACCCCTAGTCCTGATTATGCAGGTGACTAAATCATAAACATACTGGTACCAAACTACCAATCGCTGTTACCAATTAGATGGAACTGTTAGCGCTAGTATTCTTAGAACTTATGGGGACGGCTTCAGAGAGCCGATCCCCGGCTAGAAAGAAAACACCGGACATTTTAGCAACCACACCTCATTTTCTTTTAGCCCGGGCCAATCTTTACCGGAGTTCTTCGGAGAACATACCCCGAAGGGAAAGGATATCTAAGAACCCATACCCCGGCTTTCCACTTCGTGTCATGGTCTGGCCTTGAAAAGAATGTGGAGTTGGTATTGAGGTCAGCACACTACCGAAAGGTGCTGCCATAGGTCACGACTTTCTTCAACCCACTTCTCGCCACTAGGCACAACAGATGAGTGCCTAACGCCACGGGGAAAGCACTTGCCCAAGGAGGGACAGGGGAACTCGAAGCTACCTGCAGGCCCGCCGGAAAATCCGTGTTTACCCCGGGAAACGAAGGATTCGGCTACCATGAACCAGGCACCAACTTTGCAGCGAGGAGTTTGCAGAGATCGGTCAATTAATCCTGATTGTGGAGCTTCTATTCAAAGTCTTCCTGGGGAGACCCTGGAGAACGGGAAACGTGAACCCTTTTTATCTTTGACCAGAACCCGTTACTGTCACAGCCAGCTCAACTGCATATCACTTGGCTTTGTTACTCTTAAACAACGAAACAAATAGGTTTGCTCTTAATATTAGAGCTTTTATATAGAATTGTGATATTATCAGACATAATTTGATATTATTGAACAGTGTGTCGATCATATGCCTAATACACCCTGTCCATACGGTACGGTGGGAGACGGAGTTTATCGCCACTTGCAAGGATGGCGTGATATATCAGAAATTAGATCGACGGATGAACCATCTTGGCGCCGAGAATCTGGTTTTCAAGCTCTACTTGTGGCTAATCTTACTTTGGTTTGTGTAGGCTACCAAGTTCTCGGATCTTAGCCTGTCCCTACGCTTCCCGACAACGCAGCAAGCCATTGCGTGGCATTTTGAATTTGAATCCTGCTGACTAGCTCACCGAGGCATCCGGGAATAGGAACTCGCTGTCTCCGGTCATGAGGGGAAGGCACAAATCGGACAATAAAGAGGGACTATTTGGCGACGGTTTCCAGCGCTAGTGAAGCCGTAGGCACAACTCGGAGCTGACAAGCCTCACCATAATTTTGCTCAAACCTTCTTGGTGCGCTCAAGCCTCCGTTTCGCGTTGCCCGTGTCGCTAGAAAAACATAACTTGGAAGAGGAATCTTGAGAGCATCATCGTATTGCTGTATGTTTGCTCTTGTGACTTGGTAACAGACGAGTGGAGAGAGCTGTGTTTCATTTTGCCACTGGCAAAGTAGATCTTGTAAAAAGCTGAAAGATTGGTGCTGACGGTTTCCCCACAGCCCTAATGGGATTAATTTTCCTGAGATTCAACTGGTGTTGTGTCGCACGCACGGTAACATGGCACCAATGTAGATGAAGCGTTACTATTCTATGTATACCACTAGTAAGTGGCCATCCATAACTGGAGTAAGATTGGAACAAAAGGAGGATCTGTTGGCAGGAATCCAAGCATAACGTACGTTCAATAGGGTATAGTACATGAGATGTATTAAACATCTCCGTTGCCACTATGTACCGGCATCTCACTAAGAGGCTTCTAGGAGAAGCGCTTTCTCTTCCGGCTGCCTGCTTTTCATATCATAAAGCCCAACCTGAGATTGACGTTATTGAGCATTTTTGTTCAGGCCAGATCCAGACCAGTCGGGGACTTACTCTTGAGACTTGGCATGCAACCGAGAGATGACTCGGAATATCCCGGTGGCTATTAGGCTTGCTACCGATGAGTACGTAAGATCCCAGGTTCAACCATCATTGCTGAGGCACCGACGAAAGAAGGGGTAATTGAATAGCGGGGTTTGGATCAAATTTTACTGGCATAGAATAATGTAAGATCGCTCTCGGGACGGTAGTGAAACTAGAGAAAATTCGCTCAACAGCCACCATTCCTTGACGATCGGCAACATTGAGGCCTAACTATCGATAGTTTTTCCACTGTATTTTTATCTGCCACCGATTTCGGCTGGAAAGAGGTCATCTAAACAAAGCAGCTTATATTCTGGACAGTTAAGCTGTAGAAGCAAATGGGTGGGATACACATGCTTATGGCCTTCCTTCAATGGGCTGAGAGCGACAAGATAGGGGGGAGTTTGGAAGAAGGAATCGTAGCCTGTCGTTTTCTGAAAGCCTGAGCTCAAGTCGCATTTCGTGCGAGGAGTTGATTAAGCATCGAAACAGTAGTGCCCGGAAAAAGAAAAGGAACATGATCGTCTCGTCAATGAATAGGCCCATTGCGTATTTCACTCATCCAAATCGTAGCCTCTTCCAAGATTGGCGAATGACTAAATGAAAATTGATCTACACAAATTGATTTCTCCCTTCGATAATCGGCTAGTTGGTCTGTCAATAAATATCCATGCTCGGCTTTCCTGCCCTTTTGTCGCCAAGTTCGCAAGTTGCTTGTGGCACATTTCCCGCCCAACTTAGCCGCGTTGATAGCGTTTCATCGATTTTATTAGTTTTTGGAGTTTGTATTTTCAGCGGCGTTAGGGGAAGTGATGATGGGAAGGCCTCAGAGCTCGTTCTAGAAGGCGATCAGCTGCTTTTATCATAGTATTGTCACATAATTTGGGACATATGAGGATAACGGGCTTGTATATTTGCAGTACTAAATCGCCACCAGCTTCTAAAGTAAAGCTTCACGTAGTGATATGAAACGACATGAATCATCATTCAACAGACATTGCATGCTATTTTCTCAGCCTAGCTGGTTTTCCGACTCGGGTCTAGTCGAAAACATTTTGATTCTACGGTTTGCCCTCCGATTCAACATGGCACTTATTCCTGGCATGGTCTAAGCGGTCGTGGTCGGTCTCATAAGTTCCACACCTGCCATCATAGCCTTCTCATCGCCTCCGGCGAGTACGGCGGCGGCGGGATCTAGTACCATGAGCTGGCCCGCCAGCGTCCGCGTCAGGAGACGAAACCCAATAAGACTGTAGTCTAGCCGTCGCGAAAAAAAAAGGCTGTATTCCGCTTGGTACAATGGGGTACGGCCGCCCAGGTAGCCATTTCCCCTCCGGCCGCCAAGTGTCTTCCGCGAAGCAATAGTAAAAGCCTTATCTAGAAAGGGAGAGGACAATATGCACTCAGACTGATTTGTTTCTCGTTCTGTCCGCCTTAGATGAGCTTGAGGATGTAAGAAAGCTATAGTACTTATGCGTTCCCTATGGTCATTAGTAGCGAAAACGCTTGTGGCCAGCGCTCCGCCATAAGCATATGCATTTCACCAACAAAGAATTTTTTAGACTTGAAATTTTTGAGCCTTGACATGAATTTATAAGACTCCGCTTCTAGCTATCCCATGGATGCATCGCTAGACTTAAAGGTGCTTGAGTGGAGTGGTTTGCATAGCTCATCATGATGACTTTGGCTGTTGAGCACCTGCTAACGAACAAGTGGTTATCCTTTGCCCATTCCCTAGTTGGTACTGTATCCCTCCCCCACCTTGGTTTTCAGACCGCTGGTATAGCCCCTGCAATACAGGATGCCCTGACACTGGAGTCTCCTAAGTGTAGTAGGGAGGATTAGTTCATTTCAAAGCTCATCCAAACCTGGCTTCGCAGTATCACCCAGAGTCTTCCCGTTCGAGCTCTCGAAAAATCTGGTCTCAAACATGATAGCCTGCTGGAAAAGCTTGTTGGCAAGGTCCGCATATTCTTCGTATAGGTGCGATCCTGTTTGAAGCTCGTCTACAATAAGGGATTAGAATGCAGTTCTCACAGTGATGAAGATACATACTGGAGAGATCAGTGCCCCAGCTCCAGTCCATATTCGGAGCGATCCACTCCTTGTAGAATGAAGAGTCTGATTGTTATTAGCTCAATCGCTTTACTACCCCATTCACATAGAAAACACCTACTTTTGCTTTTACTCCCAGGATAAGAATTATTAAGATGATGGGCAAGCTCACCCCATCCCTTGAAAGCTAGTTAGTTCGTCTGTGCCCAGGTTTCATCTTGTGTTCCAAGGCACTTACATAGATACAAGGTATTCTTGAAACATCAAAAAGAAACCATCCTAACATCGTGTTGTTTCGGAGCCATGTGACATACTCTAGACCATCAGCTTGGAGGTGTGCATTTCTAACAAGCGAATCAGAAATATTGAGACGTGCGGTGTCTGTCAGGCCTTTGCGGAACTCTTCCGTATAATTTCGAGATGACGGCATTCCCTCAATCACCCGATCGACCTGGGATAACATATCTGCAGCGCTTGAGCTGAAATTCACAACAGATACCTTGTCCTGGATAGTGGAAATAAGGTACAAGTAATCTTGCTGTGATGGCTTGAGAAACATGTTCTTTCATAGTTCATTATCATCAAATCGTACGTACCACTGAATAATACTGGAATGATGGAGACGGATTTGGATCCGCATTTTGCGCCTCACGGGTAGTGAATGAATTGTTGAGAAATGCGTTTACTAAATCACAGTTCTTGTTCCAGAGCTTATCAACGATGGTTCTCCGAAGCAAGTTAGTACTCGTGTAGAATTATCAGAAAGGAACTCAAGTGTTCTCTAACCCATTTTTAACGTCAGTGTTAAGACGAGGACAGCCATTCTGTTGCACGGAAGGTGGCCGAGGCTCATGGCGAAATGCCAAAGCCCAGGACTGGAGGGTACATGTAAGAAGAAGAAGGCATTTCAGTATCAAGTTGAGACAATACATGGTTCGACTAAGCGGGAGATCAAAGTAAAACGGTTGGAAGCCGCAATAGAAAGATAAGGATTGATGGTTTTGATAGAGATGAGGATGAGGTCGAGGTTCAAGAACATGGGCTATCCATGTGCTTAAGTACTTCTCTTCTTCCGAGCCAATTCATCACTCAGATCTGTACGTATGTCATACCAAGCCAACCACGTTACCCCTCGTCACATGGGAGTTTGGCCCATCGAGTTTTACCAATGTGAGCTGAAAAACCGCCTCCACAGCTGCAATAGCTGAAAGCCGCATTAGCTGAAAGCCACCCCGGTGAGAGATGGGGTGGCCGAGAGACTTTGATATTTCCAATCAAGCAGTAATACTGATCTACATCAGCTCATGTCTGAGTTTTTGACGAAGCGCCACCACCGTATTCCTTCACTCGGATAGGGAAAACAAAGGCTGATCAAGATAGTAGATAGGCTTTCTAGCCTTTCTGGAGTCAATTTGCTAATAAATATTACACGCGTCTTGCACATGTTAGATCAATTACCCGAAGGCAGTACGCCCTTAAGCCCATTCGAGCTATGAAGTGGCGAGTTCAGCTGCTGTGTAACTCGGGCTTTTCCGGCAAACTCATGCGGCTTATGAAGTAGGCTGGCCTCTCTCTCCTTAATCCACGGCCACTCTAGAGGTACATCTTGGCCTGGTGGTATGATGTCTCACTAGTTACGCGATAGAGTTGTTTGGGGTGATACATGCGAAAGGTCTTTTTCTTCCCCCTCTCCGATACGTACGTAGTCAAGGATGTGTGAGGAAATCTTGAGTAACTTTTGTTTCAAAGATAGCTAACCCGATGGTGGTCAGACTGCATGTGTGTCTGGCTTTTCGTGCAGAATTTGTCGGCGCATCTGCGGTTTTTCTTTTCGTGGCTTGACAAAAGACCCTTCGTGTTAGATAGAAAATAGAGGGTGCGTGCTGTGCTATCTAGAGCGACATCTACGGGGAAGGGGCTTGTCAAATGGCCATTTAGTTATCGATCTCTGCATCAAAGCCCGTATTCGCATAATAATAGTCTTCTCCAGCTCCATTATTCCATACTGTGTAAATTGCTACCACCAGCATACTCTCTGATGCTATAGGATTAGTAGCTGCAAGGCTACCAAGGGTGTATCGGACCAGATGATGTCAGAAAGATCTGAAAAGCACATGTGGAGTAGTTTTATTGCTTTTCTCCCTGTCAAAAAATAATTACTCAATTATTGAGGCTTGATATTGAATGTGAACTAAACTTGAACCCCACCTCATTGTAACAAGTTTCTGCCTGCATACCCCATTATCGTCAGGTCAGGCCGGGGTTTGATCTTGTGTTATCTAGAATGAGTAGAAAAGCATGCCCCAGAAACACTGTCAAAGGGTTGCTTTAGGTTTGTGTGTGATGAGCCAAGCCATGTGGTTTTGTCTGACCGATTTTCAGGGGCTTTAGTTATCGAAAATGTGAGACGGAGTGCATGTGAGCGCATCCAGATCTACTCAGAATCCACTCTAGATACAATACATCCATCACTTGGCGAAGCATGGCAGACCAATGACTCGGGATATGGATGTTTAAAAGTTACGGGACCACATTCAGGGTGTGTGGTCACACGATCGTCTAAATGCGCCTCGCTGCGAGAGATGATTGGTGACAGTGGTGGACATGCCTTGATAACTTCCCGAAATACACGTATACAAATTCACTTTCTGTGAAGCCGTGTCTACAATCATTTACCCAGGCAGTGAGACCTACTCGTGCCCGCCCCACACTGTCCTTCGACAGTCCTGACCACTAAATCCGGCCAGATACTAAAGCCAGCTATACATTTCATGATTCAACTACTGATTATCAAAGTACAGCTAAATAAGGATTACTTAGAGCTGAAAATATATATATAACAGATAATGATTGAGCCATTATGACAATAACTAATCACCCCTGGATCTGTGAACACGTGAATAACTTAAATAGGAAATGTTGCGGCGCGAAAAGTTGTGCCCACAACTTATGTAGTATCTAGGTTAACGTAATCAACAGTAGACGGAGACGTGGAATTTGTTTTCCGGTAGAAGCAAGGCCCTTTCAGTTTCTTGCGCTGCTCGACCAGAAAGCAAAATGTTCAACACCCGGAGCGTTGACTTAGCATGTCCATTACACTAGGTATTATTGATGCATAACAGTGTGGTCTGGGACTCGTGACTGAAGGAACCGGGAGTTGAAATGAGGGCTTAGTTGCATGATCCTGATGAAGGTGGCAGTGCAGTCCTTGTTGGTACGCTAGAGTTGTAATCATAGGCTGGAAACCGCCAATACTCCGAGAAGTCTACGCGTCCCAGCCTGAAGACTCAATGCACAGACCGTCGTGTGGGAATGGCCCCACTGGCAGCCTCAAAGGCAGAATGCTCACCCCGCGCCTGTGGTTCGCAACCTGGCAATGGCTCCACTGAGCGAGTCTGCCTACACCTTCACCGCATCTGGGGTTCTTATTAATAAAATTCACGGATACCATCTCGTTGTAACTGGTATTGACTCAACTCTCCAGACTCTCTACGTCCTTCTCCTGATTACCATAGCCGAAAGGTTGGTGATTCTCAGACACTTGATACCTTGGCAACACAACTTAAAGTTGGTGCCAATTCGCAAGTAATTCTATTTTCTTTAGATTCCATGGCACAGGAGACTTCACTTTGCTGCGGCCTGTCAAAGTAAACTTACACACTGAGATTTTCTACGATGGAAAAGACGGAACTTGGAGAGCAGGCGGCCGAGACGTCTCGCTCAACCGCTCCCGAGGCCTGGCTCGCTGATTACCTTCGCCACAAGGCAGATCAATGTGACTCCAGTTCCTATCCCGTATCAGACGTTGTGTTGGATGAGATCGATGCGGATGCAATCGAAATACGAGTGAAGCAGCTCATGAAAGACATTCAAGTGGCCGCTGGATTCTGCTCTCGATGTTCCCATCTCCTCCAGCACTGGCCAAACCTCAGCGAGAACATAGACTGGGACCACGCCGTGGGCCAGACATACACCACGGAGGAGGTCGAGGCAGCATCACGACTTGGATGCAAGCTATGTGCACTCCTCTGGACCGGCCTCATCAAGGAAAATAGCGTCAGCATCTGTCGGAAGATCGAAGCAAGGCTGGCAGCTATCAATAACCCTGCGAGGTCCGCCCTCACCATCCAGAACTGGGGCACGCTCAAAGACGCAGGAAATGCTGGCTCGCAGCTCCTCTGGTGGAATTATCCCGGCAAAGAGGCCACCCACTGCAACAATCTTGGGGCTCGACTGTTCCAGTTCGAGTCTCAACTCCTTCCACCAGATAGTAAGCAAACCAGCCGCCCTAGGAAAAAAGAAATTTAAAATTGCTGACCCTAAGAGAAAGCCAAGCTGTGGGATGAACCCAACGACCCAATTGAAATGGCAAAGACGTGGCTCTTGAACTGCACAGAGTCTCATGAAACTTGCCGGATGAAGAAAAGCAGTGCGCCGCGTAGGCTGGTTTCCATTGCTAATAACATGGTGAAGCTGGTTGAGACGGAGCTTTGGGATGAAGTGCCACAGTATGCCACTCTTAGCTACTGCTGGGGACGAATTCCCTTCGCGAAACTGACAAAAAAAACACTTCCTGCGTTTTTAAACGAAATCACTCTTGAGAGCCTGCCAAAAACATTTCAGGATGCCATTGAAGTCGCAAGGAGGCTAGGCCTGTCCTTTATGTGGATCGATGCACTCTGCATTATACAAGACGAAGAGGACCATAGCGACTGGCGCCAGGAATCTGGACGGATGAAATCCATATACAGTGGTTCTCACGTCACTATCTCTGCATCATCGGCCACGGATGTTAGTCAAGGATTCTTCCCTTCATCACCTCCAAAGTATAGTGGCGGGTTCATCGCTCAGGTCCAAGTTGGAGAAGCTGCCAGAGTCCAAAACTTTCACTCCTCCACTGTCCACGAAGATTCCACTGTGGACACCCATCTGGGAGGCCGAAGCTGGGCGTTTCAAGAGAAGCTGCTTTCTCCGCGGACGATCCATATTGGGAACTACGGGGTCTACTGGGAGTGCCAAAGTTCGGTCAAA